ACTTTCTTTATATCTAACTACCTTTTAATATAAATTAGCTAGATTCGTATCGCGTTATTATTTTAATAACTCTTATATTTTAAAGACTTTTTAAGCTCTATTCCGTTAATATCTTAGAATAGATCTAATAATAGATACTATTAACTAGATAAAGATCTAGATATATTTATTAAGTTTATAGATAAGAAGATAATCCTTAATAGACTATTCGTAGATATTAAAGCGAAGATTTCGAAAATTTTATAGTATTATAAATAGTCGGTAAAAGCCGTTATAGTTCTTTCGAGATTTTCTAGACGATTCTCTTCTAGAAGTCTATATATTCTCTATAGATTAGCTTCTTCTATAGAGATATTATATTCTAATACTACTATTACTAGAATTAAGAGAGTATTTATATAATATTTAGTATAATAGAGCTTTTAAGCGTAGTTTACGAAATATAAATAAGAAATAAGTAGAAGATAATATATAATAGAAGAAAGATAAGTAATCTTAAGAAGAATATATTCTTTATAGAAGCTTCTACCTTATTTAGCGAGAGTACTTTATAATTAGCTCTCGATCTTTAAGACTATCTCTAGCTAAATAGTACTCTATCCCCTTAAGAGATCTTATTATATATCTTTCTTCTATTAATTTATTATTTTCTATTATCTATAATAATATAAGTAGATCTAGATAGATCTAGATAACTATCTAGTCTTTACTAGTATAGTTTAGATAAAATTCTAATAAAGAGTTCGTTTTAATAATAATATTTCTTTCTCTATTAATATATCGAGCTCTTCGATAATATTATCGTTTATAATATCTAGATCGATAGAACGTAATTAAGAATATTAAGATAGTCGTCGCTACTAGTACTATATCTTATATATATTACTAGCTATTATTTATAGCTAAAGGTATCTAAGGGTAGCGAGACTAAAATTTTTAGGAAAGAAAGTTACTATTTACTACTATAATTTATCTTTCTCGATAAGAAATTTTTATCGTCTCTCGTTATTCGAAAAGTATAACTCTCGAAAGTCTTCGCTATAGAATTAGAAGGAATTCGTCGAGTATAGAAGACGAGCTTCGAGCTAGAAATTTTCCTTATTAGTTAGTTTCGCTAGATATCGAGATAACTTCGTCTATCTTTAATCGATTTTACGTAGAAGAGTATCGATTTTCTCGATAATTAACTATACTTCTCTTCTTTTTAAGAGAGTATAGAAGTTTTTACGAACCTTAGTTTAAGATAGAGAATTATCTCGTCGCCGCTACTAAATATAATTTTACGGAGGACTTATTCTATTTTAACGGGGCCTAGAGTCTCGTTAGACTATATACTTTCTAGGGGTTATACGATAGCGTACGACACTAGTCGAGACCGAAAGTCGGTCCTCGACGTCTTTATAATGCTTGGCATCTAAGGGTGCCCGTTTTGTTATATGTCTAGCCTTGTCAGGACCCTTGTTTCACGCGGACCCGGTTCCAACATCTCGGGGTCCGCGCTCGTCTCTCTCCAGTACTGCTCACCACTAGTACGTCCGTTGAAGTTCGGTCATAACAGCTGCCTGTTCGGCCATACGGTAAGGACAGGAAGAGAAAGCAGAGCACAGCATGTGAATGCTATTTCGTAGGTGACCAGATTTCCTAACTTCTGTTTTTCTTCTGGACATATTTCTTTCCGATCGGTACCTTATTCGGTAGGTACAATACATCCCACAGTCATTACCTTACACCATGGCGAAAAGCCACAACTACGAAGTTCCAGTATTGATTGTCGGCGGAGGCATCGTCGGGCTCTCTGCGTCTCTCTTTCTCAGCACTCATTTCGGAATCAAGTCATTACTAGTTGAGCGGCATGCAGGCACATCAATCCATTCCCGAGCACGCGGGCTCAACCGGCGCACAATGGAACTATACCGCGGGATCGGGATCGACGAAGCTGTGCGCAAGGCCGGGGAGTCGTTGTCTCCCAGTATAGGGATATATCAAGGCCACTCGCTCGTCGAGGTCATCGAGCCCATTGCTCGCAGCAGCGAACAAACAGAGGCAGGCCCGCGAAGAAGAATGCCAGGCGCCGAGTACTTGGAGAGTCTGGGCCCAGTCGAGGGATGCCGGGCAACACAAGATATGATTGAACCCGTTTTACTGGCGGCAGCGCGAGATCGAGGAGGTGATTTGCGATTCAACGTCGAGTGCGTTGCCTTTGAGCAGGATGACCATGGTGTCACGGCGACGTTGCGGGACCGCTCTTCTGCCAGCGAGTCTACCGTCCGCGCAGCGTACATGATCGCCGCCGACGGCGCCGGCAGTCCGATCCGACATAAGCTCGGCGTGTCGACGACCGGAGCAGGCACGTTGGGCCATCTTCTGAATATTCTGTTCGAAGCGGACCTGAGCGAGCTGGTCCGCGGCCGCGAGTTCAGCATGTGTCTGATCGAACGCGAACAGCCCGAAGTCATCAGGGGTCTGTTCACATCCATCGACAACCATAGCCGATGGGTGTTTCATCTTTCGTACGACCTCAAAAAGGGAGAGCAAGCTCAAGATTTCACCCCCGAGCGCTGCGCGGGTTTGATCAGGCTTGCACTCGGGATACCTGACATTGACGTCCAAGTCAAGAGCATTCTCCCCTGGGAGCCGAGTGTGCGGGTCGCTGAGAGATTTCAGCACGGCCGCATCTTCCTCGCCGGTGATGCGGCGCACCAAATGCCCCCCTGGGGCGGTCAAGGTGCCAACACTGGCATTGCCGATGTCCACAACCTGGCGTGGAAGTTGGCTGCTGTTCTGAATAGACAAGCAACGCCCTCGCTGCTGAACACCTACGATGCTGAGCGGATTCCGATCGCGCGTCTTGTATCCGATGAGTCGGGCGCCGGAACCGATGAGCATGGCTTGTTTTTGATGTGGAAATCTCCACCGGCAATGTTGTCCCTGTTCCGCAGAATGCCTAGACTCGGTGGATATGGCTACACGTATGATTCAACTTCTCAGGCTATCTTTCCTGAAGATACAGCCCCTCTGTTGTCGAGGTTGACGCGTCTCGTGCCTTACCTGGGCCAGATAGTTGGGATTGATGGAAAAGCCGGTTCTCGTATCCCGCATATCTGGGTCCAGTCGGAGGGCCCACGCATCTCGACCCTTGACGTGCTGGGGAAATCGTTCGTTATCCTGGCTGGCGCAGATGGACGGAAATGGCACGAAGATGCGCCGAAAGTCGCTTCTGATCTGGGTGTTGGAATAGGAGTCTACCGTGTTGGACCAGAACCTGCTTGCGAACTTGTGGCATCGAGAGGAGCCTGGGAATCTGCCGCAGGCATCTCGGCGACAGGTGCGCTGCTGGTCCGTCCGGATGGATTTGTCGCCTGGCGTGCTTGGAGCTGTCCTTCAGATCTCGAACACAAGCTCCAGGACGTGTTGAAGAGAGTGCTCTGTCGATAATTCTGGAAGCGGATTGGAGGGATGGCCATTTGCTAGACCTTCATGTTGGGGCGTTGGAATAGACAATAAGGAATGGGTAATGGTAAGGCGCTTGGGTGTTTTGGGCATCGCTTCGGCCATGGTCGGCTCAGTGTTGTCAACTTTCTCTGCTCGTCGATCTCAGGTAGCATTGCTCTTTCAATCAAATCTCTCTTCACCCTCACCAAGTAGCGGTTTTGCAGCCATGACGAGCGAGCATTTGCCCAACGTTGTCGGAATGGTCGTTGAAAGCGTTCCTGCAACAAATGATTTCCTCGTCTAAATAGTTAGTTTTTGTGTACTGGTGCGCACACAGGCATTGCTGAGAGGAACAGGCTGGAGTGGCAGAAAGAGATTTTGTGCGCTTCTTGCAGGCATTTCTCCTCATACTAAGTTATGCTATGCTATGCTCGTGCTGAAAGGGTCGAAACTGCATCTGTACAGGTCGACTTTGCTCATCATGTGCCATGTTCACGGCCTCAAGGCTGCATTGTATGCATGCTGTCCTCCAGTCCACTGAATTTCAGGCTTCACGCCTCAGGGCCGTACTGCCCCGTTCTGCAAGTAATATGCCACCCCTGTAAGGTCGCTGCCAAGATAAAAGCAGCAGCAGATGACACGACGCAGAGTCAGATTGTTCTGTCCCGCTCGAGTCTGTCTGGGCGTCCCAGAACCCAGCGTGCCCAGGAAACCCCCCTTGCTATGTGATAGAACGTCAACGAGCGGCAAACCAGCAAAGCACGATCTCAGCGTGGCGTCCTGGCGGCTAAACCTTGACGAAACAGAAAGCATGGTAGAACCCAACGGCCTCCATTTCTTCGCTCGACAAGACCGGTTCGCCGCCTTCATATTTGGTCACTCCCATTCGAGTTGCGAGCGCCATCATTTCTCGATTGCCACGCTCGGACTCCCAAATCTCCGGGAAAGGCTTCCGGTAGCGCTGTTCCAGGTTGTACCCCTCGGCAATGGCACGGAACGCCTCCCATGGCACAACAAATTCAGGCACATCCACCGCCTCTGTCATCCAATACATGTATTTCCAGCCAAAAGGAGGTCGGAAAGATCCATCTGGTTGAAGGGGTCGGAGAGGGTCATTTGGGAAACGCACTCTGTAAATCGAGTTGCCCCACGATGGACCATCTTCCTCTTGGTCATCTTCTGGTGCCTCGCCTTCTTCCTTGGGGGCAGTTTGCTCGCCGCTGCTGCCATTCTGCGACTCCTGCGCCTTCTTGGCCGCCTTGTTGGCAAACCATTTCTGGATATGCTCTGCGCATACATCACTGTTTGGTACAACGCCAATGAAACGGCCTCCCTTTTTCAAGGTTCCTGCGACGTTGCGCAGCATCATCTTTACTTTCTCCTCTGATTCGAATGCGTAGTGTATGGTAAACATGGCTGCCACAACGTCGAACCCGGCATCAGAATGGCGGCTTGGCTGTCCATTGCCAACGTACGGGTCGATTCCAACCTCACGGACAATGCCTACGTCGCCAAGCCATGCACCGAAGCAATCCTGTGGGATAAAGCGAGCGTCATAGATCGGGCGGCGGCCCCGTCGCATCTGCTGATAGCGTTCACGAGCCTGCTGTATACTTGTTTCGGCTGGGTCGAGACCGACATATAGCCCGACCGTTTGGGGTGCCAACTGCCATTTTCCGAGATCTCCGCCTTTGCCACATCCAATGTCGATGACAGCAAGAGGTCTTTGCAGTTCCGGCTCCTTTGGTTCCTCGCCCCATCCCAGTTCTTCAGGCTCCACCTTCTCCTCCGGACTGAATTTTTGGATGAGGACGGACTTTACCCAGTTGTTGAAGCTTCGAAGACCTTTGATCTGCGATTCATTGCGACGCCAATCACGCCCGCGTTCCTTCACCCACTCGGGCCGTGTGTTGTAGAACTGGTTGGAGACTTCCTGAATACCACGATTTGCTAGCGTATGTAGATTTGCATTCTTCTGTTCTCGCTCGGCGGCCAGACGTTGTTGTTCCGCAAGCACATTGCGACCACGACCACGGGCCCCTCCAGGGCGGATAATCTCTCGAGGAGGAGAATCACGTATTGGCGACGGTGACCTACGGCGCTCTTTTGGGGGAGATCGTCTGCGGTAGAGATTGACAGGCGAGCGTCGGCGCGGGGATCGAGATCGCCTGCGAACATCACCACCTCTGCGTCGGTCATCAGGGTCAGGTCTTCGACTGAAAGCAGAAGGAATAGGTCGTGATGTAGAGATTTCTCCTTCCTCCCTTGGTTTGCGCGGTATCCGGGGCAGATCGGCTGGGGTCCTCGGTGCAGGTTTGTTCTTGTGAGAGCCGTTTGTCTGCTGGTCGTGGGACGGCTTCTCAGCATTCTGTGGTAACGCCGACCTGCGTCTCTTCTTGTTGGCATTGGGAGACCCTGTTTGTTCACCGTCCTGCTTCTGCTCTTCGAATTTGGTGTCCGTTTCAGGTGAACCAGATCGTCTCCGCTTCCGGGGAGGACCTTGTGCCTGTTCCTGAACATTTGGACTCGATGTTACGGCAGAGGTATCCTCCGGCTTTCTCTCTGGATCTTCAGCGATGGCATTCTCTGCTATTGTCTCAGGAAGTTCTTTGAATATGTCTCGTGCAGGGTCGTATGCAAATGAGGAACGTCGCCGAACAGGCCCTGTCGGAGGATCGGACATTGTGAAGAGGAGGGTTTGAGCTGCGAAGCGTGTCCTTTGTGCAAATCCGCAACTATTTCAATCTAGAATGAGATTGCACTCAGACTGTAAGACAGTGTGCAAGTCTTTTCGTTTGGGGGTCGTGGTCAAGATGCAGTTGGTTGTCACAGTATTTGGGAAGCTGGAAGTCGGCGACCACAATAATATAGTAGCGCAACTTAAAGTATGGCGTACGCGCCTTGCGCTAGAGGGTTAAGATGGCGCTTGTGGTTAGCGCGTTATAGTCCCGTACAATAATGTTGTGGTTTAGCGCCAGCACTCCTTATTAGGTGCCAGCCTATTGTAGTGATGTCCGGGGGATTTTACGTTACCGCAAAGTCATTAGAGATCAAGGCAGCCAGGAGAGTGTAGCAGTAAGAGACAGTCAATACGGGTGTTAGATTCCAGCCTGTATACTGTCGTATTGAATGCCTCATAGGGCTTCGCCTAGTCAAAAGTAATCTTTTTCCCAGCAAAGGCCGGCAGGGTCTGGTCTTGCATCTTCCGCTTCTTTGCCGCCTCCCAAGAAGGGTGCAAGGAGCCCTGATCATCCCTCTGTTTTGGTTTTGGTCTTGGTGGCTGCGTCTGTCCAGCGCTTGGGTTGTGTGGAGCTTTTGCGTTGAGTCCCTTTCTCGAGCGGTCTCTAGGATTGTCTCCTGGGCCTACTGCGCCTCGTTTAGGATCCCATCCGGCATTTCTGGAATCCTTTTCCTTCTGCTTTGCGAGATGCTTAGCATTCTTCCCATATTTCAATTCGGCCAGTTGCTGTCGCGCTCTTTGTCCTCGTCGATTCTTCCTAGGCTTAGGTTCAGGCGGGCCACGATGCCTAGGTGCGTCCTCATCCTCAGACTCGGACCCAGAGTAGTATCCACCCAGGCTAAGTGACGGTAGAAAGGCAGTTGAGGTGACCCTCGGTGCCGAGCTCTTATCGCTAGTATGTCGTCTGTCATGATCCGAAGAGCCGCTTGGGCTTGGTGACACTGAAATGTCCCGCCTGGACGTGCCGTTGCTCATTTCTGAACGCCTCAAATATGCTGCTTCACCACTCTCTGATTCCTCATCTCCTGAAGATGCCAACCTACCAGCGGCATATTCAGATAGAAGGCGGTCTGCTTCGGAATCTGATCTCTCCGGATGGTCCGGTGGTGCAGCACTTTCTGATTGACCTTGCTCGCTTGAGAAACCATGGAATTCGTCTTCATTGGATTGCGCTGTTTGCTTGTTTTGCTCAAGAGTCGATGGTTTCTTTTCCACATCATCACTGGACCCAGCCTGAGGTATCCCCAGCACATCATAGATCGCCTTCATGATTTCGGGAACAACGTTCTTCACGGGAGTAGACTTGAACAACCTTCCCAAGACATTTGCCTCCGCAGTGGACTTCATTGGTTCAATGGCAGGTTCGGTGCCATAGACTTGGACGAATGCCGGATGCTCCCTCACCCGCTTAGCCCTGAACAAGTGCTTCAGGAGGTACCTTTTCGCCGTTTGGTCGAGCTGCAGCTCTTTCAGCACAATGACTTCTTCACGCAGCCGCAAAAGGGTCTGCGGCTCATCACTGGCTGTTTTCTGGCGGCGACCGAGTTTTTGGCGCTCGAACCCGCGGGCAAGCTTGAGAGCAGCGTGCAGGCGCTTGATACTCTGGTCCATCTTCGCTTTTAACCTCGTGACCTTTATCCGAAGCGCCTGGTCCTCAATCTGAAGCTCATCTTCGTCGTCCCCTCCATCTTGCCGCTTCCGCTTCGGCATTGTACTTTTGAATATAAGTTGGCGATGTTGCACCCAGGAGAAATTCAATGCATCCGCAGGCGTTTGCAGAATCCTGAAAATGACAGGCCCAATGGCAAAAGTTGTCCGCAGCTCTGACAAAATACAACGTTGTACAGTATCGCAAAAGTCCTTCTCAACATTCAAGTTCAAGTTGAACAAGAAGAAAATGCTTCGTATAGCACCGAGCTATTCCTGATATGGCTAGTCCAGACGCTGGGCTCGGAGGAGTTGCCATATTGGTTGCATCGGCTAAAATGCACATGCCAATGTTTTGGACAGACAAACTGCAGAAAGCCTCGTCCCTCCAGGCGATCGGACCTCACTTTCAGCTGATGCCTCTTATGTAGGCGCCGTCACCGGTCAGCATGCAAGGCCAGTGCTGGTTGGACAAGATCACCACGGATGGCTGCAGCTGAATGACAATGCCTGTGACTAACCATTGCGCCATGTTCAAGCTTACATTTGTGCGCTCGCTCATTGAGGCTGACATCTCAGCTGCGGTAAGGCTACCAGTTGCCTTGTCGTCAACGCAATGGCTATATCTATCTGCCTGCCCGCCCCATTTGCGACTCTTTTATCTCTTACATATCTAACATTGTATACTTGAACGGTTTATACAATAGCCGACAAACCGAGCCCAGGGCTGTATTGTTTCCAATGGCCAAGCCGGCGCTCACATACTCTCAAGCGCTTCTTATATTCCTTTCCCTTTGCGGGTTCTGGACTCTCTGGGTCTTTCCCTACCAGAATGGTCTCCTGGCAATCTTGAGCAAGCAGAGCGAGCCAGGCGCCGTAATTCCAGGTCCTACTCCAGCTCCCATGAAACAGACATACACGGGAGTTAAGGTAGTGGACAAACAATTGACCACGCTGGTCAGTTTCTTCTACACAGCAATAGATGGGAACCGAGCGGATGTCTCGCTCTCTTTTCTATACCTGGGGGGCCAGGTTCTTGCGGCTTGGATCTTGATCACCATTGAGGGTCTGCGAGCAGGAAACCAGACCAAGTTCTGGCTCACCACGTAAGTTCCACCGGAGATTAAGTTCACATCGCTGATGGCAGCAGTACGACGTTACTGGGTGTAGGGGTTGCGATAATTGGCTACGCCTGTATCATACCCCTCTGGTTTGCGCTGCACTTAGGGCTCTCGCCAACCGCGGTCAACCCCCGGGATTTCCATCTTATCGTGAACACCCCAGCCAAGCTCGCGCTGGCCCCCGTGAGCATTTTGCTGGGATTCGGCGTCCCGTCTCTTTTAATGTGCCTTCCTGCGCCGGCTTGGCTATCTTTCGAAGCCAAACAGACGTGGACCGGCATCCAACAGGGTTGGTCAATCTGGATCGGGATCACGCAGTATATCCTGACGTCTGTTGTCCTGAATCGGCATCCAAGGGCTACAACTTTGACCGAAAGTGCCAAGCGGACAGAAACGATCAAGTACTTACGTGGCGCCTATATCTTGGCTATCCTGGTGTCGGCCGGATCTCATCTGTTCCCCTGGATACTGTCTCTTCTTGCCTATGCATTTCCAGTCTTGTTCAGCTCGACTTACCTACCCCAACTACAACCGAGCAGGATCTTTGTCCCCGTCTTACCTTTCGGGCCACATGAGGTGAAGGTGCTTGCGGACGGGGCTCTCTGGTTCCTGCAATGGGATATTTTGGTTGGAGTAACAGCAACCCTCGTATGGGCCCTGACCTTGGAAGTCGCCGCCAGACCTGAACCTCTCTCGACGAAACGTAACCTCGCTGGATATTTGGGGGTCGCACTCGTCACACTAGCCATAGGTCCTTGCGGAGCTGCCGCTGCATTGCTTTGGGCTCGGGACGAGATCGTATTCCGGAACTCTACTGGTGAGGACAGCACAGTCACCAAGAAACACGAGTGAAGTGAGCAAAGGGGCAAATATGCAAGGACCCCTTCCGCAGGGACTTGGTGGGCTCCTGGGGCGCAAGCTGCATTCAGCCTTACGTCTGGTTGTCTGTTGGCGGGACAGATCTATGTGATGCAAGCTGTGCATCCGGGCGCCCAATTTCGGACAGGCCGCCTGCAGCCTGGTGCACGGCAACGGTGGCGGTTTGATGCACATTGTTCATCAGAATCAGCGTAATATGGTTAGGACGCCCTGTTGCATAAATAGATGTTCGGAGGGATTGTCAGCCTGTTAAAGCTTAATCGATGATTACTGTACTAATCAAATGGATATTGCTGGGATTCCAATAATGTATCATCAGCACTGACCTGCCACTTAATCTATCTTCTATAACCGTGCACTCCGTCAGCACTCGTCGGTTGTTCCCCCCACCGAGTGCACCACAGCGATACGATCGTCCACAGCGATACGATCGTTTTTCTATAAATTCTATATACTCTTTATTCAACGCGTATATATATAACCAACGATACCTACTAACGCTTAATTAATAGAGGAGAAGGTTCTTAACGCCTACGACGCGTATAATCGCGGCGATTATCCTAATATAAAGGCCGCCGCCGATATATTCGCCGCCCCCGTTTAACGCGTACGTAGACGACTTCGAGATATACTAGGCGCCAGTATAAGAGAAGAATATAATAAGAGGCTCTCTAACGAGTAGAAGAAGGCTCTCTATACGCTTATAAAGTACTATAACGATCTCGGGCTATCCCTAAGGCCTCCGATAATTACTTAAATAGTAAATCGTATACTATAACTTACGTAGGACGTATACGACGATAACGATAGTTAACCCCGTATATCTTATAAATAGACGCGGCGCTTTCTTAATAGATACTCCAAGTTTATATTTAAGAAGCGAAAGCCTATTAATATTTATTAATAGTCTATCGAGATAGAGTATTATATCTTAATTATCGAGTACTTTTATCGCTTCTAGACTATTAAAGAGTAATACGCTATTATCGACGATAATATATAGAATATAGACGAGACCGGCTTCTCTATTAGCGTTAGTAGAGCGTACTACGTTATTACTTAGCGTTAGAATAAGAATAAGCGTCTATATCTTCCTAATCCCGAAAATCGCGAGTATTATATACTAATTAAGTCTATTAACGCTATCGGCGACTTTATCGATCTATTCGTTATTCTTAAAGGCGATATAATTAGCGAGCGCTCTATAACCCTAAGCTTACCTAACGAATACGCGTTAGTCTTCTCCGAGTCGGGTTACTTAAATAATACTATACTACTTAAGTAGATATATTATTTTAATAGAAGAATAAAAGAACGTATAAAAGGGCGCTATAGGATATTAATAAGCGACGGCTTTAACTCTTATATCGAGTATAGCTTTATTAAATACTACTAGGACGAGAGAATTATACCCTTTTACTTATCGCCGTACTCGACGTACCTTCTATAATCTCTCGATATCGTAGTATTCTAACCGTTAAAGTACTATTATACGGAGTTAATAGATAGTGCTATACGATACGAAGATCTTATATTTTAGCGTTATAAGTTCTTAGAGAGCCTTTATACGGTTCGTACGAAGATACTTTACTCGTTAACGATTCGCTTATCGTTTAAGAAGATAGGGTTAGTACCGTTTAATCCGAAGTAAGTACTCGATAGCCTTACTATCGAGAATAGCTCTAACGAGAGCGACGACGACGACGACGATCTATACGTTAAATTCGTCGTTAATAGTACGCCGCGAAAGAGTATATATTAGCTTAATACGTACGCCGATATAATATTAGAGAACGTACGAGACGTAGGTTCGCTAATAGCTACGCTATTTAGTAAGTTTCGCCGCGCCGTAATAGAGCGTACGTATATTAGCTAGGAGACGCTTTACCAACTCGGCGAGACTAAGGCTGCTAAACGTGCGCGTACGTTACGAGAGAATCGACGGCGTCGACGTATCGAAACCTCCTTAATTGGCGTTATATACGTCGAGACGGCACGTCGACGCCTTCAGGCTCGTAACGACGCTAAGATATTAGACTATTATAAGAGACGCCGACTAGCAAAGAGACTATAAAAGCGACTCGTCGACGCGGCTCTCGATATAGCGTAAGAGGCAGAGCGACGACGACGTACGCCAGAGGTGGCTTAACGACGTCAAGATACGCTCGATAGGCTCGATATATAGGTTACTGCCTCTATAAGGCTATTATATTAAGAGTTACGCGCCGAGATAACGATAATAAGATCTTTACGGGATACTATATACTCGCGTATATAAGTTACTATAGTACTATACTATCGCTATATAATGTCGATATACGTTCTTAATCGATATTATATCGACGGTAGTTGTTATATATTTAGTACTTTTATATTCTAAGTCGACTACGTACGGTAACTTCGAGAGTATATTAACCACGACCTCTCGGATAGTAGGTTTTTATATTCGATACGATTACAGTACTAATTTACTAGGCTTAGCTATCGCTTATATTATAAAACCATCGTTGTGGCGGCTGTAAACAGAATATATCCTAACCGCGTGCAGAAAAACGATCGTATCGCTATGGACGATCGTATCGCTGTGGTGCACTCGGTGGGGGGAACAACCGACGAGTGCTGACGGAGTGCACGGTTAATAAATCGTCATGGGCTAAAAGTACCATACTGGCTCGCAAAAGCGAAAGCTGAAACGACAGGGTCCATGAGCTGTCGAGAGACACAATGTGTTCCACCAGGAGCCGGTCGCTGGCCCTACAATAGGCCTTTGTTCCTCAGATCCCATGGGAGACGGCGACAATTGGCCTTTCGCGGTTGAAAAAACAAGGCATCATCAGCCGTCCATCCGCATTCAGTTATGCACCTCATGCAGGGTGACACCAACTGGCTGGGATGTGAGATTCGAGCGAGCTGACGTGGTCATCTTGACCAAGCAGTGAACCGGCCGCAGGACATGGCAGCAAACCCGCGGGAAGGCAATTCACCTTTACCATGTGCATCATCACCATGACCATGAATGCCACCCGACACCAGCACCGGTTTGGAGGCGGTCCCGACAATATCCTCCGTACGACCAGACTTCAGCCAGCCTTGTCATTCGAGGTTTTATCGTTCTACCTTAGCACCAGCGATTCGCAGTCGCCCCTTCCTTGCATCCATCCTGCAGTGGCTCCCTCCGACACGGCCACTCAGCCGCTGTGCTACACAAATACAAACTTGAACTTGAATGCTGGCTACTACCGCCACCGCTCCCTATTCCCTTCGTCTTTGACCTCATTCACTTCAGCTTTTATCAAGTCAAGCTTGTCTTGCCCTCTAATTTACTTCTCGAGATAATAAACAAACGTCGAGTCTACCACGTCCTGGCCGGAGAAATATACTCCTTTATCGCGGTCTCTGCCCAGCCGCAGAAGCAGCAAGTGCCACAGACGCCCTACCGGCGACGCTGCAGGCAGCATGCAAATACTCTGTGCTACCGCAATTGCAGCTCTAACAGGTACATGCATTGCGTCTCCAGGATACCTCAGCTTGGATGTCGAGGTACGCTCGCCGTTTGACCGGGGTCTTGTACGCAGACAGAACTCGGATAGCACCGTTGATGCTCCTCTAACTCAAAACACGAACAAACTCGAATACCTGGTCAACGTCACCATCGGTACACCTGCTCAGCATCTTGCTGTCACCATCGACACGGGATCATCAGATCTATGGGTCCCAGCATCCTCGTCCGTCCTCTGCAAGAACGGCGGGTGCGACGCGGGATCTTTTGACCCGACAGCTTCGAGTACATACAACGTCGTTGACCAAGGTGGCTTCAACATCGTAAGTGGTATCTCAGGCTGACGCTACCGCAGCTTGCCAACTCGTAACTAACCTGTGTCCAGACGTACGCCGCACCAGGAGATAGTGATGGCGGCGACTGGGCGACTGATACCGTCACTGTGGGCGGTTCCGCCCCAATCCAACAACAGCAGATTGGAGTGGCATCAACACTGTACGATCCCCACGGCGTGATGGGCGTAGGCTTTGACACAAACGAGGCGAATAATCCCAGTCCGGAAGGCGTATATCCGTCCGTGATGGACAATCTACAGTCAGCCGGCATCATCAATCGAAAGGCTTACAGCCTGTACCTGAACGATCTCCAAGCCAGCAAGGGCGCAATCATCTTTGGCGGCGTGGATTCCACCAAGTATACCGGCGACCTTGTTGCCCTTCCTCTGCAGGAAAGACCCGAGGGCGTCATCTCTGAATTCTATGTCACTTTGACAAGCGTGTCCTTCACGGATGAGACTGGGAAGACGACACAGTTGTCTCCCAACGGTTATGCCCAATCAGTCCTGCTCGATTCCGGTACCAGTCAGACTCTCCTCACCGACGATGTTTTCAACGCTTTAGCCAACGGCTTCGGGGCAGTCTACGTTGGTGAAGGAAGCTATGCTGTCCCTTGCAAATTCTCGAATATCAAAGGGTCGATCAACTATTCCTTTGGCGGCGATGGTGGGGTGACGGTCAAGGTGCCCGTATCTCAAGTTATTGGCAATCAAATCTTCCCGGGAAAGAACTTCAATGATAAGTCTGGAGGCTGCGACTTCGGCTTCGGGCCTCCAATCGATGGGGTCAGTATTCTAGGAGACACCTTCATGAGAAGTGCATATGCCGTCTTTGACATCACCAACAGCGTGGCAGCTCTGGCTCAGGCGGCAGAGAACAAAACGGACACATCCAGTATCGCCGTGATTCCTTCCGGCACCGCGATTCCAGGGGCATCTTCGACCGCCACCGCGACCGGGACACAGCTTTCGAGCGCGGCGCTGACGGAGCAACCGTCTGTTCCGACGGCGAGCGCGGAGGGCACGACCTTGGTCTTTGCTGGGACGCCGACGTTCAACCTTGGAGCTCAGGCTGCGACGGGAACTGCTGCAGGCTCGACAACATCTTCCGGGAGAGCCAACGCGGCAGCACCCACGGCGGCCCTTCTGGGTTTGGGTTTGGTGGCCGGAGCCATGGTGCTATAGACGCGAGCCTTGATGATGGTGGCATAAACGCATCCAGGAACGGCGCAAAGTAGTAAACATAGAGAGATTAAACCGAAAACAGTTGTTCACCTATATCGATGCCCGCGCATAGTCCATCGGGGACGATGACCCACGCACGCTCCTGTGAGACCACTAGTAGTAATGAACAGCATACACCGCCATTTCCAGCATCACGCAGCCCGGAAGATAAAGTAGCGGGGGCTCCCCGTGTCTCGTTGCACGCGGATATATTGCAATTTAAACACCTTGACGCGTCTGTATATATCCCGATATCAACATCTCTTGACACATGATGACTCTCGAATCACTCGAGGCTCCTCTCGCCACGGGCTCGTCTGATTGGCGGCGGAGTCGTGCACCCGACACTTGCTCTTCCCGCTCCGCACACTGACACCAACTCAACTCATCGCAATCGCGACCTCGAGACTCAAAGTTGCCCCTCGTTGGATATATTGCCTCACCATCCCGCGAGTCCTGAGTGTTCTGACCATCCTCTTATCCCAAACGCCCATCCTTGCGCCATCGTATACCCTCGCGAACAACCCGCCGTCTTCTACGACTTGAACCGTCCACAGCGTTCCAAGATGACCTCCGCTTGAGTCATTGTCCTCACCCCACCAACTCTGTCTCCGTCCGCCATCCGCGCCTTTAAACACGCCGTGACCCAGCGAGGTTACAGCGAGGCGCCTTCCTGCGGTCCTCGGAGACGTCGTTACCATTTCCGCATACCACATGAGCCACAATCTCTGGCGCTACTTGCTCGAAGATGATGTCGATAAATTTCGGCAGTACCTGGCGAACGCCACCTTCACCTCGGGGCCTTCGAAGGCTTCCGGTGGCGGCCAGACTGGGGGCACTGGGTTGAAAATCGGTAGTCCAGGCAGTTTGGCCGCGTCCCCAAAGACACCACTGAAAGCGCGAAAGAGTTTGGGCAATGCAACGGGCAGCACCACACCAGGCAAAGGTGCAGGTCTGGTCCTCACCAGGGCCGAAGTGAACACCAAGGACGCCTTCGGCAGGAGTTTGCTGCACCATGCCGTCTCGTCGCGCTCGGAGGAAGCGTTATCTTTCGTCAAGGCATTGCTGGAAATGCCATTCGTGGATCTCTACGCCCAAGATGTCGAGAGTGGATGGACGCCTCTGCATCGAGCTCTTTACTTTGGAAACATTTCCATTGCCCATGCTTTGATGGCGCGGGACATACAACATGCCACAGACTACACTGCCACCACTCAACGCGCCCACGCCGGCGGCCTGGTGAAGATTAAAGACCATGAAGGCAACAGTCCTTTTGAAGTCTTTGGGCTAACCATCGCACCTCGTTCTATTCAGGAGGATCCATCCACTCTGCCGTCTGGCCTGGGAGATAATGACAGCAACAATGGGGTGGACTACAATGAGGAGGAACAAGGCAATCATAAGGCAAAAGGCCACCTCTCGCCCCTGGTCGATCTGGTCGGCGACGAAGTGTACGCTTTTGGGAGCAACAAGAATTTGTCCCTCGGTGTGGGAGACGGTGATGACAGGCAGTTCCCTGAGCGCCTCCATTTCAAGCGTCCCGATCATTTACTGCGCCGCCTTCTCGATGATCATCTTGCATTGAGGCAGAAAACGTTGGTCAATGAAGAGCTGGCCTTGAATACTGCCAGTCTGTCTCGAAGCGATATCCCCGCCATCATCCGCTACCGACCCATCTCAATCCAGAATGTGGTTATGTCCAAGCTACATACAGCTGTTCTGACCGATGATCCCATCTCTAATTTGCATATGTGTGGCTTTGGCCGCGGAGGACGCCTGGGTACTGGCGATGAGAATACATCGTTCACATTTCAGTGCATCCAGACAGGGGGGCTGGCCAAACGCCGCGTATCTTCAATAGCTTTGGGTCAAGACCACACTGTGGCTGTCTGTTCACAAGGTGAAGTCTATACTTGGGGCAGCAATCTGTACGGACAACTGGGATACTCCCTTCCCGAAGTGCCACCGAATGAGATCCCCATGCAGTTGACGCCCCGCCAGCTGTATGGCTACATAAAGAAGGAGCTCGTTATTGGTGCAGCGGCCTCCGCCATTCATTCTGCCATTTACACCTCGTCCGCGCTATACACCTTTGGCAAAAACGACGGTCAACTCGGATTGATGGACGCAGATGCTCGCTCCCTTGAGATACAGGTGCTACCGCGGCGCGTAGGAGTATCTGTTCTTCAATCACCAATCCAATCTGTTAGCGCGACTGACCGGGCCACTGTTGTCTTACTCGAAAACCACGAAGTTGTTGTATTCACACATTACGGCTGGACCAAGGTTTTGTTTCCGCTGGAGACGTTTACCAACTACTACATGTCTGACATGTTACCTACCAGGTACAACATGGAGGCCAACTACATCAAGCACATCACGAGCGGAGGAAACACGATTTGTGCTCTATCATCTTATGGCGAGGTTTTCTCTATTGAGGTGCCCAAGGTGTCTGAGAACGTGCCATCAAATACCTCTACGACGAATCCCACAAAGGCCCGCAACGCTTTACCGCCGCCATCGCGCTTGTGGTCGATCCGTAAAGCTCATATGGCGGCTGTCGATGTGGCCGCCGGTCAGAACGGTTCGATCATTCTTTGCACGGCTTCCGGATCGGTATGGCGAAAGGAGAAACGCGCAAACATCAAAAGCGTACGCGAAGCGAATACCGGCACCACTCGCGCCAAAGACTATAAATTTGTCCGTATTCCCAATATGACCGGTGCTATTGCGGTCCGAAGCAACGCCTTTGGAGCATTCATGGCCGTACGCAAGGACTGTACAGTGACGCGAGATCAAATCGTCCCGGATCCACCATCATTGTGGGCTGATGTGCGCTCTCTACTTCCTTTTGCGACGTACGGGACGACCGAGACGGATACGACGGAGGAAGTGGAACCGGCCCGAATTAGCCGAGCCATTATTCGTACACCATCTGCTGAAGAGGATATCCTCAATATCTGCAAACAATACGAACCTCTCGCTCAAACCCAGTATGACTTATGGGTTACGTCCAACCTGACCGATGTCCGCCTTCCAATCCATTCGTTCTTGCTCAAAGCCAGGAGCCGCGTCATGCGAAGCGCGTTGGCTGAATTCCAGGAGACATACTACTTCTCCATCCCAGACGTCGTATCCATCGAATATGGACAAGACGGTCAGATACAAGTGCAGTTCCTTGGCGCCGACTTCCTGACTCTGATAAACCTTGTCTTCTATTTGTACACGGACAATGTGATCGATGTCTGGCATTACACATCCAAGGCACTGCACCTTGCTCCCCGTTACCGAGCAGTCCGCATCGAGCTCATGAAAATCGCGACTCATCTCGAACTGCAACAGCTGGAGCGTGCTGTGCGAACCATGGTCGATCCTACTCTCAGCCTTACCAATGACATGGAGCTCGCTATCCTAGACAGCAACTTCTTTTCGGACGCTGATGTTTTAATTGAGCTGGCAGATGGAGTCGAACTTCCCGCACATAGCGTCCTGCTCTGCGTCCGCTGTCCCTTTTTCGAGGGCCTCTTCGTCGGCCGAGCTGGCGGACTGTGGATGTCATCCAGACGCAATGTTGCCGAGGATACGTCTGAAGCGGTGCGAGTGGATCTCAAACATATTGATGAGCGCATCTTTTCCATGGTGCTAAGACACCTCTACGCCGATACTGGGGAGGAGATCTTCGACGATGTCGTCAGTGATAGCCTGGACGCGTTCATCGACATCGTGATCGAGCTCATGTCTGCCGCCAACGAACTGATGCTAGACCGGCTGGCACAGATCTGTCAACAGACGCTGGGCAAGTTTGTGAATGTGAGGAATGTCTGTTCACTGCTCAATACTGTGGCCGAATGCTCAGTGGACAGTTTCAAACGTGCAGCACTTGAGTACATCTGCCTCAACCTCGAAAGCATGTTGGAGATGCGGCTGCTTGACGAACTGGACGAGGATCTACTGGCCGAGCTCGACGAAGTCGCACAGGCCAATCAATTGGCCTATCTGCCATTCTCGCGCAGCGAGCGTGCCGAGACTGAACTTTTTGAGAAACACCCTGAGCTCTTCGACGATGTGGAGGCTGGGCGCCAACGGAGGATAGACTCCATGAAACTGAGATCGAGACTGGTGGAAGATGAAGAGCGCCATGCTGCTACCATCAAGTTCCGCACCGGAAGCTTGGAGCGGCAGGCGTCCTCGCCACTCATTCCTAGAAGCCCTCTTCCTACGCCACTAGCCGACTCACCGGCGAGCACCCCCAGTCCGAGCCCAGCCATCTTGGCGAACGATGGTGGAGACGAGCTACAGTTCGACATGGATGACGAGCATCCAGATCTCTTGCCAGGGCCTGCGGCGCAGGTTCAAGAGAGTGTTGCAGCACCAAGATCTCGACCATCCGATGCCGGGTCGTATCGTGCTCGGAGCATTCCTCGGGCGGATTTGGAGATCTCGCCACGCTCTACCGGCGCTAGACCCATCATTCCCGATGTTCCTGTGCAGTCGACCAGAGAGTTTGAGCGAAAAGCAGTCTGGCAGACGCCTAGGATCAGCGGGGCTAAAACTGACCTGAAAGGCATAATGGAGCAGGCTTCCTCCTCGGGGGTGTCGAGCCTGACCCAAGCAATGCGGACAGCTTCAATGGCCTCTAAGACGGCCCCCAAGGTCTCTCAAAAAGAAAGAAAGAGACAACAGCAACAGATGCGGCAACAGGAAGCCAAGAACTCAGAATCAGCAAAGGCCGAGAATAAAACACCTTCTTCACCGTGGCAGACGATTCCAAAATCGCCCAAGCCTAGTTCTTCACCAGTCGTGCCAGCACAGTCCTTCGGATCGACGACTTCCAAACAGGAGACTCCCAAACAGCCTCTTTCGGAGCGACAAGCTATGGCAGGCGGTACGTCCAGTCGGAAACCCGGTATCCCACCAGGAAACAGCAGTCCAGCAAGTCTTCCAGCTGGCATTACACCTCCTACAAGCAAACCGGCGGCGCCGCAGATACAATCGGTGCGACATACGCCCTTGCCATCTAGGACGCCCAGTGGTATTGATGCACGCACATCAATGGCGGAGATTTTGGCACAGCAGCAGATTGAGAAAATCGCGGTCAAAGAGGCTGTGGCGAAACGATCGCTCCAAGAGATCCAGCAGGAGCAAGAGTTTCAGGAGTGGTGGGACAATGAGAGTCGACGCGTGCAGGAAGAGGAAGCGCAAGCTGCTAATGCACCAGCAACAGCAACAGCTCCAGCTCGGCGAGGAGGGAAAGGCAGCCGTGGTGGTCGAGGTGGACACCGTCGAGGTAGTGGTAAAGCAAAAGCTACAGCCACGATAGGCAGCGAGACAGCTAAAGCCGGGGCCGAAAGGGCAATCACGACGACGGCGTCACCTTTGGATCCAGGACAACGAATCGGACACAATGCCAGTGCCAGTGGCCGTTCAAGCCGTGGCGGTGATGGTCGAGGTCGAGGCCGGGGCCAGCACAGGGGTCCAAGGCATCATCAATAGAGATATACGGCACATTGCAGTACCTACCAGCATTGGGTTATGTTTGTATAGACTAGTACTACACGGAGGAGCAGTAATGGACGGGACGAGTAATGGATGCGATTTGTACAGACCAATGGCAGTCAACCTGTATCTTTCTTTTTTCTCGTTCGGTGCCTCAAGCTGTCCCTGTCTCTGTATCCATGTTTCTCCAACCACTGCAGGGAGTTCTGCCCTTGGGTACCTGTAGATTGGCTGCCTCAGGCTGCCTGGGACCCCTTTGCTCAAAGGACCGGACATAATACTTTACAAGCAGGGTTTATACTAGGTACTGAAAAGTGTGCCAGTGTGCCAGTGTGCCTGCGTCTGCAGCCTACCCGGTCCCTTGAACCCCAGCATTCCATCTGCTGTACATACCTAGGTACATACAAGCGACCTCGTCTACAGTAGCAGGTTGCTTGTCTTTGTTTGGCTAGATCTTCGCTTCGATTCGAGGACCACCACCACCACCACCAGCGGCAGCATCACCACTACTAAACTGACAGCACTGCAGCAACAAGGACCATCCCGGATTTGGGGCTGTCACCCCGGTCGGAGTCGGGTCTTGTCCTCTGCCCAGAAGACTGTGATTGATGATGAGTCTCTCTGGCCGTGTTGGTGTCTGGGTCGGTGTTCTGTGATGTCCTCAATCCTCGCCACGGAGGACTATTCGATAAATGACACCCAGCTGCAGTGGTTCTGGTAGGCACCGCACTGTTGCGGGAGAGCTTCCAGACTACCTATCAACGCTGAGTCAAGGTGATAGTAGGTAGGTGTTGGTGTAGTACAGTGTCAAGGTGGGCGGCCGCCTGGCATCCGGAGACTGTGGGGAGGTGCCAGTGGGTGGCACTGCATAACGGTGCCTGTGGTAGGATTGGGCAGAGACTGGCATGCGGTGGGTTACGGAGGCTCTTCCGACACTCGAAACTCCAGTACAACTACTGCCTGCAGTGGTAAAGAAAGCCAAACCTACCGTAAGATAAGGGCAGTTAGGCGCAGGGGAGGCAGAGCTTAGGCGGAGCGCTATGCTGGCTCCGGGCATGAGACCCCCAAACGTTGAAGCTCAGCTGCTAAGAAGCTATTATCTCTACTACTTCGATCCCCGGCGACTAGTGTGGGTGGTACACAACGTCCCTGCGCTCGCTCTCCACTCATCATCAGCATCATCATTGAATCCATCCGTATCATACTGTAGTTGTGACGGGTACGAATGACTCGCAAAATCGCAGTATCTCTTCCATCTCGTCCACTGCCTAGCTACGCCCTTCACCTTATCGCCCGTCTTTGTAGTTTTGTTGCCTGGTTGAGATTGCAGTTTGCCTGCTCCATCGCCTGACCACGAGTCGGACCCAACGTTAACGGCGCCTGTCGCCTGTCCTTCTACCCCAATCACATGCCGGTTCCGTCATATGCCTGCGACTCGAGACCATCGGGAACCTGAACCTCGACCTCAACAACTCGCCGCCCATCCTCACACTGCACGCTGCCCTGCCCGCCCGTAGATGGCTTGCTCATCTACTTGATCAAAAAGACTGTCGAATGGCATAGCTAAACCACTCCGAAATCTCCGGATCTGCTGTTTTGTCTCCCTATCGAACGAATGCCTTGACCGCTTGATACACTCCCGGTGGATATCAAACATTGAAATACCATGGAAGGATATCGGATACCTGCTGTTACTCATCGGTCCACTGAATGCTAAGCCTGCTAGCTCTGTACTGCCTGCACTACAAGTGAAGACGCATTCCTTGTCAAAGGTCAAACACCATGCATCAACATCCTCGTCCACCACCTGTGACCGCGTCTCCCGCGAACTCCGAACAGACCAATCCCACACGAACCAACAACCCCAGAGATCGAGATCTCCAGGCGCTGAGGACGACTTCGCCTCTGACCCAAGGGTCCGGTTCGTCGGAGGACTTTGCAAACGCACGGCAAGATTCACCAGCGGACAATCCCGGCGTGCAAATGCAGCGGTTGAATCAGGTCATCCAGAACTTCCACACCAAGGCCGCCCTGATCATTCTCCAGTCTCGAGTAGAACTGTCCCCTGCCTACTCCCAGAAAACCGAGACCAAGCGGGTGAATCGGTGGTTCAACCTCGACATCGACGAAACCCACGAGTACAGGGACGATATCAAGAGATGGAAGACCTGTGATGTCGAAGACAACCGACCTCCACCGTTGGTGATTGAGGTCTTTCTCACCACAGACCCTCTACAACAAGGCCAGAGGTTGGTGATTGTGGATGAGGACGGCAAGAGGTGGGACGTCATGACCACGCTGTCATCCCGGAACAATCATCGACGGATGGCAGAAGCGAACGAGGTCATTCTGGAGCGGTGGACGATCCAACTCGGCGATGCCACCGGTCCGGTTCCTCCAGACCTTGCTACGCTTTTGCCGCTGGTTTACAAGAAGAGCATCGTCTTTTTCCGGTCTCTCTACACCTACAGCAACTTCCTTCCGGCGTGGAAGCTGTCGAGGAAGATTGGAAAGTCCCGGTCGACAATGGCCATGAAGATTGGATATCGCATTGTCGATGGCTCACAAATGACTGGTTTGTCCCGACCCGACAACCTCAACTTAAGGCTGTTCGACAGCAATTCCGACGTGCTGTCGTCATATGATTTCGGCATGACAGACTCGCCCGCCGGACCCTTTTCCGTCAAGGTCGACTACCGGCAGAATTGCGATTTCCGGATAGATGACTCGGAGGAACTATTGAGTTCGAGGTTCCTCGGTGCTGATGATGACCTCTTCCGACCATCTCTCCCGGTCAATAGAGCGGGGACTCGAACGACAGAAGTCGGCTCTCTGCCTACTGACCGTCGGCAGCACCTTTTGGAATCACCCGAGCTGGGACTTGCGTATGGCAGCTTATCTACTTTCCACCAAGCAGGCATTGCCAGTGGAACAAGTCCGATTTCGGCCCTTCGAAATGCTCAGGAGTTCGACACCAGCTCTCCGCCGACTCCCGAACCAGCCAGACAAACCGTACACTCGCATACGACAACAGCGGCTCAACCCTCACGAACCTCTCTCAGGGCTGTCGCAGCGAATCGCCGAAGTTCGTTTTCAGTCCATCCTTTCAAGACTCCCACACTCTCGGCTTCACCTCTTGGAGTCTCTCCGCTTGCGAGCTCCCCTCGAACACACTCTGCAAGGGTACCTACTTTGGGCTCGTTGACTGAAGAAGGAATCCCTCCCCCGGCTGCCACCGCCCCGGTGACCCTGGCAGGACGTCGAGCGGGCTCTTTGACTTCAGACAATGCCGTAGCTTCGTCGACGTCTAGCTCGCCAAAGCCAGCTCCCGTCACCAGATATAGCAGTAGCTTTAGCCATCGCCGTGCCCGGCTGTCATCCGGTGGCACAACTGCCCGTACCGACGATGATCAAACCAGCAGTGGTAGAGGCAGCGCGGCGTCTTCGGCTCAACCAGGGTCGGGATTGATGACTGAACCAGCAACGGGAGGGGGCAGCTCGGGTTCGGTGGCGGAGGACGATGGAGAAAACATCTCCGAGTTCTTGAAAATGATCGAGCTGCAAAAGGATCTGCTGTCATCGCCTTCGTCGGCCGCAGCGGAAGCGTCGACGCGAAGAACGGCGGCGGCCCTGAATCGCTTCCACCGAATGAGAGAGTCCAATGCTGCACTGTCGGAGTCCATGTCTTCTTCCCTGATGTTGCAGAGATCTTCGGGCTCTTCTAGTCGGCAGCTATCAGGCGTTCCTCCCATGGTGGCTGGGACGTCCATTTCGACTTCTTCATCGCCTGGCAAACCAATTTCACCCCACACTCCACATACACCTTTTGCGCCGTCCCGGCTTAGCGCCGCATATAGCCATGACGACGGGGACACTCCGCATCGATTTTCGGTCGGAGAAGAGGCACCCTCGCCTTCGGATGCTCCGACAGAAGAGACCGCTCAGGCCGAGTCGTCTACGGCCAATGTGAATGCGATCGACATACCCAATTCGCCCAGGCCGTTTTTGCCAGGGTATCCACGATCAAGCTCGGCCCAACGGCAGCGACCGTTGAATGATGCCGACGATGACGTTGCCGGGTTCTATGGTATGAGAAGTGCCAGTATGGGAGCGGACCGACGGCGCGGTCATGGTCACGGTCATCGAAGGGAAGCTGCTCGAGCTGATGATGATGACGACGGAGGAGAAGAGAGACCAGTCGAATCTACGTTCTCGTCTCGTCGACACCGACCTAACGAAGGGTCTGTTAGACGCGCCTCTCATCAAGCAGTGCCCCATCGGCATTCGGGACTAGCGACGGCAACACCGCTAGGAGCTTCAGATGGAACAGGCTCAGAACCAGAACCAAGTGACTTGTCGGCTCGAGCGTCGGTAGCGGGAGAGGGACCGCCGGCAGGGTCTACCACAAATACAAATACTTCATATCTGGCTAGACAACGGATTACGTCCCGACCACACCAAGCAGGAGGATCGGGATCGGGACCGGGATCGTCGTCTAGTCGACTTGATAGTGGTGCTAATAGCGGTGGTGGTGGTATCGTCAGTCGTGGTAGCGACGGCGTCGGTGATGAGGATGGCCCCGGTAACAGTGTCCAAGTTGGTGGTGATGGTCATGGTGTTGATGCCGGATCTACAGGCTCGGAGCCGACTTCCTCGTGGGCAGTGCGAGGAAGTGGTGGTGGTGGGCATCACGGTCATCATCATGGCAGTCATCATCGACGACATAGTAGGGCCAGTGTCGTCAGTAACTTGAGTCGGCCGGCGGCGGGCGTGGGCCTGGACGAGGACGATTTCCTCCCGTTTGCCATGGAGAAGAGTGATTTCAACATGGGCGGGAAAGCATAAGCCGGAGTTTTGACAGTGAACAAGTGAACCACTTGAAGGCGGTTGAACGAAGTTATTACTGAAGCGAACTTTGTGATTAAATCGACTTGACTTGACTTGGCTTGGTGTGATTTGACCTACTTTTTTTTTCCTGAGCTTTCACTTTTTAGGGGTTTGGTTTTGGTCTTGGTCTTGGTTTGCTCCGAGTCGTGGTCGTGCTCATGACACGGTTGGTATGGTACTCGGATGGTTCGACGGTTGCATCTACACGTGGTAGACTGGGTATACATAAATTTCTACTCCATCTGGCAAAGTGCAGTGGCTCAGTTTTATTTCTAAGAGTATCCAAATCACCATCGAAACGAGATCATGACTGTGACGGGAGGGGGACTGTGACTTCTAGAAATAGGTACTGGTATAGTAAGGAAGATACCACATATGATACCCATCACATCACTTTTTGCGACTGCAGTGTGTCAAAAGATATATTTTGCTGTATACTCGGTTTCTTCGGCTTTCTTCGTTCTTTCTTCACCGTCGATATCCGTCCCTGTATGCATCATAATCCTGTCCGTAGCCATATCCATATCCAGGATCAGCGTGACCCGTTCTCGGCGCGAATCGATTATTGTAAGGGCTGCTGTCCATTTGTGTTGATGGGTAGGCTGCGCCGCCGCCTGTACGCCCGCCATTGCTCCTGGTAGGACTGGTGTTGTTGTACGGACTTGGCCCAGACGAAGTACCCATAGTTCCTCCTCGTGTCCTGGTATACCCACCGTTATTCCTGCTGCGACCAGCATGTTCGAAATCTGACAGCCCATACGGCGGCGCCGCTGCATCATCCTCACCGACAGCTCTTCTGCCGTCGGCGTTGTTGCCATTCGGGGCTGTCAAAAAATTGTTGGCAGGTTGTACACTATTGCTGGTACTCGTACTCTCCGTGCTCCGATGCAAAGAATCGAGTTTCAAATCCGAATTGTCAAGTAACTTCTGATTCTCATATTGGCCCGTCATCTTGTCGTATTTCCCCAAAGCAGTCTGGGCGCGACGACTGCGGATGTCGAGAATGACCAGGGCCACTTGGGCGAGCCAGCCAAAGATGGCAAATGAGTAGAGGGCCTTGTAGATGCGGCAGATGGACATGCCGGCGTCGGAGGCCCAGTTTGCTCGACTGCAGCTGTGCCCCAATGTGCCGTACATGTTCCATGTGAGAAGACCCAAGCCGATACTCCACAAAATGAGGATGAGACTGTTCATGAAGAGGTTGAATAGGGGTGAGAGGAAGGCGCAGGCGTAGATTATGGCTGAGAGGAGAAGAGCGAGGAGGGATGAGAGGGTCGATGCGAGGACCTAGGTTGGAGATGGAGTTGTTAGTAATCGATTGGAAAGAGAGTGAGATGGAGAGAGAGAGATCTTTGTGATGAGAAGAGAGGTGAGATCTTTGCGGCCATATCTTTCTTTCTTTCCTTCTTGCCTGCCTGTTTTTTCCTTCTGCGAGTGGTATATTTGGCCGGTCTCTCTTGACCGGGAAACAAGATAAGAGAAAGAACTGTGCCAAATAGAAGAGGGGTAAACAGGACAGGACATTATTACACTCACAATAATAAACGTCCAAGGCAACTTGAACCCATCATGCCTCAACTGAATACAAAAATAAATCAATATCCCTGAGACAATACTGGCACAAACAAATGCGATGCCTCGGATGATGTGGAAGCTCGCTTTTGGGTAGACTTGTGGCCGACTCTTCATTTTTGTATTTCTGTCTTCTTGCATGGTAACAAGAGAACGAACAAGACAGAGACAAAGTCTTGTAGACTGTTGTTGAGCGACGGAAAGGTCACGCAGCGCAGGGGTCCGGCTGGCTGGCTGGCTGGCTGCTTGCTTGCTGCAGCGTTGTCTCAGGACCGCCTGTCTTTGTCTTGCCTCCTGATCCTGCTACAATTCAACTCTTACTGTTGCGCCCCGGGGTTGCTCGATTCAATCCACAGCGACGAGTTCGTTCTTCACATCAACGACAGTGCAGTCGGTCAGTCTTCGTTGCGTCGGAGTCGGGTGCGAACTCGATCGACGCAAAAAGCACGGCCGTGGGAGAACTTGATTGATGAATAGTGACTGCGGTGTCTAAACGGTCGGTCGGTCGGTCGGCCAGCCAATGCAAGACTGGGGCGCTGAGGCCAAGCGACACCCTACGCAACGCAACGCAACGCGTCGCAAGTCGTGTGGGGAGGTGTCAGAAGTAACGAGTGGAGACTCGGATTGGAGGCGGGAGTCGTCACCAGAACAAAGATGATGAGTGAAGTGATTAGCACAGATGTTTGTTGAAGGAGGAATTGGTAGTGAGCGATGTATGTTGGTCTGCTGTTGAAGGGCGGTGAGACAGAAGATACTGTACCACCACTGCAGTGCCTACAACTGTACAATGTATGTGTTTACTGGTGGGCTGAGCAGGCGTGTCGCAGGTCAGCATTTGTCGTGGATCTTCAGTCGTGGAGCCAAGCGAGTGGATTGATGGGGCGGCGTTGGCCCCTGGATACAAATACGAGGCTGATGAGGCTGAGGCTGATGAGACCAGATATAAAAATAGATCCATGCCATGATTGGCAGGCTTTCTTACAGGATGACAACGACTCCTACTACTGCTGCTGCTACTGCACTGCCTGGCGTTGGAAACCTCCCCCATAAGCAGAGCGCTCATAGAGGAAGCCAGTACAATCGTATTGATATCGATAATCGTCTACCGGCGTTATCCTCCCACTGCTGCAACTGCACGCCTATCGGAGAGGACTCTCCTTTACAATTCCATTCCCAGGCACAAACGTCCCCGCGCCCGCAGCATTCAACCTGAACGCCCCAGCTCCAGATCCAGCTCCAGAATTGCCAGTTCCACTCCCACTACCCCGTGAGGCTGGCGGTGAGATGGGTAGCGCATGGCTCATGGCATCAGGCGTGTTTCTTCCACTCGGCACGGCGCTGTTGGCTGCTCCGGTACCCACGCCATCCGGCACTTGTGTACCTCCAATACTTCGTAGAGGAGGCTTCCAGCCATATTTGACGCCCTTGCGATAGATGTCTTCTATCATTTGGTCCACAATCCCCGCATCCTCGTATTCCTGATACTTCCGCCACAGCCGTAGAGCCATGCGGGCGTCCTCAATGCTGTCGTGGCCGTCGACTTGCGAGTCACTGCTTGTGGTCTCTTCTTGGATGTATTCCTTAAAAACAGCCCAAGCCAGGTATCGCAATGAAAATCGCCGATTCTTGCCAGGCGCCAGATACAAAAATTGTGTGTCCACCGTCTGACTCTTGGGCACGTGGATGTTGACTTTGCGAAAATCCGATGCCAGTCCGTGTCCGACAAAGACACAACCGAGGTTGAGTAAGATCCAGAGTTTCTTGTATGCGACCTTGAGTGGGACAAGGTTGTGCTGTGAAGTCTGAGGGTCGAGGTCGCCAGGCCGGATGCCAGAATATTGTGTCTTGTAATCCACAATCGGCTCGTAAATGGTGATGTAGTCGTCAATGAACGGCACTCCTTCCAGGTCTCCCTGGCCACGCAAAACACTCACTCGAGCAAGACCCGACTTGGCTGGTCGAATGGTCTCCTGCGTCCCATCAGCCTTAAAGTCGATTTCGGCCTTTTCCAGTTCAACAAACTCCGTATCCAGAGCGATCGGCGTCCCATGTTGCGGATGTTCGTCCGGGGACAATATTTTACATTCGTCGATGGGATACAATCCGTTGATACTGTAATGCTGATACAACAAAGTCGTGTCCATATTGTCTTTCCATGAGTGGTCAAGTTTGCCATGTGCACTCTTAACCTGATAAGCCACCACACTGGGCATTTTCCAGTTCTTGTTGAAATGCAATGCTTCTCGCGGATCAACTGGTGTCACCAAAAAGTCGTTGAAGAGATGCCAATTGGGGAAAATCTTGTGGTTCGGTGTGCTTTCAGGTTCGGGGCTTGAAACCTCGACGTTCACCATACCGACAAGATGTGGTTGATGTCTTTCACTGGTGTCGATCTCAGCCACGAACCCAACGAGCTCGTACACAACAAGATTGGGCGATTTGTTCCGTAGATGCACCGCCAGGTCGGCTCCTTCAAAACAATACACGTTCTTGTCTTGAATCATGATCCCGACTTCCGATGGAAGCCAGCCTGGAGTTTCCCATAATCCACGCATTGCTGGATTGCCGGTCAGAGCTGCATTGATCATCATCACCATTGGCAGTCTTCGAACGGTCTTGCGGATGGCGAGTTGTTGGTATCTTCGACACCTGCTGCACCATCCCCTGTTCTTTGCCTCCCGCTCAATGGTCGTCTTCAGTATTGCTGAGAATTTGAGGTATCGCGTCGATTGTTTTGGGTCGCTCTGCGGATAGGTTAGATCATGTACGTAAGTGCTGGCCGCCTTGGTTGTTTCGTGGTTACAGTACATGCACCGGATTGCCTCGAAGGCGTTGCTGGCCAGGATCTCGTCAATACCCTCACTGTTGGCAGCCATGGTTACATAATCATGTGCCATTTGTTTCATGAAGAATCGATTCACTGCTTGGATGGTCGCAGAGAGTGGATTTCCATTGGCCAAGGCCAGATGTTCGAAGAGGCCGAGGTTCGCAGCTTCTCTGGAGGCGCCGAATGCTCGAAGCAAATTTGTTGCCTGACAGTTCTGCCCTTTCGCCTTTTCCAACATGTCAAAAAGGAAGCCGAATTCACAAAGAAGGCAATTACCGGCCACGCACGAGGTTGCTGCATGTTGGATGGCAACATTGCGGATCAGTGGAATGAATCGATAAAGTTGGAGGAGGGAGTTGACGAATGAGTTGGCAATGTGTGTTTCCAGACCCGAGTACGGCGTTTTGTTGTAGTATCGAAAGTCAAAGTCATCCACCCCAAACCGGCTGTATTTGATCTCGACGTTGCTGTACTTGAGCATCCGCTCCTCGTCAGTCTGAGCTCGCCCATTCAAGGAGATACCCGCCAGCGATTCGGCGGCATCAGAAAGCTTCCTGCCATTTCCATTTGCGGTGGCCTCTTTCGCTTTCTCACTCAGGAACTTGGGGGCCGCTATTGATGCTGGAACCTGTCCCGCTCTGGTATCTTCCACCTGGTAGCGGCGAAGCTTTCTTGGATTCAGGTTGGGGGCGTAATGACCCATCTCGGCTGGCTGCATATGGAAATGAAGAGAAGGTTCAATCGGCACCGGTGGCGCGCCAACCTCAAAGACCATGTGACTAGGCCACGCGGATAACAATGGTTCGGAATAGTATGGCATCCCAATTGTGTTGAGCGGTGTATCATTCCAGTCAATGTGGGCGGCAGGAGGCGGAGTGGGATCCGCAAACTCAGTTTCTTTGCTGATATTATTGAAGCGGACCTTGGAAGGAGAACCCCAGAGGTATATCAGGCCATTTGTATCGGTGATGACGAGAGCATCTCCAGACGGGGCTATTTCCATGCCTAACATGAATTGGACGTTTGCTTGTTTGAGCATGACATTGACTGGATTCATCAGGTCCACCACCTGCATTTGACCCGTTTGTGACGCAACAAAGCTCGTTGTTTGTAGTTTCGGATGCATACGTACGTAGGCAGCCCCTGCATGGAAAGGAATTGGTGGTAATGAAGTGAGCGTTTTGAGATCATAGACATTGGCCAGTGGATCAACAATAGGTACCCCCAGTTGCCGGACAGAAAAGCCGCAGGTTACCAGGAAATCATTGCGCGCATCCATGTCATTGACGGCAGTAGAATGTGCCTTCCACGTCTTGAGCAGGGAATAGTCACTCAAGCTGAGAATGTGCACATTGCCATCGTCGGTTGCGGCACAAATATGCCGACTCTTTTTCAAGATGGTGTACTTGGCTTGAGCGGCATGCTCAGATACAATCTGGCCTTTGTCTACGTCAATGATGAAAAAGGTACTTTGGCACCCTGCCACCAAGATGAGGTTGTTAGTAGCCGTGAAGGTCATACATCGAAGGTCAAGCATAAGCCGGTGGGAGAGATGCCATTGAGTCAAGCCTCGGCGAGTGACAAAATGGACACTCGAGGCTGAGATCGACACAATGCCCTTTTCGTGGACCAAGAACTGTTTGACTGGGCCTTCGCCGAGATGAGCCTTGACAGAAACATATCGCTGCAGTTCCGGTCCATAGAAAGCTGTCACTCGTCCCTAACACAGAACATCTGCGTAAGTTCTGCACGTTGGGAGTTAGAAAATGACACTAACCTGATCGTTACCGACCCATAAGAGTTCTTGTTGATCATCAAACGCAACGGCGCTGGCTGGAGTAGGAATTGCATGCAGGCCGGATGAGGGCACCGCGATGCGAGTGATTTCATCCCAGTCGGCCTCCATCGGCGCGATGTGTATTGCTAGTTATCGACCATGGACCGGGAGGAGGGAGCCTGGGGAGGCGCCTGCGTTGACAGAGGCTCCATTAAGGAGCGGTTCACGCTCGCATCGGTGTTGTACAACTCGGAAGTGAATGACGGGGAGAGACGAAGGTGAAGGGTGCCAGTGGTGCTTTACGCTTCACGGAACATTGAGGTTGAACTCAGATGCGGCTGACATAATCATGAGAAAGTGGCTGAACTGGCTTGAGGGCGTGGCTAGTGACTTATGGCTCAGGCATGTGGCTTGCGCGTGGCTGTGGCTGGTGTCGCCTTCACTTCCTCTTCGATCTTCTTCTCCCATCAACATGAACATGAACAGCACAGAAATCGAGACACCAGTTAATAGCAACGAGTATCGATGCTCCGTTAGAGTCACCTCCTGTATACGGCGCACGTTAATACAATAATCGAAAGCATCACCGTCCTCGACACTATTCTACCGCGTCCTGTCTGCCTCTCTTCCTTACTGAGCTCTGTAACCTTTGCCGCGCCATCGATTCGTGCCTGGACCGTCTCCGCAACACTTATTTCCTTTCTCTCCCACACTCCCTCTGCTTGAGCCCCGTCCACATCTGCTTTGTCTGTATTTGACTTGTTCGGTGCATCGTGGCACTCTAGCACACTAACAAGAGTCGTTACTATGGCAAGTTACGAAAGTGAGGGCTTCAGTCCGGGAGTGCAGACATGAAATTGACCATCCTTCAATAGCTGAACACGGCATCGATCGAGTAGATCAAACCGAAAGCCGTCCACGCAGGCCGGACCTTTCTTCCTTCTTCAATCTTCTGTCCCAGATTACCCCCGATCGACCGGAGGAGAGAGCGCGGGAATATGCTCTTCCAGTACCCGGCGATGTGTCGGCCGCATTTACCTCACTCGCCGAAGCATTTCAAATAATTCAAAGAGAAAATGACCATGCAGACTCGAATCTCCTCCAAGACATGATCAGCTCCTTGATAGAAGCAGCCGAACATCCACCTCGGGAAGTGAAAGGTGTGGACGAGGAATACATTGCTGGCCTCGAGCGGGTCAATATCAAGACGGTCAAGAAGGATGCGGAATGCCCGATCTGTGGAAATGCATTTGTGGACGACCCTCATCCACTTGTGGTACGGCTACCCTGTCACCCGACTCATATCTTCGATCTGGAGTGCATCAGGCCCTGGCTTCTTTTGAATGGGACCTGTCCTCTCGATAGAATGGATCTGGCGCAGCGGGAGCGGGATCGAAAACAGAAACTGTTGGAAGAGATCAAAAAGAATGCCGCTCCTGACGATGAGGAGGAAGAGTGGGATGGACTGTATGGCTAACAAAACGAGCGATCAACTTCCTTTCACAAACTGCGAACTCTGTGCCTCCACTTCCAAGCTATACCTGGTGGCCTTGTTTTGGTCTCCTACTGTTGAAATATTCCACCAGCATTCTGCAATGGCACCAAGGGATGTCATGACGTATTGAACACAAGCCACATCGGGATATCGGTGCTTTTTTCTCTACCGGATGCAGACTCATGAGGGCCCAATAAACAGAAGTTTAGCGTCTCTGAGCTCACGCTATGTTTGATATGGAAGTCTTCATTGCAGGCAAGTCGATATGAGCGGTCAATGGACTCGTCTCACTGTCTTTCTCATGTCTGAGGACTATGCGTGCTTTGCAATACATGATTTGCTGCTTCGAGAGCGTCCTTGGGCTGCGAGCTACAGTATGTGGGGCTTGATAGTTCGTCTCGTTGTTTGCTGACAAATGCGATACACCCCTTCACCTTCTGCCTCATCAGTGTTCCAGATGCGATCGCATGGTGTGATGGAGTTACCGAAAGAACATATCCAATCGTACTGGTGACGGATATTGCTTCAATGCCTAGACTCGATTGACATTTCCAATCAACGATAAGGACAGGGAAACGGACCTGATATACTAGTATACGTGCGTACCTCCAAGTCCTCTTACCCACTACTACGTTGTAGTATGCCATCTGTTTTCTTATATCTTTCAAGGTAGGTTCCTTCAATTCAAACCCTGGATAGAAGGGCATTTAGGACATTTCGGAGTCAGCCGTGGTACATAACTTGCCACGATTCAATTCACCGGTCGATATTTGCTTGTTGGACTGCCCGTGTCACACGTCCGCCATGACTTCCATTCCGACGTCTACCAAGGCTTGGATTGTTGCGAATTACCCAAGAGGCCTTCCAACCTTCACTACCGCGGACGACAGCAATGCCACTTTCAAACTTGTTGAGCGGCCGCTGCCCCCGCTGGGCCCTGACCAAGTTTTGCTGAAGACGCTCTACCTATCCAACGATCCAGCACAACGGACATTCATTGAGCCGACCATCCCACAAGAACGTATGTATGCGCCACGTACGCAGCTCAACAACTTTATGCTCGCTTTAGGGCTGGGAGAAGTCATTGCGTCGACCTCTGAGAGTCTACCAAAGGGTACCATTGTCGTCACTTTCCAGGAAGCCTGGGCAGAGTATGTCGTGGTGAATGCCGCTGATTGTCAAGCTCGAGGACCGCTGCCCAATGGTTTGAGCATAACGCACTACCTGGGTGCTTTTGGGGGCCCCGGTCTCACCGCATACTATGGTCTCGTCAATGTGGGAGAGACGAAGAAAGGCATGAGAGTCGTCGTTTCCGGTGCAGCAGGCGCTGTGGGCAACATGGTGGTGCAGATTGCAAAAAATGTGCGTTGCCCCGAATCTCTTACTGTTCTTTTGTAAAGGGTTGACACTACTCATAAGTCCCGCTTCCTGGGGCTGTTGGCTGTCGCCAGTACTGACTAGCATACGCTTGTACTGTACAGATTATCGGCTGCTCACAAGTCATCGGAATTGCCGGCACAGACGAGAAATGCCGCTGGGTCGAAAGTCTCGGTGCGGACGTTTGCGTAAACTACCGCAGCTCTACCTTTGAACAAGATCTTATCAAGGCGACTGATGGGTTCGTGGATGTGTTTTTTGACAACGTCGGTGTAAGTCAAAGTCAAGCCCTACAGCTGAAATCTATCCCCTTGTTAAAATCGCAATTGGACATTGCTTCTCTTCTCTGTTGGGATGATGTATTGATCACTGACCCGGTCATCCTTCTGCAGGGTCACATTCTGGACCTAATGCTTTCGCGGCTCAAACCACGCGGCGTCGCTGTAGCATGCGGCTCTATCTCCATGTACAACTCTCAAGAACCCACCGTGCTCAAGAGTAAGTCTACAGACGGTTGAACGATTAACAACTGCCTACTAGTTAGTATGGCTGACTGTTTGCAGACTACTTCCAAGTCATCACCATGCGCCTTTCGATCCGCGGTTTCTTGTTCATGGACTATGCCTCTAACACCCAGGAGATCCTAGATCTCTTTGCCCGCACCGTGCAGGAAGGTAAACTCAAGGTTACCAATGAGCAGGTTGTCGATACCAAATTTGAAGATATCCCCAAGGTGTGGTTGAAGCTGTTTGAGGGTGAGAATACTGGAAAACTGGTCACCAAGCTGGTCTGAGTAGACTTGTCTGCTTTTCTACAACAGAAGGTTTAGATCTAGAAGATGCAGGTGGTTATTTCGGTCGTTGTGAGAATTCTTCATCGTTGATTTGGATCAATCGATGAGGTCTAAAATCACTTTTGATGGTCATTTTTGAGGACCTCCAGGAAGATGGTCTTGGTTGCCATTCCGTCGTTGTCTTCATACTCATATCAGACAGATAGTATGGTCTATTGTTACACATGGTCATCATCCTCGCTAAGCTCACTGCTGAGGTCACTCAATTCGCTTTCATCATCATCATCGTGGTCATCGTCTTCACTTTCGCCTCCATGGTCTTTCTTCTTGGTCTTGTGGTTATTTTCTTTGTTTTTCTGACCACCGCCACCCTTGACAGCAGTGGCAGCTTTGCCAAAAGCAAGCGTGGTCTGGCCCTTTTCAGGCACGAGCTTCTTTTTCTCCAATTTTATCCTCTCCTTTTCTCGCTTGGCATCAAACTGTGCCTGCATTTTATCTCTCTCATCTTTTCCCCGAGCACTCAGCTCGCTGTCCAGTGATTTGAACTGGTCGCTCTCGGGATCCATGCCAATGAGGCTCTCGAGCAATTTGATTTCTGTAGCCCAGATGGACTTGTCATCAATCGATTTTTTCCCCGTTGGATCAGCCGGGTCAGGGCGCTCACAAGGGGTCTCGAGAATCAAAGGCAACCCCTGGAAGCGAGGGTCGTTCATTATATTGTGAAAGGCACGTAGGCCCAAAAAGCCCAACCCAATGTTCTGATGGAGGTCGCGGTGACTGCCTAGGGGTGCCTTTGAATCGTTGAGATGCATGGCCTTGAGGTACTGGATACCCACCACACTATCAAACTCGTCCATGACGGCCCTGAAGGATTCGGGCGAGCGTAGATCGTACCCGGCCGCAAAGGCATGGCATGTGTCGATGCAGACTCCGATTCGAGACCGGAATTCAGGTTTGATCTGAGCGATGACATCGCGGAGATCCGAGAACCGGCCGCCGATCAAGGTGCCGTGGCCGGCCATGTTTTCTAGCAGCGGAACAACGGTCGTGGTCTCGGAAAGCGCGCGGTTCAAGTTGTTGGCGAGTCGTATTATTGCCTCGTCAAAAGAACCGCCGCCCGCACCGCCCGGGTGGAAATTGTAGTATCGGATCCCGAGCGCCTCGCAACGGTGCAGGTCGTCGATGAAGGTCTCGTAGGATTGCTGTGCTTTGCTCGGGTCCTCGGTCGCCAGGTTGACGAGGTATGACCCGTGAGGCACGATGTGCTTCCCGCCGTCGTATTGGTGCTCGATCAGACCCTTAACGAAGGCGTCTCGGTTCTCGTCCTTCAAGGGCGGATTCTCCCATTTCCGTTGCGATTTCAGAAAACATGCGAATGCGTTGCCGCCGATGTGTACGCAGTTTGTGATTGCGTTCTCGACGCCCTTGGCGATGCTGGTGTGTGCCCCGACAAACATCTTGAGGCCGGTCGCTCGTGATGCTAGTGGTCGAGCTTCCTCTTCTTTCTCTTCTTTGGTTTTGCGCTTTCGCTTGGGTTTTGTGGGTTTCTCGACTTCCTCCTCCGCCTCTCTCTGTGAGGATGCTTCAGCCTCATCTTCTGTGACTTTGGTTCCTTTGGATCTGGCTGTTCTGCCGGACAGCCGCTTGTTTCTGGGTGTACCGACGGTTTCGGTCTCGTTGACTTCGACTTTTGTCTCTTTCTGCACCGTTACCACTCCATTAGATACGGACGTCAGTATGTCCTTCTCCTCTCCGATGTTCACGTCGACTTTCTTGCTACGCTGATTTCGAGAAGCCCGGGGAGAGCTGGTAGTGGATGAAGGATCTTCAGTCTTGTCGATTGTACGATCCCCACCCCGTGGAATTCGTTGGCATAGTGTCTTGCTGTCCGAGGATTCCACGTACGCTCGTTTGCGTTTCCTGCCAGTGGTGATGCTGTCGCTGAGTGCGGCCGCAGCAGTGGCAAGATTGGCCCTGCGTGTTGCAGGCATTACGGCAAGTCGCCCGACGAGTATAGTGTAGAATGTCGGCGGTCGAAATCCCATCACATTGTGAAGATGGAGTCAATGATGAACGAAATGCAAACGCGCTTCAAGGTTGTTGGAGACGCGTTGATTATAGTGCATGATCGACCACTAACTCCGGTAGCGCACTCGGCTCACCTTCCCTGGACCAGATAAGCGAGCGTTGCGGCCGCGCCTCTTCCTTGAATAGAAACAGCACGCATTGACGAGGATACCCACTGACTCCGCTGTCTCTTCCAACTGATCGCTTTTTCAAAATGGCAGAGGATGACGATACCCCTGTCTTGTCGCACACGGACAGCGACAGCGACGGAAGCGAGGATGAATCCAGCGACGAGCCGGTCGTAGAAACACTTATCGCGGGTCGAGAGCGACGAAAGACCGCGGGCAATCGCTATGACCGAGATTTGCTCCTTGAGGAGGCCGCGGCAGCGGCGGATGAGGACGCCGATGAAGTTACGCTTCTATTTGCGGACGCTGACGACGAAGAGGACGATGAATTCAAGAGCGATGAAGAAGATGAGGACGCGGACTTGTCATCGAGCGACGACGACGACCAAGGCCCGAACGTTGCGCCCGATGATTTAGAAGGGGAGAAAGAAATACAAAAACATGCCAAAGAGGAGCGAGCGAAGAAGCGACGAGCAGATCTCGCCCTTACGAGTGTGGCTGGCATACGAAAGAAACTAAAGACCGATCCTACACGGCCAGGTGGACTCTCAACGCAGGCGAAGCCGTCCAAGAAGAAAGAAAGGGTGACATGGGTTCATGAGCCGGATTCAGGTCGCAGTTCGCTCCGAAAGCAGACGATCGCCCATCGCGCGGAAACGATTGCCCGCCTGAAAGAAAGCGAGGCGCAAAGCAAGAAGCTAAAGGCGCTCAAGGAACAACGGGACAGAGAACGCGCAAAAGATGCTCCGAAAGAACTTACTCAGGCCGATCGTTTGGCTGAAGCCGCACGCGTTGAACGACAAAATGCTACAAGTCTCAATCGATGGGAAGCCATGGAGAAGAAGAGGCAGGAGGAGCAGGCTGCCAAGTTGGCCGCTCTGAAGGATAGGAAGCTAGAAGGCCCTGTCATAACCTGGTGGAGCGCCCGAGCCCAATGGATAGGGCCAAGGCTGCACAAGATTGGCACCAAGGATGCCGGTGATGTGATAGAGGGGGGCGTGGAGACGAAGAAACGTGGGAGAAAATCCAAAGCGTTCCTGGAACAGCAGGCGGCGGCAAAAGAGGCCGAGGTCGGCGCGTTACAATCACAGAAGGAGAATTTAGAGCGGCCGCCAGAGTCGCAAACGCCGGCGGCAGCAACAACAGCAGGAGCACCAACAGACTCCCCAGCAACGGCAGTGCCAATGGGACCACACCAGCATGAGCCGCTAACGACACCACATGCAGCGAAAGAGCCTTCTCAGGACACGGTACCATTGATATCAGATGAAGGAAAAGAACCTTCTAACACTACGGTATCGACGACATCGAATGAAGTCAAAGAATCTCCCACCGGCATGTTGCCGGATGCTGCGCCCCCAACAGGAGCGGTGCAGCCGCAAGACACGACTATAACGACCACACAAGAACAAGAAGATACATTTTTAAAGGGTATACATGAGTACGCAACATTAGGCAGTGATATTAATCCCCCTGGGAAGGAGGTTGAAAGTTCTGCACCTCAAACTTGTGACTCAGAACAACAAGTGGAACCAAAACCGGAACCAAAAACGGAAGAAAACCCAGAAGAAAGACCGGAACAAAAAACGGAACAAAAAGCTGAAAAGCGGACAGAGTTGGAAGATGTATCGAATAACAACTCGCTGCCGACGGTTGAGACGCATGAGAACGGGAAGAAACCCCCCGAACCACTCTCGAATGATGCGATGAAGCCAGAAAACTCCTCTCGCCAGTCCACAGAGCCCGCAAAGACAGATGAACCTGCGCCGACGGTTCCTCCTGCTGCAGAACCCGTTTCAGCAGTCGATGCTTCACCTGCTCCCGACACACCGTCCCTTGCAGTGATTGCATCCGATCCAAAGCCACCAGTCGCTCAAATATCATCAGATGCAGCTGCAGCCTCAGCCTCAGCCTCAGATAAGTCAGCAGAGCCTGTCCCTGTAGCGGTTCCTCAACCGGAACCAGAGCCGGAACCTTCAACAAGAAACCTCGTCATATTGGAGAAGTTCGAGGAGCTGGCAGATGAGGCTCGGCAAGAATATTCCTTCTTCTTCAACACTCACACTCGCAGGGCAGCCAAACCTGCGAAACAGAAACATACTCAAGAGCTGTGCCCCATCACGGCTTTGCCCGTTCGATACCGAGACCCGGAGACGGGGATCGGGTATGCCAATGTCGTTGGATACAAAAAGCTTCAAGAATTGAAGCAACATGGATTTGCGTGGAGCAGCATGCTAGGATGCTATGTTGGCCGTGACGGGGGAATCATTGCCCGTGGAGTGCCAGAAGGGTTTGCGGGTTCAAAATGAGGCAGGTTGCCGTTGATTGCCAAAAACATGCGGAGGGTATTACTTAGTATCAGGGTCACTCGGTGGTCCGGGTACCCGCTAGTTATAAACAAGGCTGTCGCGTGATCATGATCATGATTAGTGGATTATTATTATCGAGGTCTGGCCAGCCCATTACTCAAATGCACTGCCGTAGACAGGCTGCCATTTTCCTTCATTAATAAGGCTAAAAGGAATGCAAATGCAAGCGGCATCTGAGTTGCTCTTTTATTGTGCTGGGTCATACCAACTGACGGATGGCTGCATGAGCGGTGATAAGGCAAGGCTGCGGTGGGGACACTTGGCCAGGGACTGGTGCGTTACTAGTATGCCCAGGGTTCTTTGTGATGCTCTGAGCCATTGCACCGTTCCGGACCCAAACATCTACAGTAATTAGGTCCGCCGGTCAGATGTTATGTGTAGCAAAGGTATCAATAGTAATAGGACCTGGTAGTAGACTCCGAGTCATGATCCTTTCTGGGCAGACGGTCTTTATGGTTCTGGAGACGAGTTTGGTGGGCCTGGGGGGCACGATAACGGTACAGGCTGCTAGTGGCACTTGGCCTGCATCTATCCGGCCCAGATGCGTCGAGGCTCCAATCAGGGGCTCAAGACCCCTGGGACATTGTTTATGCGGTGGATCATGTCTGGTCGCGGCTTATCAGTATCATCTGGCGATAAGCTTCTTCGATGTCACTATCAGCCCGGTCTGGAATGCGGTGAGCACGAGATACATACTATCGCTCATTTAGTCCTATTATTGTCATTGTTACTATCATTCTTGCTCACCACTTGGCCGGGGACCGTCATTGTTGTTCATTTTCTCAATCCCTGCGGAGTCACACCGACAAACTCACCGCAGTGCATCAGCCTCAGCATCGCAGGTCGAAATCATTACTAGGATATCGCTTGTCTTCCTTCTTTTCCTCCCTTATAATCACCCGCCTTCTCAATGGGCGACGACCTTCCTGCGAATCCTCCTCTTCCTACCAGTGCTCATGGCAAATCTCCCGGCGGCGGCAGCAGGAAAGCCGGGCGGCCCAAGCATCTGAAGCGTCGGAGCATACATGCGAATCCTAGTGCTGGCAGTACTACTACCAGAAACGCTGGTGACTCGCCGTCTCGGACACCGCAACAGACAAATAACACATACATGAAAGAAAAGGAAATGGCAGCCAGTTTTCTTCAATACTGGTGAGTAGCCCTGCGCTCCCAATGCCAATGCCAGACCCGATCCAATTTGGTCTATGTTGGCATACATTTACTATTCATTCCAATACTCAAATCAAATCTCAAAGCGCCATGTGCGAGAAACAGATTATGACTCCATGCAATTCCATTCTATACTGCAGCGAAGCGTAAGTCGACTACCAGAAAACCAATAAGCCAGCCCAGCCCGGCCATGCCATGCCATTCTCCTGTACCTTGCCTTCTGGTCCAGTATATCCACGGAAAAAGAGAGCCAAAAAGCAAAAGTGCGAGACTAACAATCCTTGAAACCAAACAGATGTCGACGCAAAGACTCGGCGAAACCACTATCGGCATCAACCATCACGCCCTCGTCATCTCCAGGCATGGCTTCAGCTTCAATTCCTATCATACGCTCCATCTCCAGCAGCGGCGCATCATCGCCTCCTCCAGCTTATTACCATCAGTACGACTCCCACACTCCTTCTCTCAGAATACCCGTCGACCAGCACGATGCCAAATCCGATCTTGACCCAACGGAATGGAAGCCCAAATTACAACGTCCTTCCCATACTCGACAGAGCGAGGCGTTTCGCTATCTGTCCCGGTTCCACCAGACTATGTTGAACAACGACAACATTAACAATGCTTGGACCTCAACATCGGTGCCTGATGCCGCCCTACGACCGTCAGCAGCGCCGCGGCACAAAAGTACCATGAGTTTGAGCGCCAGCACCATCACCACCGGCACGACGCCCAGTCTGGGCAATACACCCACGACCACTAGTGCCAGTACAAGCTTCGACAGTGTCTATAATTACGATTACGACTTCAAGATGCGCCCGCTTCCACCGCGTCAGAATCCAATGACCTCGACTAGCCCCGGCACATATCGTGGTATCGGTATCGATTTGGTCACGCCTCATATTGCTCCTCCGGCTCCTCCGATGAAGATGCATGTCGGGATGAATGATGCTGATGCCCGTCTCAATGTGGAAGGGGCTAAGACTAGCACGCCAAATTCAAACTCTTCTGGACTGCGGGCGCTGTTTGCAAAAGAAGGATATTAGACTTGGGCTCGACTTGACGCCCACCGGCTGGCTGCCCTGCTTGACTCGCAGACGCATAGAGAGAAACACAGCAGAAAAGAGGCCATGAGGGAGAGGCTGTGCGAGTGTGTGAGAGAGGATGAGGCTCAGAGAGCCTAGGTACGGTACCTACCTACCAAGCAAGGTAGGTACAGTATCAGTATCCACCTATTTTTGCTTGAAACTTAATCAGATTGTGCTCTTTTCCTTGTCAGCCTGTCTCATGACCCGTCTACCTTACTTGCGATCGGCATCATGCGCAGGGGTTTTCACCCTTCTTCACTGTGACAAAGATGATGCGTAAAAAGCACTTGAACTGTTCCACAATCCAGCCGAGTACCTAGCTACTAGTAGCTAACTTACAAAAAGGGCCCGAGCCGGAGCCCTTTTCTTTTCACTTTTTGTCGAAGGGCAAATACAGGAGGGCCCAATTTCAGCTTCAGCCTCCCACCATGCTTCCCCTTGAAAGGCATTCCATTCCATACCATTCCCTTCCCTTTTTTTGTTCATCAAGGTCATCTTTACAACATTGCAGTCACCTAGTCGAATTGCGAGTGGAAAGATGAGCCGTACCAGGTGACAGTTGCCTGAGGTATCATCTCACAATCTCGATTTTCACTCCTCCGACCTCGCAGTACTCATTTCCCCAAACCTCCCTCTGCCCCGCGTAGTGTCATAAGCACTCAGAATCCTCGTCTGCTGGCCCGCCTCATCGGCCGCAGAGAAAGCATACCCTCTCTGTTTCCGCATCCTCTGGACCTGACGAACCTTCCTCACCGCTTTCTGGAACTGTTCCATTCTAGGCCGGTAGTCCTGGACATTATATTTCTGAATCTCCTGGACATGATGGTACGCCTGCGGGAAGTACATTCTCTTGGCATACTTCCAAGCGAAATCGCGCAGCAAGCAAGCCGGCGGAAGCAAAAGACACAAGGCATAGAATACCGGAGAGGTAAACATGACCGGAATAATGCCCTCGAGTTCCGTCGAGAAGCCCGAGCCAATATTGGGGGCCGCATACGAATAGGCCGGGATGAACGCCAACCAGATCACAAACGACCCCGGAATGGCCAAAACCGTATATTTCGTCCAGACATTGGTGATCAGCGCGGCTTTGCCGAGCACAACGAGCAATATCGCCGTGTATGTCGAGGTGCCCCAGAGCCAGTGGCCGCCGATCTTGCCGTTGGACAGGACCAAATCGTCGTAAAAGAAATAGGAGGAGAAAATGTACGCGATGATCGAGTGGTAGAATCCGTTGGCCACCCACGACCAGAACGAGTGCATGCGGAAAAACACGCCTTTTTGAGTCAACTGGTACAGTTGTGGGTATCGATCCAACAGCCGGGCCGAAATGAATTGGTCGAAAATGCCCATGGCGAAGGGTGGGAGGACGGTGAATAACACGTTGTAGAATGACAGTGTCCATGATTCGTAGATGACTTGGCCGGAAAAGGAGTTTTGGAACGAATACTGTTGTCACAAATTAGCGAGGGCTGGTTTGAACACTCTTTTAGTGCGGTACTTACCCAAAACTGTGTCATAAACATGGCAATGTTCTTGTAAAACGAGTACAGAATCACCTTGCTGATTCGGTGGTAACTCCACGCTCCGTGCACCAGGAGCAGTTTCCTCAAAAATCGAAACTGGCCAATGGCCACGTCGGCGCTGCGTGCAGCTTGGAGACCTTCGAGGCCACTGATGCCCACGCCGACGTGGGCGGCTTGGATCATCGACACGTCGTTGGCGCCGTCTCCGACGGCCAACAACAGAGCCTTCAAATGCCGCTTGACCAGTTTGACCACGAGTGCTTTTTGCAGAGGCGATACTCGGCAGCAGATGACGGCCTTGCACATGACGGCCAAGTCGAGGAATAACTTCTCCATATCTTTCTCCAGGGCGAACAAGAGCGACTTGCCATCAATGACTAGAGCCAAAGTGTCGTACTCTCCCGACGCTGCTTGACTGCACACGGCGTCGTACTTTTTCTGGAGACTGTCCCGGGTGGCCGTCGAAGATTCCTCATTGATGATAAGCAGCGTCATATCTTCGCTGATAAGTTTGCAGCTCATTCCGATGTTGATTGCTGTTTCTTGTCGGTCGCCCGTGAGAACCCACAGCTTGATGCCCGCTTGCTGCAAGGTATGGATGGTCTCCGGGACACCGTCCTGTAGGCGATCTTCGATTGCCGTGGCTCCCAGCAGAAACAAATTCTGCTCAATGAGCTCGGCAGCCTTGTCGAGTTCTTCGGAGCGATTCCCACTCACCGTGGTGGCAGCCTTATCGAAAATCTGTCGCCATTCCTGATATTCTTGTTCGGGGATCTCACGCATGGCCAGACACAATGTCCGCAGGCCGTCTGTGGCGTAGTCTTCAAGGTGCTGCAGCGTTACATCCACAATGGGATTCTCCTTGGCTAGTCGCTCCAGAATCACTGTATCTGCTCCTTTGCAGTAGATCCGGATCTTGCCGTCGGGACACCGGAAAATGGTCGACATACGCTTTCGTGTCGAATTGAACTCGCATACCGCCAAAAGTTCATACTCCAGTTCTTGTCCGTCGACCTGAATGATCACCGCTCGTGGTTTACGCGCCACGAATTGATACCCTAGCATCACGGCACCTTCCACTAGAGCTCCCTCGTCAGGAGATGCGGCTTGGTACTTGATGTCTGACTTTTCATCCTTGCGTTCGGGGATAACGGTGTGACAGACTGCCAGCAGAGTCAAAAATTGGTGGATGGCCGATCTGCTGGGATGCGTCTTCAGATTCTCCTTCAGCCGGTTGAAATCATGGATTCCGTTGGTGTCGTCGGGCCCCGTGGCTCTTCTGTCTTCGGGCACGACGCCTGCATACTGAATGCCACCGATTGTGCATTGCTTGAATTCCATCACGTTACAGGTCAGGGTGCCCGTCTTGTCGGAGAAAATGTACTCGATCTGGCCTAGCTCTTCCACAAGGGATGACGTTCGGCAGACCGTAGAAGTGTCGGTTTCGGGGTAATAGATGTCAAGGTCGCTGTTGATCAGATACGCTTGATAGTATTTGACCAACTCGATGGTCACAAAAAGTGAAATGGGCACCAGGTTGGAATACAGCACCCAATAAGTGAAGATGTCCAAGAAGAACTGGGAGGCCGCATTGAAGCTTTCATAGTACAAATACGTCAACTTCTTTCCGGCAGTCGACCGTACGACAATATCGCCAATTGTGCTGATAGCGCTCAATATCAACAGAATCGCCACCAGCATAAGGATTTGCTTGTTGAGCATCCGTTCCACGTCGGTACGTTTAATCGGGGTCGCCGTCGCGTTCCGCATCAGTTTCGTTTCGTGCCCGGTAAAGACAACGATGCCATGCACCCAATGGGTATTTCGTAAAGTTGCTCCGCGGAGCAGCAGCTGGTCAGGATTCAAGGGAAGCTCTTTTTCGCGGCCTCCGCCAGACATTGTCAAGGTGGCTTCGTACGTGTAAAGACTGCTGTTGGGCTGTTCTGACCGGACACGTCCAACGAGGCGCCCAAGGTCCGCCGGGCTGACCAAATGGGCGGTCTCAGGAATGGCTTGCTTGACCTTCAGGTTCGTTTCGCCGTCCAGGTTGGCCGTCTCGATGTAGCAGAGACCTTCAGGCTCCGAACTTGCCAAAAGGACAAGATCCGCCGGGAATGGCTCCTCAGACTCGACTCGAACGATATCACCAACTGCGACATTAATCCATTTGGTCTCGACAAAGTCGGAGCCTTTCAGCACTCGGGCTTTTGAGTCGTTCAATGCTTTGTCGGATTTTTTCCTCTTGTAATCCTCCGCCAACTCTTTCATCGCCGACACCGCAAGTACAATGATCAAAGGGACAATGGTCGTGTATCGATTCGTGGGAGAAACATTGGGTATCTGTTGAAGCACGGCGGTGAACAGGAAAAACAAGTTTGCATATTTTGAGAATTGTTCCAGCAGGAATTTCGGGATAAAGGTCGCGATGTTGTATTTCGCGGTGGAGATATGGTTGTCGACCCATCGGTTTGTCGCATTGGCCTCCGGGTTGTTGAGATGGATGATCCGGGGACCCAGGGTAGACGGGTCGACCTTTTTCTTTCCGAAGATAGCCTTAACATCCTCGAAAGAAAACGCCCTCCGTTCGCGACCCGGCGTCGTCTCCTCCGTGCCTGCGGTATCGACCCTTGTATTCTGCATGCCCGCTTCCGTCAGAGGGAGGGCCATGTCCGAATAATTGCTGTCTCGCATTCCCAGCATTCCTTTGGCTCGGTCCACCATCCCCGACATGGACATAAGACTCGCTCGATTTCTTCCATGGTGACTTCCCACTACTTTGACGCCTCCGCCAGGGATATTCTCATCCGATGGGCCTCCGCCATCGTAGTACTTGTAGCCTCCATCATCTTCACCGAATTCGTCGCCGCCATCGCCGTATTTGGCGTAGTTGTGCAGGTCCGAGGTTTGGGAGTAATTGTGCGTGCCATCGGACATGTATGGGGCCGCGAATGGCCGGGCAGACGATGCTACCGGTTGTTGCGTGGTATGGCCTTGGGGCGCTCCTCTACCTCCGCCGACGAAGTCATCGTAACTGGTCGAGGGTCTAGGTTCGGGCTGGAAGTCATCAGAGTCGTCAATGTTGTATCGTTGGAGGAGTTGTGAATCGTCAACCGGAGGTCGCTGTCCTGAGCTGTAGACGGGCGTGGAACTCCCCAGATCAACAAGGTGGTCGTTGTTGGTGTTGTTATTGCGATCGGAAGCTCCGGGCGCATCAGGGCGCCCGGCCATTCTCTCCGCGCCAATATGGATTTATGAGGTGAGAGTGCACGGCATTACCGGTCCGGATGGACGGTCTCAGGTGGTAGAATCATGCAAGGGCGTCGTGGGTTGTGATAGGGACGTCTGGGAGATTGAGCGCGGGTAAATAGTAGGAGTTGAAGCGAACAAAGAGCCGCAGCGCAGGCGGAACAGAGAGATGCACGTTGAATCCGAAGTGAGCCTGCAGTGAGTCTGAAGTGAACTGTATTGAATCCCCGGCACGTCGATCAGATCAGTTGGCGGCGGTAATGATAGGCATCAATGTTTAATTCAGCTGCTGATGCCAATGATGATGCTGCTGCGGCCATCAAATGAACTTGAACCCCATCAACCGAGACACACGGCGCTAGTGTTACAGGTGCCAGTCACTGAGATTCCACAACCGGCAGCGGAAGAACAGAGCGTAGCATCTTGAACCCTGCAAATACGACACTCGTGCAGGGTATATTTACAATCTGCATTAATAGAATGGTATAGATATCAATCATTGTTAATCGACCATCTGCTTGCCATTGTCACTTTATTCCAGCCTTCAAGCAACGATCTACGTCCTGATGCCTTTTCCAGTAGAATCCCACCAACCTGACGCCTACAGGTACAAAGGCCCTTTATCCACCCTCTTGGGGGCCGCCCAGTGCCATGGCTGCCTAGGCGAGGATAAAGAGCACAGATTCGTTGTACAAGTCCCCCCAAAACTTACACTGCCACAATGGCTCTGAGCAGTTCAAGTTGGCCAGGGTATCACAATGTCCTCATTCCCAGTATCCTGAAGCCACAATCCTGCTGCGCTTGCACCCTGTAATACTGAGCATACTTCTTCCACACAATATAGCAGAGCTGTCACTCCAGTCATCGCTCATTCTCTGCGCGTAGTTCGGCAATCAGTCCGCCAACATCCCGCCGCGTTGCATCTTCTGCGAGCTTCTTGGCCACGAACCCGTTGATTTCTTTGCCCTTCGCCAGGGCCGTATTTGTACATTTCAGCAGGACCAACGCATCGATGGGGCTGCCGCCCAATTTGGCGATTTGACATAGTTCGAAATCATTGACCGTGAGAATGACTTCGGCTTCCCGGACTTGCTCTTCGCTGCGGGTGGCGTCCAATAATACGGTCTCTCCTCCGTGATAGAAGCTGAAAGTGATGCAGACTGGGTTATGCATCAAACTTAATGGGACAGGAACCCGTTCAGCCATCGTGTAAATGGTCACATTCTCTCCGTCGACGGACACGTCTGGTCTCCGAAAGTGTCTCAGTGCCGCGACAATGGCAATGCAGGATGCATCAATCAATCCGCCATCGGAATCAAGCACATGAACATCAGCCCTCACAGACCAGCACTTGGCCCCTGCAATGATGCACAATGACTCGGTGTCGAGAGCGTTAGATCTCCGTATGGCTTTTTCCAATATACGGGACAGGATCACCTCCTGCTCGGTTTGCCTGTAGGAGCGTGAGTAGACTGTAGGAGCGTGCGTACAGGGGAGACACTGACCTGCCCACTTCATATGCTGGCGAGGCAATGGGACTCAGCTCAGTCACAATGGTGAAGATGCCCTCGAACTTCCTTTCTTCCAAGGGTTTCGTCACCTCTGCTGATATTTGAACATGGACTCTGCAGAGAGTCAGTTGATTTGGTCTGGCGATCGTGATGGCGCCAGGCCTACCTTGTTTTGCCTAGACGTAGTGTGGCTGTTCCATATTCCGCTCCGAATTCTAGCTCAATACCTCTGAATTGGTCGAGGGGGCGACCATCCACGCGCACATTTTGTTCAAGAGCCTCGAGGATGAAATTCCGCTCAATGTTTGATATATCCACTTCACGAGGCATTGTGTTGGAATAACAGCGGTGTTTGCTGGGTTTTATTGACAGAATCCGACATGGGCATAGATGTTAACGGGCGAAAATTGACTCAACAGAACCCTCGGAACGATATGTTGGTTTCGATAGTCCCAAGGGTCGGATATCATTCACTCAGAGCATTAGTATTCGTCTAACCTGCTGTATCATGTGAAGAGTTTCCAGATTATTTGCGGCCTTCAAGTTCAAGAGTCTGGAACTTTTTGTCCGCTCTGGCAGAACTTCGGCACCAATCAGAGACGAGGATTTGGCCGCAAAGTGGACGACAACTGCTGCCACTCAGCTTACTAAAGGCAAGCATCTCGACGATCTTTAGATACAAGAGTCCTTTTGCAAGACCTCGAACTCGGAGCTTGCACCATTGTGCTGTTCCTCCATTATTTTTCTACAAGTTACACCCTGTTGCGGTCTTTCCAGCTTCAACCTTGACCGGGCAGACGCTTGAGTCGCCACCATGACTACAGGTAAATGAGCTGCTCACGAGATCTATCTCGGACCTACAAGCTAACGTCTGTCCAGCGCATCGGCCGACATTTGACCCTGCACGGGGCAAGGAAGCCCAGAGAGGCCCTGCATACCACCAGCGACTTCTCCCAGCACATACATATCTCAAAGTTCGGTGAGTGCGAGGCGGGTTTCGATGCGCCGGCAAGAGCTCACAGTCGCAGGCAACCAGGACAAGGCGGAGCGGCAGATGCAGAGAAGCGGGATCTACGAGCAGAATTACTCGCTGCAGAAGCAGCACACTTTGCAAAGACCAAAGGACAATCAACCGAAGCTACCAGCAGCAGTCCCCCTCGGACCTTGAAACGCGAGCTGGAGGCCCCTCCAAGTGATGACGAGAACGAAGATCCCGATGCGAAACGAAGAAGGATATTAGAGGAAACCCGTGAAATCGATGCCGACTCGGACAGGGGCGACAGCGACAGCAGTGAAGAAGAGAGCGACGAAGAGGACGAAACGGCCGAGTTGATGCGCGAACTCGAGAAGATTAAGAGAGAAAGAGCTGAGCAGAAAGCCAGAGAAGAGGCCGAGAAGGCCAAACAAGCACAGGAACGGCGAGAGGAAGATATTGCACTCGGTAACCCGTTACTAAACCCCAAGGCGTTCAACGTCAAGCGTCGATGGGACGACGATGTGGTGTTCAAGAATCAAGCCCGAGGGACAGAGCAGAAAGGCAACAAGGAGTTTGTCAATGATTTGCTACGATCAGATTTCCATAAAAAGTTTATGGTAAGTTGAGAGCTCGTGCTGCTTCTTTGGAGAGGTATTGACCTGTTTCTAGTCCAAATATGTTCGGTAGATGTGGTGTTCAAGTTTATTGCTTCAACACCCGTCACATTTGATGATGACGACCAAGCTTTGTATATTACTACCATCGAGATGGCGTGTGCCCACCTCACGAATGATTCTCTGCTCGGGGGATTCTTGCACAATTACACTAAAAAGCGGTTGAGGATGCAGTCAATCAGAGAACCCCGCTGTAGGACCAGGCTGAAATCAAATGCTGGACCGCCACTGGCAATGGGGCAAGGCACTACCCGCCCCCGGCAGTGCTTCAGCGAGCTGTGAACACGCTCTCGGCCAGGGGCAGTGAGGACCCATGGGGACACAGATCCGAGTTTGATGAGCTCAGTACAGAATGCAAAATCGAGAGGTACCCTTACTACTCAGTCGAAGCGGGTGTTGAGCCGGTCCGTTGTTTGGCCGTAGCTATTGAGGGCAACTTTAACTGCATGGCCTCCGAAACCGGTTGGTAGCCTCCACCCAGACATTCCGGCACTGGAGATGCAGAGCTTGAGCGATACACTCGCGGAGACTTGAATGCAAGCGAGGCCAGGCCCGAGGCATATCCGAAGCAGTCCTGATGGAGCAGATCAATCGGCGAGGGGACAAGCGCGGCGCAGCAGGGAGGCAGAGTCCCAGAAGACCACAGCTACAAGTTACCTTAGGTACTGTACCTAGAGGTACTACAGCAAGGAGTATAAGGCTACCGTACCTGGCACTTTACCAGTAAGTTGACCTACCTACCGTATCAGCTACATACACATACTGCTGAAAGGTGCTGTGTGAGAACAAACAACTTCAAGCACAGATGTTCCTTGGTCGAGTGCCATGTCCATCACGTAAATCCAGGGTTCACTGTCGATCTGGGGGGGTGGATTGCGGGACCAGAACCTGAAATACCCGGCTCAAGTTGTACGTCAAGTTCAGCTGGCTCCGTGACAGGAATCAATCAGCTCAGAGTAGCGCAAAGCTTGAATCTGCTCACGCACGCCATCTCTACGGTCCAGGGACACGACTAGAACGAGCCAACGGGCAGCGAACCGAAGTACATGTAGGAACACTGGCAGTGCCTGGTACTATCACTGGCATCACTGCACCTTTCCTAAACGCTTCCAGTTTAGCTCGAGGCCGACTGGCTGCATTCCAAGTTTAGGTGCATGATGAGGCACATTCTTGCAAACACTCCTCGCAGCAGCAATAGCAGTCAGTCTCCCTTGTCCAGCCCTTCGTCCGCTTCTGCCCCTCTGCTACTACCTTGGACGAGCGACCGGCGACGTCAATGTCCTCGCTTCCTGCGGCACGTGTGACCGGGGTTGGTGCTGGTGATTTTCCCGTGCCCCTCGCAAGCCAGCTCCGATGACGACGCGGTGTTGAATATACCTGGTAGCCGTTGTCGTGAACCTGTCTCCGTGGCACCTCGCCAGCTGAGGGGCCAGTGGTCCAGGTCACGGCGGTCTCACACAAAGCATACCATACCACACTGAGCCGTGATGCCCCCTTTGACGCGGGGTCCCTCATTCAGCTCTGCACCTGCGCCCTCCGAGCCTCGCCAGCAACCCGGTCAGGATCGGCGTGGATGAAACTCGTAGAGGTTGCCAGCCGGAACTGACGTGCTTGCTTCGATTGCACAAGGGATCTGGTCTTTCCTTGATTTTATGCAGCATGGTACTGGCAGCCACATATACATATTACCCTCTCCCTCGCTGCCTCCCATTTCGTTTCCAAGCATATCATCCACTTCACAATTCCTCCTAACTGCATCCTCTTCCAAGACTTACCCATCTGTATCTGATTGACCCATACGAGAAAGACTGACCACTAACCATGTCTTACAACGACGACAAAGTACGCGAGGTCCAGTCCGTGTTCTGAATTTGTCTTGGATGAACTAACACATGCCTTGCAGCAACGTGGTGGCGGCTACGGAGATGACAGCTACGGTGTACGGTTACCCTCCCCCATCTCCATCGCCTACGCACACACCGTACTGATACAGACATTAGTCCTCTGGTCGCGGAGGCGATAGCTTCGGCTCCTCAGGCCGTACCGGCGGAGGTCTAGGTTCTGATGATACCTACGGAACCTCTGCGCAAACAGGAGGTGCCACAGGCGGCGGTTACGGAGACTCTGGCCGTACCGGAGGTGGACTCGGTCGTGATGATACCTACGGAAGCTCTGGCCTCACCGGAGGTAACACGTCTGGCGGCTACGGAGGTGGTGACCGTACCAGCGGTGGACTAGGCCGAGATGATACGTACGGCGACTCTGGAAACACCGGTGGCTTCAGCTCCGGGCGAGGCAACGAGTATGGTGAGTGGTGACCATCTCCCAGTTGACTCTAAGAGCAGTATCTGACAAGAGGGGCATGCGGCAGGCTTGGGCAGTGGCAGGACACAAGAACAGTCCAGCGGTGGTTACGGTGCGAGTGACGATACCTACGGTTCCGGCAGAGGCACTGGTGGTGGCTTTGGTGACCAGAGCTCTGGTCTTGGTCGTGATGAGTATAGCTCTCGTGGCCACACTGGCGGTGGTCTCGGTACGTACACCATGCGGTGGTATTGACCCAAGTGTGCTTGATTGACTCTCCTACTAGGCAGCGACGACACTTACGGTGATGCCAGCCGTACCGGCGGTGTTTCCACTGGCCGTGACAATGATTATGTAAGTCTTGCCGACCCCAGCCTCCGCCGGCGAGGGGACGGCGTCGGCTAATGCATGCATGTTACAGGGCTTGGGCTCCGGCCGTACTCGAGAACAAGAAGCCGGCGGCTTCGGTGTTGGCTCTGGCCGCCGCCGCGATGATGACTATGATGATGACAACAACTCCAGCGGCAAGAAGGATTCCACTACGGGCAAGATCCTCGAGAAAGCCGGCAGTCTCCTTGGCAGTGGCAAGGTGCAGGAAAGAGGTGCTGAGAAGAGACGTGAAGCTGGCGGTGACAACGACTACTGAGGGGTCTGCCAGTTTGAGCAATGCAATGGTGATCCAAGCTGATGGTGCTGGATCCGGCACGACAGAGCCCAGGCGAAGGGAGGACAGCTCCACCTTCTTTTAAGTTAGAGCGGTAGTATGCCGTTGGCCGAAGGACGACAACAGGCTTACCAGTACTGATCCAATCATTATCAGTATAGTATCTCATGGCACAATCATCAAACACCTTTGTCACGGTTCAACGTAAAGTTGCAAATTCGCATATCATGTCGTATACCTCGTAGGTTCATGTTCAAATTGCCATTCAAGTCAGAAACCCGGCTTATCCGAGGCCAAGAGTCTTCTTTCAGGATTCAGATCTTGGCCATTTAAGTTTCATTTACTACAGTACATTTGCTCGTCCTTAAGTTGGGCTTATCGCGGTCGGATTTCGTGCGGCGCCTTGCCTTGGGAGCGATTTCCAAGTCCAGCACTTTTGTCTGGGTGGTTCGAGTCATCGATCCGAGGCCATCTTCTTCTTACTCAGTAATAACTGGAGCTCGATACTATGAGTCGTCGAGGTCTTCGAGGTCTTCGAATTTGTCACGATTTTGAATTCTACCTAGGTACTTTTATTTTTCTGTCCTCAGCCCAAGCCTTCTAGATCGGATTTGCAGGCAGCCAGCCAGCTTGGGAGTCCTTCCACCACCTCCGGTCAAGGACAAATGCGAATTTCGGTCTTGATATATATATGTATATATATATATATCCATGGATCGGGATCAGTTCTGTTGCTGGCAGGACTAAAACTACCGTCTCTCCCATCCAACCACCCGAATCTCTATCGCGGTCTTGCCATCCCGATACCAATTCTTATCATCCAGCACCCGGGCACTAATACTGCCCTTTCGATATCTTTCATAGTCGTCATCAACATCGTCATCAGCACAGCCCTCTTTTTGTTCCTTTTGTTGTTGGTCACGGTCACGATCACTGTCGTTTTTGTTTTTGTTCTTGTTGCTGTTGTCGTTTCCTCCGGCCTCGATCTGGATCTGGTTCTGGTTCTGAAATTGGGGGATCTCGACGCCCTCGCCAACCCATTGGTTCAGTCTTTCAGGCGCGACGACCTTCCATTTGGCCGATTTGATGGCCGGGTCGGCGGGGAGGGCGTCGGGGAAAAAAGTGTCGCATTCGAAAAAATCGTCTTTTTTGGGCGGTTCAATAATTGTGCTCGAGGGACGACGGGCGGCGGCGGCGGCGGAAGAAGCAGCAGTACTAGTATTGTCGGTTGTAGTACTACTAACACTACCGGCAGTCGAATCAGTGGCTTTCCGGACTTGGGTTTGGAGAATCCGCACGTCGTATAATTCGGTTTCTGGGCCCGTAGTGCTAGGAGTGGTCGATGACAGAGACAGGATTTGGCGGTAGATTTCGGCGCCGCCGATACAAAAGATTTTGGGGATTGATATGGAGATGGAGATGTATTTTGGTTCTTGTGATGATGCTGACGCTGACGCTGACGCTGTTTTAGAGTTCTTGGGAACAGATACCGAGATTGGCGAGGTTGATGACAGAATGGCCAGTGCGGACTTGAGATCTTGCGAGATCATGATGGGCGATTGAGTCGAGGATGGTGATGATGACGATGACGACAAAGGTACGACGATGGTGGGCGTTGCTTCGGACTCAGACTCAGACTCAGTAGCGTCGTTGGTGTTCGGCTTCGAAGTTGTCGAGGGAATATTGGTTTTGGTAGCAGGCACGTCGACCTTGCCGACACGCCAGTCGACGACATCGGGCTCAGCCTTTTGGTTCTGATTCTGCGCCTCGGCGATCTGCTGACCAAGTTGTCTAGGGTTGCTGCGCGTAATGATCACGTTCAAGCGGTTGGGGAGGGGCCGGAATTTAGGCGGAATGCTCTCCCACGTTTTCCGGCCCATGATCACGGCATTGAGGTTGAGCAGAGAAGAATCTGGATCCGAAGAGGAAGTCGTTGGTGGGACGTAAGAGGTGACTTTGCGGAAAAACGCCATGTCCGCCTTGATCGGCGGCCAGGGTAGACCTCCTTTGTTCCCAATGCCCATGGGCGGATTGAGACTCGTCGCCACAATCACATAGATTGGTTTCGGGTGGACGGTCACAGGGCGGATGGTGGTGGTCGTCGTCTTGATGATTTGTTGCGCCGTGGCCGCGGCGGAATGGGATGGGTGGTGGCCAAGCATTGTGGGATCCGAGTCCAAATCCTCCACGTCACGGTCGTTGTCGCTCAGACGTACAGGGAGTTCGGTTGGAGATGATGGTTCAGAGAGCGTGGTCGATGGAGGTGTTGGGATGGTGGACATTGTTCTTTGTGCGAGTGTTTGGAGGAGCTGGAAGGTATACTGTAGGTAGCCTCGTGTAATATCAAGTAGACTGATGATGTAACAGCGCGCTCGATGCGGAAAGATCTTGCAACCAGACTTTTTGTTTGTTGCAGACAAGTCAAAACCTGGGAGTGCCTATTTCTCGTTGTCACTGTGATCCAATGCCTGAATATGAAGATCCAAGTGGTGCAAGTTGTTTCGGGTTGCCTTAGTGGTGTTGATTGTGCCAAATTGTCTTGGTTGGGCTGTCTTTCTTCTGCTCGCCGTTCTTCTACCGTCAACGCTTGCTTCCACGTACTGTCCCTCGAGAAAGCAACAACCGAAAAATGTCCAGAAACCTAGGCCGTTGTCTCGTTCCACGATATAAAAATGGTTGAGCCCCGTTGGATACTAGTTGGGGGAGTGATCTGGTAGTGTGTCGTGCGGTGTGGTGGTTGAAATTACCTTACTGTACATGTGTTATCATTCTTTGTTGGCCGAGGTGTTGCCGGGTCTAGATTCCGCGCCCGAATCTCAGGCTGGTCTAGATCTCGAGAAGACTTCAGTGGACACACTGGCACGGGCACCAGCCTCGTCCAGACACACCACAGCCGTACTACTAACCTCCTATACTAATAGTACCTACAACCATTGAAGGCCGCTACTAGCCCTACATCGCTGGTTCTATGCGAACGAATCAAATCGGAGTTGCAGATTGAAGTGGCCGATCTGTCAGCAAAAGCAGAATTTGAAGAGCGATTACTCGCCGGCGGAAAGACCCCGCCGCATGCTGTACGTAAAAGTGTTGGACGTCAAGTTGGGGTGCTGGATAATAGACCACAAGGCAGTGGACACCGTCGCGATTCTAAGGATGATAATACAACCGAAGTACCTAGGTAGGTATACTAGGACGGAGGCCTAGATAATGGTCCACTTGACAGCTGAACCGGAACTGATGCAGATTCCGACTTTCATCCCATAAGTCAAGAACGAAGCAGGTGCAATCGAAGAACAAACCATACTAGACACCTACAAGACTCTCTGCCCACGACTCCACAGGTTTAAGGTGAAATTGGTCTCATCATTGTGTCTGCGGACGGACACCGACAATGCATCGAGGTCGATTCGGTGACCTAAACTGAGATGGCGCGCGCTCCTTCTGCCATACGTACAACGTTGTATATGGCCTTCGTGTACCGGGCAAGGAGCTAAGAAAGATGTGTGATGACTTCCAGGTCGGCAGGAGAAAGCTCTCCAGCTTGGCAGTTCGTAGTTCTGGAGGGAGGGACTGCCGTGTCGGCGGCGTTCGATCCGCGGGCGAGATCGTCTTGCGAGACCTCAGTTTTTGCGAAAAGTCTCTGTTGAGGCATAACCCCGTCTGGGAACAATCAATAAGTTCGTGTGGATTGAAGGCGCCCGCAACTCTCAATGGTACAATAGCCATGATGCCGTCATCGGCACCGGCCCTGCTGCGACAAAGGGCAATTTGCGCATGCCCACCATCCGTTCCTTGCGTAGATGGCGCCCGCCCGGTGGAGAACAACGAAGGAGTCGGACCGACACCTTCGGCCTTTCCGCAGCTGTGCCAGCAATCGGTACCAGGACTTCAGCATGTTGTAAGCAGAGCCAAAGGAGTGCCTTTCTGCAGTGACTCCAAGATGGTCCATCAGCATATGTGCTGCTTTTGTCTCCTATGTCTTTGTTTTCTGGTCATCCCAGTCTATCGTCGTTTCGTACTTCTCCAGGAATTTCTTGAATCCTTCCTCAACGACCCTGGTGTCCTCCTCCACTTTTCGTTTTGTGGCTTCGTTTTGCGGGTTATTGTCATTTTCATGATCCTTTTCAAGAGTGTCTAGTCCACCAAACAACCAGATTTCTTTCATTGTCCTGGTCAATACCATAATCTCCTCAGCCGCCCGAATAACCGCCGCGGACTCAATGTCTAGTTGGAATTCTTGTACTGCCGTGTCTGTGAGGGAGGGTGGTGGAACACCTGCAGAGGCCGGTGGTATAGTGCCTACGCTCGTGCCATCAAGTGCAACGGCGAAGATATTCTCTAGTCGTTTGATCAGGGTGGTCGATAGTGCCGTAATGCGGGCTTATGGCTCGAAGTCAGAAACAATATTGTGGAAAAAATGGAATGCAGATAACAACATAGGGTAACGAGAGTTTCGTGGAGTGCCGGCGCCGGTACAACACCAATTTACCTCTTTAACAGCGAGGCGGACGTCCACTTGACCTACCTTGTAGAAACTTTGCAGTGGGTACAGCGTCCGGTACGTTCTCCCTTCGCGCTGAGACTTCCATCATTAGGAGTTGAATGGGGTCGACTGTGATGCCTTTCAGTGGTTTGTAGCGGCACCCGAAAGTTGCCTGCGCATTCGTCGCAGTCTAAGCCACGCCAATAATAGTAGAAAGGGCAGGGACTGTGGGAAACCGGCGACGTATGCAAACCTGGATGCGCTGAGGCTCAGGTTGAGAGACTGGGCAACATATCTGATGTGAAAAGCGTTGTCAGACGGTTACGCAGCCGCGTTGCTCTGCTCGCTCTTCGTATGCACCAGGGCAGTGCAGAACCAAGTCCATCCGCTGGGAATCGTTTCGGCGGTACAAGTTCAGTTCAAGTTGTAGTTGCAGTTGCCGCATCAAGAGTATTATGCTCCAACGTAGGAATGCTGCCTTTGTACGGTGGAGCACACAGGGTGCTGACCCTCATCTTGAACTTTTCCATCGAGCTGAGCAGAACGTCGAACTTGAAGTCGTCGAGACACCACTGCCACTCTCCCTCAGCACGGTGAGGATTCCTTCGGTCAATCCTCCCTCGGATTCTTACAGTGTCTACTCAGCGCCGGGCCAGTGGAGGATCTTCTCCGCTCTCACATTATACGGAGTTTCGCCTGGTGGATAGAACCTCAGGCAGGCAATCCCTTGCGGGCCTCAGGCTCAGCATCACGAAATGATGGCTGGTACTGAACTATTTTCTCCAAGCACAGAAGTTATGCCGCCTATTGCTCCGGCGCTGGCATTGGACCAACCATGCATTGCCACAACTAGAGTTCTGGGGCATGTAACTCTACAACGATACTGTGTATACGGTTACCTTTGCCATTGTGTTCTCTCTGCCTCTCACGATTCTCATCCCCAACAGGTGGCCCACCTCTGTCTCAGACACTTCCAGGCATGTGGACTCCACGGCCTCCCAAGTGTGTTCGGCACAGCCTTGCCTTTTCTTAGCAAGACACAGCTTACGGTATCCATCAGCTAACAACAAACACATCCCGTTCTGACGTCAAGTTAAGCTGCGGTCTTCGCTTTTGTGGGCCATACGCGTGGTTGTGGAGAAGGCTGGCCGCGCTTTGCCCGTGACATTCGGCGGACAAGAACGTGTATGCTCCAGTATCCCTGAGACATGCATGCATACCGCAGCCTCGGAACCATGCCTGCTCTGCAACTAGAACCGACCGGCTCAGCATCACGTACAGCAGCTCGTCTTCGGCTCCCACGGCAGCGAAGGGAAGAATATCCAGCGACGGGATGGTTGAATGACCAGGGTTGGCCAAGAGTCCCCTCGCCATTGGCACGTAAGTACCCAATGTCTTCCCTCCAACTCTTTCTTCTTGTCAGACTGGGTTAGTTAGCCCGGCAATGACTCGCAATCGTTTCTATTTACATGCCAGGCCTCCCTGCTGCGTCGCCTTCCCGGTCGATGGCGAGCAAGGATGATCATCCTCGTCATGCAGCTGGTTCCTGAGCCTCAACTCTCAGTCGATACTTGCAACTCCACAGGACAAGGAAGTCTTCATGGCCGTTCTCCACCGAAAGGATCGGCAAGCAAGAACTGCGGCGAGGTTGGTGGTAATGATGCCGACCTCTGCAATGCCTTTCTTTCGATCGATAGACGGGAATAGAGCATCGAGAAGTCAGAAAGGTATAAAAGACGGCTTCCTTTGCAGCCTTTAGCCCCAGTTCTTCTCTCATCAAGCAGACGCCCCCATCCCCCTCTTCACTCGCTGTTTTCTATTGTCCTGGGTTTTCTTTCTCTTTTCAATCACATTCGTTAGACCTCGCCTAATATGGCAGGCAAATCGATCGTTCTGTTTTCTCTCCTGGCCCCCGCTCTTGGTGCTGTCCTCCCCAGAGGGCAAGACCAAGGCGCCGGTCAGTCCTCTGCTCTAACTCAGTCGACACCAGAGGCTCAGACAACGGCTGGCACTGGTCAAGAATGGGGTGACTGGGGAAGTTCTGCTACCACCCAACCTCAACAAACGACCCCGACAACCCAGCAGCAGCAGACTACCAAGACTACTGAAGTAATTCCGTCTTCCTCGCAGCCAGCAGTAGTCTCTTCGACCTGGGGCGACTGGACTCAGTCATCGACCCAACCTGCACAAACCCCGTCTACCCAGACAACCACTCAGCCAGCAACAGTTTCATCCAACTGGGCTGACTGGACTGGATCCTCGTCCACGCCTGCTGAGCAAACGACGCCCAGTGCACCGGCACAGAGCTCCACAACTCCTGTGGCTGTGTCGTCTAGCTGGGGTGACTGGACTCAATCATCCAAAGTCCCTGATACTACTTCCAGCACATGGGTTCAGACCACCACTCAGCCGGCTGGAACCTCGAGCAACTGGGGTGACTGGACTCAGTCAACTGTCCAGACCACTACATTGATCACTTCTACCAAACCTTCAACGACCGCAGCCACTACCCAAAGCACAGAATCCCAAGGCTGGGGAGACTGGCAATCAAGCAGCACCCAGCCTGTAACTCCCTCGACTGCTTCTACCACTGCCTCGGTCACAACTAAATCTCAGGGATGGAATGACTGGCAATCGTCAACCAGCACTCAGCCAACACTCCCGTCCACTACTACCACGACTGTTCCGGCTACTACGAAGTCTCAAGGCTGGGGCGACTGGGAATCCTCCAGCACTCAAGCGACAACCCTGTCGACTACTACCACTACCCCATCGGCCACGACTGTCTCAACCACAACTAAGTCTCAAGGTTGGGGCGACTGGGAGTCCTCTAGCACTCAGTCTACGAACCTGCCAACCACCACCACTACTGTTGCGGCTACCACGAAGTCTCAAGGCTGGGGAGACTGGGAGTCTTCTACCACTCAGTCGACAACCCCATCCGCTACTTCTACTACTGCTTCGGCCACGACAGAGTCTCAAGGTTGGGGTGATTGGCACTCTTCCAGCACCCAATCAACAACCCTATCGACCACTGCCACGACTGTTTCGACCACAACTAAGTCTCAGGGCTGGGGTGATTGGGAATCCTCGGGCACTCAATCGACCACTCCGTCGACCACCGCCACAACTGTATCGTCCACCACCAAGTCTCAGGGTTGGGGCGACTGGACTTCCTCCACTACCCAAGTGACAACTCCGTCAACTACTACCACGACCGTTTCCGCCACCACGAAGTCCCAGGGTTGGGGCGACTGGCAGTCTTCTAGCTCTCAACAGACAACCCCATCAACCACTACCACACCCGCTGCTACCACGAAGTCTCAGGGTTGGGGTGACTGGCAGTCTTCTAGCTCTCAGACAACCCCATCTACTACTACCACGCCCGCTGCTACCACCTCGAAGTCTCAAGGTTGGGGCGACTGGGAGACAAGCTCCACATCTACCGTTGTGACCAGCTCCACCACAGTCCCTTCGGCTACCAAATCTCAGGGATGGAATGATTGGGAATCGAGCTCTACAGTCTCTACCCCAGCCGAAAGTACCACTACCGCTCCAGCTCCTACCAAATCTCAAGGCTGGAATGACTGGCAGTCCAGCTCTGCGCCTACCCCAGAAACCAGCTCTGCTCCGGCACCAACTGCTTCTCAATCCAAGGGTTGGAATGACTGGCAATCAAGCTCCGCACCTGCACCTGAGACCAGCTTTGCACCGGCTCCTTCTCAATCTAAAGGCTGGAATGACTGGCAATCCAGCTCTGCGCCTGCACCAGAGAAGAGCACAGCACCAGCTCCAGCACCATCTGCTTCCCAAGAATGGAACGACTGGAAGCCAAGCTCTGCTGCTCCCGCCCCGACCACAGCACCGGCAACCACACCGGCCCCAGCACCATCAACCGCGCCAGCTCCAGAACAAAGCAAGGGCGCCAGCTGGGGCGACTGGAAGGGCGAGTCATCCTCAGCTCCAGCTCCTGCTCCTGCTCCGGCTGAGTCGAAGCAACCTGCCCCTGCTCCCTCTGCATCTTCGGCTCCCGCCCCGGCTCCCCAACAGAGCCAGGGTGGAAGCTGGGGTGACTGGAAGCAGGTCCAGAGCCAAGGCGGAGAGTGCCAGCAAGCCACCACGACAGTGTACATCACTGAGACCGTGACTGCCTCTGCCACCGCTACCACCACTTCCGGAGCTGCACACTCAACTGGATCCTGGGCTTCGGGAAGCAAACTCTGGCCCAGTGCTAGCAGCAGCAAGGGCTGGAATGACTGGAACTAAGACCGCAACAGAATAAATTGTGCGCCGTGCCACCAAGCACCAGCTCCGCCTCTCACGGAGGAAGAGTCAGCAACGTGCTGACGACGAGAAACGACATGATATACAGTATATAATCTGGATCGGACCCTTTTTTTCTTGCTCTTTTTTTTTTTATTTTGGCGGCAAAGAGTGAAGTGGGCGAAGCGTTCCCAGACGCGCGCCATAGAAAGGAGGAATTGGAGGCAGGCATTTTCGGGTTCTGCCAAAGTGTCTGAATTCCTTCCTGCTGCCATTAATGGATTAATGGATCAACAAGATGGATGAGTGAGTAAGCGTGGTGGTCCTTTTCTACAGCCAGACGATATCTGTGCGACCTGAGTCCGGTCCAGATTAGCCATTCCTTTTATAATGTTTATACCTTGAAATTTAAATTTTGATATCATTAAAATTTTACTTCAACTACGCATATACTTGGTATCAGATTGTTGCGTCCAGTCAGTAAAGTGGCCTTTGTATATGTATATGTAGAGACCCAACCAAGGGCTGTGTTCATATACTACTGTTGTAGTGAGCAACATATGCTGTACGTATATATTGTATGTACATAAGTAGGGAGGCCACTTCACATCCTGTTAATAAACGCCAAACCCAGACCGACCAATTTCATTTTCGCTATGTACAGCACTCATCTGCTGTGCTCGTCCTCACTCTCCCACGACACATTCTTCAAAATAACACGCAATCCATTCTTCGGCCGGGCCGTAATCCCACCCTTGATATCAATAACTTCATCCGGATGCAATTGTGAGAACTCAAACGAGCCCACAAACGCAGCGACCAAACACGCAAACTCGGCCTGCGCGAACTTCATCCCAATACAGCTTCGGGGCCCGTGCAAAAACGTCAAAAACGCATAATTGCTAACCGCACCACCGGCATTCGCCTGGCCGGGAGCCATCCAGCGATCCGGATTGAACTTGTCGGCATCGGGCCCCCAGAGTGCAAAATTATGGTTGACGGCCCAGGGAGACAAAATGATCATGGTGTCGCGGGGCACAAAGTGGTTCTGGATCGAGGTGTCGACGGCGGTTTTGCGCAGTGTTAGTGGCACGGGGGCCCAGAGGCGTAATGTCTCTTGACATACGGCGTGGAGGTAGGGCATGTTGTCGATCATGTCGTGAGTGATGACGACTTTGGAGTCAGAGTCACCACTACCGAAGCTGGCACTGGCGCTGGCGCTTTTCGGCAAGTGTTGGTGGATTTCCCGCCTCAGCCGCGTTTGTATCTCTGGGTGCTGGCACAGCATGTATACTGCCCAGGTGAATGCTGATGCGGTGGTTTCGTGGCCCGCCGCCAGAAAAGTCATCATGTTGTCGACTAGCTCTTTGTCGGTGAATCCACCAGATTCCAGAGCTACTGATGTGATGTCCAGGTCGGTAGATTGCTTTGGTTTTTCGATTTGCTTTTCGGCGTTCGCTGCCGCTTCCGCTAATCGCTTCTTCTTCTGGTCGACTAGTCGTTGCGCCGTGTCACGCGCCACCTTGGCCGCCGCGGATGTCATCTTGTTCCGCGCCAGCGGGAGACTGCGTAGGACAAATGGAGGCAAGAAGAATTGCAGCACCGCGACCAATTGCGCTGTGCGGTCGGGCGTGAACACTGCCCTGTACACTCGGTTCAGCTCGTTGGTTGGGTCGTGCAGCGCATTGAGATCTTGACCCATGCCTGCCACGCCGATGATGTCGAGCGTCGCTCGGCTGACCCATTCGCCTATCTCGACGGAAAACGGTTGGGCTTCGGATTTGTCGGGGGCAGAAGCTTGCGCCTTTTCAAGTTCTGATTGGATGCATTGCACCATTTCCATGGATTTGGACCAGAAAATCGGATACAGCTCCTTGATATGCCGGAAGTGGAAGGCTGGCATCAGGTTCTTCCGCTGCGCCTTGTGTTCATCGCCTTCGGCGAGGAGGATCCCAACACCGAGGACCTGGGAAAGCCCGCTGCGAAGAAGTTCCGGCTTGATGAAGTCGTAGTTTTTGGTCGTCAGCACTTCGGCCAGGGCTTTTGGTTCGGTGATCAGAAGCCGTTCTCGTCCAAACAGGTGGAAATATCGAATGAGCCCGTCGTTTGGGATTTCATTCGCCCATCTTCGTAGTGGCACTCCTGAGGGTTCTTTGATCAAGGCAGGGAATTGGCCTCCGAAGAATGATCCGCCAGGTACAGTTGGCAGGTCGCGTAAAGGACTGACGAACCGGGGATAGATGGTGAGACTGTACGTGAAATAGACCAGACAACATAGTACAAATATCGCCGAAGCGGTCCAAGTATAGGACCTTAGGATCGTGTATTCTGGGGCATATTTGACCAGAAGAAAGGAGGTAAGCAGGGAAGACCCGAGCCAGAAACGATAAGTGCTTAGGAACTCTGGAAATCGGAAAGGCATGTTGAAAGGATAGTAGATGGCGTTGAGATTCCCACGTCTGGTCTCCGAATTGAAACTCTCGCAAGGTTGGCGACGGCAAAAAAAACAAGTCCTCCAGCGAAATTCGAGACTTATAATAATGATATACCCGCCCAACTCATCGTGCACAGCCCCGGGTATATATCACAGTGTACGTCAGATTAGGACAACAGGACAGGCAGAAGTGAATGCGAAAGGAGACAGCAGGACCGAGACGGCGGACGAAGGCTTACCTGCCGGGTAGGTATTGCGATGAAACTGGTCAGTGAACACACAGACAATAATAACCTAGGTAGTACTGTAGATGGACGAGTAATAGAAGCCATCATCCTCATGTCGGCAAAGTGGCCTCACTTTTAAGTTAATGTCTGACCGAATAATGCAACCTCTTACAGCGCAGACATGCAGCCCAGCCTGCTGTCAGACGGCTCATGCTACTTCACTTCAAATGCACATGCCAGAAAGGGTGCTTGTTGCGAGCCAATCGGCTGATTGACAATCCGATCAACACGATTCCATGGTCATGGGAGTGGCACCACAGGCCATCCACGATACGAAATACGGTGTGCTTGGTCCATCTTCTGTGTGTGCATATATTTGGCCGCACTGCGAGGCGACTCTAGAGTGCGACAGAGGTCTTCACACAGCCTGTACGGTGCATAGGAGCCTGCGACTGCCAGGATGCGGGTTATGCTGCAGCGGCGGATACGGAGGATAAACAACACCCGCCGGCACAAAGTTTGTCCGAAGTGACGAGGCTGGCTCAGCCTGATGGAAACGCCACTGACAGCCTTACTATTGCCCCTCGCAGCAGAACCAGCACTACTATGCAGAGAGCAGGGTGCGTGCCGGGAATCTCGCCGTAGGGGTCTCCGATACTCTTTGTTCGCCATACTTTGGACATTTGCCAAGTGAAATCCATGGTAAACATGGCCCTACTTCTTTCTCTTAAAATGATCGAATCCAACAACAGCCCAGCTTAGGGTGCCTTTCTGTAGTTGTCCAACCTTCCTCAAGGGTTTCTAATGCCTGCAGTCATCCTGGCGTATGCATCGCATATCCTCGCGCAAGTAACCTTAATTGCTTCCTGTTGGAAGCAGGAGATCCACGACAACAGCGCGATGGTCACTCATCCACACCTGATCATCAAATCGGCTCGGAAGGACGCCGTAGCACTGTACCAGCTCCTTGAGCTTTTCGTCCTCCTCGTTAGCCCCCGTATCTGAAACTCCAATGTGGATGAAATCGATTCTGTGCCTCCCGCCTGCACCCGGATCCCCTGCGAAGCCGGTGAAGGTCCGCTCATTGCTGTACGCATATAATTTCCCGTCCGCATTCTTGTTATCTGGTATTAGACGACGTACATCTATGAAGCCGGAACCGGCGCTGTTAAGAAGTTGGTACGCGTCCCCATCAGGGCGACTATTGAGGTCCCCAGCCAAGAATGTAAACTGTGGAGAGAATTTCGATTTCAGTCGTGAGGCGACATTCAGGATGAGTTTGGTAGCTTCCCGGCGTGAGACAACTCCTTGGTCGTCCAAATGGGTATTAAGAGCAAGGATGATTCCGTGGCCATCTGAACGATGGGCGTGTCCTTGGCCGGCCGGAACTGAAGGCTGATGGACTGACTCTAAAACAGCACAGGTCAAGATGCGGATGCTTGAGGCATCCCACCCCTTCTTGCCCACTTCGCCAGTCTCATTCAACCAGACTGTTTCAAAATGCGAAAGCTTCCAGGCGGACTTGCGGAAAAAGATGGGACTGTACTCCCCTTTCGTCTTGCCATCGTCTCGTCCCACTCCGACATATGTCCAGTCGTTGTCGTCGGCACCGACGGGCCCGGCTTCATTACCTGTCGTGGACACTGTGGATGACTTGGATGTGTTGAACGTGTGGTTGATCAGATCTTGAAGCTGGCGATGCAAGACTTCTTGCATGCAGACCAACGTTGATGGCGGAGCGAAGTGTGGCCGCGTGTGATACTTGAAATGGCTTGATAGATGCGGGAACCGGTCCTCCCAAAGGCACTCGTGCTGTTCGGGAGTGGTGTTTGCAAAGCGAATGTTGTGCGTGATGATACGCAATGGCAGAAGCGCCGTGCTTGACGGGTCATGGAGCAGCGCATGGCGAGACGCGCGTGGGGGAGATGACGCATCGCCCATGATGATGCCGTATAGCAGGAATCCAGGGAGAGACTTGGAAGGTGACTGGGACGGGCGGGGTTCTGCTAGTAAATACCACGATATATAAGGAGAGACGCCGTAGGCACGGCACGAAGGAAGCGGTGAAGATACAATACCAACCAGCGAATAAATATATTCCAGTTAGATTGAGAAATGCCCAATGGACGTAACCCTACTCGTAGCCATCCGCAGATACAAGTACTAGTAGGACATCTACTACACTGCAATGTTCGACAGATCCCACCTTCACAGAACGCAGGCTCTCGGGCTGTCCAATGCAGTAGAGATCAAGCGGATGATGCACCGGGCAGGAACAACATGGGTTCATCTGCCCCGACTTGTCAGTGGGTCTCACCTGCCACAGCACACAGGAGCACAGGCCAGCCAATGACGTCGAGTGTCCAGCCATAGAAGTCGCTGATTCAGCAGTCTAACTTTGGTTCGTGATGCTGTGCTGTTGTACGTATAGTAGTACTGTACAGCGTACTGTCCTACGATAGTAGTCGGTGCTTACCAGTGGTAGATGGGATGCAGTGGCATGCCTTCAGTTGGAAAACGTCTGGTACCGAAATGATGCAGGCACGGCAGGTTATTCGCAGGCCCGTTGACTGTTTTCCGGCGAGCTTAGGGAGGAAATTTTCGTAGCAAGATCATGGTGGCCCTCCTCGGCCGCTGCCGCCTTGGACCAAACAACTATGGGCCTATTTCTTAGGTGTACCTGCCGGTCCCCCGCGCGCCACTGGAAGCGCCTTAACTTGGATACTGCTACGTGACAATTGAACCTAACCGTCCGTGAGCAGTTGTTTGTTCACCACTTCCAGGTGACAATCACCAGGAGCTGGTTGCTGGCCTCGTTGAAAGAAGACGAAAAATGGCCGCGGAACTTTGGTCACTGGAGGTTGGGCGGCTGCTCGGAGTCGAAGCTAAACCCAATTGGGCGATTGGGTGTTCCGGACGCGAAACCGCCGCAATTGAGTCGAGAATTGATCCATCCCAGACACGTTTGTGCGCATCGATCGCAGCCGAGGCGGATCTGGTATGTATCCCTCCCTTTGATTGTTGTCGATGTCTTCTTGTGTGATCAGGCCATGGTTGTCCAGAGTGGCGATGGAGATGTCTCTGTCTTCCCACCCATGCTGGCCTCCTTTCACCAAATTTCACCGCAAGGTTTGTCCACATGGCTAACTCCATCAACAGACACGCGTATTCCCGCGATTGGCCTTTCACCTGCTATCTCCCAAGCAATCTTGTGACATGTCGTCGGTATGAGCAATTCTCTGGATGGCGCGACTGCGGTAGCCGCGCCCACAGACTCCCCTGCTGTCACCACTCCCAACAATGCCGAATCAATAGCCCAAGGCAAAGAGAAGGCCAAAGAGGTCCTAGCCGCCTCGGGCATCAACATCTCTGGCAACGACACGCAATCCGAAGTAGATGGCTCCGATGCCAATCCCATCGCGAACCGGAAGCGCAAACGCGAAACACCACTAGAAAGAATCCAGGCGGACGAATATGTCCAGCGCGAATACCATTACAAGGCGCTTTTGGCAGAACAGATCAACCATCCAGTACTGTCACAGCAAAAGAAGCAGGAGCTCGCTTTCTACCAGAGCCTGCGACCGAGACGTGAACATGACCCGGGCTCCATCTTCGGGTTTGGCTATGAAGGGTTTGGCAATCCTAGGACGGACGAGAAGAATCTACGCGACCCTATTCTCTACCCACGGCAAAGAAGACCGGGGAAACGGAAAACACTGCCTCCGCGCGTAGCTCGCAAGGACCAGATTCTACAAGCCGAGCAAAGCGAAGACCTGGTACCCATTCGTCTCGACGTCGACTGGGGAAAGATCAAGCTGCGTGACACGTTTACTTGGAATCTCCATGACCGGACCACATCTATCGACTATTTCGCGGAGAAGCTGGTGGAAGATTTCGGTCTCGAGGTTGCAGCCTGTGGACCTCTTGTGCAAGCAGTGGCTGCCAACATCCGCGAACAGATCACCGATTACTGCCCTCATATCTATACCGACGAAGAGCCGTTAGATCCGTCTCTACCGTACTTTGCTTACAAGAATGACGAGATGCGCATCTTGATTAAGTTGAATATCACGATTGGGCAGAATACACTCATCGACCAATTTGAGTGGGAGATCAACAACCCCTTCAACTCACCAGAAGAATTCGCGCGCCAGATGACCAACGATTTGTCTTTGGCAGGCGAATTTACCACGGCCATTGCACATTCTATCCGTGAACAATGTCAACTGTTTTCCAAGTCCTTGCACCTTACCGGTCATCCCTTCGATGGTCGGCCGGTCGAAGATCCTGACCTACGCGAGAATTTCCTGCAATCTCCACTACCCAGTACCTTCCGCCCTTACCAAATGGCCAAGGACTACACCCCATACCTCTACGAACTCAACGAAGCAGACTTGGAGCGCACAGAGCTATCCATCTCTCGAGAACAGCGGAGACAGAAGAGGTCCACTAACCGTAGAGGCGGTCCTGCGTTACCAGACCTGAAAGATCGGCAGCGGACTATTCGCTCCCTCGTCGTTTCTTCCGTCATTCCTGGAGGTGCATTGAGTTTGGAGGAAAGCCGAATCTTCCGAATCCCCAAGGCTGCGAGAAGATCTGCCCGCGGCCCAGGCCAGAGAGATGGGCTTGAAGACTCGGATGATTCCGACAGCGAGGAATCCGGCCCTGGTTCGCCGGCCATTCCAACTCATTTGTTACAACAAGGCACAGCTCGAACGCGGGGAATCCGCAATGCGGCGTTGACCGCAACCGCCGGCATCCGTTCGAATCTGAGTGGATTGGCTTCCGCAAGGTCTGCAACGCCGGATTCTATAGCACCTACCCACCACGAAGGTCGATCGTCGGTGAGAAGAAGGGATTACAAAGAAGAAAGTGATGAAGAGTCCGGCCCAGAAAAGCTCGTCGTGGTTTTGAAGTTGGGAAAAGCCAAGCTTCGTGAATGGATGCGGTCACAGCGAGCCAAAGATCGCGCAGGGTTGGTTTCAAATGCCTCAAATCAAGGAAGTCCACGTCCAGGTTCTCACTCACGGTCTGTCTCGGCTGCACCATTGAACCTTGCCGCAATGCCTCCTCCGCCCTCCCCCGTACCAGCTCCTGGCGACATTCCTGGCGCTGTGGATGCTACGCATCATCCTCCCAGTGCTGCTCATCCTGCCGTAAGTTATCAACCTTGATTCAAGACGAATTTGTTACTGATCGATTTGCATCAGCCTCCACCCCCTGACTGGCTTGTTCAAGAGCTGGAGCGGCTTCGGAAGATCTATCCCCAAGATCGCTTCGAGGGTTTCATGAAACATACGGCAGTGGATCCGAAAACCCAGAAGCTGCTGCCTGCCAATGAAAGCAACAAAGCGCTCCCACACAAGTATGTTCCGCGGATTAGATGTCTGGATTGCCCGCCGGGCAAAAGTTACATGCCGAGCGCCGAAAATTTTGAAGCACACCTCAGGAATCGTGTTCACAGGGCAAATGTGGAGCATAGGTTGAGCAAAGGTTGAGCATGAGTTTGATAGCGTTATGTACGATGAGGTGGGAACATGGCTCCGCATCCTGTCAATACCCGCTTGAAAGAAGATCATTTGGATAGAACATACCACGAGACGTTATGGTTGCTGGGCGCTGGACGTCGCTGCTTAGGGTACGTCGCTGGCCTGAGGCAGTCCGTCTGGGTTGGTATACTCTATGTCTGAGAGGTAGCACGAGTATCACGATTCCCCAACGAGGGACAAGACTTTGTACAGCATACTTCTGTCGCGGAGGGCTGCCAGCAGTGAGGTCAATCTGCCTTGAATATGCCTTTAAAGATCGATTAATGCCACAATATGAATTTGAGTTACAATAGTAGCGGTAGTGAATGTGCTGTTGGCATGGGATGACATTGCGGGGAACTTCAGCCCACTGCAGGAAGTGAACGAACGCACTGACATGGCATCCGTCATAATTCACAACCAACGCACTTGTCATGTGTAGACTCGAAATTCTCAGTCCACCAATTCCTCCACCGCAGTCTACAACTTGAACACCACGCCAGGATATAGTCCCGGCACCTCTCTCAATATGGCGGAAAACAGTGCAGAGATCGGTAAGCATTATAGATCCGATTTCTTTCCGACCAGGCATCTCCCCTCCTTCTCGCCCAACGCATTTTCATTCCCAAAGACTCCCTGTCTAATGTTTGATCGTGGCTCTAGAAAATATCAGCAACCCCGATGTCTTGACCAAGGTATGTGACCAAAAGAGATGTTCTGAGTAGCGGCTGACTTGTCCTTCAGTACAAGACTGCTGCGGGCATTGCGCAGAAGGTCCTAGAGGAAGTTTCAGGTATGTTGTGGTGGTCACGCAACCACATACCCAGCTGATTCCCCGTTTCAGGATGGTGTCTGCCGGGAGCCAAAATCGTCGAGCTGTGCCAGAAAGGAGATGCGCTCCTCGAGTCCGAGCTGGGACAGGTCTACAAGAACAATAAGAAGATCAGCAAGGGCGTTGCTACTCCCTGCACCGTGTCTCCCAGCTCCTACGTCACCCCTTTCACTCCCCTCGTCTCGGACACCGAAGATGCGGCGATGGAAATCAAGGCAGGCGAACTGGTCAAGGTTCAGCTTGGAGCACAGATCGATGGTTACGGTGCGATAGTCGGCAATACGATTGTGGTTCCGGAAGAGAAAGGGAAGAAAGCCGAGGTCACAGGAAGAGAGGCAGACCTGCTGCTGGCCACATACTACGCCAATGAGCTCCTGCTGCGGCTAATGATCCCTCCTGGACTCCTGGCCACCGGGACAGACGAGGAAAAGAAGAAAGCCGCCGCTGAAAAGCCACCCACCCAAGCCAAGATCATTCAGCTGGTCGAGAAAGTCGCCAAGGCATACGATGTGCATGTGGTCCAGCACACCACCTCGTGGCAGTTTGAACGCAACGAAATCGAAGGCAAGAAGAAGATCATCTTGTCTCCGGCCGACGGTGCCAAAGGGGAAGGCTCGGCTGAGGTCGGCGAAGTGTGGGGTGTCGAGATGGGTCTCAGCTTGGGATCCGGCAAGGTGAAGGAGTTGGACAAACGCTCCACTCTCCTGAGGAGAACCACCACGACGTATGGTCTGAAGCGGCCAAGTTCGAGACAGGTCCTGTCGGAAATCGTCAAGAAATTCGGCACCTTCCCGTTCAGTCTCCGTCAATTGGACGACGAGAGAGCCGGCAAGGTCGGCGTGGTCGAATGCATCAGATCTGGTGTTCTCCGCGAATACAGACCTTCGGCTGAGCAAGACGGATCGCCCGTGTCCAGACTGTTCACCACCATTGGTAAGCTTAGAGATGAGTAGCTGCGGGAGATGTTTACTGATTGATATTTTCTCTTAGCGATCACCAAGAATGGCTTGACCCGTCTGGCAGCTCCGCCTCCATTGGATCTCGACTCGATCAAATCGGACAAGAAGATTGAAGACGAGGAAATCCTCAAGATCCTGGAGCAGCCTACGAGCAAGTCTACGGGAACGAAGAGCAAGAACAAGAAGAAGAAGAAGAAGAAGCCCGCCAAGAAGGCAGCTGCTGCTGCACCAGCGGAAGACGAGGATGAAGATGATGATTCGAGCGACGAAGAGTGATTATGCTTCGCTGGGCGGTCCTCACCTTTCCAGCTTGGATCTTGGCTTCTCCCTCCGCAGATGTGCGGACAATCTTGTCACTGACGTTTCCAGGAGCCAGAGCCGAATCATGGCCGAGTCACTCGATGCGTGTTCGCAGTCAGTATCTGTTGGGCGGGAAAAAAGACATGCGACAGGATTTTCAGTCTGGAGGAAGGTAGCGCAGAAAAGTTGAGTGCATGGACAGACCGGACGGCAGACTAGAAGCAATACATCGATAAAAAGCTTTCAAAACGAGTTGATGTTTGTTGTAATCCTGTGCGGTTGTATTGTGTTTGGGGTCGCCTCTTGTACTTCATAATATTGCCAGGGGCGAGGGGCAAGGCGCGCCATCCCCTACACATCGCCACGTCACCACTGTACTGCAATTGCTGCCTATTTAGGTGCCTACAATTAGATGAGAGAAAAGAATGACTTGATAGAAGAATAAGTCTTCATTTTGTGTAGGACCACGTAAAACAAGACCATGAGTGAGTGCCCGGTCATGGGAATCAGCAGACGTGTGGTTGGTAGAAGAGGAAAAAGGGGGATGGCAGCATTTGCGCAGCCTTGGGACAAACCCTAACAAACAGAGGATGACGAGGACTGGCCGAGCTATCACTCAACCACTTCACGTACGGCACCCGCGGAAGAAACAAAATCACCATCATCGTATCAGGCATCATCACAGGCAATAGTTAGACAATCTGAAGCAATCCAGTAGGCTTTTACTGTTGATGAAGCCCGAAGCCAGTGGGCGGATGCCGCGTGAGCCCGGCCCCTTGCCCCGAATACGTCCAACCATTCGCAGCAACACCGCATACCATCCATAAACTTGCAGAAAGCACATTTCTAAAGACCCAAGGCAAGCCTGCTCTCTCGTCTACCACTACGCAGCCTGCGCTCGCTGCCCGCTGAGCCTAATATAAGGCTACTGTAAGTCTCTGTCCTTGACTTCCTTGGTCGGCCCTGAATTAATGTGTTGGTAGTCGGCGCGTGTGGCGCGAAGAAAGAGCAGGATGTCCACGAGATCGTTGCGGCACAGATCGAGCCGCCTGTCGAGTCCTGCTACGTTTGGAGAAAAGGAGTCTGGTCCCAAGCCCGTCGAGGCTCCCCCGGCGAGAAATGGCCAACAGTCAAATCTGGATGCATGGATTGAGCCCGCTGTGCGGCCTGCGGTGCCGAGTTTCGAAGATACAAAAGGTCTGGAGAGAGCGGGTGTGTTAGAGAACATGCAGCCTTTGGGGGTGGCGCCGTCGCAACGACTGCTGCACAAGTTCAAGTTGAACTACGCGCGACCTTCACCGCGGGCTACGAGTACGCCTGCGCAAGCGGAAGAAGTGGTGACGCCGGGCGTCGAGCCCGAACCTGAGCCTGAGCGGGAACCTGAAAAGATCGATTTGGCCTCGTCCATGGAATCCGAGATGCCGTCTGATCATCCGGCTGAGCCGCGTCAGGGTCCTCAAGCAGAAGCCATGATGATTTCCAGTCCTCCGCGTGGCCGTCCTCCTCGACGAGAGGTTGTCGAGATGTCGCAGGCAGCGAATGTGTCACCGTCGCCGGCCAAGTCGTCGGGTACGCCGTCAAGCCAGGTGCCCTCCAAACCGGCATCGATCCAGGCCCATCTACGGCAGGATCGACTTCGAAATCACATTGATCACGCGGTGCAGGAGGCAATTCAGAAGGGGACGCCGGATTTGGTGCCCGGCTTGCAGCGGTTTCGCGATGATGCGCGCGTCATGCCCGAGTTGTGGAATGTTTTAGAGGCTGTTCTTCAACCTTCACCTACACCTGAACAATTTCGCACTTTTAAACACTACATCAAAAACGGACTTAAGGATTATCGCAGATCGAGCCAATTCTCAGCCAGCCCTTACCAATCTTCTCCTCATCACTTGCATGATCCTACTTCCCACAACCACCACCTTTCTTCGTATTCATCAAACATGGATCCAACCGAATCGCCCGGCCGGCGCCGTGGCCATATCTCTCTCTTCATCAACGGTTCCTCAATTCGAGGCTCCAATCGATCTGCTCAAATGCCAAATTCGCCCTCGCACGCGTCGCGCCCTGCGGCGGTCATGGATTCAACTGAGCGGCCATCTGAGCAACCCCCAACGTCGTCACCCAACAAGCGCAAGCGTTCACGCAGCGTGTCAACTTCATCGTCGCTCTCATCTGCCAAATCGCTGCCTCCACCCGACGATTTCGGCGCTGCGGACGACCGCGAGCAGCCAAGTGAAGGTCGAGCACCAGGCAGTGCGCGCGTGCGTGCGACCGGACAGCGCCAAGCCTCAAGTCGAGCGGCGGCTGGGAACCGATTGCGTTCAGCTGCCAGCGCCACGGACCCTCCGTCTACTACTGTCACGCCGGTAAACGCGCCTACATCCAAGGTGGCCTCAGCTGCGACGAAGAAATTGAAGAGAGCCCGCGAGCCCGATTCGGAATTCGACATTGACGAGCTTGCCAAGCGGAAGAAGACATTTCTTGATGATAGTTTTCATGATTACAACACCATCCCTCGGCCAGAGAGCAATGAGCGTGAGCCCGTTCTTGATCACCCGCCTCGACCAGACCTTTCTGAGATCCCGCCCAAGCCGGTCGTCCATCCCAATCGTCTGTTGGTCTCTCAAGACACCGCACCATCGTCGCCGGTGAGCGCTCAGGCTCCTCCGGAACCGGGCATGGCCAACGGAACGAACCGCAAGAGAAGACGCGAAGCAGTCGATGATTCCGATGAAGTTGATGCTACCACTCCAGAACCGTCTTCACCTCCGCCATTGCGTTTCCCATCAGCGACTGCGCGTGCGACGAGCGCTACATCACGAGCAACGACTCCCAGAACAACAAGACTGCCACCTACGTCGAAAGCCCGTCGGTCTGCACGTGTTATGGTCTCGTAAGTATTTTGTCCTGCGACTTGTTCTTTTTTTCTCTACTGCAGCCTATTTGAGGAGTTGGCTGTCTGCACTCCTGAACAGGTCCAATCCGGACCTCACTGATCTTTTAAGAAACTTTGTTATTCATGTACAAGTACTCTACTGACCAACCATCAACAGGCCCAACAAGCCCAAAAATGGCGGCATTACGGCGGGAATTTCACGTGGGGCTCCTGGGCGCGAATCCACGATCGCCAACGGAGGGAATTCAAGCGCAGAAGTAAGTTAATGCCCGAATCCGCTCACTTCCCAGCGAGAAATCCCCGGTCTTTTTGTTGTGTCATGATTGGGCCGCCTTTTTGGCGTGCACTTACCCAATCCTCCTAAATTGGCTGTTTCTTCTGGGCGCTGCCTTATTTCCTGCTTTCATACTTATTCCTCTCCTGTTGGCATCACACCTTTTCCCTTTGATTTCCTGCCTGTCTTTGTCTTTAATGTTCTTGCCCCATCTATCAGCACCTAACATAATCAATCAGGACAACGACGAATTTTGTGCATCATGCGGCGGCGAAGGAAAGCTGCTCTGTTGTGATGGGTGTACCAACTCTTTCCATCATGCATGCTTGGAGCCACCCTTGAACCCCGAAGAAGAGGTCGAAGGCGAATGGTTTTGTCCGCGATGTGTTGCCCGACGCTCGAAACAGGCTCCCCAACCTACAGGTCTTCTAGGGCCGGCCATCCGCCGGGTTGAGGACATCATCCCCAAGGCATTCGCTCTTCCCGTGGATATCCGCGAATATTTCGAAGGAGTTCGTACGGGCGATGAAGGCGAGTATGAAGAAGTCGGACTCCCCCGGACTCAAAACAACACGGTCAAGATGAACCGAGCGGGTTTCATCGAAGAGCCAAACTACAAAGAAATCCGCGACAGCAAAGGCAAGCTGATCACTTGTTTCAAATGTGGCCACGCCGCCGATGGTCGGGACATTATTCCTTGTGACTACTGTCCTGCCCGATGGCATCTGGACTGCGTCGACCCGCCTCTGGCCGTGCCGCCACGACGACGGGCTGGCGACAAACCAGGTGCGACATGGCGCTGTCCGCTTCACGTGGAACACGACTTGGCGGCCGTCGCTCGTCAAGCAGAAGTGGCTCCCGGAGAGCTAGGTCGGGTGCCAACATTACGCAAACCCAAGAATGCGGTCCCCGTCGATGCTCCCTTGCGTCGAGGATTCCGCAACAATGGCATCATTGAAGTCGAACTCGACGAGGATGAACCTGTTCTGGACCGGACCAAAGAGGTGGACATGATGGGCAAGATTTATCGGCTTCCCGAGAAGGGTATTCGGTTGGATTTCATCGATCGAGTCAAGCGGAGCTGGTACGAAGATCAACAATTCCCCCAAGTCTTACATGCTCCCAAGCGCATCCGCACCAACAAATACCGGCCCGATGGGGCAGTACTGCATCATCCACCTGAGGAGACGATCGTCAAGGAGGTGGTTCGAGAACCCGATTTCTTTACGGGAGCCACTGCCCTTGCGATTGCAGAGACGGCAAAGGCTAATGCGGCGCTTCGCCGTCGTTCCATCAGAGAACAGCAGGCGGTTTTGCATCTGGTCGAGATGTCCCAACAGCAGCAGCCTGCATCTGCAGGTGATGACAATGGTGATGTTGGTGCTGGCGGTGATCTCCCTTTTGCTTCGGGAGACGCCCTGGCCGACTTGACAAACCAGCTTGTCAGTGAAGCTCCTCAGGAAGTGGTTGACTCTATGCAAGACACGGAACTCGATCAGCTGTTGATGTTGCAGCAGTTGATTAGCAAGAGATTGGCTGTTTTGGGCCGTGGCACTGGATCGAAATCGAGTGCGGCGACTCAGCAGCAGCAGCTGAATGGTGATGACACCGGTGCTACTGGTACGAGTGGTTCTTCTGCCAGTGGTCAGGATCAAGATCAAGTCGAGTCTTCCCTTACCAACTCGAACAGCACCGGAACCAAATCCAAGGCCAAGATGATCAATGGGGATAAGGACAATACCGACACTGCGGAAACTGCTCCAATCTCCTCGAGGGTATATGATCAGCAGAAGCAGTACCCTTATGAGGATTACAGCGTTCAAGGTGTCAATGGCAACGGCGATGGCAGTGGCAGTGGCAGTGACAGAAGTGATGACGACGAGGTCGAGGTTGTTGATGAGAACACCATCACTTGAGACGGACCGGTTTTACCAGCCAGTACTGCCAATTTTGTCGAAGTTTGTTTGCCGCGGATGACTGCACACTACAGCACAACACAGCCTGTCATCATGTCTTGCCTTGCACTACCACAATGTACAACTACTGATTTCTGCTGCAACCATTCCCGACACTTCGTCACTATTGAGGAAACTCCTTACAAAGAGCCAAGCCTTCTTTTTTCTTTTTCCTTCCAAGTCAATCCCTCGCGAAGGAGAAAGAAAGAGGGAGAGACTACCCTCTGTCAACTACTCATCTACTCTTCTACTCATTGTGTGTCGCGTGTCTTTGACATTGAGTCACTGGGTCACTATCGAACATGGAGACAAACTTGTCTACAGACACAAAGGTGCTTTTCTACTGTGGACAAAGCTGAGCTGGAGAACAGCAGTGTGAAGGACGTGGAGGTGGATTGGATTGAAAATACGTGGAGGTCAAGAAACGACCCAAAGATGAAATGAGAGGGCTCTCTTCGGTTGATCACACATCCAGACTGGTTTTGTCCAGTTCAGTTCTTCTCAAGTCTTGCAGTCTCAACTGGTCAATGGACAGTGGTCAGCGCGATCGGTGCATGAGCGAAGCAAAAATGGGTTTCTTGTGGGTGTGTGTGCGCGTGGATATCAAACCCCCAGTCACGGCGTTGCATTGCTTTTTGCATGGTTGCTTTCCGCAGGTGCTTTTTCTCAAGGACTGTATGATTCAAGTTCTCTTGCTTGCTTGGGTGGTCATGGAGAGGTTTGCGGTTTGCGGCTCGTCTTGCGGTTTGGACTAGGGAGGGAGGCTCTTCCTCTGCGGTTCGGTTCGGCTGCAGTTAAAAATCAAATCAGTTCAGTTTTTGCTCAGTTCTAGTTCAGTTCAGTTTCAGTCCAGGTCAGGCGGATGAGATCAGGTCAGATTAATCGAATGGCGTTTTTTGCTTTACCACATATCAATCAGGACTACTGCTCTACTACTAATAGTACTACTACGATTGTGGCACGATTCAAGCTCCAAATGGATAGGATGTTTCTCTCCCTGAAAAACTCGAGGAAAAGACATCTCGTTTGGGTCAGACTTTCTTGGGATTGATCGATTGGGATTTGATTTCGCCTGCCTTGCCTCACTGCAGCTTTCCATTGTGCCTATTGTGTTGTTGTGTGTCGCGCCCATTCGCCTGCACCCGCCGCATTGCACCACAGCTAGAAAAAGAGAGAAAAAGGAAAAAAAAAAGGCAAGAACAAGCCATATGAATCGGTTGGTGGAAGCCCATCATGCCCCGACCGGTATCTCATCTGCAATTGTGTCTGCAGAATGGCAAACAAATCCGTACTTCCATGGCCAACTCGCCGATGAACAACAGGTCTCTCTGTCCAAGACGGCCTCTGCCCCAAGCTGTCATGTGTCCTCTCTCTCCAATGTCGAGTAGTAAGTAGTAGGAAAGCCCAAAGATGCTGTTGTTTCCCACAAAAGTTAGTGATTTGATGAAAATGCCAAAAAAGTCAAAGGGTTTCGGTCAATCACAAACCTTGGAATGGCTGGGAAATCCCTGACACGATCCATTGATGGGAAAGATGAAACCGAGTCTCATCAAAGAATCGTGCATTTCTTACTACTCTTCTTTGGTGGAGGCTCGAGAGCAGCAACGATTGCCTCATCAAAGACGTCCTTGAGTTTGTACTGGGTGAGAGCACTGCATTCGACGTATTTGACCGCGCCCAACTCCTTGGCCATTCTTTCACCATCCTCCTTACGAACGGGTTGCATCTTCTGTTTGGCGAGTTTCTCACGGACTTGTGGGTCGTCACGTAGATCGGTCTGAGTTCCGACGATCAGACATGGCACACCGGGACAGTGGTGGTGGACCTCGGGAAACCATTTCTCTCGCACGTTCTCAAACGATGCTGGCGAAGTGACGGAGAAACAGACGAGAAAGACATCGGTCTGCGGGTATGACAAAGGTCGAAGCCGGTCGTAATCCTCTTGTCCTGCTGTATCAAATAGACCAAGAGTGTATGGCTCATCTCCGATCCTGGAAGCCAGCTCGTTAGTTTTATGTAACTTACTGGCTTGAGATCGGCAAACTCGTGAGGTTGCCGCAAGTCGATGTCATATAGATCGACAGCCACTCTAGCCACTTAAAACCAAAACTTTGGATAGAAACTCACATCACCGTGACGGCGTAATTGTCAAAGACGGTCGGGACATATTCCGAAGGGAACTTGTTGGTGGTGTACGAGATAAGCAAGCATGTCTTGCCGACCGCGCCGTCACCGACAACCACACACCTGTTGAGGGTTAGTTGTGCGGAGAGATTGGCTGTTCTTCTCAACTCACTTGATCGTTGCGACAACCATTCCGTCTTTGTTTCTCAGATGGGTAGCGGTGTCGAGATTGCGAACACGAGCAGGCTTGGTAGGTCTGAGAATGGAAAAGCTTAGCTTTGGCTTCTTCGCCATGGTGCGGAGCTTGGGAAACTTGGGAAACTTCATGATGATGATGGCTTACCAGAAAGGTGGTGGGTGTGAAAGAGAGAGCGCCGCGTGAAGTGAACTTAAGTACTCACGGGCAGATGAAGCGGTCACCGAAAGAGTGCCTTGTGTTCTTGCTCGGGATCACGCCGTACACATGTGCACTGTGTTCAAAAAAGAGGCAGTGAAGTTTCCTTGTGTTCTGTCTGTTTATCTGGCTGTATTGATCGAGCAAAAAGGGAGAAAGCAACACTGTTTCGACACTGTCATTCCTCCTACTTCTTTTTCTGCCATGGAACATCCAATTGGACTCACGAGTGACGGGTCGCTGCCAAAGCGAAGGATAGGATTCCGAAAAGAGGTCTCGATATCGACCGCGCGTCGCGCCTCGAGTTGAGCAGTCGATGCTCAATCGGTCAACGGTCAATGGATTCGAGTCGCAAAATCCCGGCGGTAAGAAGGATCGTTGACCAGCAAGAAAAATATGGAAATGTCCAAGGCAAGCTAAGCTTTTTCTTCGAAAGGTCTAGTCGTGAGAACAGAGAATAGGCATTTACCGGAAATGTCAAGCGGCAAGGAGGAGAACGATTGGGATTCGGGGCGGAATCTGGATGGATTGGATTGATGCACGAAGGAGAGGGACCGAAGACGTGTAACCAGACGGAAGATGGCTGCTGGATATAGAAGATGAATAGCGGACGTCGACGTGTAGATGAATGAACAATAGCGACCAGCCAGCGACCAATATAGTAGTAGTGGTGGAAATGGAAGTAGAGTGCGATGTCGTGTAGTAGTGTAGTGCAGTTGGTGGTGTGGAAGCTGGACTAGGGACGTGCAGTGAAGAGCAGCACCTACTTACTAACCGCTGTTGGCGGTACGCAGCGAAGGGCGAAGATTATTGCTGAGGAGGAGTGCAGTTGGCGCAGTTTGTTGGCTCAGTGCTGCACTGCTGCAGTCCACGGTGCTGTGGTTGATCTGCGGCGCAGGCAGAAGACTCGGGGCTTCTCTCAAAGGCCGCCGCTTCAAGTTCAGCCAAATAATCACGGGCGCAGTCCAGGCCCCAGGCCACCACTCAAAAACGGCAGCAAGGACCGTCAACAACTGCTGCCAGTGCTGTACCACTACTTACTGCTACTGGCACTGCACAATCACTTCTGAGCTGAATGTCGGGCAACTTCTCTATCTCCAACCACTACTGCACCACGAGACTACTCAATTACTGCCATTCTCGACAGGGGTTCTTGTTATCCGTACCTCGATCCTTGCTCAAGACCCCTTCTTTTCTCTGCCTTCCTTCTTCCCTCACCGACCCTGCCAGCGCCAGTGCTTGACCTTGGCCCTCCCCGGCCCCAGCGCCGTCCTCAATCTGGACCCTATTCACTTGTACCAAACAAGCAAGGCCTTGTCTGTCTTGTCACTCTCGCCGCTGACCCAGTGCCTTATGTGGCATGGCGTCCACGCGAAACACCTGGCACATTTCGGGAGTAAAAGAACCGTACCTACCGCTTCGGCCAACTACTAGCCCTAGGCAAAAGCAAAGGCCGAAGCACGCAACTCAGGCCGTGATTTCTGTCAGCAGTTTAGCTTATCCACCCCTTTCAGAGTCCGACTCCTGAACGCGGAACACACTGGGAAAGACGTTTGTAGGGTCTGGCTGCCTTTTCGCCATTTCCTGCTGCAATTCAAGGGTGTACTCCAGGTGGATTTCTCTAATCAGTCGCGTCACAGTATTTGTGCCTTTGGGACCTTTCTCCGGCGGCCCCATGGAGAGACTGAAGACAAATATCAAGGGTTTATTATTCTTGTACCTTGAGACTCATCGCACAGATGCTTCATGGCATGCTCGTCCTCTCTCTCCCGCCATCCTTCCCATGCGCGACCACATACTAGATATATGTACATGTACATTTTTCAAGGCACATGGACTGGGAGACCGGACGTCCTCCGGCTATTATCTCCCTTTCCAATGCTCAGTAGTAACACAAGTAGTAATAGGCAGTCCTGAGCTGCAGCCGGCGGACCTCGCCCACTTGAGAAGCAAATCAAACACATCAAACACACTGGTATTAGAACAAAAGTATCGCCAAATGGCCAGGTCTTCCCTGTAAAAGAATCGAAAATGCAAAACCATACCTCAGAAAATAAAAGGAAATGTTGATTAGGTGTCACTTATTTTGCTCCGATCTCCTCCTCAGCCCAGCCGGAGAGGCCTCCGCGGCTATCGCTGGTCAACCCGAGTCCATTGAATCCGCTGGTGCCGAAACCAGTGCCAAACGCAGATCCAAAGCCTCCAAAACTACCCTGAGGCGCATGTCCTCCGAACGGGCGCGACGATGAAGGGCCTTGTTGGGTAGTTGATGATCCGCCGAAGATCTCCTGCGAAAATGCTGGCAGTGATACCGCGCGTGAATGAGCACTGCGAGCGGCTCCCAAACCAGTGTTGGTGGGCGCTAATAGGCCGCCAATGGTCGTGGAAGCACCATTGTTCATCGAGTTCGCGCCGCCAAATCCACCACCGATACTGCTCTGTCGAGGAATATGAGACGAAGTGGTGGTCGTGTCGAGGCCACTATGACCATTAGGCATGTCGCCATATAGCGTTGCCTGTTGGTTGGTCAAAGCCTGGTTCTGCTGCTGTTGGAGTGACGCGAATGACAGTCCATCCTCTCGCATGTCTTGCTCAGCTTGGGCCTGTTGTTGAGACACGTGCGACAAATACATGGTCAAGGGATTGTTATTTCCAGCATTCAAGATCGTCGATGGTGTTGGGGCAGCCATGTTGGTAGGAGGCTGACGAGGGATGCTTGAAGCCTGCCCGCCGACCGAGGCTTTAGGTCCGACGGGGATTTGAGACCTTGTTGGACTGACACCCGGCTGGGACACGGGGTTCTCAAAGCCATTCATCGTGGCGGGAGAACCGGCTCCGTCTGCCGCGCCCTGCAGACGAGTATGGTTGCCATTCACATTGTTCAAACGTGGTGGATTGCCACATCGATCCTTGCCAAAATTGATCTTGAACCGTTTGTATTCCTCCTTCTGTCGCACGGCCTCAATGGCTTTGATCGCGTTGGCAATGTTGGTAAAATTGACAAAGGCGCAGCTCTTCTCTCGAAGAGTGTTGACCAGCTCGATTTCGCCGTATTCGGAAAAGTCCTGTCGCAGACGCTCCTCACTCCAACTCTCGTCGAGGTTGCCAATGTACACATTTCGTGAAGCCCCTCCACTGACGGCCAGAGCAATGGCTGGCGGAAGGGCTCCCGAGTGCTTGCCCCAGCCAATTTTTAGGCGTCGGTTGTGAATCATGAGACCTTGGAGATTGCTTAGGGCATAAAAGGATGCTGCAGAGGTGGGGTCGATGAACGTCACAAAACAGATATGCTTGTCTGGGATGTACCGGATGTGGTGAAGGAGACCTCCTCGAACCACATTGCAAATTTCTTCAATGGTGGTCTCGGGGTGGATGTTTCCAAGGTAGACCGTCCGGTTCCCCAGATTGTTGACCCCGCCTGCCGTGGTGGCAACCGCAGCAGCGGCCACGGATTGCTGTGCCAGGGCGTTGGAAATCAGGTCCCGGTCAGCACCATTGAGGACATGGGCATACCCCGGAGCAATGCCCAAGTATTGTGCGGCATTCTGCTGTTGGGTCTTGGACACGTAGGCACATCGGTCTTTGCCATAATATACACGGCGTGGAGGTCCCCATTTGGGATCTTGTGGAAGTTGTGCCACAGCCTTGACAGCATTCCCAATGGAGAGGAAATGGACAAACGCAATGGCCTTCTCACGCACCATCTTGACCGTGTCGATTGGACCGAATTTTCCTAGATCCTCGCGAATCTCTTGCTCCGTGATGTCTTCCGGCAGGTTGCCCAAGTAGACATTCCTAGATGCTCCAGACTGCTGAACTGCAAGAGCAACAGAAGTAGGCACCGAAGACGGCTTTCCCCAGCCAATCTTGATATCGTGACCTTTGATCGAAAGCTTTTTCAAAATGGCATCGGAATGAAAGTGGGTGGCAGAGCTACTATCGAGAAATGAAATGAAGGCGCAACTCTTTTCTGGCAGCAGTCGCACAGATTCAATCTGGCCGCTGCGAACATGGCCCAAGATTTCTTCCGCAGAAGTATCGGCAGGAATGTTGCCCAAGTACACCGTACGGCTAGTTGTATTCATCCATGTCTGATTCACCCCCATCATGGGCTGATAGTGGCCAAACGCAGCGCCACCGAGACCAGAGAAGCCCGTAGGAGATTGTGCTGCAAAACCCTCGGGGGACATAACAGGTTGGTAGGCTGGGTTCGCGTTGTGTGGGACAGGACTCGCCATTTGAGCTTGGGCTTGTTGATTTTGCTGATACTGCTGCGTTTGGTGATGGAGAGCATTTGTTCCTTGAGGCACCCGATTGAAGCTTGGAAACTGAGGCGAAGCAAACGCCCCTGGAGAGCCCGGTTGAAAGGGGCTTCCCAGGAGAAGTTGAGAAGGCAATAACGGTGTAAAGTTCATGTCAAACGCGGCACCAGGCGTCTGTTCGTTGGCATTATATGTTGGTTGTTGTTCTTTGGGTGCGGTGGGTATTGAAGGAATGTTGGACTTGCGCATGTTGCGGTCGCCGAACCCCTGATAGACTCCGTTGTTGGAATTGTAGGCGCCATAGCTGAAGCCAGTGTTGTCCGTTCCCAATTTTACAGATGCAAGACGATTTCCAAGTCCTCCGAACACGTCTTGACTTTGCATTGCGACCAGCATGTGGATTCTTGTTTTGTACGCCGGGTATATTGTTCAAATACAGCAGGGGTCCTTTGGTTTCTTGTAAACAAGCGAGGTCAATCGATGCACCAGTCCACGAAGAGGTAAGGAGAACGGCCGGTCACAGAAGGCGGTTCGTGTGGAGGCCTTCGATTTCAGGCGACTCTCCCCGCAAGCGTAGGGGTTGTCGATGGCCGGATTGGAAAAATAGGAGGTGAGTAGCGAATGTGGTAATGTAACGAGCGAATGGAATAGAAAAACACCAAACGATTGAATGAATAAAAGGATTGAGCGGCTAGGACAATGAAAGAATGAGGAAGAGGGAGAAAGTAGAGAAAGTAAGGATGGAGCAAGCAACAATCACAAGAAAGAGGTTAAAGAATGGAGTTTGAATTGCTTGCTTGCTAGTAACCGAGAAGAGCGAGAGTGCCAAACGTGAAAGTGGACGAGTGGATGGAGTGGAGGGAGGCAGCGAATGACAATACCTGGTGCTAAGGGGGCAGCACTGGCGGGAGGTGGACTGGGAGAGACCCGGCCGCAGGGCGAGTAAACGACAATTAACTGGTACGCGCGGGTCTGGCACCGGCTCGTAGTGTAGCCACGGGCTCAACATCAGACAGAGATTCACCTACACTATTGAAACCATTCTATCTAGGCCCCTGGGTATGGTTCTGGCAAAGGCAAAAGATACCTTCTCCTGCGATGCTGGTGGTTTCATCCAGCGCCAATCCGACTCAAACGTCTAAGAACTTCTGCTACACTAACAATTATGCTTTCAGTTCAGGAGGGAGAAAGTGATACGCCGAAGTGGCCCCAGTTAAGGACGGAGGTGCATATTCTGCTGGAGATCAACTCTGCAGATGCCAGGCATCCCGGGGCAATGGTTGGTGCTCATTGATTGACAGAACAGTTATGGTTGCGGGAAGATCAATCTGCAGCCTATTTGGTCGGTGGCTGAGGCGCGCCGTTATGCATTTCTTAGGCTATAGCGTCCAGGTGCCAGGTACGAAACTGGCAGTTCAAGCACGCCTTCAGGCATTGACTGAGGCCCCTAGCTGGCTCTCAGGAATCCTACATGCAGTGCAGCACGTGCAGTGTTTTGCGGTTGACTCACCACGACGTGTCTAGCGGGTAAAATGAGTAATTCCATGACCGTGGTAGTCCCCTTCTAGACACTCTATCGGAGTCCAGCCGGTCGGTCGAGAATTCGAATTCTGCGAAAAGCAGGTACAGGAGGACTCGGAGTATAGATGCTGTGGTATGCCAGGCATGTCTCTAACACGGGCTTCAAATGTGCCGAAAGCTCGCGGGACCTCGAACTGCAGCGTGGCAGAAGGGGAAGATGTTCCGCCGTGTCTGCAATGTGGCGCTGGTTTGATTGCTGGTTCCGACGGGAACTTGACATTACCCAATCAGAGATTAACATTCCTGCCCCATCGACGAGACGTTCCTGGCGCCTGTTTAAAGCTTGTGCTAGACTGTCTTGAGCTAGAAGCTGCCTTTGCCGCCATAAGCGCGAGGGCTCAATTCAATTCGCCTAATTGCCGCTCTGCGCACTGCAATGGCCAGACTCCATACAAAAATTATGAAAGCACGGAAAGGACCCAGCTTATCAGTCACTGCATCCCACAGTCACAGCAGCCGTGCATTGCTTCCGTTGAGCAGGTCAATCCGGTCGATCATTGTAACCTGTTTTCTTTCTCGATCGTCCATCTTCAGGCTGTGTAGACCCCGTTGTTTCATCACTTTTTCTGGCTAGGCCTTGTTGTTCTAGGCCATTGACAAATACCTCCGCTTAGTCTGAGAAGCTTGTGACTCACGTGGGCCACGGTGGTTAGTATATCGGCCCAGGAAAGCCCCAGCTGTGTTGCCGGAAGGGACATCAAACTTTCATTCAGTATGGCGTCGCCGATATACATTGACGAAGATGTCGGGCGTGACGACGAGTCGGCCGTGGGCACGGAAACGGCGCCCTACAAGACTCTTCTCCACGCCATGATCAAACACCCACCGGAAACCGCGACATATCAAGTTCGAAAATCCGTGACTGGGCCCGTTGATGAGAACGGAGACCCAGCTTCTCGACTGGAATGGAAAGCGCCAGCCAAATCGGCCCTGAAGAAGGCGACCAACCTGTATGAGCAACACAAGAAGAAGCAGGCCAAGGCGTCGGAACTGGCGATCCGTGAGCAAGCCGAAGCGATGAAGCGACAGCAAGTGCTGGAAGAGGCCAAGAAGGTGGTTCTTGAAGAAGATGCCAGCCTGCCGGCCCCGGTCCGAATTCGCCTGGACGAGACGGATCCCGCCAAAATCCAACTAGGAACTGCTGAGAACCGTGGCACGCGTGTGCGCGTGCTAGGAAGAGTGCACCATCTACGAGTCCAAAAAGACATCATCTTCGTGACCCTCAAAGACGGCTACGGCAAAATGCAATGCGTGTTCACCGGCAACCTGATCAAGACGTACGCAGCCATGACGCTGACGCTAGAGACGTCGCTGGACATCCGGGGTGAGCTTAAAGCATTGCCACCCAAGGCCCACGCCCCGCTCGACCGCGAACTGCACGCCGATTTCTTCAAGGTGATCGGGGCCGCCGTGGGCGACAAGGAGGCTATCACCAACAAAGTGCAGCAGGACGCCGACCCGCAGACGCTTCTGGACAACCGCCACCTCGTTCTACGCGGCGACAACGCCTCGGCAGTCATGAAAGTGCGCGCCGCCGTCGCCCGAGCCTTCCGACAGACATACCTAGAAACACGGCTTACGGAAGTGACACCGCCAGCCATGGTGCAGACGCAAGTTGAGGGCGGCGCCACGCTCTTCGAGTTCGACTACTACGGCGAAAAGGCGTATTTGACGCAATCCTCTCAACTCTACCTCGAGACCTGTCTCCCGTCTCTGGGTGATGTCTTCTGTGTCTGCCCGTCCTTCCGCGCCGAAAAGTCCCTGACCCGCCGCCACTTGTCCGAGTACACGCACATCGAGGCCGAGCTGGACTTTATCACTTTTGACGACCTGCTCGACCACTTGGAACATGTCATTTGTCGAGTCATCGAAATCACCCTCACCGACCCCGTCATTGCAGGCTATATCAAGGAACTCAACCCGAAATTCACCCCTCCATCCCGCCCCTTCCGCCGCATGAAGTACGCCGAGGCCATTGAGTGGCTGGTCGAGCACGGCATCCCCAACGAGGAAGGCCAACCTCATAGATTCGGTGACGACATCGCCGAAGCCGCCGAGCGCAAAATGACCGACGAGCTCAACGTTCCTGTGTTTCTGACCCATTTCCCCGTCGAGATCAAGGCCTTTTACATGAAAAAGGACGATTCCGACAAGCGCGTCACCGAGAGCGTTGATGTCTTGATGCCTGGTGTCGGCGAGATCGTCGGTGGCAGTATGCGTATGGACGACTACGATGAGCTCATGGCCGCCTACAAGCGTGAAGGGATTGATCCGGCTCCGTACTACTGGTACACCGATCAAAGACGGTATGTTCGATTTTTTGGCCCTTGGTTTTTCTTTTTGCTTGTTTCTTCTTGCTACGTAGCAGGGTGGGTTGACTAACTCAAAAACAGGTACGGTACTTCTCCTCACGGCGGTTACGGCCTGGGCCTCGAGCGCTTCCTCGCTTGGATGTGCGGCCGTTGGACCGTCAGAGAATGTGCGCTCTACCCGCGGTTTGCTTACAGATGCACGCCTTGAGCGGGCTTTGTCTCAAACGATATTGGTCACTGCCAATGCATCCGACACGATTTTGCAACGCGAGGTCAAGTTCATCATAGATACGAAACAGGAGGCCTTAAGTAGATAGGCTACTACTCATTTTAGCATGAGCCAAATGCTTCACTTCTTGTGGAACTACGACCGACATACTGTACCTCACGCGGAGGAAGACGAGTCAAATCACAAGATAGACAGATAGTACATGCACATGATGCTGTCATGTACTAGGATAGAAGAGAGAGTCGGAGCGTGTTTAGACAAGTTGGAATTCAAGACATTTTGGCTGGCTTTTTGAACAATGCAATGCTGCAGAATGTTGTGGGTACAGAAAAAATTGAGATCATAACTTGATCCTATTTTGCTCCATGTTTGTATTGCGCCAACTAAATATCAAAACGAAAACTTCCGTTTTGAGGCATCATAGATACTTCTTAGGCATGGTGCTCTTCCGCCATTTATACCAGACAAAGGCGCCGATACAACAGGTCTGAAACGCCATGAAGCTGTAGAGGATGAAGCCGATACGCGGCGTATGGGCCTGAACATACTCACGTAAGCGCTGGGGGACGTGCTCGGTGACGCCGACATGGGTCTGGGCGATCTGCTCTGAGATTTTGGCAAACTGGGCCTTGTGATCGGACGACTTGAGTTCGCGCTCGAGATTGGAGACGATGCGGTCGAGATTGGCGACGCGCGAATCCAGCGACGAGATCATTTGGCCGTTGGGCATGCGGGCGAGAATCTCCTTGTATCTCGCCTCCTCGGCGGCGGTGTGGCGCTGGATCTCACCGAAGAGGTTCGTGATCGACTTGGCCAGCAGATTGAGCCGGTTGTGGAGGTCGGTGAATTGGGCTTCGGAAGTGGTATAGTACGATGCTGGGGTATCGTCCATTTGTGGCAATCCGAAGTCCTGGAGTGGTTGTTTTTGTTGGGCCTGTTCTGGAGTATTGCCTTGCCCTTGTTGGTTTGATGGAGGTGGGGTTGGGATGGAAGAAAGGACAAAGGCAAAGACTTCAAACGAGTCCGGAGGATCGTCCGAGGCGGCCGTTAGACCGAAAGCATAGTCTGAAGGAAGGCTGACTTTGTCTGTGGCAAAACAGACTCTGCCGTCCACCCGTACTTCAAGACCTGCACGGGTGGATTTGACGTTGATATGTGAGGGCCGGCCCAGGTTGCGGTAGATGTAGTCGCAATTCCCGAATGCTAAGCTGTCCACGTTGGGATGGCTCTTGTATTCGACGGAGCCGTCGTTGAGAAATCCACGGATCTTCTGGACCCCTCCAACCGTATCCACGACAATTGCAAGCCCTTCCCATTTTCCTACTGTGTATATGCTTGCGGTGCTTATTGTTTTCTCTCCGTTGTTCGCGTACCATAGCTGCAAGTGACCTATCCCTCGGTCGACAGCTCCCGCCCTGAATTTCAAATCCGCCGTCCATTCCTGCAATGAGTTCTTATTCTCTGACCATAACGCCCCTCGTTTGTGCGCTCCGTATGGCGGTGTCAAAATGACTTTGTCGGACAGCAGTTGAGGCACGTGTCCTTCTCCAAGCATCGCCCAGCCGGGGATGGCGAAGGAGTTCGGTGAAATGCCTTGTTTATGGCCAAAGGATACTTCTTCAACGACATTTTGTGAAAGGACGGCGGTCGCCCACGTAAGAAACAGCCAGGCATGGCGGAGGTTGAACATGGTGCTTGCTCAAGGGCAGCAGAGTTCTCTGTCGAGGTCAGCAATGCTGCAAACCTGGGAGGGGCTATTGATACTGACATAGAGATAGGAGGCCGGATGATGCAGCTCGCAATCAATCTCTAAGAGGACGATTTGCTGCTGTTCATCCAAGTACGGAATATCGAAACAGTGGCCCAAGTGCAGCAGATGGCAATGACGCAGTATCGGATCTCACGAGCAATGTCAAGCGTCACAGGCGCTGGTTCAACAAGATGTCTAACGTTTAAATTCTTGAAGGCAACATTATGTGTAAATCCTTCGAATCCGTCCATTCAAAGAATAAAAGATCGAGAAGGGAAATAATATGGGAATTGGCCCGACTGCCAGGGCTACAAGGTGTCACAACTTGCTGGATGTTCAATCGGGGTACAAATAAACGAAACACCGAGTCTCGTGTCCGGATTCCGCGTCCCTTAAAGAGGCCAGATATTACTGTAATTCCAGGCAGGGCTGCATTGACCGTAGAGCATTGTCATTCGTTGATAGGATTGGTATGATTAGATAAGCCGGCGTGACAATATGATTGGACAACCTCGCACCACTACTAGTACCACTGCCAGCACCATAGGCATGTGAGGTGTCTTCTATTTCCTCGAGGTACCCGATCAGACACGCGCGGAAATACTATCGCCAGCCATGGCATCAGTTGTCTCAGTCACATTGAGCCAGCTGCGTGTTAACACACTCATAATTCCTGTAAGACCACGGAGCCTTGCTCTGGTTCGTCGCGAGCTTGATCAGCTAATGGTGAAGAAAGGAACGGCCGGAGCCCAGAGGACCCCGGGAAACACCGAGGGATCAATGGCCTACGCTCTTTCAGACAGCAGTCGTAGCCACAGCCCTGAAGATTCTTCTATTTCCTGCCTACAAATCGACCGACTTTGAGGTGCATCGGAACTGGCTCGCCATCACTCATTCCCTGCCCGTCAAACGTTGGTACTATGAGGTTGGTTGAGCATATCGCTCCTAGATCCCTCCGTCAAGCTCACCGTCATCTAGGCCACGTCAGAATGGACTCTCGATTATCCTCCAGCATTTGCTCTTTTCGAGTGGCTGTTGTCTTATCCCGCAAGCCTGATTGATCCGGCCATGGTGCAGATCGAGAATCTTAACTACGATTCCTGGGCCACTGTTTGTTTCCAAAGAGGCTCGGTCATCTGCACAGAACTACTTCTAGTCTACGCCTTGCACAGGTACACGAAGACCTCGCCGCCGTCCACTCAGCCGCAAAGTCATGCCGTGGCTCTTTCGATCCTGCTCTCCCCGGGACTTCTGATCATCGACCATATCCACTTCCAATATAACGGGTTTCTTTACGGTGTCCTGCTCTTGTCGATTGTTCTTGCCAGGAAAGAATCGACACTATTGTACAGTGGTGTTCTGTTCGCATTGCTGCTATGCCTCAAGCATATCTACCTTTACTTGGCACCCGCCTATTTCGTGTACCTCCTCCGAGTCTACTGTCTCGATCCGAAGAATGTGTTTCGACCACGGTTTTCCAACATATTTAAGCTTGGAACAAGCATCATCGCCAGCTTTGGTACAGCCTTTGGCCCCTTTGTTGCTTGGGGTCAGCTGGAGCAACTCAAAAGCCGGTTGTTCCCTTTCGCGCGCGGCCTCTGTCACGCATATTGGGCCCCGAATGTGTGGGCCATTTACTCCTTTTTGGATCGGATCCTGATATCTGTGGCGCCTTACCTCGGTTTGCGCGTTAACCAGGACGCCGTAAACAGTGTCACCAGAGGGCTAATCGGAGATACGTCGTTTGCCGTGCTACCAGAGATTACCGCGCAACACTGCTTCGGACTCACGTTGGCCTTCCAGATCATTGCTTTGACGAAATTATGGCTCACTCCTTCTTGGGAGGCGTTTGTCGGAGCGACTACACTCTGCGGGTACGCCTCGTTTCTCTTCGGCTGGCACGTCCACGAAAAAGCCATTTTACTGGTGATCATTCCCTTCAGCCTGTTGGCGATCAAGGATCGGTCATATCTGGCAAGCTTCCGCCCTCTCGCCGTCGCGGGTCATGTCTCTCTGTTTCCGCTCATCTTTACGGCGGCAGAGTTCCCTGTCAAGGTGGCGTATACAGTGGCTTGGTTGATCATTTTTCTGTACACTTTCGACCGGCTGGCACCGCCGCCTGCGAGAAGGAGGGTGTTCCTGTTGGATCGATTTGCACTGCTCTACATTGCGATTGCAGTGCCGTTGATCACTTACTGTTCCTTGGTACACAGGATGGTGTTTGGGGAGAAGTATGAGTTCCTTCCTCTCATGTTTATTAGCACATACTCGGCCGTCGGCGTGCTCGGCTCATGGCTTGGATTTATGGTCTGCTATCTGTCATGACATCTTTTGTGGAGCAGTCCCGACATAGTAGTATCTAGAACACCAAACATGAGCAGCAATGGGGGTTTAGCCTATACAGCTCTGCACAGACTTGTGAGGAAGGTGGTATAAATCTACAGGCCGCTAAGCTGCTCACCACCAGACGTTGCCATTTCTGCCCGCTCAGTTGGAGACTATCAAAGGGAGACCTTGATATAATCGTGCCGCGTGTGTTTGTGGCCCTCCGCGCTTGTTGGAGCGATTATCCCGCAAACCCAATGGCTCGAGATGGGGGATTGATGGTGGTCAGAAGCTGATAATGCGACCTAGCACAGACTAGAGGGATATTCGTGATTTAAGAATGGCTGGACGGGACGCAGCTTCGTGTAAGCATTCGAATGAGTACCTATACGCCCATCAACAAGCTGTGATCGGGGAATTAGAGAATGCTCATGGCTAGTCGAGGGATCGAAGGGGCAGCGATTGGACGCGAGCGGGCGTAGCGTGAAAGCCACCCGAAAAGGCTCGGCGCTGGGGCGGCCGAAAAGGGCAGGTCGGGCGACGTGGGCCGGAGGAAAACACGCACGAGGGCGCAGGGTGTATACAAGATATATACAGACGGTGAGGGTATTGCTAGATGATAGCGGGTACTTGCGATGTCTGTTGCTGCTCCGCTGGATTGGGCGATTGTCCCCTCAGATATTCTTCAGTTTGTATCTGCCACCGCATAATGTGTAGTCCGTCCGGGCGGCCGCATTGAAGTTCGTCGCGCTCCCATACCAAACAGACTGCGGACCAGGACCGCTACCACCGCTACGCACTAAGGTTCCACATCCGGCACCCGCTGCTGCCACTCAGGCTTCTCTACTACTGGCTCCCTCTCCCTCGCCTTGCCGCATATTAGGATTGTGCCTTTCTCTGCATTATTGTCTTTCCTCCTCTTCCCTCGTTATGCTGGGTGCTTTGTACCTTTCTGCCTCTTCCACTTCCTCATCTTCACCACCACGCGACAAACGCCCTACCTCGCTGCCTCAAATTCACAACCTATCCCGCTGTCTCCGATTGCAGTCCACCGTTTTCCTCCATGACGCGTTTGGTTTGCCATAAGTATGCCTACATGACTGTCGCAAAGCCTGCATTCCCTGCGACAGACAGCGAACCTCAGCGCGACACGTCCACAGGACTGATATTGGGTGGAATATAGATTGTGGTGTCCATGAACCACCCTACTTGCGACAGACACATACTCGTCTCTCGCCCCGCGCTGTACCTAACCGAGACCTATCCTTTCCTCTCCGGTCGCCAGAATGGTACTGTTCAAGAGAAAGCCTGTGCGGTATCTTCCACACCCGCATGTGGATGACCAGCAATGTGACGTCTGGGTCATCCCGGAGGCAGACGAAGTATTCACGTCTTACGATGCCTACCTCGAGCGCATGGACTTTTTCAAGTCAAAGCGATTTACTTGCGAGGTGACTGGCCGCTCGGGCTTGAACTTCTTTGATGCGCTCCGTAGTGAGCAGGCAGGGTCACGGGAAATTGATGAAGCATTTCCACAAGCCTTACGCGAGCCTGTCTTGCGGCGTGTCCAATTCTCGACCACATCACGGCTGGACCATCTGGTGGAAGAGGTGTACAACGAGTTCAAAAATGACTTTTATCCGGGCGAGTTGGTAACTGTCATCTTGGACGACAACACCAGATTGTACGGCAGAGTCAGAGATAAGGCAAAATTCGCCGAGATCAGAGCGCCTGACGGTTCGGTCGTGAGAGAAGGCTTTTCCCGCTACTTTGTCAGACTGGTAGATCGCCCAGATGAGGAGGCTCTTGTGGACGACCATCATATCGCGAGAGACCGGAAATCTTTCACCAAACAGATGCTCCGCTCGTTTATCAAGAACACTGTCACTCGCGAGGGCTGGAATGGCGCACCATGGCTGGTGAAACCCGAGGTCGCCGAACGGTTTCGCATCGACACCAATGTCCCTCCACATCTCCAGTATAGCAGTAAGGCTGCGGCGAAGAAGGCAGAGAAGAAGAACAATGTCGAGCAAGATCCGATGTTCGATGTCTGGCAACCTAATAAACTGCCGGAGTTGAAGCCTGCCACGAAGGGCAAAAAGGGCCAGCAGCATGCTTCTCAGCACCAGCACCACCCGGGAGGCATCGACCCAACGGCGCCAGGGCACCCTTTTGACTACCGACACAGCGTCATGCCTGACCCCGGATTGTTGCCTCGATCCTGGGGACATATGCAACCACCTCCACCGCCACCTACAGGCTTTGACCCCTACTATCCAGGATATCCTCCTCACTATCCCCCCGCGAATGGTTATTATCACCCTCCAGCTGTACAGGCCCAGGAGATGCTGCCGCCCAAGCAGGTCGTTCAGCATCACCACCAACCACAACAACCACCACCCCAGATCCCTCAGAAACCGCCCTCTCCGTCGCCGCCCCCGCCGATTAAATATCCGATAGAAGATCTAGACGTTGAGCCCGTCCGAGATGGCACACATCGGCCGAATCTAAAATTTGTGGCGAGAGAGCAATGCCTAAGTGGAAAGGCGGCAGCGACGAAGGACGTTATTCCAGGTGTCAAAGAGGGAACTGTCGGCCTTCTCCTGGAAACCTGGAATACCCTCAACGTTTATTGCCAAGTTCTCAAGCTAGACTCGTTCACGTTTGATGATTTCGTTGAAGCCATGCTGTTCTCTTCTACGGATGTTGACTGCGAGTTATTTGTCGAAATGCATTGCGCCTTACTCAAACAACTTGTCAAGGCTGAGAACGACGATGAAGGAGCAGTTCAAATCTCTCTTCCGGATCTCCCAGAGTCCGACGAGGAAGAGGAGTCCGAAGAAGAGGAAAGTAAATTGCCAACACCCACACCCGAACCCGAGTATCCGGCCAAGCGCACTCGGAGTAGTCTTCATAAGGTCCAGTTGGCCGAAGAACTACTCAAGCAGGAACAAAAAGAGGAAGAGGTAATTTCACACCGTGCCGCAGAGATGTTTGACGAATGTGGCTGGATCGACAGACTACGAAAGCGGGATCTGAGGAACGGTGGTTGGGAATTGGTCATGGTCGGATTACTGCACCGACTGAGCGGGAGGCCGCGACTTACAGAAGTGTGCAATAAGATCCTGGCGCATTTGGCTCCATTGGACGCCGAACCTACCATTCAGACCGCGCAATATCAGTATTCTACTATGGACATCAACCTGCGAGCAGAGGCACTTCAGATTCTCTGTCGATTATTCCTCGAGACCAAGACTGTCCGCGACTTCTTGGAAGAAATGAGCAATACGATGACCAACTACCGGAAGATCAAGATCGAGCACCAGCGAGCTCGAAAGGAGGCATTGGCGAGGCTCAAGGAACTTCAAGCCGAGAAACGAGCACTCGCACCAGAACCAGAAAAATCGCCATCGCCCATGCCGGAACTGGAAGACGCCGCGGAAGCAGAGAAAGCTGCTGAAGACCAGGACGCATCAATTCCCGATTCTGAAGACGAGGAGCCCATGGTCACGCGTTCTCTCCGTCGCGGCAGCGACCGCGCGGCTGAGAGGAAGCGGAAGCGAGAGGAGGAACAAGAACGAAAAGAAAAAGCCGCGGAAGCGAAGCAAAACAAAGGCAGCAAAGAGTACCAAAAGGTGCTCAAACAGATTGAAAAGGAGCGCGATAAGATTGAGGCCGCGGAAGAACAGATCGTCATTGTCGACAATGATCTGCGCGAAGCAGACTGCGCTCGAACGCGCATCTTGGGCAAGGATCGCTTCTGCAACCGGTATTGGTGGTTTGAAAGAAACGCCATGCCATATGGAGGGTTACCTGAAAGTTCCACGGCAGATGCCGAGTACGCCAATGGCCGCATCTGGGTACAAGGCCCTGACGATATGGAGCTTGAAGGATTCATCAACGTGGGCGACGCAGACAAGAAGGCCTACTATTGCCTATTTCAGATGACGCCGGAAGAACGCAAGAAAATGGAGGAAGGCCCGACACAACTCCGGTCAGCCAACCAGTGGGGGTTCTACGATACGCCCGAAGAACTCGACATGCTTATTGGGTGGCTGGATTCAAGAGGTGTGAGGGAGTTGAAACTCAAGAAAGAGCTCAATGCACTGAGAGATGTCATGATCAAACATATGGAAAAGAGAGCGGCATACCTGACCCCGCCGGCACGAGAGAAGTCGGAAGAGCCGGCTGAGACCACGACGAGAATGTCAACCAGAACAAAAACCCAGGCCCAAATGCGCAGTGAGAAGAACCAACAGCGATGTTTGCGATGGAAGAACACCATGGCCATGGCCGAATTGGGTCATCGACACATCGATCCTCCACTCAAGCCCCGTGGCAGAGGTAGGAAGAACAACCAGGGAGATAACTTGAAGTCGACCAGCGGGGCCAAAAATGCGGCTGCGGCGCCGACTGTGTTGAATCGTCAGGGCAAGCCGGCCACGAGACAGGGATCGAGATACAATTTCTGAGGTGCAGGTCTTGCTGGAAGTCTGAATAGTCTAATGAGGTGCAGTGGTTGGGGTTGGGTCTTAAGTGAGACACGACGGAGCCGGTGACGAAGAAATGAGACGAGACAAAAAGTCCGGTGGGTGGATAATTGTACTGTGTACTTGATTGGCGTTTAGAGAAAGCAAAGCATGGGCGTTTTCATGGAGTGACTGGGTTGTGGGCTGTTGCCGGCTCTGCTTGCATTCAGGTTGTCTGCTTCCTCTTTTTCTTGCTTTGCTTTGCTGTGAAACTAGACGTGGAGAATGGGAACGCAACAGAGCGGTGGCATCAAGACCAGATGAACAGATCAGATCAGAAGAAGATGATCTGGAATCGGAACAATGGAGTTCTTCATTCTTATTCGATTTATTTTCACGCCCTCATCTCTGCTTCGTGACTGATACTATCGCATGTAGCCCTGGTATACAAAATCGTGCTCTTCTCCTTGCTTACTGTCCACCCTTACCACACCCTACCACCCGACTACTAGGTATGCATACTACCACCCGTCTCCCAGTTCTTTTTTTCTTCTGTGTTTTGACATCCATTTTCTTCTGCTCAAACTGAACTGCTTGCTCGGCCTTGGAAAGCCCAGCTCCATACTTGTACCTCCGCAAGCCACTGTATGCGCCTCATCCTCTGTCTCGGCGCGGCCTTTTGATTTGGCTTCTGCTTTTGCTTTTGCTTTGACAGCAGCGGCATCTACAACTCATCTCTCGCAATGTCTTCCTCCTCCTCTTCCTCCGCCTTCGCCTTGGCCTTAGCTTTCGCCTTAGCAGCAGCCTTGGCCTTGGCCTTCGCAGCAATCGATCTTCCCGGCTTATGCAGGACAACCTCCTCACCACGATCCTTGAGGCCCCTCTTGACAATACTAGTCAAAATCTCATAAGCGACCTGCGCGCCCGCCAGAGCCGTCCCCTCATCTCTCCCATCATAAGCCGGCGAAACCTCAACAATATCGGCCCCGACAACATTCAACCCCTCAATCCCGCGCAGAATTGCAATGAGCTCTCTAGTCGTCCAACCACCCGGTTCCGGCGTACCCGTACCAGGAGCAATGCCAGGATCAATGACATCGATATCAACGGACAAATAAACCGGTTTTTCAGTCCCCATACGGTCCATGATCGCATCAATAATTCCCTGGACACCAACGGCATCGATATCATCAGCTTCGATACGCAGAAACCCCTGGTTCTCGTCGTTTTCGTAATCGGCCCAATCGACGCCTCCTAAACGGGTTCGCAGGCCCGCATGGACACTCGATCCATTGGCAATTAGTCCTTCTTCACTTGCGACCCAGAACATGGTCCCGTGCGTGAAATCCGCTTGGGTGGGTGTATTGGCCCATGCTGACGGGTATGCGCCTGGATGCCAGGTGTCCAAATGTGCGTCGAAGTGGAGGACTGCGATGGGGCCACCGTGGATCTTCTCGAGAGCCCTCAAAGCTGGGAGGGCGATGCTGTGGTCGCCGCCCAAACTGATTAATTTGGGGTGTTTGTGCGCTGGTGGGTTGGTGTATGATAGGGCCCGCCGGGATACGAGTTCCAAGTAGGCGCTTGTCATTTGGTGCAGGGCTAGTGCGTTGTCGAATGGTGAGACGGGGATGTCGCCGCAGTCGAGGATCGATGCCCATGATGTATATGGGTTCAAGCCCGCCCGGTGGTTGAAGCCCCGGAATGTGGTTTGGCGGGCGGATGCGGCCCGGATGGCTCGGGGGCCGAATCGTGCGCCTGTAGAGGAATCAGAGAGTGGAAAAGAAACAATAATTGGTCATATCATATTGCACATGGTTGTGGTTATCACCATCTGCCATTCTCCGAGTTCACTTGCTTCGGAGACAGTGGGAGAAGAAGTGTAGGTCCAGTACTCACCAGGTCGATAACTGACCGCCGTATCAAACGGCACCCCGATAATGCCAATGTCAAAGGGCTCGTACGGTGTCGTCAGACACTTGACATGCCGGAGGTGGGCAAAGGTTGAGATTCCTGAAAAGCCCCACTAAACACAGCAAAAGTCTCTTAGCATGGATGTGATTTGAATCTTCTAGCCACTGCATTGCAATTTTTTCTTTTTGGTTTCATGTTCTGCTCCAGGCCAGATACCTGGTATGACGGTACGGGTCAAGGACCGAAGGGCACCAATTCGCCCATGCTCATGTCCATGCCCACATCCGATGCCAATGCCAGCAGAGAGAAGACAGTCATGACAAGAACAAGCAAGCAGATTGGTTTGGATCGGTTGGTTTAACATACATCAGTGTCCCATTTGGCCTTCAACTCCTCCAACGGCGTCCCCGATTCGGACGGCAAATCGAGTTTCGGGTTGTCGTAAAAAGATGCTCCGGTAAATGGAGCAAGGAAGAGCAGCGACAGTGGTATCGCGTGGCAGAGCATTTTTAACAGCCTGGACTCCGACACTCACCCAGTGTCGGTCGCAAGCGAAAATAGGTATTATACAGTATATGTACAAACAGCAGGATGCTGATCGTGTACAAGAAGTAATAATAATTATATTTGTCCGATCGGAAGCGTGCCGTGGGGTGATGCAGTGGGCGGAAGAAGTTTTGCAGTCATCAATGCGGAGAAAAAAAGTAGCGGGAAATTGTCAGCGAGCTTCGACTTCAACTTTACCTAAGCTTCAGTCTGGCATAAGGTATTTCGCAGAATGGGGTGGTTATTTTGCAGAAACGCTAATCTACTTATAGTATTGCCAAGAACACGCCAATTGTAAGGTTTATGGTACCGAGAGATTACGCGTTAAATCACTCTAGGTGCGTCTAGCACTACCTACTGTAGCCCTACGGCGCCTATAGCACCTAGGTAAGCAGCGCCAATAGCGCCTATAACTCCCCCCTACAGCTACACCCCTACAGCTACCCCCCTACAGCTACCCCCCTACAACTGCACCCCCTACAACTGCATACCTATTGTGATACGCTAATAGAGGGGTGTAGTCGTAGGCGTGCAGTTGTAGGTATACAGTTATGCAATAATAGGTACGCATTTATAGGTGCTATAGGTGCTGCAGGCCTATAACGAAGGTATTGACTTACGTGATATACGGCGCTAAATGCACTATGCAAAAGTGGCTAGCGTCACTCTGAATTGAGCCTAAAGTAGCTTAGCGTTTCTGCGAAATAACCACCCCATTCTGCGAAATACCTGATGCCCTTCAGTCTCCGCCGGCGGAAATGGGCGACCTTTACAATTGGAGTCTTGGATCGTCATCATCAATACTGTATGCTATTTACGCCGAGACCGTCTTGATCAAGTATATCACCGATACGACGAGAGGATTACTGTAGGTTCAAAATTGGCGACATTTACACTCCCTGTTCGCCACATACCCTCCAATATCTGAGAGGATTGGATTGGATTGGATTGGCCGGCCGTGGGCGACGATATGATATGCGCAGAGTGGTCGTGACCGGGCTGGGAGCCGTCACGCCTTTAGGAGTTGGTACGTCCATTGCATTTGATTGTTCATACTTGAAAATGATTGCATTGCTTTGCCTTTCATTATCATGGCCTCTGGCGTTGCTGTTGGTATCATTCTGTCGGACACCTCAGGCTGTTCCTATCTTCCATGTCACCGGCTCTCTGTTTCCATTTCATTCTCAATATCCATGCTGCTACTACTGTTGCCCCTGTCTCCTGCGGGCCATGTCCAGCGTTTTGTCTTCGATTTGATTGCCTGGGTGGTTCTGGTGGTCTTACACCACCCAGCGGTCCTACCAATACGGCTGAATATCTATATATGCAAAGTCCTTCCTCAACTCTCAAAAGCTGACCTCCTGTCCTTCTCTACAGGAATCCGCCGAACGTGGCAAAGACTGCTCAACGGTGACTGCGGCATTGTTTCGACCAGACACTTGGGCCCCGAGTTCTCTGCTCTGCCCAGTCAAGTGGCTGGTCTGGTTCCTGTCCCAGCTCCTGCTTCTCCAGAAACTTCATCCGATCCTGATTCCCATTCACACCGATCTGGCCAAAATGCAAAGCAATCCGACTCCAACGGCGTGTGGAAAGCAACCGACCACGTCTCGCCTACAGAGTTAAGACAGACAGCCACATTCGCACAATACGGTCTCGCCGCGACAGCCGAGGCGTTGCAAGATGCCGGTTTCGACGGGGGCAGAGGCCTCGATCCGGAGATGACGGGCGTCTGTTTAGGTTCGGGCATCGGCAACCTCGAAGAACTCTACGCCACATCAGTGGCATATCACGAGTCAAAAAAAAACTACCACAAAATCCATCCGCTGTTCGTCCCTCGTCTCCTCATCAATCTCGCCGCAGGCCATATCTCCATGCGGTATGGATTCAAGGGTCCCAACCACGCCGCCACTACGGCCTGCACCACGGGCGCACACTCGCTGGGCGATGCGTCGCGGTTCATCCAGTCCGGCGAGGCGGACGTCATGGTCGCCGGGGGTGCCGAGTCGTGCATTCATCCACTGGCCATCGGCGGTTTCGCGCGGTCTCGTAGCCTTGCTACCAAATTCAACGACGAGCCACAGTTGGCGTCGAGGCCGTTCGATCGCGATAGAGCAGGCTTTGTCATTGGTGAAGGAGCGGCCTGTGTGGTACTGGAGGTGAGGAACGACCCCAATCTTTCTTTTGAGACAAACGAGGGATAGAGACTTGGCTTTCATATTGATTCACGACTTATCATGATAATCATACAGGAACTCGAGCATGCAAAGAAGCGAAATGCCAGGATATACGCCGAACTGGCGGGATACGGCAATTCCGCCGATGCATACCATCTCACGGCACCACGCGAGGACGGCGCCGGCGCACACTTGGCGATGAAGAAAGCGCTCAAACTTGCCCAACTGCCGCCATCCGCCGTCGACTACATCAATGCCCACGCCACTTCCACTCCATTGGGGGATGCGGCCGAAAACCAAGCCATCAGGTCTCTGATGCTGGGAGACCACGGCAGAACCAAATCGTCCCAGATCAACGTCAGCAGCACAAAAGGTGCCATTGGCCATTTGCTCGGAGCTGCTGGCGCCATCGAGGCCATCTTCGCCATCTTAGCGATACACGAGGTAATAAAAATACCTATCTCCAACAGCCCCAAGCTGACCAGCTAATCCTTGCTTTGATTGTAGAATGTCATGCCTCCTACAATCAATTTCCACTCCGTCACAGACGACTTTGACTGCAACTATGTTGCAAACACTGCACAGCAGGCATCCGTTTGCGTGGCACTGTCCAACAGCTTTGGTTTCGGAGGCACAAATGCAACTCTAGTCTTCAAAAAATGCGACTGACGCAGGTTTCCGAGACTGAAGCATTAAGCCGCTCCACGTGTTTGTCTCGGATCAAGCACATATTCGCTTGGCCCGAGTCAACCTGTCGTCGACAAAGCTGGTACAAATGTCCCACAATATCGGTTTTGTTCGACTAAAACCCTAGTTTCACACTTCACTTCAGCTTACATCGATGGACGCTTTCCTCATTGGAGCTTTGAGCCCTGGTTGGGCCGTCGGTGCAGGTGAAGCGGACACTGACTGCGGAAATGCTGTGTCGTTGGGTGCCGAACCAGCACCGCCAGCAGTACTTCGCACACTCTCTGCGGGCACGCTGAAAAGCCCTCCGCTGCGGTTTCCGCTTAGTGCATTCGAGAGCATCTCCTTCATGCGCACAAGCTGGTACTTCCGCTTCGTAGGAACCAACGTTCGAGTCATCAATGGCTGAGGACGCGAGAGGCTGCGGGAGATGGCGGTCATAATCGAATCCCGTTCTTCGTCCGAGTCGACTGGGCCCGCTAGTGCGGGATCGAGATCCTCGTCGAGAAGGGCCGGGGCATTCGCATCGATTGCCGCCTCTGTGAATAAGAAAAGACGTATAAGCAACGCGCCCCCTTTTTTTCCAAAGTTTTGGATACTTACTTTGTTGCCGAGCTTGATTTTTCTTCTGGTAGGCAGCAAGCAACATGTCATACGGCAGACTCCTTCCCGGCACTGCACGTTTGGCACCCATACTATGGCTTTTGCATGTCAAGCTTCGGGCACATTGGGCGCCGTTGGGCAATGTGACACCGCACTGCTTTTCGACGTCGACGGGTCCCTTGGGTTTGGCGGCCTTCTTCTGTTCTTCTTTTTTGGTCTTCTTCTTTTTCGAGTCTCCCTCGGCCTCGGCCTCAGCTTTCCGCTTTTTACCCTTCTTGGTGGCGTCATCGCCATCACCGTCGACGCCGTTCTTCCGTGCGCCTTTGCCATCTCGTACATCGTCGTCATCGTCATCATCATCGTCGCCCCCTCTCTCTGCTCGCTCTTTTGCACGTTGAGCGGCTTCTCGTGCCTCTTTCTTCTTGCGCGCCTTTTCTTGTTTCGACTTGATGCAGAGGGCAATGTGCTCTTTGGCGGTCCGCTTTAATACCATCTTCTTGCAATGCTTGCACACCAGAGTCTCGAGGGCTTCTTGCTTGCCTTCGGGGAAATTGGCCATCGTTTCCTCGTCGAACTGTGGGAGCACGGGGGACAGGGAGGCCGCCGCATCTTTAGCGCCTGGTAGAAGTCTGGTCAAACAAGATGGCCACAAGGTCTAATAGAATATGGTCCATCCTACCATTTGTGCCATTCTCTTTCTTGTCTCGTGCCGAAGGTACTCTCTTCAGCTTCAATTTGATGGGCTTCTTGTCGGCTTTCTTGAACTTGTAACCGGATGCACCGACAAGACTGCCGGAGGAGGCTGTAGACAGAAGTCAGAGCGAGACTAGAAATCATGCTCGAGGATGCCAACCTTGCGCCTCGTCTGCCGCCATGACAGTGTGGCAGCGCTGTCGCGCCTCTCACGGTCTGGAAGAGGGGAAAGGAGGATGAGCAGCAATGCTCGGACTGGACGTCGGGGGTGACATCTAACCGGTCATATCATTCAGGAGATGCGGGTGCCCGTCATCTTGCTACTGTGCTGTCGAATCTGTTGATGTTGATGGTGGATGCGCCGTTCACGTTCGTTGACTGACTGACTGACTGATGATGATTGGGGCGCCGACTGCCGCCGCATCGAGTCCGAGATCGAATGTTGCAGGTTGCAGCCACGTGACTCTCCAAGTTCGCGCCGCCCGCCGCGCGCCAAGTCTGCCACCAAGTCCCCGGCGGATCAAGTGGAGTCAAAGCGCAGCATCAACGGCGGCGCCTGTTTGACACTCAGTTCAGTTTGCGACCGCGACGACGGTGAACAAACAGTCTCAACCACCGCAGGCGTGACGGTTCAAGTTGCCAGTCTAGGATTGTTGACTCCTGCCTGGTCCTGGGCGGCGCAGGCCAGTCCCAATTTCGATTCCGCCCGCCTTCGCTCTGAGATCTACCTTACCGTGGCCTCTCCCCTCGTCTATCATGCGGAATACCAACTTGAACCGGCGTACTTAGAACAACACAGTCTTGTTACCAGGCGGAGTCAGGGCCTGTTCAATCCATCATGGACCCCTACACCGACCCGAACTCGTTGATCGCACGAGTTGGTGGGCAGTGGGCAGGAGCAGCGCTACAAAAGGACTTCCAAAAAGAAGTGGCCGATCTCCTTGGACGCCGAAGCCGGTCATTCCCAGGCGCGCAGCCGGTGTCGTTTGCAGCGAAACATGTCGAGGAACTCAAGAGAGAGGACTACTATGTGTGCGAGAAGACGGATGGCATTCGATATCTCATGTACCTCACGGAAGATGGGGAACGAGATATCCACTACCTGATCGACCGGAAAAACGACTACTACTATGTCCCTGGTCTGCATTTCCCGCACCACGAGGATCCGACTTTCCATCGCTATCACACAAACACCATTCTGGATGGAGAACTCGTTGAAGACAAATACCCCGACCGGCCTTCGGAGATCAAATTCCTCGTGTTCGATTGTTTGATATTGGACAAAACCATGCTCATGCAACGGCCTCTGGACAAACGGCTGGCATACTTCAAATCCCATGTCCTGCAGCCATACCGGGCCATGTTCAAGCAGAACCCCGAAATCAACCGACCTTTTGTCGTCGAGGACAAGGCGACGGAATTCAGTTATGCCCTGGAAAAGATGTTCAAGGACGTCATCCCGAAAGTGAAACGGCTTCATGGAAATGATGGACTGATCTTCACATGTAAGAATACGCCGTATAAGACTGGCACGGACGAACATATTCTTAAGTGGAAGCCGCCCTCGGAGAACACCGTGGATTTTCTGTTGCACATCACTTGGGCCAAAACGGATCCCGACCCAGAGGACCCTGATCAGTCGCCCCAGGACGATTATTATGCTTTTCCCGAATCGTTCGGCTTGTTCATTTTCTGCGGCAATGACGGCCAGTATGCCCCTGTCGGCGAATTATATGTTGAGCCAGCAGAATGGGAGAACTGGAAGTCGTTGAATCGGCCACTTCAAAACAGTATTGTCGAATGTTTCCAGGAGGATGTTGTCAAGGATTTGTCTCAACGTCACGGATCGAATGGCTACAGTAATGGGCTCAACAATGGTGGTATCAGCAACAATGGCATAAGCAACACTCGACGCTGGAGGTTCCATCGCTTTCGAGACGACAAGACCGAAGCGAACCATATCACTACGTATCAAAGTGTCATTGAATCAATCAATGACCACGTCACCGAAGAGGATCTGTTGGCCCATGCAGATGAGATACGCAAGGCGTGGAAACTGCGAGATTCGGAGAATAAGAAAAGAGAGGCGGCCAAGCGAGCTGCCCAAGCTCACCAGAGTGGGCACCCTCAGCCAGGCGCCCCTTGGCCCAAGCATGGTTGAAATGACATATCTCTCTGTTCTCCGATGCAGTGATTCGACGAGACAATCCTGACCTCTGTAATGGGAGGCTGCTGGTGACCACAGGAGCATTTCCATGACTGGACTGGCCAACACTAAGCGAGGGGCACCCTTGTTTGTCACGAGACGATGGAATGGCCATAACCAGGACATGACAGTAGGTCATGATGAAGATCATGGGACGGGCCACAGAAAGAGCGAGTCATCTCAAACGAGCACACGGTTCTTCCCGGGCATACAGAGAGATTGATTGCGTGAAACAGACCCTACTGAAGAGTGAATGGCCTGCCACGGTGAAGGAGATTCAAAACCCACTGGGGCAGGACGGATTGATCCCTGGAACCAAGGGGCCAAACTCGCACTCGGCGGACAGCGGGCAGCAGGCAGCAAAGAACAGAGCTAACGGCGTTAGTAACGAGCGAAAATGACACTGATGTTTTTGCTTTCGAATGTTATGGATGGCGAGGAGAAGAGGAAAGAAAGGAAGAATATTTATGATACCCCCCGTGAAGAGACCTGCAGTGTTTACGAAACCCTGGCGTACTAGGTAGTGAATGCAGAGCAGCATAGCATCAGCACCATTAGTGCAGAAACAATGTAATGCTTTTCGTCTGCTTTATATTTGCCGTGGCTGGCAGTGTGTGATTTGGGTTTGTATCATATATTGCCACCGCCGTCAGTGTTACCTCCACTACCACCACCACCACCATCAACAGGACCTGGACCCGAGTCTGTACTTGTATATGTACTGATATCCATAGCATCCATGCCCACCATCATCGGGTTGTCCGGCGGAGGAGGATCCGGATAGGGATAGCAATTCGGCGGCAACGCCATCCACTGATCGAGAAGAGCCCAGTCGAAATCACCGGAGGGACTCATGGCCCAGTCCATGTTCCAGTTCATGTCCGTACCTGGATCTGCACCAGAACCAACCATATCGGCATCGCTGATACTGAGGCCTATACCGGTACCAATACCTCTGCCGCCGCCAACAGCACTGCCAGCAGCAGTAGTGTTTGAATTTTCAAGAGTTGAATTCTGGTTCGAGGCAGAGTCCGGACCTGGGCCTCGAAGTGGATTGATGGTGTCAGGGGTAAAAGCGGTATTCTGGTTCTGGTTCTGATATCCCGTATTACTAGGTGTCTGAGTCGGAGTTGGAGTCGAGACTGGGAAGAATGACGAGGGTCCAGATCCAGGTACAGGTACAGATCCGGAGTGTGTTCCGCCATCAGACTGCCGCTGCATTTCGTCCTGCGTTGAAGACGGCGTTGTCCCTGATTTACTCCCGTTGGCGGGGTCCAAGTTGAAGCGACTCGGCCAGGGAAACAAAGTGGACGGGGTGCCGAACTGCAATGGCGTCCCTTGCTGGTGCGGTGAAGAGGTTGGTTTTGGAGGCCATACCATAGGACTCCGAGTCTCGTTCAGTTGTTGGGGGTGTTGCTGTGGCCGCTGCTGGTGAGATGTAATTGTGGAAGACTTCCCGGGAGAGGCCAGTGGCTTGCCACCCTCTCCTATTGTATCGTCCGAACCCATCTGACGCAAGACGACTCTCAGCACATCAGTGACGCGCCTAGCTTCGTTGCTGTTGTTAGTACACTCCTCGCAAATAGCAAAGGCAGCCTTGAGCAACTTGAACAGATCCTCATTCTCCGTCACGACGTCCTTTCCCGGGTTTGCCTTTTTCCAAATCGACAAACCCAGACACAGTACCATGCAAGCGAGGTAAAAGTCGTTCATGGTAAAACTGCTCAACATCCAACGGTCATTATACAATTGGCCACCGGGCTGCAGCTCCTTGTGCAGGTCGAGCATGTGTTTAGTGATTGCGGTGGCGGCGTCCAAACACGCCTGCGTGCTGGCCGGATACCGCGCATACCAGCCCTGGGTCATGTACTTGCGATGCAAAACACACAGAGATTTCTGGTACAAGAAAGCGCAGTTCAAGCGCACCATGACTAGATACGCCGGGTCGGCGTACGAGTGGGCCATAGGTCGGATTCGCAAGATTTCCGGCGTCGAGGCGTAGACGGCGCGCATTTCGGCGTCCAGAGCCATGATTTCTTCCTGGCTGCTCTCGCGGAACGAGAGGACATGAGCACAAATCTTGCCAAAGGTGGTCATGAGCCGGGATTTGGCAATGAAGTACAGTAATGGTGTGGGGTCTTCGGGCGGGCGTGAAGGTGGGAGTGTCGTCGTATGCTCATCAAAGTCGCTGTCGAGCAAGTTGCGAGGTAGTTGAGTGTCCCAACTGCTCGGCGGGATCAAGTTCGGTAAGCCCATCTGGAATGAAGTCATCAGGTCGCATTGTTGTAGCATGGCCCATGTTCGTCGACGCATCTCGCCTTCGAACACGCCCAAGCGTGGAAAGTGGGAAGGGTCCCGGTGGTAGCCGCTGCGATATGCGAGACGGACTAGGATTCCCATGAGCGCCCCGACTTCGCGAGACGGATCTATTGTGGCCATGTACGTGCATTGAGCGTAGATGGCCAGCGCTTCCACGGCGTACTTTTTCGGTCGCACGTACCCGCCTAGTTGGAGGCATTGTCCTGCTGCGGTGAGGAAGGCCATTCGTGGACTTGGGCGGCCCCCGTCCTCGAGGGGTGTCGATTGTTCCGATCCTACGGCTTCGTTGAGCGTCGCCGATAAGCAGCAGACGGAAAAAAGTATCGATATCCATAGCGGAGACGTTTCGAGCGGCGTCCGCCAGAATTGCTCGTACTGTCGTTGGAACGATGGCACATGAATAGATGCCAGCATCATGTACCGCGCGGTGAAGTAGGTCGATAGTCGTCGGTCAACCTGCACTCGTGGAGGGAGTGCCTGGGCTAGAATCTGTGAAAGTGACAACGGCGCCGCAGACTTGAACAAGTCTTCGGATGCTTGAGGTTCCACCCCGTCGTCCGCCGCCTCTTCCATCTCGGTGTTGGCTGACCGGAGGTCGGATCCAAGTGCCGTTCTGAGCTCCTGGATGTTCTCTAAGATGGCCGACCAATGCGTCGAACGCACGTATTCCGATTCCGTTGTCGTCTCGTCGTGACCCTGACCCTGACCCTGTCCTCCGCTCTTGATCCCCGGTGAATTGTTGCCATCGCCGTCGGCAGCCGCTCCGTGATCCTTGATAGACGTCGAAGATGATAATGATGATGCACGAGCATTGTCATCGACCATGCGCATGACCAGTTCTTCCAGACGCCGGAGTCTCTCTTGGGCCTTGCCGCGACTTTGCGCGTTGGTGTTGGTGTTGGTGTTGCTGCTGTCGTTGCCGTTGCCGTTGCTGCTGCCCCCTTCAGGCCTTGCGGGAGCCGTCGCCGGGGCGGTAGCTGTTTTGCCATAGATGCAATTGCTCTGATCTCCTCTCTTGACGCAAGGCTCGCAAGGATGGCCTCGATCACACTTTAGCTTCTTACTTCGGCATGGTGCACATGATAGTGGCTGTCTGTTGCGTTTGATGATTTTGTTGCCTCCGGCCTGGAATCCATCAATGTTGGCCCGGAATTTGTGGGTTAACGAAGAGAACTCGGCCATCGCCCTAGCGTTTGGCTGTCGATAGATAAAGTTGGCCGAAAGCAGTAATGGTTCGTATGAACCTTGATGCCAGAGAGTGGAAATCAGGCAGCCATGCTGGCAACGCTGCCGGGTCCTACCATATGCTGGTCAATATGGTATTCTGCATCTCACAGCAAAGCCCAATAGATACAGGGGAGGACTCTTGATTGATAGTCTGTTGGCGTCAGCGCGTGTCCTATGGTCTGGTTCCGTACCGATCCTTTTAAAGTTGTTGTCGTCCCAGAGCCTCGTCGGAGCCGCAAGGCTGTAATATCAATGATGTGTTGATGACTAATTAACATTCCAGACAACAACATGACTTTCGACTACGTGCAACAACTATGTATTACTGCCCTACTGTAACTTACCGATATCTGAAAAAATAGACACGTTCGATACATAAAGTTTCGAGGCGGAAAGCAAGTCTGAGTGCCCATTCCGCCCGGTATGATCATGATATTGTACTATCTACTACAAATGTCGAGGACCTGAGCAGAACCGTGCATACTAAGCCTTGCGGGGAAAAGGCCCCTGTGAGCAACATCCGAAGATTCTGGCAAACACGCATGGACGTGTGGACGCCGTTGCAATCGTGGGTTCGTCTAGATCTCGAAACGGGCCATGCCAGGTCGTCAAGTTCTGAGCTTGCCCGGCTGAGATACCAAACACGTCGTGATCTCTGACAGCTGAGACTTAGTGAGACTCCCCAAATTGCAGGCAACAGACTTGTGCCACTTGAACTCGGTCAAGCTACTCTCGAGAAACTGCCGTTGTCCGATCAGAAAGGCACCAAGCTCCATCTCCAACTGCCAACATGTGGCTTCCAATGTTGGTATAATATGGGCCGTTTGACCTCTTAGCACGGGCCAGCATTGGGGTGTGATATTGTACATTTCCTCAGCCCGGTACGCCCGATGATCAGTGATATAGCCGGCAAGATGTTCTTCGGGTCAATTATGATGTGATGGTAGCCTTTTGCTCGCCAGGACCGAATCCACTCAGACGATCCCATATTGCTCAAAGAGCCAGACGGCATCTTCGTTGTATTCTTTCAAAGCGGCCTTGACTTCCTCCTTTCCAGGCATGTCCATGAGCGGTGCCAGTAATGTAAAGACTTTATCCGCATTGTCTTCTGATATCCGAACATACCGCAAGATGCTAATGAATAATGCCACAAGGGATTCGAGAATACGCCTAGTAGATGTAGGCACCGCGCCGCTGTCCTGATTGAAAGCAAATGAACCTCCTGATTCAGCCATTGTGTGCTGTTGTAGATTTCGTACATCCAGAAAAGCTCCGCTCCCCAATCCAGCCAGGTTCGAATTCGCAGATGAAAGTTTTTGCCGGGACGTCTTTGTTGATGTTACTGTAGAATACACCCTTCTGAACAATGCTTCCAAGTCGCCAAAGATCTCCTCGATGCGGCTGGTCATGAAACTTCCAGCAGCTCGACACATTGTAGATATTGTGTCGGCTGCGGCTTGAACAGTGTAGGGCATATCATATGAGCTTTGCTCGTCTTTAGTAAGCAGCCGTGGGGTGATTGCAGGCCAGACAGTGTTCACCAGTGGCAGAAACGAGTTTTCCTCCCGCGCCAGCACTGGGCATACCTCCTCCAGCAGCTGAAGTAAGGTAAGCCGTACCTTGGGAGACGGCGATGACATGTGAGGGACTGCTGATTGAGCAATGTTGAGGAGCAGCTGATGAGATTTCGATAATGCCGGCTCCTTGTCGCCATTCGTATGTTCCAGCGGCCCATCGTTTTCTTCGTCATCCTCAGCATCCCCAGATTGTTCTGGACCATTATTACCGAGTCCATCTTCAGCTTTTGTCCACGGTCGATGGGGCGCTGCAGTGATTGCCTCATTATCCTGATCTGATCTCTTCTTCCGCTCCTGGCGCGTTCGAAGGTCGCTCAGGATGTCTTCTACAGCCGAGAGCCGAACCCCGATAGCGCCGTCTGTATCAGGTCCTTTATTCGATTTGATGGCAAGGACTTCAGGAGTCTTCGAACTCTGCTCAACCATCATTTTCAAAACGGAAAACAAATTTTCGACAAGAGTGGGATAACCGTGAAAGTTGTCAAGAGCTCCAAACATGCTGCCAATCAGATCATCGAGGTGTGGCAGTAGTCTGGCACCGCACAACTTCATCATCATGGCAATCACCTGCAGGCTATCCGGGGACACATCAAAGGCATTCAAGCGGAGCGCGACAGCATTGACTAGATAGTCGACATTGTCGACCAGCATCTCAGCTGCTGACTTATACTCACAGGCGCTTGCCAAAAAGTTCAACGCTGTGACTGCATGGTGTTGGAGTATGGCATTTTCGTCACCGAAAAGAATCAAAATAGGAAACAATGTTTCCATCAGCTCAATTCGATATGACCGGCCGAGCTGCGAGGCTTGCAGGGTCAGAGATTCCAGCGACATCGCCACTAGTCTCCAGTCTGCAGTGCCTTCAGTTTTTGCGTCAGCATATTGCAGGAGGTTCGGCAGTGTCAATGCATACAAATCTGAGACAAGGAACGGTCTTGAGAGTTGCATGTCTGATTGTGAGGCATTGTCTTTAATGAAATCGTCGATATCAATGGTATCCTGGCTAGGCGACCGAAGAAAGGCCAAAGCTAGCCATGTAGCAGCAAGCCTTCTATTGACATTAGGATCCAACGTTTGATTGATGATGCTGCGTGTAACCCCTTGGCTAAATGTCTGAGACTTGAGCATGCCCACAAACTTCAACAGCTCTTTTGTAGAGGATTGCTGGCTCTGGTGACTCAGGATTATGGGTTTGAATTCGGCCCCTGGCCGGTTCGGTCCTTCAACGAGGTCAAAGATACTGTCGCTAGGGGCTTCATTGACAAGCTTTGTTTTTGACTCGGTTGGCCCGATAGCCGCTGAGACACTGTCGACGAGTGTAGCTGCTATCCTTGAGCTCAACTCATCGGTTGCATTCCAGGAATCTACCAGAGCCACGAATGAAGTGGCCACTTGACCAAGCATCTGCTGCTTCGGTCGGTCATCATGACCTTGCATCACTCGCGGGAGAGCCAAGGCCCAGTCATAGAATTTACCACTCAGAATGTCGGCTATGTCGGGGCGTGATGTGAGGAGATGTTTCAGAACCGCATTCGCCCTGGCAGAGTCTGCCGATCGACAAAGAACAACCATGGTCTCAACCATGAGAGGAGCGGAACGCGCCAGGGTCCGTGAGCAATCTTCGACAATCAAGACACAGAGATCGAGAAGTGCACGCGCAACATCTGCCCCTTCATGTGTCCGTAGCTTGACCACTTGCACTAGTGCTATGTCAACTTGCGGCGTCGTTGCGTCCAGCCACGACTTGTCAAGTATGGACTGAGGCTGCTGATCTGAGGATTTTACCGTTTCCTTGCCGCCCTGGTCGACGTTCTCCTTGACGACTTCGTCCGACAGTGTCTTACCAAGGATCAGCTTCAAGAGCTCTAAGTATGCAACGAGTACCCTCCGCGTACGGCGGGCTTGGGTGCTTGGTCGCAACACTTTCACCAATGTAGAGACGGTCCGTGGTAACAAGCTAGCAAGAACAGCAAAATTGGTGATAGCGGAGATCAGCTCTACAAGGGCATGAGCCGCACTGATCTGGACATCCTCCGAGCTGGACTCTGCCAACGCTTGGAGTAGCTGATACACCAGCTGGTCCACGATATTCTTGTCACCGACCTCATCCAGGATTTTTGACCCACTTCTCCCAACCTGTACGATGATAGCGCGTATGCAGTCGAACGACGCAGTCTTGAGCTCATCTGTAGCAGGTTCTTGTTGCCCCTTGGAGTCTTGGGAGACCAAAAGTCCCATGAGGATGAGGAGCTGCCTGGCCATTTCGGGGAGGAGTCTGTCCCGCCATCCACGGGAGACTAGAGTCTCAACGCATCTGACGGCCACTTCAAGAACATGCGGGGAGAGCCGGCGCGATTGATTGAAGATATGAGTAAGAGGAAAGAAAGCATACTCGGCTAGGCGCTCGTCGAGAAGATCCTGGCTCCCCAGTGACTGGAGTACATCATGAACTGGCTCTAGAGCAAGCAGCACAGCCTTCACAGAGGCTTGGTCCGCCTTGAAGCGGAGCGCAGTAGAGCTGAGCTCGACACATGGTGGACGTAGCTAGTGGTCGATGTTAGCTGAGCGTCGTAGAGTCCGGATAAGTCCAAACCAAGGGCCATACCCGCTGGAACGCCTCTTGCCGAGACTGGCTCATCGTGATGACTCTGCCGCTGGCTCAACCAAGTCAATCTTACCGCATCATGGAGCAACCATACTACTGAGGAAATAATTTGCCGACGTCAATTCTGTCCGGAGCCGTACGGAACGAATTGCTCGCTCGCGGTTGTGATATCAAGTCGGATTCTGCCAGTGGTTTCCGAAATCACAGCCACACTTGAACTTCATGTTGAACGTGGCTGAGCGCCAAGACGTGGCGAATGCCGCATAAGGTACAATGGACTTCCACACCGCATGCAAGGCACTCGTCACTGTACAGTTGTAACAATCTGAACCTTGGAACAATCAACTTGAATTGTATCTGGCACTACAGGTACCTGTACCAAGGTGAGTGCTATCACAGTACCACATCATAAGATCCAGCCAGTACGAACGAATCATGTTCGCGAGCCACCGTATGAAACTTAATTGAACACTCATTCATATTACCTGTTGCATCCATGCTGGAAGTGAACTTGATTGGGGTGCGCGTATTTCACAGTACAACGGCCGGATTCGAAATTAACGTCGGTGGGGGTGTTGAAGACTTCTGATTGGTCTCTCTGGTTGACTAACAACACTAGCCACATTACAATACGGTATAAATAGTCCTCGTAGCCCAAGGATTATTGGTCATTTCCGCGCCAAGTAGTGTAAAATACGTGAAATAGGTTGTGAAGGCTGTAAAAGAGGCAACGCTAGTCTATTTCTGGTAATAGCCCCTCCGACGTTCTTTTCGAATCCGGCCATTGTATACTACCGTACAACATTGTATGTACTAGGAGGACGTCTGCTTAATAAGCCGGAGGACTTCCGATTGAACCGTACACAGATGTTGGGGATTACACTGGGGCCTTGCTTTGCTAAATTGATAGCACCATAAAAACGCCCGAACCGAATGGCTAGCACAGACCTCTCGAGCTGTGAACGATCGAGCTGAAGAGCTTCTGTGGGTACCTGTCGATCGCTGCAGAGCCCAAAGCTGTTCGCTGCCAGGTCACATGGCTCAAAAAGCTCCGAACGCAAGACCATTTTTGGGTAGGTAGGTAGGTAGTGTACTTACGTACAGTGGACATTGTCCTGTACCCACCAACTAATGATAAAAAGAAATAATACTAGTAGTAGTAGTCGTAGTAGTGGACGGAATGTTCCCCTTTTCTGGCGAACACTGGCTGCAACTGTTTAGTCAAACTTACAGTATTTTAGTACATCTCTCCACATACAATGTTGTAGACAAAATCCAGCTGGGTACAGAGAGATAGCCAGTGAGGTCGAAAGTTGGGAGTACTGCGGCAGGCGGCAGGATAGTCTGGTGTGACAGACTTGTGGCTCCCATTTTTCGCCTACTATCCGAGGACAAGGCTCGTCTGCTCGGCGCCAAACGATGGGAAATTTCATCTGGGCAACAAACGCAAATCCGACACGAAGGGCGAGATCCTGCAATCAGGACTCTGAAACGTGGTTTTTTCGACGGTTGACGAGGGGAAATTGCTTATGATATCGCGCAAGGGTTCCAAGATTGTGATGAAGCCGACAGGGCTCATCAGCCCGTTACGCGCCCAAGAAACGTCTGTTGGCAGTCAGCCACAGCCTCCAGGGAACAAAAATATTCCGTATGGGAAGCATCATGCTTGCCGGATCACTTCCGGCTCTACAACATGTTGGTCGTTTTCTGTGCTCTCTAGCGTGGCGAGCCCCCGTGTGCTAGTTGTAAGCGACCGCCAGGGGCAACCGCACCGACCAAGATAGGCCAAACCACAAAAGTGCACCGGGTCGCGATGATTTGGCAGCTCGACATCGACTGGTTGAAAGCTTGTTTCCTTGGTCTGCCGCTTCCCGGCTTTTGACTGCAGAGGTGGCTGCACTTGGCCGCCTGCGATCGACCACTGCAGAGCACCAACAACTGGCAGAGAGACGCGTCCATTTTGTTTTTGTCAAAAACTCTCTGCTGCGGCCACGCCGGTCACTTGAAGAGTAACTGGGTATAGGACGTCACCCTGGAATGTCCTCTGCTGAGCTGTACTAGTAGTATCCATGGATGATAGTATAGTATCATCATTGTATCAACGTCATCGATAAATTCAGTGATGCACCCCGCAGAGCTTCAAGTTCCAGTTTTCTGCGTCCACGGTTCTGGTCTTGGTGGTCGGAGCGAGGACTTTGGCAATCGACCAGTCGTGACACGGTGTGGACCTTGTACCTTGCTAATTTCCCACCCTTTGACGTAATGTGTGGGACTACAATTGTACGGAGTTACTGCGTACAGGGGGCTGCATGTCAAAGTCCAATATTGTCCGTCTGCTACTCCCAGCCGGTTGTCTCGAGGTTTTGCAGAGATGTAAACCCTGGAATGCGGCCTGTCCGGTGTCAGTTGACAACAACATGTCACCGGCCATGCTCGGGCACTGCAGGCTGCAGATTGGGTGCGCACCTGGTCGGGGCCAGGTGGCAAGACAAGCCGCCTTGGTTGCAGTATGTCCGAAGCAGGATTTTGGCCGCGGGCAGGACAACGTAGGCTGGCAATCTGTCGGTCTGGATCGTGGAAAACCGAGGACTGTTCAAGTTCAGCTGGCAAGGAATCATGCTAGGGTAGGGCCGCGAGTGTATGCACCTCTCCTCACGCCGCGTGCTTGACCGGCGAGATGTGGCTGAGTTTAGCGTCCATAGCAAACAGGGGTCATTGATATGGCAGAAAGATTGGAAGGGAGATGGTTGGTGTACGGTGATTCATTGTCAAAGTGCTGTCCGACAACAATGCGCACTGACTGGCGATTCCAGGAGCGCTGGACCGCGCAGAATGGTCCTGGGCTGTGATTGCAACTATAATCGATACTCGTATGTGAGATGTAATCGAACTCGCCAGAAGCGATGGTCCGTTCATGGTTGGATGCTGGAGCTGCAACTGGAGCACACCGCAGCGCAGCGCACTCTCCTCTACCTAGCGAGTAGTACCCTGCCAGTGGTACTGGACTGGCGGCGGTGGTAACACCCAGGAGCAACTACAACGTAGTACAACTACCTAGGTACAGGGTACGCTGTACTGCGGCTACTCCAGTGCTAGCAGCCGCTACCCACCAACCTCCCCTTTTTTGGCGGCGTCGTGCCTGGATTAATTTACCTTAGCACTTCAAGTTGCTAACAGACGTCGGGATCTGTCCTGACGCAACTTTACAGGCAACTTTACTCTAGTGGCACTGTGCGGTGAACCGCGATTGCTCCGCATTATTATTCCTCTGCGCCTGACTCGCCTGCGCCCGGCCCACTTGCCCGCTACTGCGCACTGACACTGGCAACTGGCGATTACCGATCTTGACCAGGCTTGAACTTCCCCATCCTGGCTTCCTTCGATCGACCCGCGCCCTGTCAAAACGAAAGACCCATAAAGCCTCTGCGTCAGCGCACCGACGCTCTTCTTCATCACTACTACTTCTTCACCCTCTGCTTGGATCGTCGTCTCTCTTAAGAGTTACTCACGCTGTACCGTGCATCCTCTTACCGCCAACACCCTTTACGACGCGTAACTCTCAAGTCATTCCTCGAGACTTCACCTCTCCTACACTCGCAAGCATGAAGACCGTTGTCGCTGCCGCTGCCGCTGCCTTTGTTGGCGCTGCTCTGGCACAATCTCTCTCTGATCTGCCAGCATGCGGTGTAAGTCACAAGAGACTGAGCCAGTATACATTGAGCACTCATTGACTGTTTGACCAGCAAACCTGCATCAACAACATGCTAGGACTAGCCGAAAGCCTGGGTTGCCCTCCTGTCAACGGCCAGCCAGACACCCTGTGCCTCTGCTCCAGTTCCAACTTTGGCTATGGTATCCGTGATTGCACGGTCGAATCTTGCCCTCAAGGCACCGACGTTAACTCCATCGTCTCATTCGGTGTGGCTTACTGCCAAGCTGGTATGTTGTTGCCGAGGACTACCTAACGTGCCGCGACTGTTGCTGACTTTCCCAGCTGCCTCCGGTCAATCGAGCGTTGGGACTCTCTCCGCGACTTCGGCCCTGACTGCTGCTGGGACTGCGACCGGCCCTGCTGGTTCGGCGTCTGGCGTCACCAGCCTGAACCCCTCCGCGACAAGTGCAGGTGCTAGTGCAGGCTCCGCCACTGGAACAGGTGGTACTTCTAACACTCCAGTCTCGACTGAGACTCTCTTCTCTACCTTCACCACCGATGGTAGCACGATCACAAGCGCAGTCGGCACTTCTACCATCTTTAGCGCAGTTGGCGGTGCAGCGGTCCGTATATTACGTACTTTTTTGGCCGACACGCATCGCTGACTGATTCTAGGCTTCTGGTGCTTCTGGTGCATCTGGCGTTTCGGCAAGCGCCTCATCCGCAGCTTCTGGGGCCTCCGCAAGTGCTTCCTCTCTGGCTTCTGGAGCGTCTGCTAGTGCATCGTCCGTTGCCTCTGGTGCAAGTGCCTCAGCGTCCTCTCTCGAATCCTCCCTGTCGTCCCAGGCCGCCTCAGCTTCATCTGCAGCCTCTGGCGCAGGCGCTTCTGCCTCAAGCTCTGCTGCGTCGGTTGCCAGCTCTGCCTCTTCGCGACTTGCTAGTGCCACGAGCTCAGGCAGTGCCCAAGCGTCCTCGGCATCGGCATCGGCATCAGCTACGTCCAGCTCGTCAGGAAACGCCGGAGTGCCCATGGCCACTATGGCCGCCAACGGCCTTGCAGGTGCTGCTGGGCTTGCCGCTATTTTGTTGTTGTGAAAGCCTGCGTCACGTCCGAGAAAGACGCGGAACTGCAATATGAGCTTTTCCAATTTGTTTTCAAATCAGTGTTGATACCCATATTCAGCGGTGCGGCTGCGCATCATTGCGGCTGCGCGAGACAAGCACGACCGATAACGCCTGCTCCAATGTGTTTGGCTCCGTCGTGATGACTGCAACGAGCCTGCTGATGCTTTTACGGCTTTTACGCATACCAGAAGAATACGATAGCAAATGCATAGAGCTTTTGCTGTAATAGGCCCTTTATCAGGGCTGATAGCTAATCAACAAGATTTCAAAATGGTCTCTTCTGTTCCCTTGTCTACCTCATTCTTTCAGACCTAGGCAATCTCTCGTCCTCACTGGCCATCCTGAAGTACATTGTAGATTCCGAGCGTGTCCACCAACCATGACAGATCCAAGTAGCCTACCATAGTGCAGATACCTTCAATCCTCTACAGGTAGGACAGTAGCACCGAGCCCCAGACCCAGGTTACCAGGTGATAGGTGTGATTCCGTGACGACTGTCAGTGCTTTGCGCATACCTAGGTAGTACTTGAAACTAGGCGTGTCGGCTGTGTGGATCGTTCAAGTTCAAGTTGGGTGCCTGAGAAATCTCCACACGTCATGCACCCATTTAAACCCCACGCGTCTCGACGCGACTTTTCGTGATTAGACTTGCAGAGAACAGGAAGGCCCAGATCAGACTGCCTACGACAAAACAATACACTGGCAGTTGTTCCAACTTAATGCGGCTGCCTAGGTCTCTTGTATCACAGGTGGCCTACACTTCTTGCTCTGATCTCCACGCCTTACCCTCGCCTGGCGTCACTCAGGGCATCTCCATCCTATCACTTCACCCACAAAGCCATTCCCTCTTAGCGGTGTACCGGCAACCTCAGCGGCATCGATCTCTGAACACTGGGGCACTGGCTCTTGTAAAAAGAGGTGCTGTCAATATGCCGCTGGGAAGACAGGCTACTCTTGCGTAGGTTCCTACACATGAGTGTCGAGTCCATCATAAGCTGACCTCAACAGCAAATTCCTTGGCCAGCAGGCTCAAAACAAGCCCAAATCTCAGTCGACGTTGTCATTCAGTACAAAAGCCGCGACTAAACAACTAGCAGCTCGTGAAGATGGCCAAACGATCGTCGAAGAAAAAAATCAAGCAGTGCCCGATACGGCAACGACAAATGCGCAGTCCTCCCCGGAAGCAGGACTTCAAAGTAGCGAAGACTCAACCAGCAAAAAACACAAGAGGGAGGCATCTGAGGGCAGCACCAGCGTGAGTGATCCTGACGATCAGCCTGTTTTGAAGAGAAGACGACGGACTTCCACTTCCAAACCCGCCGCCTCTACCAAAGCCAAGAGTCTCTCGACCAAGCCCGATAGTGGCAAGACCACTGAAAAGAGCTCGAATACAGACAGGACTCAACCTGAGGGGTCAACATCGCCAGATGAGAAAGACGGGCTCTCTGTGTCCGAGGACGAATCCTCAGTTAGTGACGATGACACCACAAAAGTCGACAAAAAGCAGGTTGCTCAAATTCAGGCAACGATCAAATCTTCAGGCAAAGACCCATACCCTGACTGGAAAGCCGGAGATCCTGTTCCATACGCAGCCCTGTGCACAACATTCTCCTTGATCGAGCTCACCACGAAACGCCTGCAAATCATAGCGTATTGCTCCGCATTCCTGCAGCAGGTCCTTCGTTTAACACCGGAGGACCTTCTACCAACGGTCCAGCTCATGCTCAACAAGCTTGCGGCGGATTATGCAGGCATTGAGCTTGGGATCGGAGAATCTCTGATCATGAAGGCCATTGGAGAGAGTTCCGGACGTTCGCTGGCGGTGATCAAAGCGGATCATCATAAAATCGGCGACTTGGGCCTCGTTGCCGCCAAGAGTAAATCCAAGCAGTCACAGATGTTCAAACCAAAGCCACTTACCGTGCGTGGTGTCCACCAAGGATTGCTGGAAATTGCCAAAATGGAGGGGCAGGGATCACAGGATCAAAAAGTCAGAGCCATTAATCGGTTGATGGCGTCTGCTGATGTATCATCCGCGAGCAAAGCGGTAGATATCAACAAGGACAAAGGAGGACCATCGGAAGCCAAGTTCCTGGTTCGTTTTCTCGAAGGAAAACTGCGCCTTGGTCTAGCAGAGAAAACCGTCATTGTTGCACTGGCGCAGGCAGTTGTAACCCACGAAGCCGCGAAGAAGGGCAAGGTGCCCAGTACTGATCAGTTGGCCAAAGGCGAGGCTGCACTCAAAACGGTCTACAGTGAGCTGCCTTCCTACGAGGTTATCATTCCCGCCATGCTTGAACACGGGATATTTAACTTGCACGAATCGTGCAAACTGCAACCGGGCGTTCCATTAAAACCCATGCTTGCCAAACCCACCAAGTCGATTACTGAAGTCCTTGACCGCTTCGAGGGCAAAGACTTTACCTGTGAATACAAATACGACGGAGAGCGAGCTCAAATTCATTATGTCGCCCCTGAAGCGAAGTCAGAATTTCCCGCTGCAGAAAACACGTTGGCCAAAGATCCAAAGAACGTCAAAGGTCTTGCTGCGATCTTTTCTAGGAATTCTGAAGATCTCTCGAAAAAGTACCCGGATATTCTCGAGAAATTGAACACCTGGATCAAACCGTCAACAAAGAGTTTTGTACTGGACTGCGAAACCGTTGCTTGGGATCCTCAAAATAAAAAGGTGCTCCCTTTCCAGCAACTGATGACTCGCAAGAGGAAAGACGTGAAGACATCAGAGGTCACCGTCAAAGTATGCGTCTTTGCTTTCGACCTGCTGTTCTACAATGGGCAGCCTCTTGTGAAGAAATCATTGCGCGAAAGACGTGAAATCCTCCACAATGCCTTCGTGCCGGTCGTAGGAGAGTTTTCATTTGCTTCGTACGGAGATACTCGAGACATTGAGCAAATCCAGCACCTTCTGGACGAGTCTGTGAAAGCGTCTTGCGAGGGATTGATGGTGAAAATGCTCGACACGGAAGAGTCCGGCTACGAGCCCAGCAAACGCTCACGTAACTGGCTGAAGGTGAAGAAGGATTACCTTGCCGGCGTAGGCGATTCCTTAGATCTCGTCGTCCTAGGGGCGTACTATGGAAAAGGGAAGCGGACCTCTTGGTATGGTGCTTTCCTTCTCGGTGCATACAATGAGGAGACGCAGACTTTCGAGACGGTATGCAACATTGGGACCGGGTTTTCCGAAGCGATTCTCGAAGAGTTTTACAAAGACTTGTCCGAGCTTGTCATCGATGGACCCAAACCATTCTACTCCCATTCCACAGTGAAGAACGATCAGCCGGACGTCTGGTTCGAGGCTCGTCATGTATGGGAGGTCAAGACAGCCGATCTCACACTGAGCCCTCGGTACCGTGCTGCCATCGATGAGATGGGTGGCAAAAACGGCATCAGTCTGCGGTTTCCTCGTTTCATTCAGAGGAGAGATGACAAGAAGCCGGAAGAGGCCACAACGACAAAAGCTATTGCAGAGATGTATCGCAAACAGGAGGTGGTTGCGAGGGAGGCACGGAGCAAGGGCGGCGTTGACGATGACTTTGAGTACTAGGATTTACACCGACTCAAACATGAGGCAGCTGAAGAAGCAGCCGTGGAGAAGGCGGCAGGCGTGATCACGGGTAGATATATGGCGTATGCGCATGAAGACTGGGCTCACAGGTCCGGAGAGGCATGACAATGGGGACATACTACATGTCGAGCTATTGGGATGCGTATTATCGTGCCTCGCATTAATGTTAGAGGAATTGCGTTCAACGATGAACCAGTCTCACAAAAGTACAACGTCTGTAAACCCTAAGATAAAGCGGCAAGATGAGCGAATGCACAGCCACGTGATGACCGGAAGTTCGTTGATTTCATGTGACGTGCCCCTGATCCATGACGGGCCTCTACTACTAGACCACATACCTTAGCCTACTGTCATGAGGATGTCGGCTATGCCCGGTCCTGCTAGTAGTCTACAACTCAAGCAACCCTCCCATCGACTGTTGCTGAGACACCGTAAGGCGCTCTGATAGTGACATAAGATACCAACTCCGCTCTGCGGATCGAACCTTATAGGAATTGACAACGGCGCACCCGGCTGGATTGGCAACGAGATGGATCTCGCCTACGACTACATAACGGAACAGACATACGCGCCTGGCGAACGCGCCAGCACGCCAACAGCTGGATCTGGCGACGGCACATCAGCCGCCGCCAACGACGCTGGGACGCCAAAAGCCAGTGGTGGACCGCCGCGAGAGAACCTCCAAACCGAACTGCAAGAGACATTCAAAGCGTTCTCCAATTCACCTTGGGGCGCAAAGCTGGGGGGATTCTGGGGCAATGTCAAGAAACAAAGCGAGACGTACATTGAGGAAGCCAGGAAGGAAGCCGCCGAGGTCGCAAGCGAGGTGGAGGCACTGAGGACCAAAGGTCTACTTGGGCTGGGCTTCGGCAAGGAGAAGGACAAGAAAGAAGATGGACCGTCGGGGGAGTCAAGCAAGGACACAGCACAAGCCGATCCTCAAGACCGCGAAAAACGAGATATCCAAGAGACCGAGACATTTCTTGCCCGCTTCAAGAGCGAGGCCGCCAAGAGGCTGAAAGACGTGCAGAAGGCAGAAGATGCGGCTGACGAGGCACTGCTCCGGTTTGGGACGAACATCCGGAACTTCCTGCGGGACGCCGTGGCGGTCAAGGCACCGGATGAAGAAGAAGAAACTCACAATCGGCAGCCCGGCGAGGTGCTCTTCGAAAGCAAGGATCCCACCTCGGGCAAGAGAGTCATCCACACCAGCCGCTTCGATGCGCAACTACATGTCATCCACACCAACTTGACGAGCTTCACCCAGGATCCCAGCGGGGCTGGCGGACAATGGGACGATTTCAAGAAAGAGTTTGACATTGACAAGATGACGGCTCGCATCGCGGAAGATCTGGACAAATACAGTGAACTGCGCCAGTCGATGGAGAAGCTCGTGCCGGAGCGAGTCGACTACAAGGACTTTTGGACGCGATATTACTTCTTGAGGCACGTAGTGGAGGTCCAAGAGGAGAAGAGAAAGGAACTGCTTCGAGGTTGGTATCCCGTTGGGACACCTTCGAATGATCAAGCGCTAACTTATGTCTTCTCTCAACAGCATCCGCACACGATACCGAGGAAGTTGGCTGGGATGAGGATACCGATGACGAGCAAGGCTCTGCATCCACGCCACAACTGCAGCAGGACCAGCAGCCGCCAAAAGTCTTGGTTGCCCAGAACACCAGCGATTCTTCCACCACGGTTCACCCGTCGTCTGCTGCGACAGAGTCGGGATCTCTCAAGCCTGAAACTGCAGGTCGCCGATCTCACGATGAAAAGTCGGTCGCAGATAGCGATGCTAGCTATGATCTTGTGAGCGGAGCGACGAGCCGAGCTCCCGGCAGTCCCAAGGACGATCTGGCCAAGGTCGAGGAGAGTGATGAAGAGGATTGGGAGTAATTACAAGTACGGGAACACACGGGCTGATTGTTGGATTGTAGGCGTCATGGCGCAGGAGAGAACTGATACCATTCATGCAATTCGAAGTCCTTGAAGTCTTCTACAGAGGCCGTAGTTGTGGTTTTGTAACTGGCTGGTGGGTCGAAAGATTGCGTTTCTTCCAAAGAGTAAAGGAGATGTGGCCAACCTAACCTTGTTACACAGCCAATCTTAGTTACCTGGTAGTTATAGCCCCTTCTACCGCTCAGCTGCCATGACTGAGATTCTGCCCAATCAGTAAGGTAGAAGACAAATAATTTCTTTGCTATCAACCAGTCTATGCGGCTTTTGAGCCGTTTGCTTCTCTCTGGTTCCCGCCACTGGCGTGTCGAAGAAGGGATGGACCTGCACTGGCAGCAGATTGATGCGGATGTCGACGCCAACCCCGCAAATACTTGGATCCAGCTTGAGCCACAGACGCGTGATCTTGGCAGCTTTTCACTTGATTCTTATTAATAGTACTAGTCGCGTGGCCCTTATAAGTACCTCATTTCTCCTCCCGCCGTCTGCCTCCTCCATCTCCACTTCCTCTCACCATCCCTTCACAGGTTATGAGCCCTCCACTCTCCTCCCATCTCCTTTTGCTCTCTCTCGCTCGGTCCTCTCTAGGTCTTGATCTCTCTTGAGTCTTCGATCTTCACTCTCTTTGCCCCGTGTTCCCTGTCCCTTCGAGAGCCCACTGGCAGTGTCCCGCTGCATCTAGTGTTAGCCCTGAGGTCGCCCACGACCACAGTGGCAAGAAGCCGAGAGAGCTAGCTATCCGAAGTATTGTATCTTCCTTGACATTCCTTCATCGGAGTCGCGGTTGAGCAGTGTCACACTTCTGACGAGTTCTCAGGAAGCTTCAATACCCTTTGAAAACGCTGGGAACCGCAGAGGACCGTGAAATCTGCTCAAATACGATTGCGGATACGCTACGCTCTCTCACAAAGTGTATTCAAGTTGAGAACGCTGGGCTTGTACAACACATGGAGCTATTGGGGCCGTGTCAGAAGGCGGCTTCTGGGAGCAGAAATGCATTCTTCGACGGGGTCGAGGATTTCTAGCACAAGGATTTCTTGCTTGACACGGTCCCATGTGCGGTGTGCCGCAAGTGGTGCGGCAGTCTGGCAATGAGTGAATCTTTTCCCCGCGTCACTGCTCGCAGTGACAGAGGGTACAGTGCAACTCATGAAGGATCGTTGTGGACTACAACGTCCGCCTCCATGTGGAGCTCGAGCACTCCTCACAAAGTTCTTAAGGTCTATGGCAGAGGGTCAAAGTCTTGGCGGGTAGACGGGGTTGTGCCGTATCTGTCGCTGTGCAGGTACGGGAGCTCCGTTTACGCGTGTGGCCCACGAACACATGCGTAGGCCCACCACGGCGTGGGGTGCACACTTGTTGTCGACGACGGCGCCTGAGCTTGCGTACATCGCGTACAATGTCAAGCCAGGCTGGTCGTCCACAACTTGAGTGCGCCCTGGGGTCGTGGGTTTTACCATGTCCGAGCATGACCCGAAGCCGCAAATGAAATTATGATGATTGGAACGAGTGTCTCGAAAGAGAAGGAAGATATGACCGGGCCTGGCCAGCCCGGGGAGTCTTTGAACTCGTTCCATACAAATGTCTATGTCTCTACCTCCCTGAGGCCTGCTCGGGAGGGATGTACAAGTGTCAAAGGAAATTATGTCGGCGTCGACCTCGATGTGCGCATATCCCACGAATGAACAAATCTGGAAGACTCTCGACCACTGCTCGGCGTCGAAACCTCCTCGCACCCGGATATGACGGCGGGAATCTGTATCGGCTCTTTTTGCGCGGTCCACCTGCTTGCCACTCTTGCTAGAAGCAAAAGCAGCTGCCGTGTGGACTGTGGATCTAGTCGGACGGAGGGACGTCGGTCAGGGGTCTGGTTTCAGCACACGAGAGTGGTGGGATCTTCTCCGAATACTATTATTGAACAATGTGTCTGCGCGAGATGCGAGGCCATTGTGAGAAAACTCTTGCTTGGAATCTGACCAAGATGCAACCAGCAGAGCAATATTGTTATATTCCCGGATGCCGTGAGCCTGATCAGCCTCGGATTCGGGATGAAAAGTTTTGGTCCTGCGCGCGCAATTACCTGGGAACAGACAGAACAAGGCAAGGCCAGCAGCTGTCTCGTTTGCAAGCAGGCATTCGAGCTCCAGCTACTGAGAGAACCCGCCTTCTGTACAGCCTGAAGGGTCAATGCCGGCAGAGACGCAGACTGTCCCCGAGCTTAGAAGTGCCTGATCAGCACTGGGGCTCGGTGGAACAGAATAAAATGTGCCACATTTACTGCTTGTACCTGCAGGGCAAGTCAGGAAGAACTGCCCACTGGAGAGCACTCTTGGTGCACTTAGGTGGAGCCGAGTCAAATGCCGTCATCCAGAGCCACCGGGCAGCAAACGTCGCGGGGCAGATGTCGAGCTGAAATTATTGTTATGACGCCCCTTTGGGGTCGTGCATCCTTGTCAATTGCTCCTCTTCACCCTCTCTGACGCTCCAATGTTCCGCTGATTTTGCTCCTCGCTCTTGAAAACTGTGTTTGACTGCGCACGCTCCTGCGAGCAGGTCAAGCCCGTTGACAGGAGAGTGAGGACTTAATCTCGGTACTGCCCTGGACGTCAGAAGGGGTACAGGAGGGGAATGACAAAAGACGTTCGCCCATCATCGAGATCAGCCGCATTGTTACCGAACATACCCGGCCAGAGAAACGATCCGATGCTTGAGCTTGACCGGCCACGCGATGAAACGCCTACCCGGACAATTCTGGAAACAAACGTTGGCTGGTGATGGGTCCAACTACCAGCGGCCACCTTACCGCGGAGTCTCGAGGCGTGGCCAAACCACGCTGGACATCTTGAATCCAACCATGCGTGTTTCAAACCACTGGGCTGGAAGCATCAATCCATCAACCAAACTACTGGCATGGAAGCATCCAAACCATTCATGGGCCAAACCACTGGCATACATGATAAAACCAGTTTGATCCCACCACATATGATCCATACAAAACCCAAACCGCTGGGTCGATGATCCAAACAAGATCCAATCCAGGATCAAGGAACCAAACCACACAAGATCCGATTTAGGATCAAGGAACCATCCGCAAGATCCAACCCAGGATCAGGTACCCATCACAGGATTCAACTCGCATCTAGGAACCATTTCAGGATCCGATTTTGAATTCCAACCTCAACCATCCATCAAGGCAACCTGCAAACCTCTGCACGATGCCAAACCACAAACAAGCCAGACCTCAAACCACCATACCTGAAACAACCAAGTTCATTCATGCATGCCCCAATGCATGAATGACCATTTGTCCATCATGCATCCCTGCAACCAAACGATGTGACAACCAAACCTCCATCCCTGGAGGAGCCAATTCTCATCCAGGACAACACACGTGCGCTGACCCCCGGTGCACTTCAACTGTCCTTGGACAGTCTACTTGCTGTACACTTCAGGCCAATTCCTGTCGTTGTCTTGCGCTTAAACGCCTCAGGCCAATAGCTGTCGTTGTCTTGCGCTTAAACGCCTCAGGCCAATACCTGTTGTCGTTTCACTTTTACCTTTTTCATCATGAGTTACATGCCTTGTGCATGGCCTTGGAGAAGAGGACAGCGTTAAATGAAGAGGACTTTCTTGCAGATTCTGGTCTATGTCTTTGTCTCGTTGATACTGTATATTTGCGCAGAGAATACCTGCTGTCACATTGGATATCGCTCATAGTCCTCCGGCCCCCAGGTGCCTGATTCGCCCCTCCTCGCAAAGCACCCCTTTCCACAGCAAAAACTGCCAACCTTCCGCCAGAAGCCAGAGATCGTGTCCTATACAAGAGCTCCGTTGCGCACATTTCTGCCGTTCTTCTTTTTCATCATGGACAGGGTTTTCTGCATGCACTGTCGTTTCCACCAATCCTTGAACCTGTCGATCACTTTTTTTTTCTTGGCTGCAGACTCAGCCGTGGGCATGGCGTCTCCTAGTGGTGATCGAGAATATTCAAAGGAGCTCTGTCCTTTCATCTGGCATGAATGGCTGAGCTTGAGGCCGTTTATATGCTGACCACCATTGTGTTTGGCCCCCAGTACACCGGATGACCTTGTCAACCCACTCCTGAGGCTATGCAGGTCAAATCGTTTCCAGGGGTGCACCCTCGATGTCTGAGCTGAGCTGTCATCAGAGAAGAAACTTTGGACCTGACGCAACGGTGGTCGGAAGACCTGGGGAGGATCGGGAAAGTGAAGACTGAGATTGATGTCAGAGGATGTCAATGGTGGCCCAAATTCTGGAGGTGCAAGCTGAGGCACAGGACCCAGCCGAGGTGTCTGCGAGCTCATCCGAGTGCTGTTCAGGGGTTCAATCACGCTGACATTGCTTCGGTGTGAACGGACTGTGCGTACAGATGCCTTGCGAACTATATCAATCCCCCGTTTGACAGGCTGAGGCATGGCAGCTAGCATGCTTGTCCATCTCCTTGGGACAGAGTCAAATGCCGGCAGACTCGTTGACAGTACGGTCGTCGGTGCATGCACCAGGACTGACTCACCACTCAATTCAGCGTAACCTTCAACTGGCGACATTGTGCTGACATCTCGGCGGGACTCCTCTGTTATCCAGTCGTCTTCGTGCCCGACGTTCTGCGTCTGCTGTTCACCATGGTTGCCGTCAGCAAGCTGGCCGAGGCTGGTAGATTTTCGCTTGGCTTTCAGCATGATGCGCATACGTCGTCTCTGTTGGGATGCCTGCATGGTCATAACATCACTCCTTGACCTGCGATGCATGGAGTATGGCTGACTCGGCTGCGAATCTTCGGCATCAGGAATTGCCTTGCCAGATTCCGATGTGCTGGCAGCTAGTTCTGAAACACGTCTGATCTTGAACCTGCCGGTGGGTGGGTCTGTATCTATATCTGCCATGTCTCCCGAGGTCAATGAAACTTTCGTTCGAATTGACGGAAGCTCGCTGGCCGAAGGGAGCGTCTGCCAGCCTGAAGAAAGTTGACACTCAGTCATGCTAACGGACGAGAAGTTTGCTCGGGAAAGCTCTCGTGGATTGTCTCGATTTGGCTGGGGTGACATTCTCGAATCCATACTGGCGAACAGGCGCCGGGGCATCAGCTTGCGTCTCTCCGTGCTAGCAAGACTCGAGTGCCGGTAGGAGCTTGACGTTGCTGGTCTCTGTCTGGGTTTTGAATGCAACTCCTTGACAATGGTGGAGATTTTTACAGTGCTTTCTGCGCTGCTGTAGTCCACAACATCCGACAGTCCTGAATCGCTCCGCCCCTCAAAGCGACTGAGCCCGTCATCATTCAGACCCAGGCATTCGATATGCCTGTCAAGGAGAGATTCAACTGTCGATTTGTCGTGGAAGGTGTTGTGACTGTCCCGGAAATGAGCATCCGAACACACCGCGTTGACGACGACTTTCTCCTCCGGCACAGCACCATGGCCGCCATCAATGGCCAATCTATCATCTACCGAAGATCCTGCGGCCATGTCTGCCAGGGCCTGCATGTCCGGTCGCTCTTCAACAGGGTTGAGCTTTGAAGGGGTTTGGCCTTTGAACAACGGAATAGTGTGGTCTACCGGATAGTTGTCCTGTAACTCGAGTATGCGGCTGAACCTCTTCTGGCTCTGCGAAGACATGGGTCTCTGAGGCATCGGTGAGAGAATTTCAAGTGTGTCCTTTGGAGGAACATCTCCCGATGTTTTTGGTCGAGCTCGAGGTCCTGAACCACCTGACACCAGCGAGAGGGGCCTAAACGTGAACGATGGTAGCTCCCACTGTGGATGGATCAGACCAGCCTCGACGCCTACACTGTCTTCACCGCTCCTCTCCTGTTGATAGTCGTACTCCAGAAGCTGTGAGATGGACCTATCATGAGGCCGTCGGTCGGAGCTCGGCGAATGCACTCTCGCAGCAAGGGATGTAAGGTCGCGCGGGCTTCGACTTGCGTTGGGGAAAAAGGCACTCGAGTGAGTTGACCCACAAGTTCGGCGAGAAGCAGTCGAAGTGCGAGCATTGTCTTTGTCCTCGCGCGAGGGCCTGCTTGGATTTTCCTGATAAGGAAGCACTGCTGGGTAAATTGCCTATTGTCTCAATTAGCACATGCAAACATGAAGGCACTCCTTAAGGTATGATAGGATTCTGACCTTCGACGTGGCACTGTTACTTCTCGCCGGAGTTGTTGTGGCCGCCAAGCTGGACACACGCCTCGGAATCACGCCCGCGTAGCTGTACTTTGATTGTTCGCTCGATCGACGATTGTGACGGGTCGGAAGTTCAGCTGGCTGAAACGTGGAGCCTTGCATGATGCCGAAAGGAGATTGAGCTTGACGACGGTCAGGTACGCCTTCATTTTCTGGTGCAGTCACGTCTTCGTTGATGACCAGACTGACCGCGGAGAGCTCGGCGGGCTGATGGATGCCGTCTCCTTCCCAGAAGGACTCGGAGTAATCGTAGTAATGAGGCGTGGTGGATTCAGTCGGCGACTTTGGCAACCCTCTGAATGACCCTGCGCTGTTGTTCCAAGTCCCACGGGCGTTGTGCAGCGAGCTGGACATGGGCGTGGTTGTCCTGTAAGGCGGGTACGATGAGACCCCGGCTATGTTCCTCGAAGACACAGCTGGTGAGGGCATGCGAACAAAGGAAGAAAAGGAGTTATTCAGCTCGGGACGATAGCCTGGCAACCCGGGTCGCATCGGAAACAGAGATACCGGGGAGGAGGCCACGGTCCCAATGCTACCTCCACGGGGGTACCCTCTTCTGTGTGCGTACCTGTACGGCTGTAGTACCTCACTGAAGGCCGGTGAGGAGGCTCGATGACGAGGTCTCCTTGGATGCCCTGAATACACCATTGGCGAGCTCGAATGCAAGCTTTGAAAGTCTCGCTGGCTTCGTAAGGTGATTAACGACCTATGGGTATAAAGGCCACGGGGCGCGAGCGGCGGCCCTGCGAGACCTTGAAGCCCGTGCGATCTATGCCGATGTCCAGCTCTTCTTGGCCGTAAGCCCGAGTGCTGGGAAGCTGTGGTGGAATATATAGTCTCCCGACCTGAGAGACCGGAGGAAGATGGAACGGGCCTTAAGCCATGATGCCGATGGGAGCGTCGTGCCCGTGGAGACCGTTGATGACGAAGCTGAGATGCGAAGGAGGTGTCGAAAGAGCCAGACCGACGCCGTGTTGATTGGACTCGAGATCCAGCGCGAGGTATTCTGGACGGCCGTATAGCAAAAGGCCCGCTGTCACCTAGCTCGGTTGTCGTTCTCAACATGCTCTGAACGGCGCTGGAACGAAGAGAGGTGGCAGATGCTGTAGGGGCGCCATTGTCCGCCTTTGTTTCAAGAGATGATACGATCCTTTGCACATTGGGGTGGATCTCTTCGAGAGGCATCGCGGACTCGCGCTGTCCATGCCGGTAGGGATAGAGAACAATGGAACAACGGCTGATAGACAGCTGGAGTAAGAGAAACCAAAGGAGTTGATGACAATCGATGGCAGCGTAGGCAGGAAATTGCAGAAGAAAGACACTCAAGCAAGACAAGGGAGGCATCTTTTCAGTGCCAGTGTTTTGTTGCGTGGGTTACTGCAGTGGAAGGAGCGCGTCTGGTGCTTGGCATCGATCAGGCTGGGAAGGAACAGGGGAAACATCCAGCAACTCAAACTTGAAGGGCAGGACGAACGAGGCAGAACTTCAACTTGACTGAGATTGTATCAAGCTGTCAGAAGACTCGGATGAAAAATAAGACTCGACAGAGGAAATGCATGTTTGCCCACGAGAAGACTGCACACATACACAAACCAAAAGCATACTCACTGTATAGCATGCAACCCTCATGACAGTAGGTACTGTTTCCGCTGTGGATATCATCATCAATCCCAACCACATACCATGATATAGCTGTCTAGTTCATGTCGGCATCATTCCAATCCCTCCTCCACCGCGGCCACTTTTGCTGCTCTTGGATGCGAAGCTGCCCAGCCCTAAAGTGTTGGTACTTGAACGAGCACTAGATGCGCTCTTTTTCTTCCTTGCAATACCGCCAGTGCCTTTCACTCTGCCCCTAGTACTGCCACTGCTGCGCTTTGACCCGCGAGATCCTCGCCGTGTCCACGAGCCCGATCTGGACTTCTTCGTATCACTCTTCTGGGCCTTAGTGCTGAAGGTAGGTGTCTGAGACACTGGAAAATAAATCAGTAAATTCATCTTGTCTGGGATTGCACGGATTGGTCTCACTCTGCTCGTTGAACTGGCGGACGGCGTCAGGTATACTATTGAAGTAGTGACTGTCCTCGGTATCATCCTCATCTAGGTCGCTTTGTAAGAGCCCTGCTTCCTCGCCGTCGTCATCGCTGATCTCGACCACTGTGCGATGGTTAGGATCATCAGGCCGACCTTCCTGCGCTCGCATAATGGCCTCATAGTTGTCATAAGCCAGCTTGATCAGTTGAAGTAACGGTGGGCCGAATAACCGGAACATTTCAGGGTTCAGCCCAGTGATCTCCAGGAGTTCTTCATCAGTCTGTGGAAATTGGACAGCGATTTGTCTAAGGACCCTGTCGGTTACAGGCTTCTGTCGGAGGTTTTTCGCAATGACTTGACGGTCAACCTCCTTCTTAGCCTTCTCTATGAAGTCTTCCAAAATATGCTGGTGGATTGGATTGAGCGATCCAATGTCCTGGTCCGCTGTTATTGGCGGTCCCAAGGCAGGTTTCTTGTTTACCCGACGCGGAGCATATGCTTCTTCCTCCTCGCTCGATGTGCTGTCAACCTCTTCCTCCGACTCGTCGGACAACTGATCTCTTCGAACAATTTTGCGACGTGCTCGGGGTTGAATGGGGGACGAGACGTTGGTAGAGGCCGGATAGTCATCCGCAAGTGCCTTTTTGGTCGACCGTTGGGCTTTGCTTCGACCCTTTGTGGCTGGACCGTTTGATTTGGGCTTGCCCCGGGGTGAAACCAGCACTTGTATTTTTAGCGGTCGTCGACCGTGCAGGAAATCGCGACACTTTGGCCCAAGCTGAACATACTGTGTGGCAAAGCCACTAGTATTCTGCTTGTTGTACTGCAATAATGCGTCTTCAGCGATGAGACGGTAGAAAAGCCGCTCCACGTCGCCTCTTGCCAACTCGGCCCCCAATCCATATTCGGGAATCATATTGTGCCCGCCCTCCAGCATTTTCTTGTTCGGTTTCGCTCCACGGTACACATCTGCGCAATGCAGGACTGTGACTTCGCTTCGTTGCAGGCGCTGGACAAGCTTCATGGCATTTTTGGCGTGTTCGGAGAAGTCGTGCGTTTCGAATGTGCTGGTGGACGCGCAGTTGTCGCATCCATTCCTACAATCCCTAGGGTCAAACCTTTCATTGAAGTAGTCAAGCACTTGAAGCCGACGACAGTCACTCCGATTCTCGCAAAATTGTACCACATTCCGCAATAGCTGCTTTTGGTGCTCTTTCTGTTGCGGGCTGCCGTCTCCATTCTCGATCATATGTTTCAAAGACGCTGTGTCGCCATAACCGTAGTAAAGGTAGCACCCTGATTGGTTACCATCTCGACCAGCCCGCCCAGTCTCCTGATAGTAACCTTCCAAACTCTTGGGGATTGTGTGATGGATGACAAAGCGGACGTCTGGCTTGTCAATACCCATGCCGAAGGCAATGGTAGCCACGATCACGTTAAATTCCCCTTCTTGCCATTTCTGCTGAATTTCGATCCTTTTTCCGGAGGGTATGCCAGCATGATAGTGCTGTGCCTCAATATGATACTCCTTCCTTAGCTGTGTCGCCACGCTTTCGCAATTCTTCCGCGACAGACAATAGACGATCCCCGCTTGGCCATCATAAGTTGACTTGATAAGGTCGGCTATACTATCAAGCACAGCTCTGCCCTTGCCCTTCGGCCTGACTTCGTACGTAAGATTTGGTCGATTGAAGCTTTGAGTAAACACTTCACAGTTCTCCATGCCGAGGACCTGCATGACATCAAATTTGACATTTTCCGTGGCTGTTGCTGTCAATGCCATGACCGGCACAGCGTTGAACCGACTGCGGAACTCTCCGAGTGCTTTGTAGTCTGGTCGAAAGTCGTGTCCCCACTGGCTTACACAGTGTGCCTCATCGATCACGATACGGGCCAACAGACAGCGGGAATGCAACCCCTCAAAAGCACGGACGAAGGTCTGATTTTGGTTCACCATCTCAGGCGTCACATACAGAAGCTGAACGAAATCATGTGGGCTATCACCCCTCAGGTGATCCAGGATAGTCTTCCGGTGCGCCACTGTGGTTTCCCCATTGATCAGTTGGGCTTGGATGTTCAGCGCTTTCAGGTGCTCTACTTGGTCCTGCATCAGGCTCAACAATGGGGAGATCACGATAGTGACGCCACGTGTGTGGCCACTTTGGACCACCGCCGGGAGCTGATAGCAGAGGGATTTCCCACCTCCGGTGGGCATCAACACAAACGCATCTTTTCCACTCAACGTGGCGTTGATGGCTTCCAGTTGGTTGTGACGGAATCCTCGTAGGTGGAATTTCTTCTTCAGCACTAACGCCACATCCTTCGACCACGGATGCTGCATCAAGGATGAATTTGTCGCACTTGCAAGCGTTGCAGGGGCCTTTTTTGGCGACGCTCTGCGGAGATTGTCACTGACTTCACTGAGAGGAACTCGATCGCTTCGACGGGAAGTAGCGGTCGACTTATGTGTTGATAGATTTTGCTCGAATTCCTCCACCATTTTAAACATTTCTTCATCGTCAATGTCGTCCTCAAAATCGTCATCGTGAAGAGATATATCTGGGCTTGCAACCGTCCTTGAGAATCCTCCCTCGATCATACGATCGTCGTCACCCGGCATATTCCAGCGCCGGCTTGGAGACTCTGTGATTTTGGCCGTGGGTTCAACTTGGATTACCCTCGGAGGCGGCATTGCGGATTGTTTGGACCGCCTGGGAGAATAACCAGGCGACATTACCGGGCTTGGTGCATGTGCATCGATACGCAGAGACTCGGATCGCTTTGTAAACGGTGTCTGGACGACGGATTGGGTCGGTTGGTAGGTATAGTCCCTTGAATGAGGAGAGATATGCTGGGGTACTTTTGGTGTTGAAGCAACCAAGATTTGCTGCTCAGATACTTCTTCCAAGGAATTTACTGAAGTACGCTGCCAGGTGGTCTCAGTCGGCCCGCAGTTTGGTGTAGACACTCCAGCCTGTTGTAGCAGGCTGAACACAACAGCCTCCCGAGCTTCGATCTCATGTTTGATGCGGTTGATGTCCATACAAAGCAGTACCAGCACGTTCGTGGGATCATCCGGATCTATCTCATGACCGGCTTCCTCAAGCTCATCGCGTTGTTGAAGCATTTGCATCCGTTGATCCCGAAGTTTTGATATCACAGTATGCTCCTCTAGCAATTGTGCAGTCGCAGTAATTTTTGCATCGATTGTCTTCTTCTGTTGTTTCAGCGGTTCGGGAGCGAAGTTGTGCTCGCACATGGCCTCCATAATCTCGCGGTTCACGACTTTCTTTGAATTTTCCAACCGTTCCAAGAGCGCCTGGCACTGTTCTCGTCCTTTGAGAACGAAACTGCTCACGATTTGTTTCTGGTCTTGGCTCAGAGGGCCAGAGAGGTCTGTACTTGAACAGCTACTTTTCAGTGGCTCGTCATGCCTCGGAGTGGGTTTCGCGGGCAACACAGCTGGAGAAGGCAGAGGAGGAGGCCTTTTTGGTGATACAGTGCTGCTCTGTGTAAGCCGCTTTGGAGGTGAGAGCGCAGAGTCGCCAGGTCGTCTTCCAGAACCCTGAGAGCCAACAGCATTCTGGGAATGAGTGTCCCTCAATTTCAGATTGCGACCTGCTGGTGGGTTCGGGTTCGAATGCAATTCAAGAAAAACTTGATCTTCTTCGTCTGAATCGGGCACAACATTCCGGAGCCTCTGGCTACGACCGCCTTGAGAGGGTTTGTGTGCTGTAGGCCTATCGGTAGCGAGATGCACAATAGGAGGAGAGCCGGGGTCTTCGGGTATATCTCCCAAGTCGATATCCGGGACTGTATTTTGTTCCTTCACCGCTTTCTTCGTCCGACAAGACTTGGATGGGCTTGAAACAGTGCTCGTCCCGACATCACCCTCCTCCAATATCCGGTTTTGACTTCCACGCAAAGGATATTCCGACCGAGGCGTGGCCTTATCTATACGCTTCTTCGTACTGCGGGCAGATCTGGGAGAGAAAAGATCCTCCTGAAACTCCTCGCTCTTCCGTTTCTTTCCTTTCTTTTTCGGTAAAGGCTCGACCCGGCTTGCAGAATCTTCTCGCCATAGTCGTGTTGGGGGACCAAATTCGTCGAACGAAGAAGTCGTAAGGTCCTCTCCCGTGATGTCGATATCGTCAATGTCGAAAATATCATTAGAATCGTCAAATTTGATGTCGTCGAAGGTGGTCGTTGGGGACCGTGGGCGTACAACGGATCGAGCATCGGCGTTGCCCGGACGATTCCGCCTTGCACTTTTCGGTGTCTGCTCGCGGACTTCGGAGGCTCGAGAAGGGTCGGGAGTTGGCAAACCGTTGGCGTGGTTCAACTGCGAAAGGAGCTTCGTCCTCGGTGGAATCTGAGGTGCCAATTGCAATCTTGCCATTTCAGCATCCGTGGGAACGTCCTCATTTTCCTCGCCAACAACTGCATCAGGAACGGCAGAAATATGCGTCAATGAACCAAATGAGTGTGGGTTTTGCAGAAGCCAGGCGAGACTGCGGCTAAGGTTGTTCTTTGTCATAGGTACGGCGCATCTTGCTTCAGTGCTGTTCCTGGGAAAGGGAATTGGTGTATGTCCAGTGCCATGTGGTGGTGGCCGAAGTTGTTTGGCCTCCGCAGTCTGGACGTTGCTTTCTCGAGACCAGATCCGCTTAACGCGTCGTTGGTCCAGAGACGCGTAGCGCAGATACAGGGTGCTTACTAATTGCTGACAACGACCTGTGATATCCGCCAGCTCACGTGCGAAACACATTTACTGACCGCACGGCGCATAACAACCTGTTCTTTTTCAAAACACCAATTGTCCATGTCAAGATAGCTGTATATTGCCCAGCGGCTGTATAGCAGTCACGAAAGCAGCGTCCTGCAGCTCACTCTGTGAAAGACGAGGCCGCAAGGCTGCCATATAACGTCCAGGATACTGTGCTGTACCGTATTAAAGGGGCAGCCTGATACTGCGAAGTATTTGTGCAGATGCCGCGTTGCCAAGATATCGCAAAAGTCCATGCCAGCGAATAAAAGTACCGGAGTTGCGAATATACAGGAATACTACATGTACAGACACTACCATTGATGACCGTCTACCTGAGTTGGGTGTTTTGCATGAAGCCAAAGTACAGGTAGGATAGATTCAATGCTGCTTAGCCCAGGGTCACCTATCATCAAGGGGGGATAACTCGCCTAACACTGGGGTAAACCATTCTTCAGACGTTCCGCCTTGTATCTTGCATAAACCAAGACACTCAGGGGCATCATTACCTGTTACTCAACCCCACCCAGAGGGTGAAGTGACGAGCAATGGCGAAAGGCAAAAAAGCCAAATCAGCCGAAGCCAAAGCGCGCACTCAAGCAAAACAATCCAAAAAGGCCGCCAAGGGGGAGAAAAAGAGCAAGGCAAAAGCGGCCGCCTTGAACGCGGCCGACTCTGACGCCGACGACGACGTGGACCTGGACGCCGTCCTAGCCGCCTACGCTGAAGAACAAGCAAAATTCCTAAAAGTGACGGAACAAGTCTGCAGTCCCCCAGGCCCTAGGTCATCAAGCACATTAGTAGCGTCGCCATCGAACAGAAACGAATTATTCCTATTCGGAGGCGAATACCACGACGGCAGCGTAGCATCATTCTACAACGACCTGTTCGTCTACCTCATCGACCGAGGCGAATGGCACAAAGTCTCATCAGGAAACAGCCCGCTCCCTCGAAGCGGACACGCGGCCTGTCGCGGCGGCAACACGGGTGGAATCTACGTGTCGGGCGGGGAATTCTCGTCCCCGAAACAGAACCAGTTCTACCATTACCACGATTTCTGGCATTTAGACACCGACACGCGCGAATGGACGAAACTGGAGCCTAGGGCTAAAGGCAAGTCGCCACCAGCGCGTAGCGGGCACCGAATGACCTATTTCAAAAACTATATTGTGCTGTTTGGTGGGTTCCAGGATACATCGCAGCAGACCAAGTACTTGAACGACACTTGGATTTATGATATCAAGGAGAACGTGTGGCACGAGATGAAAACACCCCCTGCATCTCAGAAGCCAGATCCACGGTCGTCGTTTAGTTTCCTCCCGCACGAGACTGGCGCCGTGTTATTTGGCGGCTATTCTCGCGTTAAGGCCACGTCTACAAGTGGCAAGCAGGGTAAAGGTGGTGGCGGACCTTTGGTCCGCAATGTTCTCAAACCAATGGTCCATCAAGACACTTGGTTTCTCCGCATCACGCCTCCTCCCGCTGATGCGCCCAGCGGAACAGCCCCCACCTTACGCTGGGAGCGGCGCAAGAGACCTGCAAATGCGCCGAATCCGCCGAGAGCCGGTGCGACCATGTCATACCACAAGGGGCGCGGCGTGGCGTTTGGCGGCGTCCACGATGTCGAAGAGAGCGAAGAGGGCATTGAAAGCGAGTTCTTTAACGACATGTTCATCTGGAATATTGACCGAAATCGCTTCTTTCCACTTACCTTGCGCCGACCCAAGGCTGGGGGAGCCAAGAAACAGGCTGTAGCACCGCGAGGCCGGGATCGAGCAAAGGCCGACGAGGAGGAGCTATTACGCAACCTCGCGGCCCTGCAGACCAAGGGATCAATCTTGGGCGCCGATGAGATGGAAGTGGAACGTGCTCCTCGAGACAACGAACCTGAGCCCGAGCCCGCCAAGAAAGAGTATCCGGTCCGCTTCGAAATGCCGCATCCGCGCTTCAATGCCCAGCTGTGTGTTCAGGACGATATTCTGTATTTGTTTGGCGGCACCTTTGAGAAGAAGGATGTTGAAATCACGTTTGCGGATCTCTATGCCGTTGATCTGGGCAAGCTCGACGGTGTCAAGGAACTCTACTACACAGAACCGGCTAATTGGAATGTGACGAGTCAAGACAGCGATGAGGAAATGGAGGATGAAGACGACGAGGAGGGAGATTCCGATATGGATACAGACGAGGAGGACAATGATCAAGACACATCGTCGGTGGGAGCGCCGTCGACGGCCGCGACAGAAGTCACTCTTCCTCCGGCAGAGAGCGAAGCGGCTGTGGAGACAGAACCCGAGACGAGCGCGGAGCAGGACTCGCGGCCTTTCCCGCGTCCGTTCGAGAGTCTGCGCGACTTTTATGCCCGCACTTCTGAGGAATGGCAGAGACTGGTGATCGAGTCGAAAAAATCAAGAACTACTACCACGTCGACAGAACAATCTGTCAAAGAACTGCGCAAGGCGGCTTTCGAGCAGGCCGAAGAGAGATGGTGGGACTGCAGAGAGGAGATCCGTAATCTCGAGGACGAACAAGAGGCCGCAGGTATCGGCGAGGTCATCAGCATGGCTGACCGGGGTGCCGAAAGCGGACCAGGTAGACGGCGATGATATGATGCACGCGAACCAACCCACCATAGCGACATGTTCTTTGCGTATATTCTGTATATCAGTGACCTTATTCTAATCTATAGTGTCGTCCCGCAAAGCAAAGAGCGCTTTCATGACGTCCGCTGTTTTGGCCCGGACAGCATCGTGGTAAAGCACGTTAGTGATGAACGTCTTGCAGCCCTTGACAAGACTAGCCGCCCTGCGTGAAAAGTTGAAGTCGACATACATGTCTTCCACATAGATGGCCGCGTATACCGGGACTTCGTTGTGTTCCAGCTGCTCCAAGTCATACAAGGCGTCCCAGTTGTCCTTGGATTCCAGCAGTTCCGCCGCTGCGGCAAGGGGCCGTAACTCTCCATAATCCTGGAACGCGCGCCGAAACACCATTTCGCCAGTGAACAGAACCCTAGCATATGTTCCGTCCAGGTCGACCTGGAACTCCGGAAACTCTTGCAGAATCCTGTCGAATGCCCACCTCGGCGCGGCATTCTGTGCATATATCGAGCCATGGAGAACTCCATAGAGCGGTTGGTCATTGTACCAGGACATGCTTTCAATGTCCGACAAGGTCGGCCGGGTGAGATATCCAAACGTTTCCATATCGTGCGAAGCCCGAAACACAACATTGTGGACTTCGTCTAGGCCACCATGAAACCCGAAATGGAGGCCCATCTCCAGGAACCGTCCTACGGTCAGGATGTCACCGGATGGTAGTCGGACCTTGGTATCACGGATCAGCTTCAGGATCCTCCGGACTCTGTTCTCGTCCTCCGGGTACTTTGCATAATACTTCTGGTTCCTGTCCTTGACCATTAGGAAAAGGTTCCTGACCGCTTCATCGGGGACTCTTTCAAAAATTGGCGCCATGCCAGCGACGGGAAAGACTTCGCGGAGACCTTCTGGATAGAAGCTCAGGTAGGTGAGACAGACGAACCCGCCGTAGCTGGTGCCCATGATGGTCCATTTCTTTTTGTCGTCGGGATACCCGCTGGTCAAACACTTGCGGATGGCCTCGAGGTCTCGCACTGCATTGTCTGCGCGGAAATGGCTGAGATACTCGGCCTGCTTCGTGGGCGTTCCTCTGGCCGTGATGGTAGCCGCAGTGGCTGGGGTGGACAGTCCCATGCCACGATGATCAAAGCAAAGCAACTGCACATCGTAGTTCCGTTAACGTCTGTACCATTGGAAGGCTCAACTGCAACACCCAAGACTTACCTTATACCCACGTCCCAACACTTCGTTAGTGAGCTCCAGCATGTTTTCCGGAGGAGGACACCCAAACCCAGGGCCCCCAGGGATGTAGACAAACCATGGCTGGTAGTCGGCGGCGGCGCTTGCCTTCGGAGCGGCTGGCTTCTCGAATCTCCTGGCGCTTCGACAGAAGAGCCAGATGGACTCACCCTCGGGGTTGCTGTGGTCGAGGGGAACCCGGAATTGTAGTTCCTTGACCAGAAGTTTCCCAGGCACCTGATGTTCTTGTCCCGGAACGAGAATCGCTGGCTCAACTTGAACCATTTTGCCCAAAGGATGAGGCTTCCTTTGCTACTCACCACAGTAATACAATATATGCGTCCGCATGCACGAGGAGGATGCTGTGGAATGAGGACTCTAACAAGTGATTGACACGAAGAGCGAGTCAGGTGATCCTCTTATACACCCCCCGAGTCGTTTACAATGTTGTACATAAACGCAAGGTAGGCTCCGCCGCCACCTGTTCTACTCTACTTTCTCTCTCTTTCCTATGATTCTATCCTTTAATATCACAATCAGGGCCCGTAGCCTTTTAACCAGACCTCGGAGCCTGGGCTCGCCTACCTCATCCGCACCCACGAAACGCCGGACCAACAGATTGTAGATGCTTCCAAAAGCGAGAGCCATCACTGTACTCGTCAAGATGATGACATTGTATGGCATGCTAAAGTCGGGCGTGGGCAGTGGCAACAACAGACTTGTCGTTCGGATGTAGATGTCACTGGAGGGTTCATCCGCACTAGTATTGTTTAATATGCGTATCACGGCCGGAGCAACGTTGAATCCACGGTTCGCATCTGGCGGATACTCGGTGTATCGTAGAATTGCCTTCTCGAAGTCGTAGGTGAGCATGACGGTGCTGGCAGGAGGCACCGACATGACCAGTTCAAGCTGAGTCCCCCGTTTCCGATCAACGGCGGGTCGGTAATGCATATCCTTGATGATCTGCCACTGGAATGGAAAGTCGGTTTGGGTAATCTGTGCTTTTAGGGTATGCATGAAGGGCCGCATGAACCAAGGCAGACTCTCGAAATACACAAACTCCACGGGGTCCGTTGGTGACGGGTTGGTGAAGATGGTGCGCATACCTCCTCGAGCCGCCCCGTGGCCTGTTATGGTCCTTTCGGCCCGCAACAATTCATGGCCAAGGTTGGGGTTGGTGCTGAGTGTCTGCTGCGGAAGCTCAAGATCGAACTCTTCGAATTGCATCAATTGGTAGCACCTCGACTCGGGCTGCCCTGGCTCAGATTTGACCTCGAATCCACTCATTCCAATCAAGACCATTCGTTCATGTGGCACGTTCAAGCATACGGACTTTGCTTCTGGGCCTTCAGTTTCGACTAGAGGACAAACCCCTGCCACTGTTCGTCCGAATACTTCTTTCAAGGACCAGGGAATCTCGTCAGTCATGTCTCGAGGATAACACGCGTCTTGAGAGTGGTATGGTTTCGTCTCGTCGCACACCAGTTGTTCAGCTGGAACTGGCCTCGGGATCGGATTGTCTCGAGGGCGTTTGGAACGTTCAATGTCAAGGACCACATCGATCGTCTGGCTGATTTCCATGAGGCATTTCTCTGGGTCGCTGTCCGAACACTTGGGCCGAACGTCGATGGCCATACTCTGCCAGGAGGCATCGAAGATCTTGTGACCATCCAAAAGACTGGAGATTCCCGCCTTCCCCTTACATGGCAGTAGCTTGATAAACGGCGTCAAGTTCTCTGTGCAGACGACTTCGCCCGGAAGCACACCATGTAGAAAATGGAGGTTTTCATTCTGTCCATCGTACGTGCCTGCGGGTTGGAAGGACAAGGCTGGTTTGGTGGTCCTGGTTGAATCAATGAAGTTCAATGACGCGCAGAACAGACCCGAGAGGGACTGCGTCAGAATCGTCCATTTGTCAAAAGCCTCTTCTTCCGAAGCTGCTTCGATCCAAGCCCATAGCTCAACTCCTGTGCCACCTTCTTTCGTACCATTCCATGGTCGTGCGCCCCAAGTGTCAGGGTCCCACCGTCCGGTAGTGAATCTCAGATGAAGTTCTTTCGTGCCGGCATGTCTCAGAGCCTGACCCAGCGAGCGGGGAAAGTATCTGTAGTTCTCCGTCTCATAATTTGCAATTGTTTCGTTGGCACGGAAGTCGAAGGACGCGAGAAGAGCGCCCAGTGGCAGGGGGGTCAGGGTCAGTCGCTCAAAGTAGTCGGACGCTGCGGCGCTCAAGGCCAGCAGCCCGATGTAGAAAAGAATCAGAAGCGACCGCGACATGCCGGCATCGTCAGTGGACTGCGTCAGATCATGTCAGATTGTAGGCTTGACGAGGAGCGTGTAATGTGTCCTGTCCGCAGCGAAGTCAAGCAATCCGTCCTCCGCAGTGATGGCAGTAAGTGATTTGCCGCAGTTCTGCCGACAGAGCCTCGTCGCCATCTACAATTGCGGCGCGGTTGGTCTTTTCCATCTGCGGGCGCATCCCTCACTCAAACTTGGACCAACCTCATTCCCGCCCCAATCTCCCGCGACTACAACTCCTGCGGATCCTTGATAACGAATAGTCTATATTGACTACCATACTCAGGTCGGTCTTAGTCCTTCGGCGGAAAGGGAAAGCAGAACCCTCAAAAATCCACCGCCCACGCCAACATGGCCGCCGAACAGCGCAAGCTGCTCGAGCAGCTCATGGGCGACCAGTTCATGGGCACGGGCGGCTCATCGAAAAGCGCAAACCTAACCCTCACATCGCCCAACGTATGCCGCTCATATCTGGTCGGTACATGTCCGCACGACCTATTCACCAACACCAAGCAAGACTTGGGCCCGTGTCCGAAAGCCCATCCGGAGCACTTGAAGATCGAGTACGACAACCTCAGTCCCGCGGAGAAGGCCAAGTACGGATTCGAATACGACTACATGCGGGACATGCAGAAGTACATTGACGACTGCAACCGGAGGATAGACCAGGCGCAACGGCGACTAGAAAAGACACCAGACGAGATCAGACAGACGAATAACCTGCTCAAAACGATATCGGATCTTACAAAGACGATCAACACGGGTCTTCTGGAGGTCAACTGTCTCGCCGAGATGGGCTCCGTCTCGCTGGCCTGTCAGGAATTCTACAAAGTCCGGACGGCAAAGTTGGCCAAGGAGCAGGCTGAACGCGATCTCAAGGCCTTGTCCGACACCAGTGGGCCGTCGGGACATCAGAAATTGCAGGTCTGCGATGTCTGTGGCGCATACTTATCACGGCTGGACAATGATAGACGGTTGGCGGATCACTTTTATGGGAAGATGCATCTTGGGTATGCACAGATGCGCCGCACGTACGAGCAATTACAGAAGGAATTGAAGGGTCGTCCGCCCCCAATGAGACATGAAGATAGCAGTCCTGCTGGTCCGAGAGGGTATGATGATGGCGGATACGGTGAGGGAGGAGGCGGCTGGGGTGGCCGTGGTGGGTATGGAGGACGTGGCGGGTATAGAGGAGGCGGTGGATATCGCGGACGAGGACGAGGTAGATGGTGATCTCGACCGAACTAGTCCTTGTAACTGTTTTTCTTTTTGGATTCTACGGGCAAGGGGTGCGAAAAAGGCGTCTCGGAGGAGGCTAAGGTTGTTCCCAAGGTTTCTCATTTTCTACCCAGAATGTGCCTGTTTTGGCAGCATAACTGATATGCAGTTCTCGAGATACCCATGTAGTGGCAGGATGCGATAAGAAAAATATCATGACCGCTTGAACGCTTTTCATTCTTGAGACAAGGCATCAAACACACGCACAACCAATTCCATTTCGCTTCCAGTCGCTGTTTTTGTTACACCACATCAGTCCCTAGGCAGTTTCGGCCTTTCCAGCCTCGCTGGACTCGACCTGCTCTGCCCAGCTTTCCCCGGTATTGCCCTGCGCCGAATCAATTCTCTGAGCAGTTGGCCTCGGGGTACTGGTACCCGTGGCATCATTTGAAGGCTCCTTCTGTGCCGTTGAAGTCGAACTCCAACTCGCAGCAGGCAAAGCCGGGAAGTCCTTATCATCAGACCAAGACGGCTGCTGCTGATTGCTTAAACGGTCACTATCTCGACCACCTCTTCCACCACCTCTTCCTCGTCCGCCACCGCCTCTGCCCCTACCACCTCTGCCGCCCCTGCCACGGCCTCCTCGATCATCATCACGCCACTCATACATTCTAAGATCGTCCTGCTCAGCCTGATACTGTTGCTCTGGCGTCAGACCGCCGGCTTGGAACCTGCGCGGCCCACCGCGTCCGTTGCCATGTGTCGTTTTGAAATCCTCCTCGTTCTTACCGGCGTCCCATTCCCGACCACCCATGACGGCCATCTTGCGCTGTCGGTTCTTTTCTCTCTCTTTATCCATGACTCTTCGCTCAGCACGGTCCTTCTCCCGCCTCTCGTTCGCGATGCGCTCCCGCTCTTCAAAATTCGCGGCGTCCGCCTGTGCTCGAGCGTATGCTGCCGCCACGTTTTGGGATCGCTCCTTTGCTGCCGCTAGTTTGGCGCTGAGTTCTTCTTCTGTGAGCTTGGGTTTGCGTAGGCCCCCGGTTGCTGTGCGGTCGCCTCGCACGGCTGGAGGACGGGCGGGCGTGGTACCTGCGGCGGCGGTCGTGGTAGTGGTGGATTGTCCTTGTTCTGTGCCTGCCGCTGGAGTTGCCGTCGCTGGCTTTTCTGCCTCCGGTTGCGGCTCACCGGTTGAGGATGGCTGCTTCACGCTCTGCTCCGCCTCTGTCGTTGTAGTACTAGTAGTAGGTTTCGACGACGGCTTAATCGCCCATTTTGAATCGGCCAGACCACCGCCTAAGCCACCACCTCCTCCTCTCTTGCTTGCTCCTCCTCGGCCAGGTCTGTCATTTCCCCCTCGTGACCTCGGTTTCGGCTTCGAATCTCGAAAGGTTTGGTTCTGGTCTCTGCTGGGCTGTGACGGCGGCGCTGTACTGGTAACTGCTACGGCGGGTTGTGCAGTAGTAGAAATTGCTGGCTGTGGTGTACTCGTAGACTCAAGGGAGACTTGTTCTAACTGCGCGGCAACTCTCTCCGGAGAGTTGGATGGAGGGACATCGAAAGGCACGATTTCGTCGTCGAAGAGGTCGTCTTCGCCTCGTGATTGCGAAAAGTCTTCCATGGCGGCAATGTCCCAAGACTGGAAATCCAAGAAATGAAAATGAAGTACAGGTGGTTGTTATACTGAGATATAGTTATACTGAGATATACAATACTCACTTCTGCAAGTGAATATACCTAGGTAGTACTGATTGTCGTGGTTTATAGGTACGCGATTCTGGCGTGTCACTTGGCGTTGCTCCGCATCAAATGCCAGTGTAGGTATACAAAAAGTTGGGGAAGCTCGAGGGTGATCGACCTAGGGGATGTAACCAGGACTTATCGTTCGCAACTAGGTACTGTTTCTCAACATGTCCTGTCCTTGATAATTTTGGTTTCATTTTCCTATTGATTTTCGCGATATCTCTCCCACACAAATTCCGGTGGACTGTACCAGCTCGCCCAACTTTGCGTCACCCATACAATCCCCAGATCTCTATATCTTAACTTTTGCTGTATATCTAAAACGGCGGTAGCCAGAACGGATAACCGCCATTCTTGATCCGGAAAACGCTCATGAGGAAGCTGTACATTCCAAAAAGAACGGTCGCCCAAATAATGACGGCTAATTGCTGAGTGCGAGGGTCTTTGATACGCGGCACTCGAATGGCCAGGTTGATGGTAGCGAATGCAAGCAAGGCATCTGTCGGAGATTAGCACGTCAAAGCCGTTGACGGAGACCATCTTGGACTTACACATGGCAGCTACAATTTGTGTCTCCATGCCGTATTGATTCTGGAAGCCGGGGGCGAAATAGGTAATGCCCCCGCGACCATTTCCGGCAACGTAAGGAACTCTTCGGATATGGTTGAACATATGGCCGCTGGTGAACAGTAGGATCAAAATCAAACTGATACCGGCCCACAGGTTGCGGTTCTGAATGATGGGCAGCACATATGGATAGGCCACGGTCATGAATGTAAACACTCCCAAGAGGATTGTGATCGTGGCTCCTATCCTCGCATAGTTGATCGGTCGGCTGATAGCAGGGTAATCGCCAGGTGGTAGCTGTCTCAAAAGCCAGTTCCGCACGCTGTCGGCCGTTTGAGGACCCAGGAAGTCGAGCCGGGCTGGTTGACCATCCGGTTTCGCGTTCGGCCCGACGGTGGGAGGGAAATAGAGCAGTACAGGTGCGGTTTGGAGTTGAAGCTGTGACCGGTTAACCAAAAGGCTTTCCTTGATCTTGGGAGAAGATCACCATACCTTCATAAAGACATTTCTGCCATGGTCGAAATCCACCGTGGTCAGCAGCAGTCGATGTTCTCCATGGCGATCACCCTTCTGCCAGCTGCGGCCCAGTATGCTCCATTCCGGATCAAACTCTTTACATAATCCACAGGCGTATCTTGCGTCGCGGGCGGTCAGGAGAACTGCTAGCGAGTAGTCGCGAGGTGCAGCAGTCAATTCATTGTATCCTTTCTCGTCCAACTCAATGGGTGCGGAGGAGGCTTGTTTGGCAGAATAGGTGTCGTATTTACTCGTCGTCGCTGGCTTTTTGGCGGCGAGAGCTGTCCACGATAGCGCCGCAAGCGCCAGCAGTTTGAAGACACGCATTGTCGATGCTCAAGCTCTGGTGATTCCGTTGGGCACTGCGAAGTTCAGCTTGAATGCAACGACTCGGAGTTGACGAAGCGTGGCCTCATGGCGGCTCCACTGAGTCTACGGCGGACCACAAAACATTCTTGGGAGGTGTATATGTTCACTAGTGCAATATCAAACCCCGTAGCCTTGCGCCTCAAGCGTATAGTACCTGTGGACCGTATCTAGGAGCACATCACGATGAAGGCTTCGATACTGGCCTTTGTTGGAATGATTGCCCGGGGAAGTTGGGCCAGGGCATATCACGTCATAAACGCGTATAGATGTTTTCAGATTTGGGCTTCTTGGCCACTACCGGGTGCATTGCTTGGGAGCTCTGAACGTAATCCATTCAAGAAGTGAGGAGTATGGATTCGCAAAATCAACTGGTTGGTGTTGATGAACAAGCCTTTGGGATGAACCTTTCGTAATATAAGGTACCTGGTTCAGATACAGTATACTGAAGTAGAGCCAATCAATTCCTGGGTCACGTCTACGCGTGACTTGCTTCCTTCCGGTACGTGGTACCTAAACTTGGTTGCCCGGAGCACGCCCGGGGCACAGCACAAAAATGAAAAATAAAGGTTTATCTGGGTGACAAGTCAAATCACTTCCAACAATTCCCCTGTGGTGTGGTCAGGACAAGACCAATTCACCCACCACGGGGGCAGTTTGAGACTGGTCTCAGCGGTACAAGTAAGCTGCTGCTGAGCACTTGCCGATATAAGCCTCGCTTATGATCTTCCGTCCTCGGTCGGATTGTATCAGTCGCTTGTAGCATTCGGTCCTGGGATCTCCCTCACCTGCCGAGGGATTGAGTATACCGGGGGTCCAACCTGACGAAACGATCGGTATAAAAGAACCATCCTCTCCAAAGAGGAGGGTTTCCCTCGATCCGGACCTCTACCACCCAGCGTGTGGTAGGGCCTCCGGATTAGAGTTTTTGTTGTTTTGAAAAAGTCACAAATATTCTTTTTTCTTTTGCGCAGAGTGGGATTCGAACACCCGGTGACGTGCGTGATGTGATGCAGCGGACGCATAGAGAGGTTGGGATAGCAACACTTACCGGAGACTGCGGTCACGAGCTTCTTCCGTGCATACAGTGTTGGATTGCTGGAGTCCTCCGGGTTCAAACGAAGGTAAATCTGAATGAGCTGGGCCAAGAGTCGCGCAAGGGCAAATACTGCTGCTTTAAGAATTGTTACACTCTAGCCTCACGACTACAAAAGTAAACATTCAACTTGAAGTTTGCTTGTGCCCTTGCACCGCACTTCACCTCATATTCCGCGATCTCGACCTCAACCATGAACGCGTTCATTGCGTCGGTATCTTCCTTACAGCAAGTTTTGCAGACTGATGAACATTGTTGGCGTGTACACTGTTGCAATCTGCAACGTTCGTCGGCGCAATAGCCCCTGAACGGGCATACTTGGATAAATTCCCAGTTCAGGAAAATCATCAACGCCAGAGGATAAGAACTCCAACAGCATAATACCTGCGCTACTAGTAGGATCTACCCTCAGAGCTGTGCTCAAACCCTCTCAATCAACTTATTGCCATTGAAGCACCCGTGGGAACTGCCTCCGTGCGAGGAGACATCGCCAGCCCCTGTTTAGGCAGCCACAAGCAACAATTTGCTTGGTCGCCATTAAAGGCTGTGTTGAAACATTTCAATCCAGAGGAACACCATGCCATCCCTTCTAGACACAGTCTTTGACCCTTCTGGCGACGTCGTGCTGCTACTGCCGAAGAAAGCCCCCGGCTCTACTACTGACACTGCCGAAGCCAAAGTTCAACCGCCGGACAGCACCGAGTTTGTAGGCGAAGAAGATGCCGGCATCCACTCCCCGACTGAAGAAGGCGGAGTTGGTTCACCGAGCGGTACAGAGCCCAGAGATGATCGAGAAGCCAGCAGCGAGCGCTCGTTCGACGACCTTGAGCCAGACGACTTTATTGAAGTGACAGTCTCGTCAAAGCACCTTGCCCTGCACTCACGAGTATTCCGAGCCATGTTCAACGGCAACTTTCGGGAAAAGGTACAGCCAGGCTCTCAGCAACCGATCAAGGTGCCTTTGCCTGAAGACAATCCTGAAGCAATGATGTTGATACTGGCGATTGTACATGGTTTCACAAGGAAAGTTCCCCGAAAAGTCAGCAGGGATATGTTATTGCAGATCGCGCTGTTGATCGACAAGTATGAAATCGACGAGACTCTGGAGCTTTTCACGCACATGTGGTTCAAAACCCTGAAGAGGAAATCCGACATGGAAAAAGCCTCTAGCTTGTCCGATTGGATATACATCTCGTTCGTGACCAGGCAAGAGGTGACCTTTAACCAACTGACCACGAGAGCTGTCAATATCTCACCTGTCCCCCGGGGAAAGGTCGCATTACCCGATTTCATCGGAGGTTAGTCCACAACATCCATGAAGGGCATTTACCTCGCTAACACAAAAGGCAAGACCGAACAGAAGCGTCTCGATTAGAGGCGATCCAAAGTTACCTTCAAGTCCTAGAACGTTTTATCCAAACCTACCAAGGCGCAGGCGCTGAAGTGCAGTGTTCTAACCAGCAGCATTGTGATGATATGGTCCTCGGCAATCTGATCCTTGAGTTGACTTCTGTTGGGCTTTACCCCCTGCCACGAGCGGCCTCCGTTGCCATGTCAGTTGCTGAACTGCGTCAGGTCTTACTGGAAGACTTACACTTAACATCGCTCTGTCTAATTAGTCCTCCGGAACTTGACTATATCCCAGTGACTTGTGATCTGCGACAGCAGCTCGACACAGCAATTGGTCAAATTGACCAACGGACAAGAGGCCCGACTCTGGAAGACTTGTACTGACGTGGTTCGAATTAGCCGACAAGGTAACTCAACAAATACTGGAAAAGAAATTGTTGTTTCTGTTATGATCTCTCCCACAGGCGGTGACCAAGTGAGATACCACTGGAAATGTGCGACAATAAAGGATCATGAAATCAAGCCACGTCCGCCATCGAGTTTTTGCAAGTGGACGGTAAGTAGTAGTCTGCATGGGCCACTTACTGAGCACGAGTTTCGGCCTGTTCAGCTGGATGTCATGAAGCGGTGCATACCGAAGGCACCTATCAACCTTGTCTGTCTTTATGAACCCGATGTTCAGGCATCTCGACATCGATCAACGCCCCAGAGGGTGTGTCTGTGTTTCACAAGAGTATAAAGATGCCTCTTAACGCCCTCTGGCACATACCAAACCCAACAAGAGCGACATGCCCGGGATCTCCTCAACAAGCGATGACTTTCAAGCGCGGTCATCCTGTGGATTGGTCTCTTCCAAACTTTGTTTCTCCAGAGAGCACCGCACCGAATTCCGGAAGCAGAACCTTCGCCGGCATATTTGCGTGCCCGCACATGACTGACCAGACCATACGAAACGCCGAGTGTCTGGCTCGAAGATCACTCGCCTATCTCCGAGCAAAGCCCGGGAAGCCTTGAAAAGCAGGTCTCATTCGGCCCCAGATGGATTCGCCAGGCAAGCCAGGGCTTTGAAGAGCAGGCCTCAATCCCGCTCAAGCAGCTGGATAGAGCATCTTTTCATATCAGTTTGGTGTAAGAAACTGCGGCGTCACTCTTTTTTCTCAAGCAGATAACGGTGCTATGCAGGAGTCTGGCATTGAATATTATGGCTGCGTCGTTCTGCAAGTTCCGCATTCCACCATGGTTCCCGTGTCAACCCCTTCTACTGAGATCTTTGAAACTTCTTCCGTGAACTGTACGCCAATGAAGGGCGCGTAGCAGTGACAACTGATGACCTCCATAATTCCGCCGGGCAGATTGCCCACTGGGACAAATCAGACGAGTAGAACTAGATAGCATCGAGATACTGGCAGGAAGTACACATTTACGCAAGTCCAGGCAATCACCATGCTAGTATTGGCATCTTGTGTGGTGGTCGCAAGGCTGCGTGGAATATAGCGGAGCCTTGTTCGTTCCGAGTCCGATCTTTCACGCGCGGGGCCGAGGGGGCGCGTCAGTGGCTGCACTGGCAGCGGAACTTGAGACTGCACATCTGCGCCCCACGCACTCTAAGTCGTATTACCAGACTACAGATAGAAACCCCTCGACTCAACTCCCTCTACCACCTGCAACTACAGCGCAGGCAAACCAGATCACACTCAAATACAGGGCGAGCCCAACCCCCATAGTACGAGATAGACTCTTCTCCGTGCTATTGCTACAATACAATCCGAATCGACCGGTTCGAGTCTCACCATGGGCTCAGCCAATTCTATGCTACAGACCTGGTAGTCCTTTATACCCGACCACAGGTTTCAGCGCTCGCGTCAACTGTCCCTCAGGCTTGACACCAATTCAATCCAATCTATCTTCTGAATCCCAGTGCCGCGGCGTCTGGGAAAGTGCCAGCGTCTCAAAATGCAAGGCTTCAACATGGGACGCTACGTCCCCCCCGACCTCGAAGGCCTCGTCTCATTCAACACGGCATCCGGCAAAGGGCACCCCCTCGGCGCCCGAGCCCGAAAACTAAAATCCGAAGGCATCCTAACCGTGCGCTTCGAATGCCCCTTCGCAATCTGGTGCACGCACTGCTCCCCCGAACAAATCATCGGCCAAGGCGTACGGTTCAACGCCGAGAAGAAAAAAGTAGGCAATTACTACAGCACTCCAATCTGGAGTTTTCGGTTCAAACATACCGCATGTGGAGGGTGGATCGAGGTGCGGACGGACCCGAAGAACGCGGAGTACCTTGTCGTCGAGGGCGGGAGGAGACGAGACACGGGCGCGGATAAATTGCTCGATGGGGAGGTGAGACTAGGTGTCTCTGAAGAAGATAAAGATCGATTAGAGAAAGGCGGTGATGGTGCCTTTGGGGCACTCGAGAAGAAAGTGGCTGATAAAACGCTGTTTAATGCCCAGAAAGATAGACTGGACGAGTTACTCAAGGCCAGCGAGAGGGATTGGGCGGACCCGTACGAGCGGAGTAGGAAGTTGAGGGCCGAGTTTCGCGTTGGAAGGAGGAAACGCCAGAATGATGAGAGGACTGGTGAGGCGCTGAAAGAAAAGTTTGGGCTTAATGATGCGTTGGATTTGGGGTCCCAGGATCAGCTTGAGGATGTGGAGAGGGTGAAGTATATTGATTTTGGGGATCAAGGGGAGGACCAAAGGGAGGACGTTTCCGCTGCCGCGAAAAGAGCTTTGTTTGCAACATCAACACCGACTGGACTGAATGATAGTGGGAGTAATGGTTTGCCGTCGAGGTTCAAACCTCATGCCAAAAAGGATATCCTGCAGAGTCAGCTGGCCGGGAACACGAGAGCCGCTACGGATCCCTTCTTGCGAGAAGATAACGGTTGGCGGCCGAGAGCGAAGCGGAAAAGAATGGAGGAGGAAAAGGATAAGGAAAGAGACCAAAACCAAAAATCCGCGAGGACGGAAACGAAAACGGGAAGCGTGGCGTTGGTGGGTTACAATTCGGATTCGGATTCTTCATGATACCCCAGTCATTTGGTTTTTCTTGCGGATACCCAGTGTTCATTTCATAGCGCTACCTAAGGTACTCTAGTCATGGTCACATCGTACATGTCATGATTTTGTTCATTTTTTGTTCATATTCCTGTTCTAGCCACAGTCCCAGCCTGGCGGCTACGGCTACCTCGGTGCATCTGGCGCTGCTTGTCCGGATTTGCTCGATGTTTCCTGAAGCGCTGGCATCTTTTGTCTTTGAAGTGGAGCAAATCCACCTCGCGGAGGAGGCGGAGGTGCTGGATTTCGACTTGCCCAAGGTGCCTGGGTGACACCATTAACAAAGCCCAAAGGTGCTTGGGCGGATGGTGGGGCTGCGGATGCCCAAGGAGCTGCGGTGCCGACACTGACCGGAGCACCTCCTGGCCTTGCGGCCGTTATGCTCTGAGCGGCCATGGGGTCCCGCAGAGGCTGGCTGGCAGAGTGTGCGGAAGGCGGCGGGGGCCTGGCTTCAGGGTCCTTCTCCCATCTGAACAGTGACCCAAAAGGAAAATGCTGCACGACGGGAAACTTGCCCAACACCTCAGCATTGTACATTTTGACCATGCCTTTATTGATCTTCCCCCACCCACCGCTAATACCAGAAATGTCGTACAGCATAGGACTGTGCTCCCAGAACGGGCCCTTCTTGACATCATAGATGAACGCAATGGCGGAAAAGTACATATTCTTGTCCTTTTCTTTCTCCACCAGATTCGCCTTGCTCACCCAGGACGGCTCGGGCGCATCCGGCAGCGAGCCTTCGGTAGGTGTGTCGTCGGCCTCGGTGATGGGAGGCGCCAGTTGTGCCGAGCCGAAAACATATGGCAGGAAAGAATTGTCGTCCAGTCCCCAGACGCCGTGCGACCCGGCCGGTTCCAGCGTGTATGTTTTGATCAATTTCCTGATCAGCGACAAATACATTTCAAACACTCCCAAAACAATGCCCCGTTCTTCCACGCCGATATCTGCTTCGGCGAAATAGTCCACCTTCCACAGAGCCCCCAGAAAAGCCAGAAAACTGAGTTCATGTCCCGTGCCGTAGTCTAGTCGTTGGGCACTACCGAAGCTGCCCAATAGGTAAGCCCCCAATTCCTCGTATGCCGGGGCGAGCGATCCCGGAATATGCTCGCGTAACAGGTCGTCCAGTTGGTCTTCGACCAGTTTGAACCATTTTCTGAAGCTGACGTTGCCAAAGCGTCTCGGTCCAGTGTCGGGAGGAACATCGTCGACGAATTTGCTCAGTTTGGTCAACAGCGTGCGTAACCGCTCAACGGACTCTGAGAAGACTACATCTTTCGAACCCAGGGGCCACGTGACCACTTTTGTTGTCCCGTTGATGGTCTGTTTTCGAGGCACGACGGACCGATTCAGCTGGAGCATAAATGTCATGATGTCGCGGTATGCCAGAGATGTCAGGAAGAATGTGACGTCGGAGCCATCGTAGATCTTCTTGACGGGCTTCTCGAAGCGGTGCGTTTCGAGATTGCTGATCTTCTGGAGGGTCGAATGGGATGTCATGGCGGAACGCGGCCTTAATGCTTGTTCTTTTGTTTTTACCGCCTGGTTACAACTTGAATGGTTTGGGCCTTGCGCTTGAAATTCCTGCTGTATAAGGTCTGTCCGCGGCTTTCCAGGTTCTTGAAGTTGGTGGCTGATGTTTGTGATGGACGTCGCATGTTGTCCCGGACTCCCAGTAATATTGCGGGATGATTGTGCCACCAAGATTTGATTGGAGGAAAGTGCATTTGTCCTGTGGTGCTCCGCCCGAGAGTGGCATGCGCTCTCCGCGGCCAGCGCCGGGGTTTCAGCCGTAAAGTACGACTGGCTATGGTATCAGACATGTTGTTGTGAAAGTACCAGTGTAGCATGCACCTATGGATATCGTCCAAGTTTGGCTGTGCTGACATCCGCTGTCCGATCATGGCTATGTATGCCCAACGAAGCTAACCCAGTCACGAGTATGCCGGTTTCTACGCGTCGAAGCACCTACGGCGCGGCCCCCACCGCCGACAGCGCTGAGGCTGTGACGGCAATACTGAACGATGAAGCCTGCGGCGAACTGAGCCCCAGAAGGACAGAGAGGAAACGCAAGAGAACGTCAAATGTTGCAGAGGACAGTCCAAGCACCCGGTCGAACAAGAACGTGGCCGTCGAGATACCCTCCAACCCACCTTCCAATCCTGGTCCGAGTGAAGCCACTGAAGGAACAAGGCGAGCGTTGACAGCACGCGCCTCGCTGGCTGCTCCCATCATCGCGCCGAGAGGCGACTTGTTTGACTTTCCGGGGGATGCAAACGCTCCCACAGACCAAGGACGCTCAAGCGAGCCGGAGAAGAAGAAGTTAAGGCGGTTAAGGTCGGCTAAACAACCTCAACCGTCCCCTTTCAAGGGAAGGGGAGAATTGGAAATTAGGAGCACCGCGCATGTCAATCTTGATGCGTCTCCAGCACGTCCGCGGGCCAGAGACCCGCTCCGCAAGATCGCGAGATCCATGCAGAGGGTTCGCAGACCTGGACCGGTTGATGCTGCACCTGAGCCAGAGGAAGGTATCCCCAGTTCAGTGTCGGAACAAGAAGAGGTGCAACCATTACAGGCTGTCCCCACCCAGTCGTCTGCATCTGAACCAAGCGGGGTTCGAAGGACGTCCCCGCGAAAACCTCGTCCGGCAACCGTAGGGGACGCTGCGGATACACCCCCTGAGGCCTCGGACGCCGAACCTAGCCCGAACGTTCCGGTGTCGCAAAGTCAGCAGCAGTCGACAGCGCCAACTCAACAGACCCAAGCAACAGCCCGGGATTCCAATGAAAGGCAGCCTTTGCAAGCGGCAAGCGGAAACCAAGCTGACGTGAATGGCGCCCTCGATGATACATCCGGGGTCATTGATGAAAGCACTCCGCGTCAGCCTGACTCTACAGCTGGGCGCCCCGAAACGGAGGTTGAGCGAAGAACCAGAGAGCGCGAGGAAGCGCAAGCGGAAGCCAAGCGGCAACAGAGGATCAAGAATGCCTTGCAAGGCATCGAATCAGCCGTCAAAGTGTTTGGGTGCGAGCGTGAGTGGCAAACGGCCCTCGTTGGAGGACTTGAGCTTGATGAAGGCATGTCTATGGGAGGAGCAACCTCTACGCTTGGCCGGGAGGCAGAGGCTGCACTGAAGAAGTTGAGGAAAGAGTACAGAAAGCGTGCAGGGCAGAGTCCTCCTCCTCCACACGAGTCGGCTCGGGTTATTGGAGAGACTCTCGTCGTCTTGGAAGAAAGGTGCAAAGAGCTTCTCAAGCGTACGGAGAATCAGGGCCGCCCTGAAGACGGTCGAAGATACGCTATCATCAGGGACGTCTATGGATCCCTGATACATCGCTCACTCAGTCTCAACAAAGCTGCTCTCCAAGCGCATTTTCAGGACGGACGGCTGAGCATTTCTGCTCAATTAGTGGTGCATGATCTGCTACGGATTACAAGTTTATTGCTGGAAACAGCCACAAAGTGGCGGCCAAGGCCCACCCTGGAGAACGCGGCAAAGCGGATTGTCAGGCACGATATCCAGCCCAACATCTCTACGATCATGGCTCGGTATAAATCCTCTATCATGGACGCTGAAAGGAGAAAGCGGGCGGAGGAGATTGCAGCCCAACAGGAACTGGACGCTCAAGCCGCCGCAGCGCATGCCGAGCAGATACTAGAACAGAGAACGGCGGAATATAAGAGATTCAAAGAATCGCTTAGGTGGGGACCGGGCAGTGGCACTTCAGCCTCTCGAAGATTAGCCAACTTGAACGGCTCCCAGGTGGATGGGCCAAATCCCACTGCTCGTTCCATATCCCCACCTCAGGAACTGGACGCTCAACCTGCCGCAGCCCACGCCGAGCAGGTACTAGCAGAGAGAATGGCGGAATATAAGAGATTCAAAGAATCACTTGCATGGAGATCAGGCAGTGGCACTTCAGCCTCTCGAAGATTGGCCAACGTAAACAGCTCCCAAGTGGATGTCCCAAATCCCCCTGCTCATTCTACGTACCCACCTCAGAAACCAATTGTTGATGTTGATGACCTGGATCTGTCCGACGAGCCCGGCATGAATGGTGACGATGTTGAAGTGGCCGGCCCTTTAGCGAACCACATCCTCTCATCTTTGGGAGACGCTGTTGATGGAGCTGCACCCAGCAGACGACCGCAACTCCAAAGAGAAACCACCGAAGAGATACCACCTCCTCGGCCAGTCCAGTGGGAGGAGTCGGAAATCAGACTGCTGGTCAAAGGACTCAGAAAGTACCGGGACCAAAATTCGAGATTTGAAGACATTGTCGAAGATTATGGAGCGCCCGGCCGCGGACTGGAGAAGTATGACATGGATGAGGTTGTGGCACAGGCTAGATGGATCAAGCAACATATGGCAAAGCATCTTGAAAGAACCAAGCATGATCCCGAATGGGACTGGCTAAGGACTGTTCCGGACTGATTCAAAATGCGGGCGTTGCATTGGGAAAGGTTTTGTGGTTTGCACTCCCAGATACCCCTGAGCTGCGACGGAGTATGGTCTGGACGTCCAATTTGTTTCTTCCCTGTCGAATTACATTCAGTGTATGGTGTCGGTACATGGATACATTTACGTACCTAGGCACCGTAGTTATAGTTGTATACCAGACCAACTCCTGGCACCTGTAGTGGCTTAATAATACCCGGAACTAGGATACAAGCGTCTTAGCGGAGCTCGCGTCTGGCGCGTTTCAGTCGCGCCGGGGAAATACAACGTTGCGCTGTCAAATCATCATCGACAACGTCAATCAAAAGAAAGTTGGCAACCACAAGCAGAACGAGCCAATGTTTCTGACTGCGAGACACTGCAAGTCGGGCATCCATTGACCCTGTGATCTGCCTGTCAGCCAAACATACTTTATTCTGTCTTTGGCTTCTTGACGTATTGCTTGTACTTCTTATACCCCTCGTGTTCATGCGCTTTCTGCTTCACTGTTTACTGCCTGCACAAACTTGAACATGGATAAACATACCACCTCCCGCAACGGCGGCGCTGGGGAAGAGACAAAGACAAAAAGCACACACCCATCCACAAAGCCAGTGACCAGGCCGACCGCACCAAGACTGTCGAGCAGCACCCGTCCTACCACAACATCTGCAGCCAGAGCAGCCGGCACCGGATCTTTGAGCAAGCCTCCTGCACGTCCAACTTCGAGTACTGTTCGAAGACCACCCAGTGTAGCTGCGACTCCCACAACCTCAGCGCATCAGAAGAGGCCATCGGTGAGTTCGGTGGACGACAGACCGTCGGGCGACGAGAAGAGCAGAGGTGGGATAGCCGCAAAACCCAAACGAGTTTCACTGGCATCATCGACCAGTGCGGACCGCACATCGACCCTCAAGTCTACCGCTGCAACACCCGCTCGACGTACGACAGTCACCTCCTTCACTTCGACTCGACAAAGCATAACAAGTCCGACGGGCGCCCGAAAAGTGCCATCCACTCCCAGCACGTCACGATCGACCGTCACTCCTCGATCAAGACCCTTGGTTTCTTCCGCCTCGAGAAATGTTGGCACAGGCAGCGTCGGTGAGAAGAAACGTTTGAGCACCATCCCCGCCTCGCCCGCGGTGCAGACGAAGGTCCAAGAGTCGGAGGATAACAAGGAAAATGTACAGTCTGGTGGGGAAGAGAAACAACAAAAACGCCCTGTGCGTCCTGCATTAGGGTCGCGACAATCGACCCGATCGGTCTTGATCGAACAGAAGATACGTGAGTTTGAGCTGGTCAACACCATGCTTCAGGCTGCCATGACTGCGGACGGAGCAGACGATCAGGAGCAGGAGTCTATCAACCAAGAAGCCTCAGCCACTATCGCAAAACTCAAGTCAGATCTTGCAAAAGTGCGCGAGTTTGAGCGGACTCATGGACGGTTACCCAGCGAAGCCGAGCTGGAAGAAATTCAGTCCATCAAGGAGGATGCGGAACCAAAATCTCCCGTTGAGGAAGACCCAGGACAGAAACCAAGCGCAGCAAACGCCTCTGTCACAGAATTGCAGCATGAATTGGCTCAAACCAAGACCCGAGCCGATGCACTGCAACAGGAGTTGATGGAGCTAAAGACCAAACTTGATGATGCCAACACAACTGCAGAAGAAGAGAAGCGCCGAATGCAAGAAACGATCGAAGAGGCAGAGGCTACGAAGGCGGAATATGCGGCCAAAATGGAGGAACTGAATTCACTGCACAAGGATAGGGTCCGGGAGCTTGAGTCTTCCCATCAAAAAGCGCTCGAAGATCTCAAGGAATCTCAAGAATCTACTTCAGAAACTTTGAAACAACTTGCCGAAAAGGATTCTGCGCTGGCTAAACTTCGATCCGAGCTTGGGGAAGTACGTGAGAGTACGAATGCAAGCACCACGTCCAGGCAGGCCGAAGTTGACAAACTCCTGACCGAGCTGGAACAGCTGCGTGAGACAATGGCGAAAGAACAGGCCGCTAAGGACGCCGAGATTGAAGCGCTGAAACTCGATTTGGAGTCCAAGAAGATCGAATCGGAGACTAACAGTCAAGCGGCCGCATCTCCCACACCGTCGCAACCGCAATCCCAGGAGCTTGCTGAGGCACAGCAGAAACTTGAAGCTGCCCAGGCTAGGCACCAGGCAGCAAAGGAAAAGGCAAAGTCCAAGATTGCCCGAATCCAGGAGGATTTTGACAGTAGGGTGTCAACACTGGAGTCCCAGCATAAGGAGCAGCTCGATGAGGCCAAGAAGACTTTGCAAAATGAATTTGACGAGAAGAGCGCGGCGATGGAAGCACAACATAAGAAAGAGCTCGATGAACTCTTGGACAGACCACACCAAGCGGAGAAGCAGATTGCGGACAAAGAACAAGAAATTGCTCAACTGCGCGAGGAGTCTGATAAGAGGATTGCGAGCTTGGAGGCCCAGCACAAAGAGCAAATCAGCGACCTTACAGATAGACTGGAGCAGGCAGAAAAGGCGATGAGCAGCAAGCAGAAGGAGCTCGGCCAGCAGCAGGAGGAGTACGCGAAGATCTCGGAAGAGATGGCACGCCAGAATCAGGTCATGCAAACCCTGAAGGGTCAGATCCTTGAGTTCCGAGAAAGCAAGGACGTCGAAAGCGATGCACAAACTGCGCTGATAACGAAACTACAAGAGGAAATCGAGGGATTGAGGCGCGAGAAAGCGGAACAGGCTGAGGCCGCCGCTTCCACCCTCGCAGAAGCCGAAAAGTCACAAGCAGAAAAGATCCAGGTCATTGAGGATCGACTGGCGGCTGCGCAAGAAGAGCTGCAGAACGCCCAGACGTTGCATGACAGCAAGCTCCAAGACGTTGTCAAAAAATCTGCAGAGGACCTTAGCGCTGCCAATGAAGAGCTTGAAAAGTCCAAGGAATCACTCAACGACAAGCTTCAGGCTCTAGAAACACAGCAAAAGGCCAATGATGCCGCTGCTACAAGACAGGCTGAGCATGAACAGGCTCTGTCGGAGTTGCAAAACCAGCTGGACGAAGCAAGAGTGGCTCACGAAGAAGCAGTCGCAAAGCACGACGCGCTATTGAGCCAACGCCAATCAGAGGACGAAGCATCTAAAGACGAGATCCTTGCACTGAACGCCAACCATGATCGAGAGCTGAGCGAGCTTCGGACTCAGCTGCAAACGGAGCACGAAAAAGAAGTCGCAGCGTTGAATGCAAGCCACGCCGAGCAGGTTCAACAACTGGAGCAAAAGCTTGATTCATCTCGAAAGGAATTGGCTGCGGCCAGAGAAACCCACGCTCGTCAAATCAAACAACTCGAAGAACAAATGAAGGCTTCTTTGGCGGATCTTGAAACTTTGGAGGCAGGCCATGTGGAAGAGCTCAACAAGGTCAAGGCTGAAGCAGAGCAATTGCATCAAAATGCCGCCAAAGAGGCGGAACTAAAGCACAGCGAGAAGCTGCAAGAGTTGCAGAAGCAGCTCGAAGGCGCCAGAACTGAACTCTCCGAGCTACAATCTGCTCACGCCAAAGAATTTGAGGACCTTCAAAGACAGAAAGGGCTGGACCAAGAGGGTGCGCTGGACGCCCTCAAAGAATCTCATGCCAACGCCATCAAAACCCTTGAGAAGCAACTGATAGCTGCACATGAGACAATGGAGAAGGCCAAGGCTGATCACGAGACACATCTCAAGCGGACTGAAGAAGAGTTGACAGCACGGCATGCCGAGGAGGTCGAGTCGCTTAAATCAAGCCATTTCAAACAGCTTGAAGAGGTTAAGAACCAAGCGTACTCTACCCAAGAGCAGGCTCTTGAAGAGCTACGGTCGAATTTGCTGGAGGAGAACCGTCAACTCGAAGCCCAGACGAAATCCCTCCAGGCTGATCTTGACGGGACGAGATTCCAGATTCAGAGCTTGAAAGGCATCCTGCAGTCTGTGGAGGAGGAGTCTAAAGAAAAGGACCAGGAACATGCAGCGAGTCTTGAGAAGATGGAAGAAGAATTGTCCAAGGCAGTGATGAAACTGGCCGAGCAATCTGCGCGTATGATGGACCTTCAGATGCAACATGACCAAGCTGTGGCAGAGGCAAAGAATGCTATGAGGGATGAAACACAGCAACAGTTGGAGAAGCTTCGCGCGGATCACGAAAAGGCTCTTGACGAACTTCGAAATACCTTGGAAAATGATCACAAGCAGGTGGTGGATAAGATCCATGATGAACATGCCAGATCCTTTGGAGACAGCCAAACCGCACACCAAGCTCATCTCGATAACCTTCAAAGAAAACTGAAAGAAGAATACGACAATCAGCTCGATGAAGTCATGAAGACCCTGGAGAGTCAGTGGAAGACGCAGGTGGACCAACTAGAGGAACAGAATGCAGCCGCCGGCGCCAGACTTGCCCAAGCTATGAAGGACCACGACGAAGCATTGAAATCACTCAAGTCGGAATACGACGCCACAGTTGCCGAGTTAGAGTCTCAGGTGCGGGAGGCTCGGAAGGCATCTGAGGCGGCTCTGGACACAACTGAGCTTGATGGAGTTCGACAGCAGCTTGCTGAAGCACAAAGTCAGATCAAGGGTATCGAGCAGAAGCATGCCGAGGCCATCAAGACTATTCAAGAGCGAGAGTCTGCTTTGGCTTCCATGAAAGAAGAGCTCAAATCGGCACATGAAGCAGCAGAGCATCGCCCAGATCCTTCCGAGGTAGAGGACCTCAAGAAGAAATTAGTGGACCAGCAAAACGCTTTGGAAGAGTTACAGAAAATCCACGAGCAGACGATTCGCGACCTCAAAGCAGAATACGACGCCGAACAGAAGAAAATCGTGGGCGCGCTGAATGCAGCAGAAAAAGCGGCCGAGAATAGTCAAGTGTCTGATAGCTCAAGGTTCGAGTCCATCACTGCCAGCCTCGAGGATGCGAAGAAGACTATTTCTTCGCTGCAATCCGAACTGGACGGTGCTATGCTTGAGGTGGAGACGCAACGAAGTCTGGCAGACGAGGCTCGGCAAGAAGCAGAGCAACTGAGACAGAACCAAAAGCATGCCGAGGCGATTGCCCTGCCGAGTCCGAAAGGCTCAGGCTCAGGCACATGCTCACGACGAAAGAGCCGGAGTCCCAAGCGGAAATCGATCAATCCGTTGTCACCTGGCATAGGAGGTCAAAAGTTGGGTCTTGAAGCTAGCAAATGGGCCACTGCTGAGCCGGAACCGGAGAAAGCCAAGGACAGTGCTTCGGCTGATGCAGAGGTGGCCGGTGATGCTTCTGTTTCTCATGAAGATGTCGATACGACCGCAACGGAAAATCCATCGCCAAACACCAACACGAACTCGAACTCGAACTCGAGTAATAATAAACGCAATGTCGTGGGCCAACTGGCCGGCATCCAAGAGCAGATCAAACAACTGGACGATCTTAGCGAGGACTTTCTCGAAGAGCATCAGCGCATGGCGGCCATGTTGAGCCGCGTTGATGATGGGTCGACGAAACAGAGTACGATCAAAGTTGAAGAAGAGAACGACAACGATGGTTGATCCTGTTGAGCTATTGTTGTTGCTATGGACTGTTGACTATCGGCAACTCTGCTTTCGTTGGCGACCGTGCACCGGTTGCTGTTGCAAGACGCGACCCTGCTGTCTCTGTTGGAAAGTATCTTTCTTTTCTTCTTGGCTGAACCTGGACTGCTGGGTCTTGCGCAGTAGTGGTGGTCTTGGTTTGCCGACGTATGTTGAGTTGTTGATTTGGGTTCCCCTGTCTGGGCCTCCTTGGTTCTGGTCTCTTTTGGTTCTCCTTTTCCTCTGGTTATGGATAGCGTTCATTGCCCGTTTGGCAACCGAGTTGTATTTTTTGGCCTTTCACTTCCTTGCAGCTTATTATCGTGGGTACAGCACCTTTACTTGGCTGGACTGGACTTTGAAGTATTGGATAGGTTCGCAGGTACATACCTTATGTCATAGCGTAGTAGCGTACTGTACTGTTCTTAGTACATTAGCATGAATGTCATTTCGGGCATGACCTGGTTCAGCCGTCTTTCATCTCTTGTGATGTTTTTTTTTCTTGTTCTTCTTTCGTAGATAGGTTCGGCCAAGTACTTGAATCGAAACGATGTGCTATGTTTGTCAGAAACTCATCTGTCAGAGCCAAAGAAGGTGCTTGTGTTCTGTAGTCGGAGACGATAGACAGTAGGTACTGTTTACTTGTGGTGTGATGATTTGTGGTGGTTGTACGTTGTGGTTGGGGTGTCTATGTACAATTAATTAAAATAATCAATCCACCAACTTTTTCAGGTCACCAACCACTCGCTCTGGGGATCTTCAAGCAACAACAACAATCAATTGTACTGAAACCACATTGGATGAGATAAGGTGCTTGCTCATACTGTAGTTCTAGTCCTGATTTAGTTATGGTTCTAGTTTCTCTTGTACTGGTGTGCAAATGCAAATGCAATGACAATGACAGACAAACTGGCAGAGTACAGAGTGCAGCGGTACGTTTACGGGCTTTGCGAATTGGTATGTATATACTGGGATACGAGGATTCAACTATTATTCCATCTCACCAAGACTATTAAGTAACCATTCTGGCTCGGCGTCTTCTTCGTCTGGATCGTGGGAAAGTAAAGATGTTTCAGAGCGTAGGCTTGGTGTTGACTTCGCGGCTGGGCTTCCTGCCGGACTTTCTCCTGGTGATGCATCGTCTGCTGATGTATGTTGCTGGTGCCGACTTACAGGCTGGTCTGCAGATGCAGATACAGATGCCATGTCTTTATCCGGAGACTCATGTGCATCACCATTGTCCTGGCCTTGGTTGGACTGGTTGTCGTGATCAGATTGTGCCTGTTGTGGCTGGGTTCTGGATTCAACATTGACGCCGGCGCTCACATTGTCGTCGACTTCCATTTCGTCCTCGGGAAAGAACCCGCCACCGCCGCCAGCGTCGTCGTTGTCTTCTTGGATGAAGCCTCCGCCTTGATTTGCCATCTCGGCATCATCGTCTTCGTGGATAAAACCTCCTTCCTGGTTGACTGTTTCGTGCTCGCTTTCTTCGTGGATGAATCCACCTCCCTGGTCTCCGTCCGCTGCTTCGGTACGTCCTCGTTCGACGTGGTCCGGATTCGCTGGCGCGGGCAGCTTATGTGGAGACCTGACAATGACAACGGGTTGACGCACCACTTCCGGCGGTAGTAGCTGATCTGTAGGCTTCAGGTTCAACTTCGGCAGTGCATCGTCCCAATCTGTCGTCTGATTGACATGGCCTTGCGGAGTTTCCTCTTGTTCCAGCATGAACCCACCACCGGGTTCTTCAAATCCGTCATCTTCATAAGTCGAGTCGTCGTCGTCGTCGTCGTCGTCGTTCTGAACCACCCTAGAGCCGCCTTCTTCATCTTCTCTGCTGTCACCGTACTCCCGATGCACCCGCTCACGCACCCTCAAGGCAGTAAGCCACCTCTTCCAGAGTCCTTGAATGACCTTGCTTCGTGCCTGTTCGGATTCTTCTGTAGCCTGGGATTCCAGTCCCTCAATGACATTGATCATCGCATTACACATCGTCATAGGCACAACCACGCCGTCCACCACTGCAGTGCCCTGACGACCCTTGAACACAAACCCAGTCACTGCATCGGCATAGTCGATCCCCAGAACACGAGCAGCCTCGGCGGCAAGAGGATGTCGAACATGGACAGCCCCGGCAGGGATCATCGACGGCACATACACGTCCAAATTGCCATAAGCGTTCTTGGGGATTTTGCCATCAACCACGGGCGGTGGTTCGTACAGACGTGTCTGGTACTCAGCATAGAGAGCCATTCCTTCGGTAGCTTCTTCATCGTTATCGTCGTCCATCTCTCCTGTTAGCCGCCCCCTCTTCGGCATGACTCGTTTCAGAGGCTGTTCGCCCACAACAACATCTCGGCCGCGTCGGTACCATGCATCTGCGGTTCGACAAACATGGACATCACGTCTTCGATAGACACTTTCCAGCTTTGCGTTTTTCCCCGATCCCGTGCTCACCTTGCCCACTTCATGTTTTGGATGGATGACCTCGTTCATCCTCAAGTGCCGCTCTAGAACATATACAGGATGTCCCTTAAAATCCTGCACGTTCCTGGGCATAGGCTCGCTCTCGGCGCGCTGGAGGAGACTTGCGTCTTCGATTTCGTCTCTCGATTCCGCAAACGGTTTCCGCAAATGGTCCATGACTCGAGCCCACCACTGTTCGCCGCCTTTGGTGCTTTCAACACGCTGTTTGCGCGTCTTTGCATTATACCATTGAACATAGCGTCGTGTGACATCTCTGGCGGAACCGTCGTCTTCAAAAGCAATCACGTACGACATACTGTTTAGTCGATCCGATGCAGGTGGCTCGAACCCCGTTTTTGGTTTGTTGATGGTGTTGCGGACTATTGGATCCAAGGGTATCCAAGTCGCTGTGGACGGAGAATATACCTCGACCCAGAAAATCGGGTAGGGCGATTCGACGATCCGCTTCTTCTTTGGCGTCTTGCGCTCGGGACGGGTGATCGTCGCGTTTTGTGTATAATTTTGAGGCGGAGCATGGTAATATTGCGGCTTTGGCTTTTCGGGTGTCTGACCTTTGGCCACGCCTGAAAACGGTAGGACCTGGAGAGAACACACAAGTCTCGTGTCTACAGCGACAGATCGAAGGAGAGCACAGAATAGCTGAGCACCCAGATCTCTTGATCCGGACCGAGATCTGGCAGCCACCTTGAAATCCTCAAAGTCAATGAGATCTTCGGCGTCGTCGCTCGCCGTAACAGCATCTGCATCTTCTTTCCAGTGAGCTCGCTGCATACCCCGAGCCGTGATGGTCCATAATTGTCTCCAAATAGCACAGATCTCTTCAATCCCTTTCATGAAAGAATATGATCTTTGATACTGGGGCTTCGACTCGTCCACGTGAAGTAAGGATATCACCTTGCGAGATACCAGCGGCTTCAATATGGCCTGGATTTCATCACTCTCACACCAGCGATTGCGAGCGCTCAGATGCGCCAGAAGACAGACCAGATGCGCCTTGTGCACTTCCAGGCGGATCTTTCGCTCAGCAGGTCCTACTGGCTTGCGACGCGAACCTGCACGCCTTGAAGGCTCGGGAGTTGTTTTGGAGAGGTCCAGCTCAAGCGACTTCTGCTCCGCACTTGCACCTGCGTGGTCATCATCTGCTTCTTCTCCTTCCGCTGCTTCGTCCAGGTTCACATCTTCAAATTCGACATCGGAGTCGTCCGATCCTTCGAAATCGTCAAAGACTATCTGTGGCAGTTTCGGCGCAGTGTCCTCTAAAGAGGCTTTATCTGGCTGCTCCTCTTCTGTTGCAACCTCGGAAGTCCCGAAGAGATCAAAGTCTAGTTCGATTTTGGAGGAAGGCTCCTCGCTGACCTTTCGTCGCTTGGGGGACCTCAAGTTCGAAGACGGGTCTTGTTCCTCCGCGACCACTTCCGCCAGCATCTCATCATACACGCTTGGAATGCCATCGTCAAGACGTTCCCGCCGACGCGCCGAACGACGCGTAGGTCGGGTTGCGCTGCGTGCTAGCAGACTCTTTTTCGGCGGCATTTGATTTGTAACCCCCTGTGGTTCCTCGCGTCAATCATGGCTTATGTTGACTTGTACATCTGGGTCGCCACGACCGGGCCTACACTCCTCAACCCAAACCGAAAGACACGAGACTGTTGTTTCTATTCCATGCACGATGTGTGAAGAATGTCACATGTGCACGACCCTTGGTCATTCAGTATTGTAAATATCTTGTACGATGTTAGTCAGATGGGAGCCTAACAAGCGCGAACTTCTGGCGTTCATAAGCAGTCAATGATATAGTGGGGCCCATGGAATTCACGTGACGCACAGTTTAGCCTGGACTCTGCCGCAGCTCAAACGAACTGTCCAAAAGACCAAAAAATGGTCGACAGAAGCAAAAAAGATATCACCGCGACCATAAAGAAAGGACAGCGCGATATGCAAAAAGACAAAAAGAAGGGCTGAACTGGGAATTGAACTGATTTGATGTTAGAATGGATGTTGATTACGCTTTGTGATGTGATTGATACATACCCCAGGACCTCTTACATTCAAGCTATTAGACCCAAAGCAAGAATTCTACCTCTGAACTATTCAGCCGGAACTGATGAGTTGTTTTCCAACTCAGAGACGAATGTGACATAAATTTTGATCCTTTTATCTCTTGTAACTGAAATTTTGGCGCGCCCCACATTCCGGCTAGACTTGCCCATCACGTGCCGTCGCGCTCCCCGGCAGAAAGTTGCGGCGAGATGTTCAAGAAATTATTTGTCTCGCCGCAAAAAGTTCGCGCCTACGAACTTGGACAATAGTACCAAGTCAACCACGCACACGCACCCACCATGAAGAACATCAGACAGCGAGTGCGCGACTTGGAGCTGAAAAGGGCGAAAGGTATGGGATCAAATCTTATGGTCAAGTTTCACCATCTAACAGTTCATGACAGACTTCGACCCCGAAGATGATGCCGTTCCCTCCGCCAGCGACGCCGAGTCGGAGAACGATGAAGACCTGAAAGACAATGCTGGTCGTGAACACTACGAAGCTGTCGGAAAAAGCAAGCTACGAAAGCCGGAACAGCCAGCACTGGGCGCGAAGTACGGAGGTGTGGCCGCTAGCCGCGATGAATTGAACGGCCAAGACGAGGAAGATGAAGACCCTTTTGCTCCTGTGGAGGAATCCGACGATGAAGATCCCTTTGCTGCACGGAACGGAGTGGCCTCGAGCGATTCGGAAGCCGAAAATGGCCTGGCAGCAAGTCAGGATGGAGACGAGAGCGAAGAGATTGACAGCGACGAAGCCCTCGGTGAGAGCGATGTGGAAAAGTTCAAAAACTTCAAGTTCCGCGGGAGCAAGAAGAACCGCATAGCAGACGGTGTATCGGACGCACCTTCAGACGAGGACGATGATTCGGGGGGCACGGGCACGACGGACGGGTCCGACATTGACATGGAAGATGACGATTTGGACATTACAGACGAGGACGACGATGCCGGCTCATCGGCATCATCAGCTACAAGCAAGAGTTCATCACGCTTGAAAGCAGGCGCATCCAAATCCAAATCCGCATCGCACAACCCAGATCGCGAAGAACTCAAACGACTCGCCTTCTCATCCACATCCACAGCCGGTCTGGCGTCCGCCCTGTCCGCTGGAGCCAAGGCAGACATCCAGAAAGGACGAGCCGTGAAACAGCAACGCCAGACATTCGATCGACTCCTCGACGCTCGAATCAAGCTACAAAAGGGCATCAGTGCAACCAACGATCTTGCCCCCTCTCTCTCGGACGAACAAGTACAACAGGCCGCCCGACAAGCCGAAGACGCTGCCCTTGCACTGTGGTCGACGATCGATTCTATTCGCTGCACCGTACTATCCCACAGCAGCGACACCAACACGTCGACCAAGGAATCCTCTTCCTCTTCTCTTAAACGCAAAAGGCCGCTCCAAGCGACGCGCTCAACCTCCCTCGCCGAAATGTGGCAACACACCACCGACCTCGAAGACACCGCACGCTCTATGCGCCGCCAAATTCTGGATCGATGGCACGCCAAAACTCAACCGGTTCTCGACACCGCACCGCGTTCAAAACTGCTACAACCACAGTCCTCCGCTGGTGCCCGATCCCGTCTTACTGACGTTCTAGACACGTATTTGGCGACTGAATCGGCGAAACTTATTACGCAGAGTTGGACCAACGCTGGCGGTGATGCTAGTCATGGTTCAGGTCTAGGAACCTACGACGACAGCAGCTTCTACCAATCCCTCCTCCGCGACCTGATCGCCTCACGCACCGCGGCTGCTTCTACAGCTGCTGCTGGTGTCGCCGCAGATGGAACCACAATTCCACTTCTCCCACCGAAACTTCACCCGTCCGGAAGCCGACACAAAAAAGTCGACACAAAGGCTTCCAAGGGCCGGAAAGTGCGGTACACGGTGCATGAAAAGCTGGAGAATTTCATGGCTCCCGAAGACCGTAATACGTGGGAAGATGCGGCCAGGACGGAGTTTTTCGCTAGTTTGTTGGGGAATGCTGCTGGGAAAGTGTTGAATGAGCAGGAAGAAGATGAAGATGGAGAAGAGCAAGAAGATGCAGATGGAGATGGAGTGGTTGAGGGGACTACGACTGGCGAGGCTGCTGCGCTGAGATTGTTCAGAAACTGAGAGAAGAATAATAGCACAGCTGGTCGAACTACCATTAAATGGAAAAGGACGACATGCTTCGACTAGGACTTCGAAGAGGACAGTATACTAATAGTTCTACCAGTAGTTACTGTACTATTCTGCCACCGAAGGAATAAATCTTGCATGTATGAGGTACAGAAGTTCAGACCATGAGAGCTGGATGGAAGAACACTTCCTTGGTATCGAGTTCATGATCGTTCCCCCTAAGCTCGATGATCCACCAACACTGCCGCACACCTCATAAGGATAAGGATAAGCTTCTATCCCTCTACCGCTATCTCTGTGCTTGTGCATCCGCTTCCGTGCATCAGTTACCATTGACACCAAGCTGCAGGTTACTCAGACAAAAGGGTCCTAATAATCAATACCTAAGGAATGGAGGATATCGATGAATCATCCGGCCACAAGAGAACGTCGGACCGGCACTCCCTTCTCTCGATCTGAGCTGGTCTGCTCTGGCGGTAAAGAGACGACAATATCACTTTCTCCTCGTATACCCAGGAACCTGATACGGCTTTGGAATAAACCACTCAGGCAAAATCCCCTTCTCATGCTGTCGATGGATATAATATGCCGTGACGTGTCCGTTCTGCGTAAAGTTCGATTGTGTTTCATTGTCGAACCCGGGGATGGGCGAATACTCCCTTTGCAGCGGAGTAGGCTGTGGCGACGATGGTATGTCCGATATGGATAGGGATATGGACTGCTGTGATGGACGGACGCTCGGCGACTCGGTGTCATTATCGATGTCGTTGTCGTCATTGACATGGACTTCCCGATCACGATCATTCCTACCACCGTCCTCTTTGTCGTTGATGTGTGTTGCTCTAGTGTCTTCATCTCCCATTTCCACTTCCCGCGCCTTTCGTCCAGAGGACCCCAAAGTCCTTGTCTTTCGTCGTTGAACTGGAGTGGCGGCGGCAGCAGCAGCAGCAGCAGCAGCAGTAGCAGTTGTATCCTTGTCCTCGATCTCAATTTCACGATAAGCACCGAGTCCAACACGGTCAGAACGCGAGGGAAGAGTGCTTGGAGGGTCAAGATCCAGATCGCCTTCTTCATCTTCATCCTCATGATCCACAGACTCATTGTTAAATGCTTCATCCAGGCCCAATTCAATCTTCACTTGTGACTGGCTTGGTTGGCTCCCGGCATACTGAGGCAGCTGACTCATCGAGACCTGGCAGGAACTCGAATCCTTGATGGTGATCTTATCCGCCTTGTCGTCCTCACTACTTGATCCTAGTCCCCCTGCTTGTTGCGGAGGGTAGGATGACATGTTCAGGTATCCCTGCGTTGCTTCCTGGGTTGACATCTGGGACGGATGGGGCAGAGACGCAGGAAAAACAGACTTTGGGGTCGCTGTTTTGCTGCTAGAAGGAAGAGTTGGTGAAGATGGGCGCAGCGGGACAATGTCATTTAGCGGCACTTTTGTCGTCGAGACATGGGTGCTTGACCGATGAAGTAGAGCTGGTCTGGGAAATGCAACCTCATCCGCCTCATCTTCGCTGTCCAGCACCACTTTTGCCGGACTTCTTGTAGTGGAAGACCCTACCAAGCGAGGCAATGGCATGGGTGTTTGCGGAGGGTTGGGAATATCGGCTTGGGATGACACCGGAGCTGCGAGTGATGTTGATGGTATCCCTGAAGAGGGTGGGGGAACATGATGATGTGGATCCTCTGCACTGTCATCCACATGGCTTGGAAGAAGCGGAGGAGACGAGATACGATGGACCACATCGACGTTGAATTGCGTGTCATTCGCAATCGGTGAACCAAGATCGTCATCGTCGACTTCAACATTCATGTCCTCATCTCGGTCGGGATGACCAGTTCGATCGCCCAACAGTTGGGAAGGTTCTACAGTAGCCGGAAGGTCCCTTTCAGTCTGTATCCTCGCAGGTCTCGGAGTCACCGCGAAATCGCGCACAATCGGGTCTGATGCCGTATTTCCTTCGAAAGGAGCTTGATCCTCCGCCGTGTCTTCACATTCTTGCCTCTCCGTGGGCGGCTTCGCACCAACAAGATCGCTCAGCTCCGGAAGGCTATCTTCGCTTTCGATATCAGGAGGACTCGATTTGACCGTCTGAACCTGACTGGTTGCTGGTATCTCTGCCTCTCCAAACGATACAGCGACCTGTTCTGTGTCGTGTGTCTGTACGGTGGCATTTTTTGAGTGTTTGCTCGCCTGGTGAGGCGATGAAGACGAAGGGATCGACCAGAGATTTGCTTGTGAATCCGCAACGCGTGATTGACCCCTTTTGGGCAGTTTCAAGGTGATAATTCTACTCTTCAGCCGCTTAGTACGCCGGCCAGCTTTGAAGGGAGACCGCTTCAAGACAGGTGCGATGGGGATATTCACCGACCGCTCTGCAAGAGGTGTTCTTTGCGACAGCGCAGGCAGTTCGGTCGATTTCTTTTGTGTCCTTCGTGTGCTTGGAGGTAAACTCTCCGGAGACTGACTAGACAATATAATTGCCCTGTTCCTCTTGGGTGTTTGTGGTAGTAAGGTTTGGCAATATTTCATTGGCGAAGCACTTTCCAGGTCAATCACGTCGTCGTCAACTGAATCCTTTATCTCCAAGGGAATTGGCAACTTGTTTTTCGTCTCTTTTCCGGGTTTCTTCGGGGTCGCAACACCCAATGCTTCTTCGAAATAGGCCAGATTCTGAACCGGGTCAGAGAACACTTCATTCTTCGTAGCCAGTCGCTTAGAGCTACGTCGTGGCGGACTGGACGGCACATCATTGCTGACTTCGGACTTTCTTTTCCTTGTGCTAGGCTTGTAGTCCTGAGACTCATTGTGCAATGGCGCCTTCCTCCTCCTGGACAACGGCTTCGCCGTGCTCGGGGTTCCAGTTCCCTTACGGTTTCGCGGCTTCCTTGGGCTGTCATAGGTTCCATCGAGTTGTGGAGGAAGTGTAGTTCCCTGTTCTACTGGTTCAAGCATTGTATCGTCAAAAGCCGCGTCGTCGGGAGGCGGGAAGCTCAAGAAATCCATCTGGGTTAGAGTCGTGTTGCGCTTCAGCGGTGCGCGACGAGTTTTGGTTGCAGGTGTTCTGCGCCGCTCTGCAGCATGTTCACGTTCAGGTTGTTTGTCCTCTTCCTCAAAGCTCGTAGGCGGAGTCAACCATTGTGCTTGGGTCAGGGTTCGTTGACTGTCGCTGGCTCGACGACTGCGGTTGGATTCGCCCTTGATGTCATTGACTCGCGGTCGTTTGCGTGGTGCCGGCGTCAATGACTTGGTTTTCCTTTTAGTCCTAGTGATTGTCCATGCCGGGGTCGACATGGTTCAATCTACGGCAGCGAGGCCGGTGCTCGAGCGAAGCCAGCGGAGTGAATGAGTATAATTGTAGGCAACAGAGGTAGTACTGTACTTTAGCGTACAGTGATAGTACATTGGTGCGTTCCACTCGCTTCCTGCCGTCGCGGGGCACGTGTACCGCGTCAAGACGCGTCTACACGTGATTCAGCCTCGACTCCCAACGAAGTGGAGGCAGCCTTGTTCAGCCTTGTCATTCAAGTCTACGAAACAGAGAGATGATATGGTCTTATTCCCTACAATTTGGAGTTCAATTCTGCTTTTCAACACAGTATGTACAAATAATTAACACTATAATAGCCATATTTGACCTTGCTAATGGCACAACGCCTTTTCCTGAAGTAATGCCGTTGGGATATCATATCTTTCCTGCGCCCAAATCATGCTGCTGACAAAATCGTGAAACATGGTCAATCATACAAGACGCTACCGTCGTATATGACGATGCGTATAACCGTCTCCCAGCCCTCGCTTTATCTTGGACTCAAGATACTGCTTCTCCGGGGAGTCGGCCCGACGAACAACGTCTCTGGAAGGTGGATCGAGTAACTCGCTAAGATACGCACGGCGCCGGAGTCCAGATTCGGCAGAGGTATGCACACGAGCCGTGTCATTACCCTGCCAAGCGGCAAGGCTGGTACACTCGTCCTTGAAGGCGGTAGAGTTGGCGTAAGGCAGTATGTCTGCGGGCCTCTCGGTGAACTGAAGTGCGAGGCCGCCATCGACGTGCCAGACAATATGGCAATGCATCAACCATGCACCAGGGTTGTCCGTTTCGAAACCGATAACTGTATAACCGGCCGGGTGCCCAGGTCCGGCCGAACCAACCAGCATGGCCGTGTCGCGGCGGGTTGGGTTCTTGAAGTTCAGTGTTGACACCAAGCTCGGCGTCCAGGTGACGGTTCCTTGACCCAACAAGCTGAAATCATGACCGTGCAAATGCATTGGATGTGACGCATAGAATTGGTTCTGGATAATGAAATAGACCCATTGATTGGCCACGTTCAGCGTGATGGCATTCGAAATAAGCGAGCTATTCCTGTTCTCGGCGATCGTCTCAAGAGTCGGTTGTGTATAGTTGACGTGGATGGCACCGTTGTTGATGTACCAACGAACCACGTTGCCGTCATCGCTGGTTTCTACCCGCGCGACAGTTCCAGCGGGCAGCGTGGAGGCCGTAGCTGCGAACGCATCCGCAGACCCTGCTGGCTTCTCGAGGTACGGCACTAAGGAGGCGATGGGTTCGTCCTCGCAAATGGCGAAGTCGGACGCTGTCTTGTTGCCATAGGTTGACGTTGGCAGAGTGGCCTCCGCACCCTCGTAGAGTATGATGCCATTGGCGTTGCCGAGACCGCTGTTGCCACAGCCACTGGGGCAGCCAGTCTGAGTGATAGCTCGCAAAAAGTATCCTGCAACCGGTTGGTTCATCTCGACGATGACATCGTATCGTTGCCCGATGCCGATGTGTAGCCATTCGGTCGTATATGGGACGATTGGCACGTAGTCGGCAGCAATCACTGTCATAACATGGTTGTCGAAGTGTACCGTGTACATGTTCTGCACACCGGAGTTGATGAAGCGGAACAGATGCTTTTTGCCCGGTTGGACGGACCACATAGCGTGCTGGCCGGCAGAGAGATCGGGAAGTGTGTTTTTGCCATTCAGCAAGTAATTAACCGTCTCAGTCGGACCAGTGTGGGCGATCCGCTCATTCATTTGGGCTGCGGTGATTTGGAAGGTGTCGTCGATCATGACAGTACCCATGTCAATGTCGTAGTTGGCAGTGGCAGGACCGTGAACAATCATAGGTCCACGAATTCCATCCCCATACTGGGTCATGGCGTGTGAATGATACCATCCAGTGCCGTATTGATTGAGTTTCATAGTATATGTGCGAGAGGTGCCAGGAGCAATACCACATTCGGTGACTCCTGGTACACCATCCTGGTCGTTGGTTCCCTTCTGCGTGATACCTTCAACACACGTTAGCTGGGTACAGCGAAATGACCGAGAGAGATGCTTACCATGCCAGTGAATGGAGGTCGCGTTGTTCTGCAACTGGTTGTGGACCGTAACTTTCAGGATGTCGCCCCAATTACACTCGATCAGCGGCCCTGGGACCTGGCCGTTGATGGCAAAGACCATTTTGGGTCCGCTTCCATCAAAGTCCATGGTGGTGTTCGTGATGGTCAGTTCATACGAGCAAGTTTGGCCGGTCGAGTATTCAGCTGCGTAATAATCGGTGCTGATACTGCGCCCATCGCACCACTTGCTCCGGTCAGCTGCGGTGTTGCAAGAACCGCCTTCGTCGCCCGTCTGGGGAGCGGTGACATTGGAGGACGAAGAGCCAGGAACTGCCAAAGAGCCATTGACCGGGGAATCGGTGTAGGTCGGCGCCGGAAGCGAAGAGGTTGCCGCTGTAGGAGCCACACCCGTGTAGGTAAACACTTCAGCGTTGGTGCCGAGAGTGCTCAAGTCACCAGACTGCGTGTTCGCGTCAACGATAGCTTTCGTTATGGTGGTCGTGGCAACAGTAGCTTCCGTCAGAGCGGTTACGGTGGTTATAGGTTCTGATAAAGACTGGCTGATCGCGTCAACGGTAGCTACCGTCAGAGTGGCTGTGGTCCCTGATGAAGACTCGTTGGCTTGCTCCGCGTCAACCGTGGTGGCAGTTGTCTCTGCGGGCGCCGGTGTGCTGTCGCCCGTCACGCTGACGGCTGTATCTGAGGGCGAAGAAGTACTATCACCTCCCTGAACGGTTATCGTGGTGGTTGCGCAAACTGTTGGCTCAGCAGTGACGGTCGACCAGTAGATCGTAGTGGCTTCCTTGAAGATGGTCTCGGTAATTGTAGTCGTCGTTGTCACGGTATTGACACAACCAGCCGAAGCAGAATGGGCCAACACATTGCTCGCCAGCCCCAAGGTTAATAAACCGAACGTCTTTGCGAACCTCATGCTGGCATGCTAGGAAAGTCGGTAGGTATTAGTTGAAGGGAGCGCTTCAGCTGATGACCAGAGAAAAGACTGGCGTGGCTCGGTTTTCAGTTGTCCGCCCTGAACAACGTAACGAGAGACTTGTTAGAAGCTGCTTGAATTGTGCTTTCTGGAGGCCAACGGCCAGGCGAGTTGGTAGAAGGATAGTTGAACAAGGACTGCAGCAAGGCAGGCCAGGGGCCATTGTATACCTTGCCCACAGCCTTTTTGAAAAAGCCAGCCATGTACAAACCCCTTTTGACCAAAGACACCCGGCGCAAGGCCACAATGAGGCTAGCACCAATGGTTCTACCATGCTGATTGGCGGCGGCACTCCTGTCAGGCTCAGAAGGGAGCTCAGGAGCATAACGGTCGGACCTTCAAGTGGAAAAGCCACCAGTTTGGCGTCCGACGAGGCCATTGCCCGCCACGCATCTTGTCTGCAAGGTCTCGAACCCAGACCTGCGATGGCGTTAGGAACTGGTGGCGGGCGTTTAGTTTGACAGTTTGACAGCTTTGGTACCTGACTAAGGGCGTGACCTAAGAGCGACAACCGCTATCAAATTGCCCTGTTTGATAGCTGATTCAAAGTGTTTAGAGCTCCTTACTCTGTGCCCTATGCTGGGTGTGTCGAGCTCATCGTTCTCACCTGCAAGAGGAAGAACATCAGGTAGTGGTAGTGGGCTCTGTATCTTCAGACAAAAATCGTCCTGGTTCTACGCGGGTCCCAAGCCGATTGACAGGCTGTCAAAGATAGACCGTAGAAGGGGGTTGGAAGGGAGGCCCAAGCGTACTTTAGGAGGCTTCTCAAGCCTAAGGTGCCCACACCACTTGACCTTCCAAGTCGACATCGCGTACTCCACCAAAGCGCTGGCATACACGCGACATCGCACCTCCAAGTGCAAAAGGTGCTAGAGATGTGTGTGCTGCGCTCAGGATAGACGACGTCCGCGATGACTTGGGTAGAATCGATAAGGCGATCTCAACGTTGAACCGACAACGATGTCTCGATCTCGGCTTCGTGCTCCTGTTCTAGCCCGAGACGAACAAGCCCTGGAGATCTCTGCAAGTGTCAGTGTTTCGGTGTTCAGGGGTTTCACCGTGCCATGTTCGCGATTTCCTCCACACGACCCGAAGTTCGCGTCCTTACGCAGCTGAGAAGCTTGCGAAGATATTTTTGCAGTGGAGTGGCTCATGGCCTTTGCTTCGTGCAAGCGCATCCCCCACATTTCCTCGCTTTTTGATATCAATAGAGTTTCGACGCGGTAGTGCAGGTCGGCGTTCTCGATCTCCCTGTCAGTCAACAACCTCATCTCGCCTACCTAGCCTGCTCGTGGTCGTGCACACCGTGCGTAGGTCACACGCGTGTAGGAAAGGAGATTTCAAGTCGCCAGTAGGATGGTTTGGCATCTTCTCCCGGGTGTTATGTCAAAGCCTTAGGCTAAACCTAGGCGTAGAAGGCGTCCAGTATTGAGATCTCGAAGCGCTCTGGAAGCCGTTGCCAGGGCGGCTTAGCTTGCTATGAGAACATGCTCTGCAGGGCCTGAATTCACCCAGCTGCATTCAGGAGGTTGATAATATAAGAATTTCAATTAGACCGAGATACCTGGAATCAGAGAAGGCTTATGACTCCCAATCCCCAGGCAGCTGTCAAGGTAGGCTTTGTGTACTGGTGACATGGACGTGTGGTATGCCTCCATTCAGATGCACAATACCGCAAAATACTCGTGCAGGGGGAGCCGCGTCTCCACGAAGCAGCATACAAGTGTATATAAGCGGTACACACTTTCCCATCACGATTGACAAGAGTGGTTGGTAAGCTAGGCGAGGATGGGGGCGATGAAATCGCCACATTCTTTCTACCATCGCGAGTCTGCGATCGACGGAATGTGACTGACTCTGTCGGCCCATCATATTATGCTAGTCATATGGAATCCCCGTCCAAGTCCGTAGAATAAGATGTATTCAATATCAAGTCAGCTTTCCAAACTAGCTTTCAAAGAGGCCTTGCCTCGAAAGCCATGGGTATCTCGCGCCAATGAACCAAACGCCAGCAAAATCCAAATTTCGTCCAAGCTTTGCACCTGGGAGAGAGGACCCCTCGACTGGCGTATTGAACTTTTATGCCGCCTACTTCATGGCAAAATCAAACTCCTCAAAATCTGTCCTCAAGCCCTGGGCATCCTCTTCCTCCGCCAGTTGCTCACTTCCGTCTTTGCGAAGGAGCGCATCCATCCAATTCACCCGGTTCTCCAGCTGCAATAGACCCGCCATGACCTCCCGGCCGAACCAGATATTGAATCGCTGTTCATTCGGTAGAGGAAAGTACATAGATTTTGCCACCCCGAAATCTTTCTCGTCGTTGCCATTGGTGTGGTCTGCCGTTTCAACTGGATCCGACACCCACGTCCACACGCGAAAGTAATCCGACCGTTGAGGCAATAGACTGTCGGGGTCACAGGGCTGGAATGGAGGGTACTCGTGCCGTTCTCCCGCTACCTTGAAAGCCGCCTCGACCAAGCCTTTCTTCACCTGTTCAGCCTGACATGCCATCAACTGCCAATGGTGATGCCGGATGCCGGTGCGATTGACTTCCCAGCACACAGTGCCTAGCTGACCTTGACTCTTTGTGCCAATCATCGTGCTCAGTGCCTTGCGGAAGCGGTTCATTTCCTTAAACTCATTGGCCATCTCTTCAATGGATCTCTTGCCCTGAGCTAGCTCGTCCGCAGCATGGTAGTACGGGATGATCATGACATGGCCGGTGAATGAGAGCTGTGGGAAAGTCGATGGCAAGGGTAGTGGGCCCCTAGAAGCTGTTACCATGCTTTCCTCGCCTAGAGATACCACCAAATGAGTCTTTGCACCCGGCTTGTTCAGGCACATGAAGCAATCATTCGGGTCTTTATTCTGGTTTCTGCGTGCACGTTTGTAGTGGCGTCCCTCTTGCCCGCCGTTGGCATATCTGCTGTATGGCTGATCTTCTAGGGCCTGCCGCTTTCTGGGCGGCGAGGACCGGATGAAGGGCGATACACCAGGAGGCTCCACTGTGGGCGGAGGACGTGATGTGTCCAGGCTGAATGCCGTCATCCATTCTTTCGTAGGCGCAGAAACATTCGGGAGAGCTTTGAATCTTGTCACTGCCAACTCTTCTAGAGAACTGTAGTCCACGACATGCTTGAAAGGTTCCCGTTCCCAAACTCCAGCGGGACTGCTAGCGAAATGGTACCATGGCTTCAACGCTTGACACAAGTTTGAGATAGACTGGGTGCCCTGGTCGCCTTTGACGCCTTCTGGTAGCGGGATTTTTGATCCGTTCGTGATGTTAGCCGGCCACTCATTTGTAACCAGAATGTGAGCGGAATGAGCCCCATGGAGACCTCGTGCATCGTTGTCCAAATACAGAGGGTCGCATTTTCCGAGTTTCTGAGTGAGAGATGCTTCATTTTGGACAAGTCGACCTCCAAGGTAGACAATCTTCACCACTTCGGTAGTGGTCATCGTTCCTTTGCGACCCAGATAGAAGAGGTTTGCACAGAGGTCGTCGTCGCCTTCCAACTTGGCCTTGACTTTTTCAGGGAAGCTCAGATCGCCAACGGTGAAATAAGTCGGGAGAGGGACATTGATGCGTCCTTGGAGGAGCAGCTCGAGTTCCTCTGAGTGGCTGGAATCATCCTGCCCGAACAGATCGCCAACAATCAAGACCAAATTGAAGTTCTGCTTGGCTTGCAGTTTGGAGATTTTTTCAAATGCTTTCTTGAGCTGGCCTTGCACACCTCCAACCACGAGTCTGCCTTCTGTTAGGTCATGCTGATGTGAAGATATCCTGGGCTTACATCTTTGCCGTTCCCATCGTGTCTCGATGTTGCAGAAATGTCCAGCTTGTAAGCCTGAACAGATAGCGTTATTCGTAGATCCTAGCAGCCAACTCCGAATCTCATAGCGAAAGATGGATAGAGGTGCCCACTTCTGTCTTTGCGACCACGAGAACTCAGATGAGATGATTTCGAAAAGAAAGGGCCGCAATCCAGGGATATATATATTTATCAGCCTGTCAAATGCCAGTGACAGTCTGGTCAAGAGATCGTGAAGGGCGTGTAGTTCACTAACAAAGTGTACTTGCTCGTGATGGACTCTTCTATCACCGTCACTTTCAACGTGAAGAAAATATTGTCGCGGAATGAGAATTGCGGCGCCGTATCGATTTGTATGGTGGAGCGCAGATCTTGTCAGCCGCCGATCTCATGCGGGGAAAAATTCAGGCTGCGTCTCGCCGCCGCCTCCAAAAATTTACAGCGTTGTACAGATTGGGCGAATTACTAGTACGGGCATCTTTTTCTAGACCTCTGCCTTTTGTCGCAGTCGCCGTGCCTCCCTTCTGTGAGCACACCTTGAAGCCTGAATACAACATGATAGCGACTCTACTGCCGTAAATTTGCTGTCATGGCACCTTCGTCCGGTGCCCCGGCCGGCCGGGCCCTTCGCAAGACCAAGAACCCTACCGCCTCAACCCATATACACCGATATGAGTCCTTCACGAAGCGCATCTCGAGATTGAAGATCGACCCGGTCCACACCGTGGAAAGAAGGAAACCCTCGAATGTGGACACAGACTTGACACAAAGCTTCTTCCGCACTGCGCTCGACGAGTGGTCAGAATTGAACTTGTCGCAGACATTCACCAGTTTCCTGAACAAGGTCAATCCGCTGTCCGAGAACCTGCCTCAGCTTCTCCACCATGCGGACACAATCTTTGATCTTCTGGTGCAACACATTGAAAAGAAGGACGAACTTGCCCTGGAGCCTCTCCTGAGTCTCCTTGCACACCTCGCACATGATATCGGGCAACGGTTTGAACAGTACTTTTCCCGCACGGTAGTGCTGGTTGCCGATGTCGCCGCGACTCATAGCAGCGCTGAAGTTATCGAATGGTGCTTTACATGCCTGGCGTGGCTCTTCAAATATCTCTTGCGGTTACTTGTACAGGACCTGAGGCCCCTCCTCGATATCATGACCCCGTATCTTTCGGCAAAAAAAGAATACATTGTTCGATTCAGCGCAGAATCCCTGGCATTTCTGTTGAGGAAGGCTGCCGTTCTATACCAGAAAAGAAAAGCCCCCCTGAACCTTGCCATCAAACATCTTTTGAAAGGTCTGATCCGGGACGAAGACCCAGCAAAACTCTATTCATATCGAAATGGTGTTATGAGCCTTTGTGTTGAAAGTGCAAGAGGATTGGACGGCCAGTTGCATTCCAGCGCTGAATCTCTATTCCGCTGCTTGTTGGATGTTGCTACGCCGTTAAGCGGGGAACCTGAGGTCCGGGCCACCGTTGAGGGTATTGTGATCGCGTTAGTCCACGAGACCAACAGCACTGGATTTCAGCCCGTCTTGGATGTTGTAATTGACTTTGTCCGGGAACGCGGCGTATCGAGTGACCCGAGCCAAGTTCTATTCGCGGTTCGACTCATCACCGTGGCTATAGGTACAAGAAGAGGCACAAGAATCTCTAGCTGGACGGCCCTCACGGAGGCCTTTCTCACCATCGGGGAGAATGCAGCTCAACGAGCCAACGACGAAACTCAAATCAAGCAAGAGTTGATCACTATCTCTGCTGGGATCTCTCAATTTGCACCCATGGACCAATTGTTGCCCTTCTCGCAAAAGCTGTTAGATTTTGTTGCGAACCAGTTCTCCATAAGAGAATTCTTTGCCTTTTGCACGATTTGCGCAGATCTGGGAAAGGAGAGATTTACGGATCTGGTGTTGCCCCGGCTCCAACAGTACATCATCAGGCATTGGCGTGACGACGAGGTTTGCGTATACTATCTGCTGGAAACTCTCCGGCAGACTGACGCTATTTCCAATGGGCGGTCAAGTTCAGGGGCATTAAGCTGTCCCGAGTTTGAAGCGTCGGTGCTTCATGAACTTTCTGCCTCTACCGCTACAGACACCAATCTGCCAGTAGAACAATTCGCTGGCCGAGTCCATTTGCCGGTCAACCTTCGCCATCCTTCCGATTTGAAGATTGTCACCGCCCTCCTTGGTACATACCGCTCCTTGATCGTGGATGCGCTCAAAGAGACCGATGGAGAGCCGGATATTTGTCGTCGAGTGATGCTGGGCTGGGGCCTTGAGACATACCTCGAATTTCTACCGGAGGGCGACAGTGGGATTTCGGAACTTGTATCGATAGTTCTCCGGACCTCTCCGCTCCATTTTCGACTGCCATCGTTTCTGCACGGAAGCATTCGTCTGCTGCGCAAGGCCAGTAAACCGACTGAATCACAAAGGAGGAACCTGGAAAGCGTTCGTAATGTCTTGATCGACAATTTGCTGAGCACGTCTTCTTCTCTGAAGGAAGGGTCTCTTGAAATGCTTGCTTTACTCGCGGAATCGGACAAGAAGGAGGAGCTTGCTGAATCCACTGATCTAATGCTTGAAATCCTCAGAACCCCATACTTGCCGGCGGAAGTCAGGAAGATTGCCATGCTCCTCAGACGCCTTCCTCCACGGCAACAGAAGCTTGTTTCGGACGCATCTTATCAGAACATGACGCCCTTCTTTTGTCTGGGGTTGCTATCTCATTACCATGACCAAACGAGAAAGGAGGTGTGCAATGTGTTGGCTCAAATGACGGACCCAGCTTCAGTGGAAGAGTTCATCATAAATGTTGCTATCCAATGGTTACGGACACCCTCCTCCGTTGACCATGCCGATGGGGCGAAGCCTGAACAGCCAATACAAAGGTCATCTGCCTTCGATTGCACGAATCTCATGCACATGGATGCTCTGTCTACGAAGCAGCTTCAACAATTCCACCAGGCCAAAGATCAACTTCGCGGAGTGGTCGAGCGTGCCCACCAAATGGAGAATGTAAGAACACCCGCCAATGGACGGACACTAGCACTTCAGCTCTTGTCGGCAATTCCAGCCTCCGCCGAGCGCCGGTCTCGTTTGTTGGTGCCCATATTCCTTGCAGCCCCGATGAACCGGGGGCAGCAGCAGCAGCAAAAGCCTAGTTCAGATTCTTCTACATCGTCACATACCTTGAGCCCAGATGTGGATGATTCTGAATGGACTCTGCCTGAACGGAAAGCATTGCTCACGCTTTTTGGCAAATTCATCAACCCCCGTGTACTTTTCAGGTCAGGTGAACTTCGCGACAAACTGGTGGATTTACTAAGCAACGGCAATGCTGAGATTCGAAAGCTCGCCCTTCAAGCTGTTTTGACATGGAAAGATCCAGCTTTAGTCCGTCTCGAGAAAACTCTTCTGGACGTGGCCGAAGACAAAATATCGACCACAGACTTGGGCGCTTTACTAAGCGCTGAGGAAGACCAAAGCACCATAAGTCCGGATGATCGCGACACTGTTTTTCCGATTCTACTGAGGCTTGTTTTTGGTCTAATTGTCGGCCGAGCAGGCACGGTGGGTTCGCAGGAAGCGCGGCGGAAATCCATACTGCGCACACTCTTCCGAATGAGAGAAAGCGAGGTTGCGACCTTTCTCGACATCGCTTTGGGAAAATTGAAGGAGGTGAAAATAGCTGGCTCCGGCATCGACCATATTGGCGCCGATAGCCATTTCGTTCCAGAGGATCAGCAATATGGATTCCTGCGGCTATTGTTATCAATGCTGGAGACATTACAAAGTCGGTTTGCCCCATATGGCCCTCAGGTTGTCGATGCAGTGGTCTTTTGCCTTGTCAGGGCCTCGCGCCAAGGCCCTCCTGGTGCGCCAGCATCTGCCCCGTCGTCCAGTCTAGCCCGAAGCATCAGGCGCACGGCTTTCCAGTGCCTAGTTTTACTATTTGAGCATTGTGAGAGTATCGACTGGCCGTCATACCTGCCCGTGCTGTTCTCCAATGCAATCAGTCCTAGACTCGAAACTTTTGCCTCCGAAGCAAACCAGGGAATATCAGGGTTGCTGCGACTCTTTGCCTCCTGGGTGCATTCCAATGACCAGATCGGTTATCTCAGGGCATACGATGACAGGGTTCCCAGTACTCTCTGGCAATGTTTGACCACACCATCTGCGCAAAATGAGACGAAAACCTTCATTCTGCAAGAGATCGTGGTTCCTTGGGTAACCATGGCTGATGACCAGTCCATCAGCCCAAACAAAGCTGCAGAAGTGCTGCAGGAAGAGGCCAATGGGTTGCTAAAGGCTCTTACGGTCATATTGGAACGGACGCCGTCCAAGGAGATCCTCAGCGCCGTCACAACTATTCTGCCCAAGCTTGCGCCTTTCGCAACGTCTTCCGAGTCTCGGCAATCTGCCATCAGCCTTCTCATCACCCTACTGGCTGACGCAAACCGCAAGGTGCCTCCGAACGTCAAAGGTCAACTACTAGCGTCGATTCATAGCTTTGTCGAAACCAGCGGCGATCTGATTGACGAAAAATCTCACAAAGATTTGTATGAATTGGCTTCATCCTTGTTCAACTATTTCAAGGATGAGTCAAATCGCCAAGTCCTTTGTCAGATCCTTGATTGTCTATCACGGTCGAACCCTTCACTGGAGCAGGCCGCTCGATTTTGCCATGCTTTGAACGCAATCTCTACGGAACGGCTCGAAGAGATTGACTATGATAGGCGTCTACAAGCCTTCGGGGAAATAAATGCACTGGAGGTCGGCGAGCAGAATAAGGCCATATGGCGCCCAATCGTCTTCAACTTGCTATTTTTCGTCCGGACTATGGAGGATTTTTCCATCAGGTCCAACGCATTAAGCAGCCTGAAGCAGTTCATCGTCAAAGCAGCCGAATCAGGCTGTTCCGATTTGGAAGACCTAACCAGAACGGCAATCCTTCCAGTGGTTAAAAAGAACATCACACATGAGTCCGAGCTTATACGGGCCGACTTTGTCTCGCTGTTTGGGCTTCTGGTACAATATGTTCGGGACGATCCAGACCTCGAAAACCTGCGCCCTCTTCTTGTCGGCGGTGACGAGGAGGCATCGTTCTTCTCGAACATACTTCACATTCAGCAACATCGTCGTGTACGGGCAATCCGACGACTTGTCTCCGAGGTTGAGAAGGGTGCAATCAATGCGCAGAACAACGCAGATATCTTCATCCCTTTGCTGGAGATGTTTGTGTATGACCCCAGCACGGATGAGTCTGCCCAAACCACCAAAGGACAGAGCATAGCAGCCATGGCTACTCTGCTCCAGTGGATCAACTGGAAGCACTTCAAAACGTTGTTCCGACGGTACCGAAATGACATCGACAAGACCGACAGCGCACAGAAACCTGCTAGCCGGCTTCTATCACATGCTGCAGATGCTCTTTTAGTCGCCAAAGCGCAGCAATCTGGCATACCTGACGAGAATGGCGAAAAGGCGGTCCCTTACCTGGCCAGATCGATTCGAGATAAAGATGTCGTGGAGAATGAGCTTCGGACTCATTTCATACCCAAACTCGCGGAGTTGGTCCATTACAAAGACGAGACAGAGATCAGCTTCCGAATTCCTATCGCGGTGACCACGATCAAACTCATCAAAATGCTTCCGCAAGAAGAGGTTCAACTTCTTGCTGCTCCTATCATGCTCGATATCGCGCAAATCCTGAAGAGTCGCACTCAAGAATCGCGTGACGTTGCACGCCGTGCTCTTTGCGAAATCGTCACACTCTTGGGCCCGTCGAGTCTTCAATTCGTGCTGAAGGAGATTCGTTCCACGCTCACCAGAGGATATCAACTGCATGTGGTGTCTTACACACTACACTCCATATTGGTGGCGATCACTCCTCACATTGAGCTTGGCGATCTCGATTACTGCCTTGATGATCTTGTTCTGGTGGTAATGGACGATATCTTTGGCGCTGTCGGTCAGGAAAAGGAAAACCAAGACTACATCAGCAGCATGAAAGAGGTCAAAAGCAGCAAAAGCTACGACTCCATGGAATTGCTTGCTCGGTCTACAAGTGTCGGCGCGCTTATGAAGCTCGTCGCCCCCATACAAACCATTTTGTCTGGGACGCTCACTTCGAAGCAAGTGAGACAGGTGGACGAGCTTTTGCGAAGGATCGGGATAGGTCTATCGCAGAACCCTGCGACAAGCAAGCGAGATTTATTGGTTTTTGCGTATCATTTGATCCAGTCATTGTACCGACAGAAACAAAATGATACGACTGCCGAGAAGTCCCTCACGCTTGAAGAAAGGAGTCGCCAGCGGTATCTTATTCAACTGAGCTCGGCCCACAAGACCAGCAGTGGTCAGACGTCGCCCCTGTTGTATAAGCTGGCTCGCTTTGCTTTGGATCTGGTGAGATCGACACTCCAGAAGCATGACGATGTTCTCACTCCCGAAAACGTTCATGGGTTTCTCCCCATCATCGGCGATGCCATTATTGAAGGCCAGGAAGACGTCAAGATTTCTGCTTTGCGCTTGCTATCAGCCATCATCAAACTTCCCATGACCGAGCTGGACGAAAATGCGCCTCTGTATGTCAGCGAAGCTGTCAAACTGGTGAAGAATTCGACAAATACCAACGAGGAGGCGGCTCAAGCCGCGCTTAAACTTGTGGCTGCAGTACTTCGTGAACGGAAGAGTGTCAAGATTAGAGACTCGGATATAGCAGACCTGTTGCATCGCATTACCCCGGATATTGAAGAGCCTGATAGGCAAGGTGTTACTTTCAACTTCATCCGGGCCGTCATGGCTCGAAAGATTCAATTACCGGAACTGTACGAGCTCGTGGACAAAATTGGTATCATGATGGTGACGAATCAAACCAAAAGCGCGCGCGATGTGGCCCGGGGTGTTTATGTCCATTTCTTGCTCGAGTACCCGCAGAGCTCAACGAGGTGGACCAAACAGCAGAAATTCTTGATGAAGAACCTCGAGTACGCTTATCCCGAAGGCAGACAATCCGTCATGGAAGCCATCAATACTTTGGTCGCCAAGGTCAAGGGAGAGCCAGCCCAGGACTTGATCTCCACCTTTTACATTCCCATCATGCTTCGGATGGCCAACGATGACAACAAAGGCTGTCGGGAACTTGCCGGGGTGTTGCTCGGCCAGCTGTTCCGCTCAGCTGATAGAAGCCATCTTCGAGGCCTTTTGGAGCCCCTGCAAACATGGTCGGAACAGGAAGACAACCAAGCACTACAAAAGATAAGCCTGCAAGCATACAGTATTCTTCTAAGCACGGGAGCAGCTCTAGATCAAGAAGAAATTGCCCATATTCGCGATCGTCTAGCCAAGATCCTCCAAACGCCAGTCGCGGAAGATGGTGACGACTGGGAGATTCTGTTTCAAGGATTATTGCTGTTGGCGAGATTTGTCGAGGCTCATCCTGACATGGTCTTGACCCAGAAGCAAGCTCGGCTGTGGTCTTTTGTCTGGAAATTGTTGAACCATCCCAACGTCTGGGTTCAGAGTACTTGTACAAGCTTGATCCAGGAGTTCTTCCGACATTGTGCTTCTTCGGACCAGACAAAACTTCCGCTAACTTGCGACCATGGGCTTCGATTGGGCAAAGAGGAATTCCTCGCGATTTTGAAGGCCAGTGTTCGAACGCTCAGACGGACACAGGGCAATGAGGATCTCAGCATGAACACCGTTCAGAACCTGGTGTTTATGGCTCAATGTCTGGATGTCAATGGACTGACGATGGAAGTTGCCGACAAGGACGACAACACTGCCCGAGAAACTGGCGCACAATCCGACACTGACTCGGACGAGGAGGAGGAAGAAACGAAAACCAAGCAAATTCCCGCGATACACTATCTCCTGGATCAAATGGCACGCATTTTGCGGGTCGAAACGTCTCGTCTCACCTCTGCCGCCTTGACGCCCAAGATATCCGCCCTGGTCTTCTTGTCGACCGTTATCCCTGCGCTTTCCATGGAAAGTCTGGCTGGACAGAGAGTCCACCACATTCTCCTCCCCCTGCAACACCTTACAGATCCCAACACTATTCAGCCTCGTTCGGCAGACCCAACGTTCCCAACAACTTACGCCCGATTGATCGAGATGGCGCACGAGGTGGTGGATAAACTACAGACCAAGCTCGGAGATACCGAGTACGTCAAAGTGCTGACGGAAGTGAGTAAGATGATGCGCCAGAGGAGAGAAGAGCGGCGAAGTAAGAGGAGAATCGAACGGGTGGCCGACCCAGAAAAAGCCGCGAGAGACAAGCGCCGCAAGGGTGAGCGGAAGAAACAGCGTACACGGGAAATTGGCCAAGCACATCGGAACAGACGACGGGAATTGGGGTTGTAGGACGCACTGTAGGTGCTGCGATATGGCATGAGGCGTGCGGTTGTCAGATAGGGATGGTTTGTCCTACCACTTTGCTCTATTTTGGTTTTGAAGCATAGCATGGCCCCGGCGCTGATTGTGGATTGATCTTGACAGAATGGTCCTGTCTAATAGAGATATGATATACAATCATGAGAGTCTTTGTGGTTGATCAACTTTTGTGTCCTTATTGCTCATGTCACGGATGCCCCTTGGATTTGGGAAGCCCGACGAGTAAGGGGTGGTGTCTGCTGGTCAGAATTGACAGCCTTGTGGCCCCAATCTACACCAAGTACTAGAATCTTGCAGCCCTACGACAGCGGTCTGGAAAGCCCCTGTGACTTACATGTAGCCTTGTCTTACGCAGCCATGCCACTGCAGCTTCATTTTCAACATCACCCCTACGTCAACCGCACCACCATTTCCCCCTTCCCGCATGCATTCCCTCGTCAAGTCAAGCATTAACACTCGCCGACTTTGGAATATCCGTCCCCACAGCAGCCGTAACACCCGCATCAACCGGCAAAACGACCCCCGTCAACCATCGTGCCTGTGGACCCGCCAGAAACCGAATAACACAGCCGACATCCCACCCATTCCCTTCGGTTTTGAGTAAACTGCGATTTTTCCTCGCTTGTCTTGCTTCTTCGGACATTCCCCCTCCAGCAGCATACATCATAGGCGTATACACCATCCCCGGACAAACACAATTAACCCTAATCCCATCGCCAGCATGATGCGCCGCCATCGCCCTCGTCATATTGACAATCGCGCCCTTGGCAGTCGGATACAACAAATGCGGCGTACCACCTTTCAGTCCCGCCACAGAACCCATATTGACAATACTGCCGCGGTACATCCAGGTGGGTCCGACACTGTCAGCTGGGTTGGATTGCAAAATTGCCGGTATGGCATATTTGGACATCATGACCATGCTCGCGACGTTTATCTGCATTGATGATGCCCATGCTGCCATGTCTACGTCGACGGCGGTGCCGGGGGCGCCGCCGACGCCGACGCAGTTGATTAGGATGTCGAGACGGCCGAAGTGTGCGAGGGTTGTGTCGATGATGGATTTGCAGCTGGATTCGATGCTGACGTCGCCTGCGATGGCGATGGCGGGACAGAGAGGTTTGTTGTCGCTGTTGTTGTTGTTGGGTTCACCCTCGGCCAAGGCCTCGGGTCTAGTTCTGGTTCTGGCTTCAGCTTCAAGTTCAATCATTTCAACCGTTCGTTGCGCTAATCTGATGTCGCGGTCCACACACGCAACAAAACACCCGTCTTCGGCGAGCAAAATCGCAGTCGCGCGTCCGTTGCCGATTCCGTCGCCTGCTGCGCCGGCGCCGGTCACGATGGCTACTTTGCCAGCGAGGGAGCGGGGTGGTTTGGGGAATTCGTAGTCCATGATTGAGAGATAGATGAATGAAGGTAGCCGGATGACCACTGATCGTGTCACTTGTTTAGAAGGTATGCAGGCGTAGCTATCTGTCCGATGCTGGCTGGTTGGTGGTTGGTTGACTCGGTAGTAGAGTGGACTGGCTTCTTGTGTCTCGGTTGATGTACGCCTGTCTCTCCGACTTCGCCTTCGACTTTCGTCACCGAGTCAGTTTGAAAGATGATTTCCCCGTTGGCTTTGCCCTCCAAGGCTTTCGTGTCAGGTGGCAGTGGGAGATGTGTATGTGGTGCGTCAACTCCGACAGATCCACGTCCTCGTCCTTTTCACGTTGCACCTTCGCCTGAATCTCGTCTCGGATTTTGACCCACCTGGGATGCTGATTCACTTGTCTAACAAGGACTGAATGATACCAAGCGACCGCTGTTCTTTAGGGCTGTCTGTCACGGCCACCACAATTCCTCAAGACACCAAGACCACTTATCAAACTGAGCCGATGGGATTAATGAGTGACTGTCAATGTCAACTCCTGATCTGTGAGCTGTGACACACAGTCTCGTGGACAGTCCAATCTGGAAGGAAAAAGAGGCCAGTCACTACCTCAAGTCGAGTTATATTCCACTCTTCTCACCTTGGGTTTATGATGAACTGAAACATGATACAAATACCTAGAACCTAGTCAGGTAGCTTGCAGGTGGTAATAGACGAGAGGGATTCCACGCGTCTGTTTCTCCAACTGATGAGGTGGTGTTTGGAATACTCCCAACCGAACGGAATACTGTCTACCTCGGCTCAAAGACCCACTCACTGCCGTCCGTGGGATCACCCCGTGGAGACAGACAACATGTCTACTACCAGTAGGTATACTAACATCGTACTGCATAGATGTCCCAGAATACCTTTAGTTTCGTCTGGACTTCGGGATCCGGACTGTTTCAATAATGAAAACACCCTGGCACTACACTTTATCATCCTTTACATCAACCAAACATAACTACGTGTCGGTGTAGTATATAGTCGGAACTCCAAAGCTGACTCGATCGCGATCCTTTTGTACGCAGCGACCAGTACTCGACTTCCTAGTAGTATGATGGCAACCCTCCTTGCACATTGGGTTGGGAAACAATAAATTGCGTTGCGGTACGGCGCGTTCAGACTTCACAAAGCAGCCTGGAGTGGATGTTTCATAGCATATCCATGCTGAATGGCGACCATGTCAACGACCATACCATCCTTCTCTCGCGACACCATCCATCAGGTCCATCACAAACCAAGCGGATTCTCAGCATTCTGCTCCTTTCCCCCAAACGGCTCCTTCATCCTCTTCTCTTCCGCCTCCTGTGCCTTCGCCGGCCCACCCTCATGATTTCCAAAACCCACACCCATCTGTTCACCCCATCCTTTCCCAAAGTTCATGACCCCGCCGACCGTAGGTCCCAGGACCCCACCGAGCGGTTTCCCTGCGGTTTCCAACACGGGGCCGGCATGTTTGCCCACGGGACTCAATACGCCTTCGACTTTGTCGCCGGCGGCGTTGCCTAGGTCTTCGGGTTTTTGGTACCAAGACGAAGATGAGGATTCTTTACCGCCTGTAATAACGAGTTATGAAGTCGTCAGCCTAGGTCTGTCACCCTAAACAAAAGTGCGACCAATCCAATCGCGGTTCAAGGACAATGTTGTCAAGTATTGACCGCGCTTCAAAAAGGATCAAGCCATGCCTGCCACTGCCACTGCGGAGTAAGGTATTTTGGACAAGGTAGAAAATCTACCGACCTTCTTTCTGCTCAGGAGCACCACCACTTTCCTGGGTGTCCTGGGTGTCCTTGGTCTCTTTGTTCTCGTTGTTGTCAGACATTCTGGAACGAATCTGACGGAACAGGTAACGTCGCGTCGTCCGTTATTTGGTAGTCGGAAACAGATGACTCGACAGGACTCGACTCGCTTGGTCCGCAGGAATAAAATAGTTGTAGACTACAGTGGTCTGTTCTGTTTTGTTGCTGGTATAGTACTAATGTTGCACTCTCACTGGCTCACCAAGATTGTTCACAAAAGAATAGAATTCGAGTCGGATCACAGACGAACAACAACAAACCTCATGGCCTGAGGAAAGGCGCAGGACGAAGCCACGGCAAGGCAGGCTTGTCTGGACCCTCCATCGACATCATATCCCGCTCGCATGCAGCCCGAGTCTGCAGCTGAGTGGTACATACCCATACCGTGACTGGGTTCGCAGAACAGGGATCCTGCCATGGCTGCAGTGGCTTGTCAGTTCAAAAGCCAAACAACCCGACGAGGGGAGCACGATGACGTCGAACCTGGGGTGGGAACCGGTGGGGAACGAGGTCAGTGTTAACAAACTTGCCAAGTATACCTAGGTAAGTTTGCTGTTCAAGTTACTTTAGTATTCGAAAACATTCAGCCTTGCCGTTCTCATCAGCCTTGCTCCCGAACAAGCTGGACCTGGGCACCTTGTAGCCTTCCTGGCACCCCCCTGAGCATCAAACGAAGCCAAATCTAGGTAGGTAGTAGTTGGGCATTTGGGACTATCGGGACGCCAGACAGAGCATCCATCCACCCCGAATCACTGTATGCTGTTCTGTAATAAGGCACTCATACTAGTAGTATCCAGTACTGTACATACTCTACATAGTAGCCAAGCACAATGCACACTTGTAGGCGACCATCTTGCGTTGAAGCTTGCGTCTCTGATGGCCTTTAATTCATTGCTCAAAGCTAATCCACAAGCTGACCACTGCACAGCTAAGCGTGACAAGCAAAGTCCACCATCACCACGACCACCACGGATCTGAAGCTGCCGCTGCTGCCACACCTTTCGGTGTAACAACGGGCAGCAAAACTAAAATCTGTCCGTATACACACCCACCGGCCTCGTGACGAAGCGATTACTTCTCCTTCGCGCCTCATCCGGCGTCGACGACCCAGGTCCACCACTTCCGCTCACATCTCGATCCCGTGCAGCACTCTCCGTTCCCAAGCCTCTGGATCCAGCGCGCATCTTGGCCTCTAGAAGCGCGAGCGCATGGTCTCCGGCTGCTCTGGCCAGCTCTGCTTCTCTGAGAAGCCCCTTTCTGGTCAATTCTCGCTCTTCCTCGGGAAGCACAAACCGGTGAATTGTACGGTGATCCAACACTCGTTCTTCCGGATCGCCTGCGCCTTCAACCCAGGTCCCCTTGCCGCACCGGCCTTTCCGGCGGTACGCGCTGTACTCAGTAGCACCGGCTCCTTTTTTCCCGCGTCCCGATCGTTCGAGCAGTTTGCGTGGGTCAGGATCGGTCTTGGGCCAAGCAAAGCCGTACAGCATGCTGTGTCGTTCACATCGGGGACATTCGCGTCGGGTTTGGTATCCATTGGGTTGAACAAAGAATCCATAGCATTTGTCATTGTGACATTGAACCCAACGGTCATGAGGTTGAGCCAGTAACTTTCGGGTCAATATATAATCCCCGGCTATCCGAATTGTGCCCGTAACCGGGTGGACGGTCAACTTGGTCACTGTGGTTGACGTTGTGTTGGGCTCAATGGACGGCAAAACTCCGTCTTCTGTGTCAGCGTCCTTGGGCTTTTCAACTTCTCTCGTAACAGTGGTAGTCGCTAGAGTCGAGATGGCATGTGGTACAGGGGCACCCGCTATCTCAGGGCTGACCGTGGTGGCCACTTCATTAGCAACATCGAAAAATACGTCGGCCGTTGTTCCTGAATCTTGGCTCAAGGAATCAACCACAATGGTGTCCCCATCTGCTTCCAGTTTCGTCGTCTCCATTGATTCGATTTTGATGGTAACAGCACTGTCACTGATGGGATTTGCAGGGATTTGTTGGGTTGACGGCCCCGTCTCGTTTGCTGAACCATAACTTGATGGAGATGTAGGCGCTGGAGAGATGGGTGCTCGTGCGGAAATCTTGCCAAGTAGTCTAGCAGTCATCTTACTCTCGCGGGAATTTCTCTTGGACTTGGCACTACTGGGTGACTTTTGCTTTGCATCTAGCGATCCATCACCGACTGTGGTTGGAGGAGTCGATGCTGCTTCTGATTTGCTGTCTTCGGCACCTTCGCGCTCTGTCAATCGTGATGGACTATGAGGTGGAGAAAGCGTGGTCTTCTCCCCAGAAACCGAAGATGTGGGATCGATAGCCTCCGATAAGCCGGTAACGGCGCCTGACTGACCGTGGTCGGAATCGGAGCTTGTAGGAGGGGTCCACGAACGTTGCAGCTTGGAAGGGGACAGATTAGTCTTTAGCTGCTTGCAAGGAGGAGCTGAAGACTGTCGCGAAGACGCTTCTGGTGCCCGCTTGCGCTTTAAGCTGCGTGACCGGTGATTGTCGATGAGTTCGCGTGAAGGAGTAGAAGCGTGGCTTGAAGGCTCGAGAACCGCAGCTTTCGATGTCCAGCCGTTGCGCTCAAGAACCTCGCAAGTATGACAGAGACAATCTATATTGCCGGGTCCAAAGTAGTCATCACCATATGATACGGTGATCTCGTCCCCAACCTCAATGTTCTTCATGGCGACCACTTCCATACCGTCCGGACCCCTTGTCACAAGGCGACCATTTGCATCGCAGTCATGGTTGGCGAACCGCGCAGGGCCCAAGAAGATGGACGAGTTCTTTTTGCGACTGGAGACAACGATGCTGAAATTGCGGTTGCTCAGGTCTAACTCGGCCGATTCCTCCGTGGTTAGAGGCACGAGAGTGCCTATGAGGTATTTGACCGTGTCGCCTTGCTTGATCCTTCGTCGTGCGGTGACGGCGGCCTCATATGTGGTGATGGTATACCGATTGGTAGCGGACACCTCCCAAGGGCAGTCGGTTTGGTACATGGCGATGTACTTGCGAAGGTGGCTGAGAAAATGTTCTTGTTCGGCTTTGGAGCGCAGGCTTTGCTTGTACCGTTTCAATCCAGGCAGGGCAAGCAAGGCCTTCTCGGCTGCCACCAAGTCCTTATCGACGATGACCTTGTGCAGGAGAATCCGGGGTACTTCATCTTCCTTGATACCTCTAACAGGGATGTGCTTCGTCCGGTTCTTCCGTATGCGGTACTTGTAGTAAGCCTGAGACGTGTCAGCACAACATGCTCCGGGTTGCCAATGGCTGTACAAACATTATCTATTAGTACGTCTGAACAGACGTCGTCGTACGCGGCCAACTCAGCCAGAGAGAGCCGGTGAGCCTTCTCCGGCTCCTGGACAGACTTCTTTCGAGTCATTGTCGCGTGGTGTTGCGAGTCGTCCGTTAGCAAGGGGGTTGGGGTTTTTTGTATGAAGAGGTAGCGCTCGAGGGTAGGCGGCCGAGATTGTAGCGAAAGGTTGTGCCCAAAGCTGACAGCGAGCGAAGAGGTCTCTGGCCAAGTAGCGCAAATGATTGTCCAGACGCGATCTAAGGTTCAGGCCAGCCTGATGTGACGAGCAGTAAAGTGAAAATGAACGTGGTGCGACATGTTGGTCGCGTGGATAAAGCGCTTCAACTGGACGAAGCAGAAAGAATCTTTCAACTCTACGTGACTTTTGACATGGAGGAGAAGGGATGGTGTTCAACTGCTGTCAAGGGAGCAGGAGACACGAAAGGGAGAGGGGCCACACGAACTGGAACGGGCGCAGCAGCAGCAGCAGCGTCGACAACACTGGCAAAGGGAGAGGGAGACACACGGCGCGGACGGGCTGCCAGTGGAATCTGGCATTTTAGTTCCTGTTATTTTAGTGAGAGTCCGTCCTGTTGTTGGTTAGTGGTATAGGAATTGTGGGTTAGTGAGCTGTGTGCCGTGCTAAACTTGAAGAGAAATGAACCTTCCGGCGTTTAGACTGCTACTACGGTACTAGTACGGTAGGTATTAAGATCTCGTATAGGTCGCGCCTCTCCCGAGTCTGGATTGTCCGGCCACCAGTCAAACACAAGCGCCCCGAGTCGAGAACCATACAGGTAATCATCGGTGGCTATGCACGCCCGCCAGGTGCGCCGCTCAACAGCTCTCGCTCGTCAGGTGCCTGGTACTTGCGTCGCCTGAAGTGCACCATCTCTGCCTTCCAATATTGAGCAGGGGTCCGAGAAAAAAGCTCTGCAATTCTCAATGTTCGCTTGGAACCGTAGCAGTTCCGAGAGAGTTGATCCGACCTCGATTCGCCGGACCTGATGCCCTTGCACGAAACGGTCCCATTCGAGGTCTTTGAAATTTTGAACTCATTATTGTATATACACAACCTCAGCGCGAGTTACGCTTTTTAAGGATTCGGCGCGAGGCCTTCAGATGGCGTGATAACAAACACCCACCCACCATGCATCACCGGCTGGACAACTAATACATACCTGCTATTTACTATGCAGGTAGGTAAGTATCTCAGAGATAGCAAGGATACGGGTCAAGTGATCATGCTAGCTCTTGAGCAGCTCCGGTTATTGGAGCACTAGGAAAGCAATCCCGGCAATGGTGCCTGAGTCCAACTTGAACTGCAGGGCACTGCAGCCTGAGGAGCTTGTGACAGTGATGATACGCTATCATCCTACGCTGGCCAGCTTCATTTTGTCAAACATTCTGTCAATCTGACTTGATGGATTCGCACCGGATAGCCAAACCTTGACCTTACAGCTCCAGCAGCATGTGTTCGATATCAGTTTCGACTGTCATCGTGGCGATGTGGCAGTGGGTGAAGCAGCGACGTTTATTTGGGTCCAAGGTATGAAACGAACCAGTACAGCCATACCTGAAATTAGCCTCGATTGGTGTCATATCATCAATTCCTTCCCATCTGAGAAGCATGGCTATGATATAGCCAACGCAGTATTTGTGTTTGTCGATATTATGGAAAGACTCACTAAGAAGGTGGCTGCTTGGTTCCAGGCCATCTACAGTTTTCAACAGACAGACGACGTGGATCACTATATCTACGTCCGGATTCATCCTCGATATGCAACGTTCTCGACGGAGGTATGTCAATGTCCTATGCGGAGAACGCAGCCATGGCCCACGGTCCGCGTCTAAAATGAGTTACCGGTTGACCGGGGACTAGTCCTTATCCTCTTTCGAAGGGCAGAGCCTGTCAGATTAGATGGGAAGGCTGCCACGTTCAAGAGTGCGGCTCCTTCCTCGGGGGACCGTCGCTACTGACGAGTGAGCAGATGCCCCTGGCAAATTGTTTGCTCCGCTCGCTTTATGCCCAACGCTGGAGGAGTGAGCACTGGCTCAGCACTGCCGAATGCCGCAACGTGAGAGGAACTTTTGCCTGAGGCTGTGGATTGGCTCCTTTCGGGGTTCCCGATCTCCTACGATTGTGCGACTTGCATGTGGAATTCATTCCTTCATCACATCTTACTGTCATCCATCTCCTTGTTGCGTGTTGCTGTGAGGATGGCTTGTGGGATAATGGTTGGTCCAGAGGAGGTGCCCACTTGCAGGAAAGGGGGGTTGACCATTGAGATAGAAGTTCAAAATGTTCCGAGTCTTGCTGGGTCGGATATGGTTTTGGACGCGAACTGTTTGACAGGAACGAGCCAATATTTGGTAAAGGTGTCACGGCAGTGGGCAGAAAGGAGAACAGCCTTACAACTAGTCCTCTCGTCTCATCCTCAACTTCTAGGAAGTCCAGGATCTCGCCGAGAGTGCATGACTGGGATGGCCAGAGGGGAAAACCCCTCTATGTCTTTGGAAAGCACGAGAAAACCGTCGGTGGGAGGCTTCCAAGTTCTGCCAGTTCCAACCACGATCTCGACTTTACGATCTCCATCCCTGATCTGCGGTGCATTGCTAGGGCAGGATGTAATGCCCACGTCATATCGGTCAGGGACAGGAGGTGGTGGAGAGCCAATACCTACCGTCTTCATCGAGGCGGATACGTATTCATTGTTGTCGCTTACCGGACTACGAGGGCATTACGGCATGTCCCGACCTAAACGTACCATGACAACCAGGGGACCTGGCCATAGGTCCTGGCCTTATCCATGTCCCATTGATGAGACGGCCGATCTCTGATGCAGTGCCCACAGAAAGGGGTGATCCAGGAAGAGGCGCGGCTCTGGACATGAATTCTGTGTAATTCAGGGCAGTCGACCGATCGGGATGTTGATGAAATCATCTTGACGTGAGTTTGTCCCGGAGCAACACTTCCGGGCGATACTGGAACTTCCCTGGAATTCTTTCTGTGGAGAGCTGTGGACTCCAGTTGATGGGCCTGTCCCTAATCCTCCCGCTATCCAAGTAGTATTGAGTATTGGTATGCATCTACTCCTAGGCAGCTTCCTAGAACATTCGTCACCCAGTTTGGCTTGGACTGTGAGATCACCCCCCGGGATAGGGGACCCTACCCTAGACCAGACGCCCGAGTTTGTCGCAGATGCGCAGATTCGGAGTGGGAGGGGGCAATGATCGTCGAAAGGCTGCGCTCCGGAAGAAGCCTTGCAACGTTTGACCACTGGCTGGAGGAACACAACGTCCCACTTTCTCCGCAATTCGATACGTTGAAAATGCCACCGCAGGGCTATAATCCCTTGTACCTTGTAGTCACAACTTGAACTGCCTTTGTTCTCACATTCTAGAGGTACGTACCTAACCATTATTGCAGCCTCAGGCTGAGCTTCATCTGGATTGCATCATGATGCCCCGATTATCACTACGAACCCCCTTGCTGTGATACAAAGGATCCGGGTAAAGAAGCCGCCCCCCAATTGCGTGCCCGACTACAGGCCCCAGCAGAGTGAGCTCATCACAATTCACGTGCTGTGAAGTCATCATGATGACAACCCCC